TTGAACTGCTTCCGATATCCACGAAAGAAGAAAAGAGAACTAAAAACCTTCTCTGTGACCTCCTTAACACCCTCATTAATCGCTTCCGGATCAAACCTGTCAGTGTCAACAAGCATCCAACAAGTTCACGGTAAAGTGTCAGTTCCCATGCCTGAAGCAACGTCCGCGCACCGCCGTAATTTGAAGGCAGGAGCAAGGAGAAGGTAAGGAAGAGTTCTACAGCGTGATCTACAGGGGAAGAGACATCTGTCGATGGCGCGCCACAGATAACGCCAACAAGAACACCTGTCCAAGACTTTAATACATATTAATCGAGTAATAAAGATGTTCCATCGTACATATTAATCGTTTTGTCGTATTTGCAGATGCGATCATCGCCATGGAAACCCAATCCTCCGGAATCTGCGGAACTTCCACAATTGTAGCCGTCGTGGAATGCCACGCCAGGATTAGCTTTCCATCGCTCCCGAAACTAATCACAAAACTATATAGCTTCTATTATTCTTCAGAAAATATTCATATTGTTCAGAGGGATGAACTAAAAATAAATGAAGCTTTCCCAAAATCTTCCCAAAATTTCAGAGAGATTTTTCGAGTGCTACGTGCGGAGATTTAGAAAGGATGCTATAAAGTGATCGCATTAAAACTAACAACATAGAACTTGAGTGATTAAGAAAAACAGTCAAGATTTTTTGGGGGCTTTGATAGGGAGGAATCAAATAACTGGTAAGCAATAAGTTTGATTCGGGTTTTTATTCCAAAAAAAAAAAAAAAGACTTATTTTTCGAGAAAGAGTAAACGCAAAAAAAGATTTTACAAGTTCAGTGATTTTAAGAAAAGATAAATAAATGATTTAGATATACAGAAAAGCTTCAATTTTTCAAAAACCTCAAATGGTATCATTGAGCACTGTCTACTGAAATATCTTTCAAAGACAAAAAAATATCCTCAAAATCGATTTGACAAATTTAATAGAAAGATTAATCAGAATTCTGAAGGCTAAAAAACAATATTTCTATAAAAACTCAATAATGTGGTCCAACGAGCCACATGTGAAGAGCTTACATTTTTTGGAAAACCAAGAATTGTAGTTTTTATACTTCTTCATTTCTAAAATATCTGCTCAATTGGAACAAAATTACGCAGAAAATTTGAGAAGTCCTCTTCAAAAGATATTTTTTCGCCTTGTTCAAAATCAAGCTTCAATTAAACGTCTTCGAAAAGCTGTAACAGTTTCCAATGTTCTAAATGAGACTGAGTAGAAAGGCTTACGAAGAAAAAGGAACAGCCGAGCCGGAATTTCACACGGCAAAAGGGACAATCACGGCGGAGGCATGAAGCCGACACACGCTGACCAACCTTATGCCAACAATGGTGATTGTTGTGGGAGCAGCGCTGACGCATTCCGCGTCGACGCTCCAGCTCCTATCATCATTCCCGCATTAAAGTCGCTTCACCTTTGCCAAGGTTAGCGCCAGTCAAGTACTTCCTTCAGGGCATTTGCGTAACAGTACAACACCAACTTCATTCATATCGGGTCGGCTCAGACCAAGTACACAACTTTGGGAGCTTCAAATTTTTTGCGCTCGTACTAAATGCAGATGACGCTTTTTGCTTCAACTTTTCGAATCAGAGCTTTTTTGAGGTTGAAAATTCTCAAAACCTCTGAGCCTTTTGGATATTCATTTGCTGAGCTTATCTACCACAAAAATTTACTAACTACTTTCATCTAATAGTTATAGAAACTGTTATCGATGCTGTACAGATGGGCTTGCTCTTCCTAACAAGCTACAATCTCATTAAGGGAAACTTTCCATTGAAAAAAACTTTTATTATTGTCGAGTTCAGTAGGTCGTCATAAATTATTTGCCCAAAAAAGCGCTTTTAGTTGGATTCTTTTCGGAAATGATCGTCCGAGTTGAAACTCAAAAAAGTAATTACTTTTTTTTTAGCGTAAAATACTTCATAAATTTTCATAGAATTTCAGAAGGAAAAGGACATAACCCTTCTCTTAGAAAATAAACTTCGAATAAGAATAAAAAATTTAAAAAACTATCCGGAAAGCGAATAAAATTTCTTTTGTTGAAATCCTTTGTCATTCAGGATTTGATCGAAAATCAGCTCGGTTTTTCACCATTTCGACGATTTGAATCGTTTATCAACGGAATTTCTTTTTTGAATATTTCCCAACACCTTAACAATGCATCTACGCGAACATTTGTATAAAAGGTGTGAAGCAGAAAATGGAAGCCAAAGTAAACACCGAGTTGAAAGCCGTGACAAATCGCTAAAAGCAATAAATGGCTTTTTGGAGCGAGGCTTGTACGATTTTTTCTCACTCAATGGCTTCAACTGTTCGTTTTGGACATCTTACGTCGTAATGCCCGAGAAAAACCTTTAAAAAGGACTATTTCAACACTTTCAGGACCACAACATGGGATGGAGAAATCGTATTCGAAAAGGCGCTTTATATGTACTTTTGAATTACATTTAAAACATCAGAAAGACTGGAAATAAATTAAGCGATAGTTTTGTGCTATTCAACTGAAGTTGAAAACTTTTACGATTCATGGAGTTGATATTTTTTTAAATTCAAAAAAGTCTCAGAAAAAAAGTCATGCTTAAGAATACGTAAAATCACCCAAACTTGGAAATATGAAAAAAATTAAATAAAAAAATTAAAGAGGAATTTTCACAACTTTTCGTTCTGAGTTTCTCTAAAAATTAAAATGGAGAAAACTTTCATTAGAATCTGCAAACACGGTAAGTCCTTAGTAAGATGTGAAAGCCGACCACACGCTTCAAACCTTCAAATTGTCGCATCCTGCGTTTAAAGTCCTAGTGAGGAAAAACTCCAACTCAACGCTGGAAAAATTCGCCCTAGTGAAGAAAGCCATAACTTTTTCAGGACATCTCCCGAAACCACAGAACATAAGCCAACTTCTACAAACTATTCAAAGTCCTAGAAGCGACCACCTGTTCGCAAGAACCATTACAGTACGCAAGACACCTTCCAAAACAAACAAAGCCTATCCATGACCATCCTCAAGGAAAAAGTTTGAATCGTCAGAAAAAAAAAAATGGTAAAAGGTGGGACGCGACGACGGTTCATGGGGACGAGGAAAGAAACGAAGCGCGACGAATTTCGTCGTCGATTCGTCAATTTTGGACCCAAACTCGGTGCGATCTCCTCCGATTGAAAACGTCTGCGAGGAAAAACAGATTCGGGGATTCGAGTTGACTCGGTTGGATAAATAGAAAATGTCGACTGCTTGTGTGCTCTCAATTGAAAAAGGACTTGAGAACTATAAATCAATTCAATTTATCTTGTACTTATACAGAGACGTTTTGCGCTATCCACAATCGCACTCAATAAAGGTTTTCTCGAAAAGAAATTATGAACGAAAATCAAAAGCATTATATTTATTCACAAAACGCAACCAGTATTCTAGAATATTGCAGAAACTTGCAGTCTAACGAAAATAATAAGTTAAAATATTTCTCCAATTTTCTCGATTCGGAATCTCATTATTTCGGGTATAGCTTCAAAATCTCAATGAATAAATTCACTAATATAGATTTTACGGAGAAAATGTGCTTTCCTGGAAGCTATGAATCATTTTTTTAAAAACAAACTTTTTTAGATCCAAAAAAAAGCTAATTGTAACTTTTTTAACTTTGCAGAGAAAATCCAACGGATCTCAAATGAACAGAAACTCGACTCCTGCGGTCGAAGTTGCGCTAAAAAGTACGCAACAACGCTCTTACGCTGTACCCTAAATTGGCTTGCGCGGCGGCGGTGGCAAATTGCACGGCTCTATGTATCAAATGACTGTGCATGGACACAAGTGTTAGTCTGTAAGTTGAGAGAAGAGAAAAGGATGGAGTTTTTTCCGGCTTGGATGAGGGATCGTTATGATGACTTATTATTATCGGCCACAAAATTATATATCTCTCTACTTATTAAATTTAAAATTTATAAATTTTAGCCAAATTTTCCTAGCCAAATTTGAAGTTTATTTTGAAAATAACCATTCTTGTCTGAAATCTTGATATATAAGTTCAATTTATGAGATAAATCTTAATTTTTTTCAACATTTTCGGTTTAATGTAATTTTTATTGAACTCTCCTCCCCTCACGTTAGAATTTTTCCGACGTACCTGTAACAAAAAGAAAAAAAAAACCTCAAAAAAGCGTACCTTAGGAATTGGAAGATCTGAGAATTTTTGTTTCGTTATCAATCGACCGAACTCTCCACATTCTTTTTTAGAACCAGCGAAGAGCAGAAAAGGAAAATTAAACAGTTAGAAGAAATATGAAAATTTCAAAGCGTTTCCGTTTTTTTTACATTCAAAATCTGAACAGAATATAGGGCGTCAGATTTGAAAGAGAAAACTGTCAAGCTAAATGAAAAAAAAAAATTCACGGAAACAGTTTGAAAATATTCGCGAAATCCGAATATTCGCAAAAATTTAAAAAAGTAGAGGGCTAACTTGCGCGTAGTTTTATGTGTTCGATGTGAAGGATGACTTTTACGCACCGTAATTGAATAATTTTTTTAATTCGATAATTACAAAGCAAAAGACTGGCCGCAATTTTTTCCCATCGTTCCCGGCCAATATGAAGATGAAAAAGGACGGAGAAGCGCCAGGCCGATTCATAATTGCAGTCAGCCATCGCCATTAGGTGCGAAATGAAACTCGCTAGTATTGGACTTAGCGTTCATCGACTGAGTGGAACCAAAAAAAAAAGAAAACGCCAAGGACCAGCGAAAAGCATTGATTTACAGCCGTTAAGGTTTGAAATTTATAGCTATTTGCGTTCTTGGTAGTGTTTTCGCCTGGCAACGACGACTTCCCGGCAGGACGCCAATTAACTTTCCCGCTGCGACGACACTCTCGTATTACCAGCAATTGAGAATCACACGTAATCAAAGACAGAAAAAAACTATACAAATTTATTCGAGTAGTGAATCAAATGGTTTCCGATGGAAAAATCCTCAGCGAGTGGCGTCGATCTGCAAAAAATTCATCTTTTAAGAGCTGTGAAACAATATTATTTATGCGCCTAAAACTAGAGATATGAACTATGTTAGAAATTAACTAAAGGACCATAGATTTCACAAGTTATGAAAGCAATTTTTTTTTGAGATTTCCCATGAAGCAACTGACCACATAGGCCGAGCGGATAGTCGGCTCCAAGGCCGTGTTGACATCGGAGAGCGAGGCGCGAGTGCGGCCCTGCAGCTGAAGTCCTTGCAGATTTCCTTGCAGGAGACCCTGCTCCCTCAGAAGTTCACCGCCGTACTGTCTCTGCAGACTGTACAAGCCGTCGAGCTGCTGTTGCGTCAGGTAGGGACGGATGTCCTCGATTTGTGCCGGCTGGAGACGGAGGCCGAAGAGCTGAGCTGGCGACAGACGCAAAGCAGCCACCTGCTCTCCGGTCAAGGCGAACTGAGGCGCAGCCAGAGCCTGAGCTTCAGTGGCCGTCAGGTTGAGCGTAGCAAGCTGGCGAGGAGTCAGACGAAGGCCACGCAGAAGTTCACGGCTCAGCACCAGGTAAGTGGTTTCTTGGCCAAGCTGCTGGGTTTCGCGCTCAAACTGAGTCAAACCGCGTCCGAGTTCGCGGCCATCACGTCCCAATCCGCGGCTGTCACGTCCAAGACGATCCCGTTCGAGGCGTTCACGGTCGAGACGTTCACGGTCGAGGCGTTCCCGCTCAAGGCGGTCCAAGCTTCTTTCACGGCCAAGGCGGTCCAAGCTTCTTTCACGGCCAAGCTGTCGTCCAGCTGAGCGATCACGACCATCCAAAGGCAAACGGTCGGAAAGGAAGAAAGCGCTGTTTCCATCGAAGATGATTCCTGAACCTCTACAATTCACTTCTATCCAACAGTTCCACACGCACCAAGGCTATCATCGTAGAAAGCAGGGCGACCGGCGAGACGGCGAGAAAGTTCGGCGTCGTAGACGCGGTCGGGGCTAAGTTCGAGAGCTGTGTTCACGTCGAGACCGCTCAGCGAGCGACGAGCACCGGTTTGACCACCGAAGGTCTGCAAAAGCCAGTAGAAATCGACTTTTCAAAAGTGTTAAATCCAAATTCCTAAAATCTTGAATCTCTAACCAACACCTTGAGAAGGCTGAAAACTTTTCCGAAACTTTAATCTTCATAATACCTTTCAAAAACAGAAATCAAACGCACAGTTCCTTGAGCGAGTAGGTGAGACGAAGGAGTAAACGAAGCCGGACGGAAGGGCATGACGTTTTGAAGAATTCGTCGTTCGAATCTGATCATCTGCTGCCTACTTCTCCTTTTTATACCTCATGCAAATCTACACGTGCAATCTTTCTTTATTTTGATTATAAGAAAAGTTCATCAAGTTTCAAAACTTCAAAATTCGATTTTCGAAAGGGAAATGATGCCGATTCCGAGCAGCGTGACGAAAATTCCAACATAGAGCTGGATGATGTCCCGTTTTCCCTTCAAGTGCACAGGAATAAGAAAAAAAAAGTTTTGAGGTTTTTTAAGGTCAACTTAAAAACTTGAAAAATTCTATGTTTTATAATTAATTCTCAATACCACAAGATATAAAAGCTTGAATTAAATTTTTTGAATTCAAAAATAAAAAAAATTTTCTTGAATTAAAAATTAGCCTCAAAACCGACCTGTATTTCTTTGAATAAAAATATTCCCCAGAGGCTAACAACTATTCCGGGCGCTTTTGACAATATCGGATAGGCAATAACCTTAATGTTCCTTTCTGATTGAGGTAAAGACGTTTGATACCTGATCCAGGTGTTGATTGGCCATGAAAAAAGTTATGACAGCGATGCCGTACAAAAGGCCAGCAGCCATGGAAGGAAGACAGAGTTCGGCATTCACCAAAGGTCGATTCTTTCTGATAGGTTATTCTGAGGTTATTCTGAATAGGAGAAAAAACTCACTTAAAACTAGCATAAACGGCGAAAATCAGGGTCGATGTGATGAAAGATCCCATGCAGTAGGACTGGAAATAACATCGAACATCGGGTGGAGCTCCTTCCTAAAAAATATTCTCAATTTGAAAGTTTTGGTAAACATTTCTATTTTCCTCAATGTCCATCTTTTTACTTACTTCACGTGCAATAATGTAATTGATAGGCGTCAGGAAGTTGCCATACAAAAATCCGACAAAAATGGTTAGAAGGAGGCACCTTTAACAAAATAATGAGTTTATTAATGAGTTTTGACCTCACAAAATCCTTCTGGAAGTTGGAACATGATGACTTTGCTCTTCCTCGGCAATTTTCACCTAAATTCAAATCTTTTTGAAAACTGTAAGAAGACTTACTGTCCATGGAGCTGGCCTTACTTTGGGCGGGACGTGCTTGATCGGTGCGTAAATGGCGCCTCTGAAAGAGAAAATACTATGTTTAAAAAGAAATTAAAAGTGAATAAAGAAATGAAGAAGTGACCCCAAGCAAACGCCAACAACGCCCAAAATGTTGAGGAAATCGCTTTGAACGAATTGTTGAGGATTTCCAAAAAGTCCAAAACGGGACACAGCCCATCCACAAATACCTGAAAATGGAACATGTGAAAAATAATTATTGATTTGCTCACATGTAATCGTGTTCCACAGCAAATATCCGATTGACATCCCCACGCCATTCATGATAAAAAAACAGTCAAAGAGTTTCCTCAATCAATAAAAATAAAACTTCAAATTTTTTTGGGATTATTTTTCAACATAAATGATTTATTGTGGCAGTTTGAGAATTAAAAAAAGGAGTTTTTTTTTTCTTTTTCGCTTTTTTCCAGCTACGCTCTCATGTTTATGTGCTCTTCCATTGTATTCTAACCGCGCAAAGAAGATAAAAGAGAGCGCAGACATGTTAGATGGTATAAATTTGAAGGAATGGGATTCCATTCAAATGAAGTCTTGAAGTGTCGAGTACCGATGGAGAAGAACATTCCGGACAGCATGGCCAGAGGATGAAGCGGCGTCGGCGGTGACGTCACAGCGACGAGACAACCTACCATCAGCTGACCCGCCGACATCAGCCATTGGAAGAAGATTCCTGGAATTATCCAACGGAAAAGGAGGGAGCACAGGTCATTCTTCGAATTTCATTTCTAGCCTACGCAAGCTTTTTGTCTGTCTTTTTGGGTATTACCGTTTCTTAGAAATACCTAAATCTCAGTGAGAAATCTCACAACCCTTCAAAACGCCGGTTTTCCACGAAAACTGTTAATATTCATTTTCCCAAAGCAGCTACTGCAACTTCAGTCATAGTTATTTTTTTAACCAACCTCGTTTCTTCCCGTGAATTCTATAGCTCATGCTCAATTGAATTTTGAATTTAAAAAAAGTAAAAAGAGTGAAAACTTTATCATAAAATTAACAACGCAAGCCCTTCAGAGCTTACTGATGAGCTGCTGATTTTTCACCCACCTAATCACTCACCATCGGCTTTATCGAACCATTTGAGAGGGACATAGGTCGATCCGAAGGTGACGGTCGACGTGAAAGCACAAACAACGCCGAGCCACGCGTTTTTCTCCATTCAAAAGTGTCAGCCGATTCTTTCCCCTGGCGGTTCACATTTTTGCATAATCTTGCGCCGAAAAAATTTATTTCAAATTATCATGCGAGTATATCGACGTAGATCCCGACAATTTTCTCTAAAATCAGCTTCGCCGTAACAGTCTTCTGTTCTTCCGCTGCTTCGGACTTGGTCAACGTCTGAAAAATTGAAAAAAGTTATGACTCGATTAGGGTCTGATAACTTGAAGCGTTGCCAAAAGGGCGGGTAGAAGCAAAGCCGAAGTTCTCGGATAGACCAATTTGTAAGTTTTTTCGAGCTGTTGATAGGTAAACGGAATTTTGTGTCCTTGGAACTCCTTAGTCAGTTGATCGTGGTAGAACTGGAAAATAAATTATTCCGCTCATTTTCTTACGATTTCAGTACCTTCAAATACGTTTGCCACTTGGCTCTCCGATCCGCAGGACTGAGACAAGTGTTGAAAAGCCGGGTCAAGTCGGTTGCAGCCAATCCGAAATGGGACATCTGAAGCGGCGTTGCATGTCGCGTCGCGGTCGATGAAACTGACCTGGAAGTCGACAATCTTCACGAGAGTGTCGTCGTTCCAGAGGAAATTGGCCGCCCAGAAGTCGCCGTGGACGAAAACCTTCCCAATTCCTCAAAATATAATTATTAAATGAAAAAAATGGAAAAGTCCAGTTTACAGAAATCCCTTCTAAACCACAATTAAAGTGTCTTCATAATTGAATTTCTTGAGTTTGTTTCCTCCTCGTAGTAAAACCTTCCGATTCTCACCCATCTTCGCAGCCAACTCATCGATTTCACTCGTAGTGATAATTTGAGGTAGAGCTTTCTCAAAGTTTTCGGGTCAGAGACGCCAGTTCCGGTGGCAGTAACGACGACGATGCCCGGTTGTTCAGCACCAGAATCTGAAACATCAAAGTTCATAAGGTCGACGAAAATAGTCGAGGACAAAGTCTTTGATGGTGTTGTACACGCCGGAGAGTCCTTGGTGCGGCGCTTTCTGGATGACGTCATCAGGAGCGTCGACAAAAGCGGCTTGCATCCGTGCCAACGATTTTAGCACCTTGAAAAGCAATTTTTCTCTTTTTTCTTTATTTTTCCGCACCTGCTCCATTTGGACATCGGTCAAGCTCTGTACAATCGTCCCACTTTTTGCATTCTCAATCATTTCCACGGCCAGAAACGCTCTTGACTGGTTGTCCTCCGTCAGTTTTGTTCCGAAATGATATCTTGGCACGATTTCGCACCTTTTTGCGCAGTTTTCGAAAAATTCATAGAAGAACATCTCCGAGTTGTGACACTGAAATGTTCATGTTGTTGCTCAGGATAGCAGAGAATTGCTTTCACAGGGGTGAGGAAGCTGACGAATTCATCCACGACGGAGGACATTTGAGCCGTCAGTTCTGGAGGCAACTTGGCAGCTTCTGACATCATTACTTCTGGAAACTTCAATGATTTGAAAGTGATGAAACTTTTAAACACTATAAGTCTCACTAATAGAGTTTTCTCATAACTCGATTTTCTAGGACGGTAGAAATTTAAATTGAGTCACTTTTTGAAAGTTTTTTTTTTCCGGGGGACTTACGAAGCATAACAACGGGTGAAGCAATCTTGAGAGCAAAGTTTGACGGCAAAGTTATTTTTCCATTGGTTTTCCAGTCCGGATCGACAACTCCAAGAAGCGATTGAAGGCCCTGAACGTACGACATTGGCAAAGAAGGGGATGTCAGTCAAATATGGGAGTTTTTCAAAAAGTTCAAGACACATATAGCGGCTTCTAACGTCTTGATTTTGGAAAATAAGTTTCAAACTTCCGTGATCTTGATCGCAAGCCTCGACCTTGTTTTAAGCCTCGACTTGCAAAATTCAGAGCTCCGAAGTGAAATTCTGCACAGAAAGCGACTATGAGAGATCTTATTATGAACTTCCAAAAATCGTTTGAGCTAAATTTAGAAGTTTGAAGAAAATGACACTCCTTGTGAAACAAAATTTTCAGCAAAACGGAACGTTTGTGTGATCACTGGAAACCTGTGAAAATAGCGAATCTTTAATTTCCAAGTAGTTCGAGCTTCAATAGACAATGAAAAACGAACGATTCCCAATCCCAACGGAGAAATGCGCTTCTTCGGTCCAAACGCCGCTGCTCCGTGGTACTTGGCGTCGACGACCTTCTCGACGTCTTCCCAGGAGACGTTAGAGGTCAAAAGCCCCGTTGAAGGCGTTCGAAGCATAACTTCTCTCTTTTTGCTGCAAAATAACGCGGTGGCGGGAACCGAAGATACGTTGAAAAGACTGGAGTGTCAATATTTGAAAAAAGAGTTAACAAGAACAAAAAAAGATTCTGAAGTGGGACGGATTTTTGGTCGTTCAATCAGCTGTGAGAACAAATAATTTATAATCCTTATGTTAAAAGATACCAATAACATAATTCTGATAAGAGGTTTATGACGGCAATCTCTGCCGGACATACAAAAGTCATTTTGATAATAAATTTCCCGGTTCTTTTTTATCGAAACCAATGCTTATGATCAATAAGAGAGCGTTAAAGTCAAGATAGACGCGAAAATATCTTCTTTAACGGTATGGTTATCAGTCTCTTACAGTCTCCACGAGAAAGAAAAAGAAAGAAACTTTCCTTCAAAATTTTAAGCCTTTTGCAGATTTCCGGTTAGCCAAGGCTTCAAGGAGACTTTTATCTATGGTGCATTTTTTTTCTTGATAAATAGCTTATAGAGAACTATTTTTTTTAACTCCCGACGTTTTCGACAAGAAAACTTCGAAGACTTCATTGTAGTTGCGAAAATGAATCCGAATTGTTTTTTTCTTTAATTTTTTGCCTGATTCATGAACTTGTTTTCTTGAACCATTGTCTCAGAAACTTTCAAAAGGCGAAAGTACAAATTTTCCAACGCAGAAAAAATAGCTGTGTGAGAAACTTTTGATTTTTTAGAACTTTTCAATTGAAAATGAAAGTTGAGTCCAAGTATACTTCAGATTATCTAACGGTTAATAAGAAAAAAACTGATAAATTTTTCAAATTAATATTATGAAACAAAGAAGACAACCTGAGAAAATTTGTATTATTGTTTCAATAAATACACTCAACGAAAAACATATCGAAGAAATGGAAATAAGCGAAAAGGTCATCAATTTCTAAAAAAACTTCTCATAATCAATTTGATTGAAAAAAAGAAAAAGAAGTTGAAATGTGCAAAAAATGTATTATAAAACTGAAAACTTAGACGAAACACTTTTTTTCATTATTCTGACTCCAGGAAAATTTCGCCATAATATTTAATTGAAAAACTGGAAAAGAAGACGTTCGTTATTTTTTTAAGTTCTACTTCATTTTTTTCTTTTGATTTCCGATTTCTTTAAAATGAGGTGATGAAAGAGAACCAACCTCCGATACATCGAGAAGTACATGCCGAACACTGGAATATTAATCCATCTGTGCAAGGTTTCTAACTCGATTTCCCACTCTTTCTTTTTTTTTTTGCTTCCTTAGAGAAACAAAGAATAATACATTTATACGAGTCCAATCCAATCAAAAGTTAGACTTACACTGAAAACGGAAAAAGGTTATCAGGAGAGATGAATCAACTTCGTCAAAATTTACAAAATATAAAAAAATGCATTGGATGACAACCAAATAATTAGTTATTGCTGAACCTTTGCAAGCCAATCTTCATATAAGCCCGTCGGGTCTTCCTTGCCCTTTTCCTGAAATAATTCTTCTTCAAAAATTTCAGTTTTTATAAATGTAATCACAGAGATGACGCGGAACATTACTATATTTGGAAAGTAGAAAAAAATAATAATAGAATTTTTCAGAGATTATTCCTTAATTTAAAAATTTTTTTCCAAGTTAAAACTTTTCCTAACTGCATTTTTCTATGAAAATATACAGTTCGAAACGCAAAAAAATAAAAAATAAAAACAAAAATAACCGTAAAAGAAAAGTTCAGCGAAAATATTGCTAAAAAAAAAGCTTTTTTTAAAAAAAACAAAATCAGAAAACGATTCAGTTTCTTTTCTTCTTGATTCCATACTCTCTCCCCTGATTCTCCCCGATTCCTACCTCGACTTCCTTTCTCGCGCCGTCGACAAGAAGTTCTCCAGAGGAGGAAATGATCTTCAGGGCGGGAATCGTCGGAACTTCGTACTTTTTCAGGTATTCTCTGCAGGAAAGGAGGAATGTTTGGAAATGAAGGCAGTCCCAACTGGATTCTCTCGTCGCCGAACGGAATGGCCGGCCAGCCGCCGCCGTGCTCCAAGTACTCCAGAAGGTCGGCTTCTTCGCGGTCGCGCGACACCAGAACCACCTCGAAATCCTTTCCTTCTTGTTTCAGAGACTCGTAGAAGCGCTAGAAAAAAAATTGACGTTCCAGATACGCGAGCTGTATGAAAGGAGTTTTAAATTGAAAAACCAACCATGTACAGACTTTTATCACAATTCTAACGGTCTTCCCGAAATAGAATAAATATCTTTACTATTCGAAAAGTGTTAAAGGAACTCCCAGAATAAACATTTATAACGTAAAATTTGTGATTGATTTTTAAATCTCAATTCTCTCATTTTTCGGCCTTGTTTTTAAGAAAAAAAGTTCAAAATTTCTTCTATTGTTTTTTTAAATCCCAAGCTGAAGAGTAAACTAAAAACCTCTTCGAAAAATTTTTCAAACTTTTTTTCGAGATTCGATTTCAGAACTTTCCAAAAAAACTAAAATGAACGTTCGAAAGCGCAATATCATCAACCTTTTATAAGTATTGAATTTCACAGATCTTCAATTACAAGGGCTTGAAAATAGAAAGAAACCTTCAATTTGGGTGTGAACTGCCGGCAGCTGCCGCACCACATTGCAGAAAAGTACAACGCGACGACTTTCTGAAAATCGGATTTCCTTTCAATTTCAGATAAAATTCATTCCCATCTCGAAAAGTTCAAAGGAACCAATTTTTCACCTTTCCTTTCAAAGCCTCGTCTCCGTCGGTTTTTTCGCCATCAACCTTGACCAGCGGTTTTCCAGCGAACAATTCAGCCATCTGGAAAATCAAATGAGTCTTTTGAGCGAATTTCTATTTTTTTGGAAAAGGGGGACGCCATGAATATAACTGATAAATGAAACAAAAAACTACATAATAATCTTTGAAATTAAAAAAAAATAAACAAATATTTTTTTTCGCGAATTTCGGCAAATAAGAATGAGACTTCGATGAAAAAAGAGGTGATTCGGGTTTGGAACTGACGAAACAAAAAAAGAAAGTGAACAGAAAGTGAAAAAGTAAGCCGAAACGTGAACTGCGACCTAAATATCCTTTTTTTTTAAATCGACTAAATTTCCCCGATGTTACACATCAATTTTTTTAAAACTATGAGAATTATACATTATAACCGATGTTTCTGGTCAAAAAGATAATTTTTGTGTTTAGAGTAAAAAAATAACTCTTTAGTTCAATTTTTAAATATGTATAGAATAAAAAAATTTTTTTGAAAAAAAATTCAAAAAAAGCTCAGCTCAGTTCAGTAACGAATGAGACAAACAAAAAAGGAAAGACAGTCCTGAAAGAATGAAATCAAAGAAACGAGAATGAAAACCGTAAAAAACGAGAGAAAGACTGAGGAAAAAGCCCAAGGGACTGAGAACCGGTCACCGACTCTTTATTGATCGTTCGGTGCCCGTATTTATAGGCTCGCCATCGAAAAAAATTGTCATCATTGCACTACACCGCTATTTCGACGCAAATTCAGCAAAAACTTGCGTCATACGCCAGAAAACAACCAAAAAACGTAGAATAAAACGTTTGAAAAACACGCTGAGCGGTGAAAAAAAAGAAGAGAAAACGGCAGACGACGATGAGAAAAAAGAGGAAAATGACGGGTGAATAGGAGAAATTTCAGAGAAAATTGCTCGAGTGACCTTCTTGTGTGCAATCGAAGGAATCCGTTCCCCGAAGAGAAACCTTGAAAGCGGTAAAAAGGAAAAAAAACCAATGAAATTCGTTCCAAATTTTTGAAAAACTTTTGAATACGAATGCATATTAGTCAGTGGCCCGATGAAAAAAAAATTGAAATATTATTTCAAGTTTATTCGAGTTTTTTTTTTCGAGACGAAAATTTCAACTGAAAATTGATCAGAGAATGCTCAAAAATCAGGGAAAAATTTTGGAAAAACAGGATAAATACTTACAAAAAAATTATCCTCTAGAGAATAAAAAAACTTATCTCAAACTGGTTTTTCTATCGGATCTTGAGATGGAAGTTGAGATATAATTAGACACTCGACTGAAAAAAGCCTATGCATTACACACGACGCTACAGATTTCTCGTCATTTCCACTGCCGTTGCCTTATTATTTACTATATTCGTATTTCTCTTCTCCATAACGAGCTCTGGCGAGACTATTAATAATTTAACAGATCCCAACGTTTTCGCTGATGTTATTTTGTCCAATTCTAATGCAAGTCGATTTTTCTCAAATCTGAGCAGATTGGAATTTAAGGATAGCTGGATAAACTTCAAGGATGTTCGAAATTTACCCGCGTTTGTGAAATTGAGAACAAAAATAAGGGTTGGTTGGAATGTTTTCAAACATATATTGGTCAGATTATTCGGCTAGTACCATTTTCGAAAGAACGAAATGAATATATTATCTACATTGAAAACGAAGAAAACTGTATCGCGACTAAAATAAACAAAAACCTGAATAGACGGAATAACTTTTGATCACTATTACCGAATGTGCTTTTAATTTATGAAAAAAATTCGGAGGTATGAAAAAAAGCCAGCGAATTTTTGGAACGGCGACTTTTACGATTTTTTTCGTATCGATAGGGAGCTTTCCGACGGCAACCTTTCCGCCGAATCTCTTTCCGACTTTTTTTCTCTAATATTTTTTTCGGTTTATAAAACACCCTTTACAATTCTTTTTTTCTTCTTTGTGTTTTTAAAACATGAATAACTTGCCTACTTTATATGAGAAGATTTAAAACGAACAGTTTATCGAGAAAAAAATTTCTTCAGAAAGTTCCCTAGCGACATGAAAAAAATCGGAAAAAGTCGTCGTTCGAATTTTTCGCTGGTCTTTTTTTCATACCACTAAAAAAATTCTATCCAAACTCTTGGTTTTTTTAACTGAAAATAATTCTTGGCTATTTCAAGTTACACTAAAATTAAAGAAACATCAAAAACTAAATCGAATCAAAAAATTTCAACACTTCAACTAAACGTCTTTCAGTAATCTTATTTTCCAAAAGTTTCGGAAAGTTAGGAAAGAAATTCTGCGGTTTATGAAAAACTCATTAGAAAAATTACTAATCGTGACTGAATCAGGTTAAAAAAGAAAGGACAAAAAATGAACAAAATAAAAAATATAAAAATTGAAATTTTCAAAAAAATCGTCGAGCGCGGGCTCGCGAGCTGTGCATGCAGCCTCAAGCAATACAGTAACTCATTTAAGACAAAAATTTGAAGCGAAGTATTTTTCAGGCGATCGAAGAGCACAAAATAGCAGCATGCGTTGTCCCCAAAACAATGTCAACAGCCACAGGAGCAGCCTTGTGTCATTTGAGAAAAAAAGATAACAATAATTGGTTACATTACCCGTGAGTTTAGGAATCTCATCATCACTAATCTAAGATTTTTAATTTCAAGGCACTGTGATGATCAAATAGTACATACTTCTCTGCAGTCTTTTCAAGAAAACTTCAAACTGAATAAAAATTATTCCGATTGGGACATCTGGTTCGTTAAAAGACATCCAATCGACCGCTTCATATCAGGATTTATAGATCGTTGCATAAGGTAACAGATCAAAAACTTGCAGTTCCAAAAGTTCAGAAATATGTAGGCTTGGTCACAATTGTCATGGTTGCGGCTTTGATATCGCATGTTATGTCAAAAAACTCTACGAGAAACTAGAAATTGTGGTGAATCATCCACAAGACATTCACATCGACGATTTCCATGTCGCCCCGCAGAACTGGTCAGTCTGATGTTGTCAAGTGCTGAGAAAAAAAAAAGTTTGAGGTTCTGCCAGATGGAACAAAATCTCAATCGGTTGAATTTTCTCCGATATTCATCAGACTCGACCGAAACCTTTCTACTCGACTTGACAGCAGCGTTAAAGGAAGAAAAGGTTCGAAGAAATTTTTTTTGCTCAAAAAATTTCAAATTATGCAACAGACTAGTGAGACGAAAATTTTCTCTGTTAATTTGATTCGAGGCTTTTGCGCCTTCCAAAACCCTGAAAGCGATCTAACCAATATCTCATCATGTTTGTCTTACCATGTTACCATGGTTGGAAGAAATTGAATCATAACTTCAAAAAAAGATACGGCCAGGCAATGATCAAGATGAAGTTGTTGAAGAGATTAAAGTATTTGAACATCATCATATCGTCATCTTAACATTTTTCATCGATTTTTTCGAAGTGGTTCGATATCAGGTAAACCCTTCGACAATCCGTCACATCGGAGCACAAATCTCCTCGAGAAGTGCCTCACACGAAACAAAATCCTCTAGAATCCGGCCTTTTCTTGAAAACCTCATCAACTCCCGCAAAGATCTCCAACAGACTCTTCAGGCAATTTACTACTGGGATTTTGTGTTACTCGACTATCCGCTCATATGAATAAAGTTCATTCGTGTGGGGGTATACAATAGATGCTTTTTACATTGCAAGTAAATATACACAAAATGAGTTTGGAAGACGTTCTTAGCACTTGCCAAGAAGATGTCTGGCCTCGCCGATGAGCTCCCGCTCGACGTCGCTCTCCGTCGGCAGGGCGAGCGCTTCGTTCAGGTACTTTTTCGCCTTATTCTGAAAAATAGCACGTATATTGACTTTCATAATGCTAAGAGATCAGAGGTGAGATTTTAAAAAAATATTGAAAATAGAGAAATACCTTCTCTCCCTTGATCTGAAGGCATTTAGCCAGGTAGTAGAGGTTCTCGAGCCAGTCAGACTGCAGATGATAGGCCGCTTCGAAGTCTTCAAGAGCTTCTTCGATCGTCGCCTTCGGCGGAGCGCTGTACAGCATAGTGGCCGCCTGAAAACCATTGAATTTCGAATTTTTTTTTCAGAAAAATCCCGAAATTCTAAAAAAAAAAACGCGAGAGAAACAGTGAACTTCGACTCTTCTCCTATTAGAAACTATATTTTTTAGATTCATCTAGGGCTGCCTATTTTTTTTTGTGATTCAGCCAACCAGGATCATCTAATGTTTATCCGTTCTATAACTTTTTCGCATAAAATCAAAACAAACTTTGCGCTCGAGCCAGGACAGGTTGGCGATGGTGAAGTTGAACCGGCCACGTAGGTGGAGCAACGAGAATTCGTTGGGTTCCATGGCCAAAGCCTCGTCCAACAAATTTTTGAAGTGTCCGCCTTGTTCGATCTTTTCCTTGGTGCCCAGGTAATCGGTCGATTGGCCTGTCAAAATCGCCGCCCATCTCACTGCTTCGAAATGATTGGCATCGATGGCGTGCGCCTCACACGCGTAGTCCTTTCCTACAAATTATACTTGAAATGCTTATTGTGAGCGAGAAAATAAATATACGTTGAGAAAACTGAAATTCAGAAACTCGGAAAAATATTGTGCAAAAGCTGTGGAATAAACTATCTAAACAGACGCACCAGTTTTTAAAATTTCTAAATTTCTGATATTATGTCTTTGTTGCTCGAAAGATTTTTTGGCGATGAGGTTTATTTTTTGTTCAGTCTCAATCTTATTCAAACACCCAGAACTGTAGTAGTTTATTACGGAAAATTATTGAGAAACCTTCAAAGATCAACTCCTTGCGAATATTCTTGGGAGAGCGGTAGGCAACTTCATGGCACAGCCGAGCCAGACGCCAAAGAAGGTCCACGCTTCTCTCTCCCTCGTTATATCTCTTCAAAAGAAAAGAAAAATTTATCCACAAATGAATTACCTTACCTTCTTGAGCTCATCGTAAGCTTCCTTGACACGGTCGGTCTCAAAAATTGCGTCGATTTCATCGTAAGTGAGCTTAAAGCAAATAAATCGAACCCAAACCTTGGAAATAACAACGAACCATTTCGTTAGTTGAAAGTTGTCTTGCCGAGGGTTAGCGAGGAGATGAAGAAATGGGAAAGGCTCGATTGCAACAACAATTTTCCACCAGAAACAAAACATTTTGGCGGCTTAGAAATGACGAAAAGTGTGTGATCTGCAGATGATCGAAACTTATTACGGTAGGGTGATTGGAAAAAGAGTTGCGGACTTGGTGTGCAGACACGGCGCTGAACCTTACGACGCTTCAAAATAATTTTTTTAAAAAAATTTTACAAACAAGTTTTTTTGGCCGGTTTAACCTTTTTTATGGCTCTTTCACTGAATAACACAGAAATTTTTTTGAGGAAATTTTATGATTTTCTGAACCACAAAACTTTTTTGTTCCAAGTAATTTCGCAAACCTCACAGAATAACTCGTTCGAGTCTTGGTTATTTTCATCGTTGAAGACGTCAAAATTTTTTGTTTGTACTTCATTTTCAACGCGATTGTGTAGTTTTAAAATTTGCGTTATTTTTGTTCAAAACCAGTCATGGTTTTGAACAAAAATTTTTCAATTTTTACTTCAAGTAGGAAAGTTTCAGAATAGAGCTGTTGTCATCATGCGTGGCAGGAAACCCGTTTACGATGCTGTTAAAATTGGTTTCGAGCTTTATTAAAAGTTGATATTCCCGTTGTTGTTCATTATAGAAGAGCTCGATGAGTTTGCCGCTGAAGATTGCGGATCTAACGCGGATGAAATCGCAGCGAATGAAGTAAATGTAAGGAAAAATAATTTTTCATTAATTTACTGACTTTTAGATTACGTCATGGTTGAGCCCAGCTCCAACGCCGGCGCGTGGTTTGAACGTATCAGGGACACGGAAAAGAAAGCAACAAACTGGAAAGTAGGTTTTTTCATTACATATTTCATTCATAAAACGTTCTTCAAGAGTTGTGCATATGCTGCACAGACGACGTCAGCCACGACGATCTTGTCGAGTCAAAAATGAGAACAAATATTCTGATGAAGAAGAAGAAACGGAGGAATCGAAAGAAATTGACTGTGAAACAATGGACGAGACCGAAAGTGAACATTTTTTTTTCTTCTGAAAAACTAATTATATCTAGTCCTAGTTTTTTTGTAAAAATTAAAAAAATCATATTTCTGAAGACTAAACCACTATTTTCAAGTTTCCGATATTGTTCTAAGCGGGGTGATCAATAATAAATTTTTCTGCTTGATTATTTCAAAATTTTATTTGAGAGAGTTGTCTTTCTTCAACATGGAACTTATCAAACTGTTCAACATTTTTTTTCCATAAATTCAGACCTTTTTTTTGAGATTACTTAAAAGCGTAGTAAAATTCACGAGAGAACTTTCTATCAGATCATCTATTTCTCAAAATTTCCTTCAAGGAGTCGGACCTTCTCGAGTTTTCGTCAAAAATACCGGGGGAGACATGCATTTCGAATGGCCGATTTGGAGTAACGCGGCCATTCAGCTGCAAAACGCGGCGACGATCATCGGTTCTGAAGCTTCCGAGGTTTTTTCTTCAGAATTTGTTGAGCTTAAAGAATATTTTTTTTTCTTGAAAATATCGTGAAAACAATATCCGTCCATTTCTTATTTTGAACTTATTGAAAATGTGAAATTTTTCTGATCATCAAGTTTTATTCAACTTTTAATTCAATTTCATGTTTTTAGGTCGATTCTGAAAAAGTTTGCGAGACGATTCCCCAAGAGTTCACGAACACTGGAACTTTTGTAGTTAGATTGGCTTCGGACAAGGACGAGGTATAACTAAGAAATGACGAAAAATAACCCAAACGTTTTGAGATTTGGTCCGACGGATTGGGATCGTGGAACCTCGTCGAATCGTCAACTCAGTTGGAATATCCCTTTTTTCGATCTTAATATTCAGTTTTCAGTTATTTCAACTTTGGCCAATTGTATCAAACTCCGTCTACATCTTCACCCGATGATTCACGATCAGTCGAGGTATAAATTTAAAAAATGGAAATAAAAAGAAAACCGTCGTACAAGATTCCAATCAAGAAGACGGACGAACTTTTTTTTACGATGCCCAGAAAATTTAGGAAATTTTGAAAATTCATGGATAATGTTGAGGTTCTCTTCGAAAAGTTCGTCCACCCTGGCACCGACGATCGCGGCGAATTCATCAGGCGGCTGTTCACAGGTGAAAATCCTCGAGCGAACAAGAAGAAAAAAAACAAAGAAAAGTGCATTTGGACCTCGAAAACAAAACTATCGAACAAAGATTTTATTGAAAAACTGATGAATTTTCGGTATTCGATGGAAAAAAATGTTTTTTAGAATGTCATTTCCGTCATGAAAGGATAGCGATTTAGAACTTCAGAAATCGAGACTAAGGTCGATTCTATTCAAGTAAAATTGTTTTTCGATCTATTTTTTTTTTTCAACTTTTGGTGGAATACAGCCGACGTATGCTTGTTATTTAAATGATACAGTCGTTGGTGAGAAAAAAAGCTCCTTTTAAAGGCGCATAACTTTGCGTGAACAAAATAGACACTTTATACGGCTTTTTCTTATGGGATACAGCACAAAAAAATTTTTCAAAGAAATTTCATTAAAACGAAGAAAGACGGGACTAATAAGGAACAATAAGTTCGAGGTTTCTATTCCGAAGGCCCGAAACTGTTTGGTACGAATCGAGTAGTTGATTGAGTATGTGTTCATTTATTAGTTTTTACGGATTGCAGGGTACGACAGCGAGCACAGACAGATGAGCCACGGAGTGGTGAGCTACGAATGGATCGGCGAGCCTCATCCGATTGACGTCACCGCAGCTCCCGAACCTCTTGGCACTTTTCCCAAGGTTTGACCGTCCTTGAATGAGATATCCTCCCTTTTCTGCAGAAATCCGACAAAGATGAGAAAGGGATGCACGAATTGCCGGTCTTGAGTTGGGAAATGTTGGATTTCGACACGGCAGTCTCTTTGTTGCTGTCTTTCGACGAGAAATTGACGACGTCAGTTTCACGTTTTATCAATGCTTTTTTTTAAATTCTGAAACACATGTATAGTTTTTTGTAGCGGATGAATTACTTCATTATTTTAACCAAAGCTAAAGAAAATTTTTTTGAATTTCTAAAGTTTAAAGTTTGAACTTCTCATGCCAACTTTGTGTGGCGCTGCAATTCCAAGTTCGCCGCAGTTTCAAAAACTTCTTAAGATGCCAAGTTTTCTCAAAAACCAGGTGAAATTTTAGAAAAGAGAAAAAAATGCCGTATTTTTCCCTGACGCTCTCTCTTCTCTCACCTCGACCAAAGCCCCGCCTCCAAGGGCGCTCTCCCCCTCATCTCTCTTTTTTCCTTGTCCTCGGACTCTTTGCCGCCTGGGGGCTTTCCTATCGATTGCCGCCGACGTTTTTTTTTCTTTTCGTCGTGTTGAACGGACTTTCACTTGGATGGTTCTGTTCTTACTTTCAGAAAAAAATTTTTTTCTTATAAATTTTTTTCGCTTTTTTTCTTTCTAAAAAAACTCAATGATCTCGTAGACACCTTTCTTCTCAAAAATAAAAGAAAATTACGCCATTTTGTCTGCAAAGTATGCATGACGTCATAAATTTTTTTTTTGAAAATTAAAGCAGTCTTTTCTTCTATTTCAAAACGTTGGTTTTTTTTTTGAGTTTCACACGATCAATCGTGTTCAGTACAATGAATATAATCATCGAAGTCAAAGAAAAAAAAAACACTAATTTTATATAAATTTTTTTTTCGTAGGTCTAAGGCAAGTGTGTAACTTTTTGACCCAACTTTTCGTAGTTTTGAGGCTAATGAATCAGCTTTTCACAATGATACTCTATTTTTTCGAAATTCAGTTTCTGGGCTAGTAATCTCCTTTCATAAAGCTCATGATCACTCAACAGTTCTACGAAAAGATTTTTTTTCCCCAAATTCGGTCTGTTTTGAAAATAAAGTTTCCAAGAGACTTCGTTGTTGAAAATTTCGAAATATGATATTTTCATTCTGAATTGTGATCTCAATTTTTTCTTTTCTAACATCTGCAGTTGTTCAAAGTTACCTCGCTTCGAGTGCGTTTTCGATCGCTGTGTTATATTTGTGACTTTTTCTTTCTATTTCTCTTGCGAAAAGTTTCGCAAACGATTTTCGGGGCGTTTTCTTTCCAGAAAGTTATTTGAGTGGGGTTTTCGTTTTGATAAAACTGGTTTTCGGAAATCAAATGCCCTGAAAAGGCTGAGATTTTTTTTTCGGTTAGTGAGTTTTTTTGAAAGTGAAGAAAATTTAGAAGGTTCTATTTGCGCCCAATTTCCACAGTTAAAAAGCTTTGAAATGTTCAAAGTTAACCGTTTTAGGCGAAATCAAAAGAAGTTACCCTGTAGATAAAAATTTTCACGCTATAGATTGGAAGAAGTCGATAAATGAGTTAGAATTATATATAGTGAAATAGGCAACCTTCATTGGAAACCGCCTTGTGGATGCTGCTGTAAGGACGTCATTTCTTTGAAATCCCTGCTCGCAATTTATCTATCGTAGCCGATCAAAGACCCCTTCTCATTACTGTTTACGTCATACATACACATTTGTAAACCGATTCTAATAACGAGCGAAATTTGCAAGACACCAACTGGTCCGAAATAGATTAGACAAGTGGAGTGTCACGTGAACACGAGAAACAGCCAAGGCCAATCGAAACAACAACCAAATTCTCAACTTTTACTTCGCCATTTCGTTTTAAATTGACAGAAAAACGACCACTTCGTGAAAAATTCTCTAACTTTGTTTAATTTTGGAAATTACTCTAAATTTTTTCAGTTTCACAAATCAATCTTTTAAAAATTATTTTGCGAAGCCACCGTTTTTTTCTTGAAAAAAAGTGTCCCATTTCAGGTACGGAAGAGAAGTTCCACAAGGAGTTAGAGAGGCTGTGAGCTTCGCCTTGGACTTGAGCGAATGCGGCGGCGAACGGGCGCTTCAAGTCGACGGAAATTTCTGGCAAAGGCCCTCCGGAGCCAACCGGTCCGTCGAGCTTCTCTCATCTCTCTCTCTCTCTTTCTTTCTCTGTCTCTATGATTTTTAGAGGCTCTCTTGGCTTTTCTTTGATTGGAAGGCGGAAATCATAGATTGTTTGTTTTGCCGATTAATCTGTTTCGGTTAGTTTTGAAGCTTCTGACAAGTGGGCTCCGGAATAAAAAAGAAGTGGTTTGGTGTTTTAATGGATACCTAATTTGACATTTTCCGAAAAGAAAGTCAATTTTTTAAGTTAATTTAGAGATTGTGTTGTTCAGGACTATAAGTGATAAGTAAAACACAAAAAAACAAAACAGCTCTTGGTTGATCAAAAAAATTTTTAGAAGTTTGTGAAAATGATTTTTTTGCATCGTTTAAACTCATTCGGAAGTATTAGAAAAAAAAAATTTGCTATAAAAAAAACTTCCTTATTGATTTCTGTGGCTCGACCTACGTAAAACATAATTGAACCCATCATAGATTAAGCGTCAATGTTTATCAGACGGTATTGAGACGTTTGCGTTCGCCCTTTGCCATTTATCAACACCCCAAGATTAGTTTATCTTTCTTATCAATCAGTTTTTCGATTTCGTTGAAAAGCAGTTCACAAATATGAGGAAAGCTTTATTTGGCATCCATATTTCATGTTTAAAAAAAGCTGTCAGACAATTTTTATGAATTTTAACTAATTTCCTGGACTGTAGTTATTTCATTAAGTTCACCGTTTTCAATATCTGACATTTTATCATAAAAAATTATTTTTCTTATCCGTCCAAGTTGTTCTTCTGAATTGTTCAATCAATTCTTGTTTCTCTTCCTGATTCTGCAACGTCTTTTTTTAAAGGTACTACTGGCTGGCAGGACAAGGCAAAAAACGGAGACTTCGTCGTGCCACGACCGAAGACTTTGATGTGCAGGTTGGTGGAAATGCGGAGGTCCGCCCGTTTTTGTGTGGAAGGGTGCGCGCCAACTGTTTGTCAGCCGGGTGTTCGTTTGTCAGCTGCTGGATTTCTGTTGGTCATGTGAAATCGCGGCTTTTCTCCTTCCTTTTTTTTCCAAGTTTCCATTCAAGTTTTCCTCGATGCAAAATCTTTCTGATGAAGAAATAACATTAGTTCCACACTTTTTGAAGACATTGTAGGATGATTTCGAAATAAACTTGGTCATCGGATTTTTGATCGTCTTCAGAAATAGTATTCACAGGATCGGTGATATTCATGACAGTTTGTGAAAAAAAATTGAAAAGATTTTATTGATAATGGGACAACTTGAGAATCACAACCGGCCGTGAATCAACTATTATCCTTTTTTCATTTTTTTTTTCTCGCGCTTTTTAAGTTTGGTTACTCGGACAAAAAAAAAGTTTCGCACAGAACGTTTAGGATCCACAAATAGCTTTTCTGAGTTATTTTTTAAAATTCTTTTTTTTTCCAAGATCTTTTTCTTGTTTTATCTTGATTATAATCTGAATCTGTTTGCCTTTCTCGTTTATTTTTAGCTTTAAGCTTACTTTCTCATGAATAAACAGCATAAAATTGCCTTGCAGCGGTCGTATTGGCCGTTTGAAAAGGTTGGGAAAGTAGACTTTTTTCAGCTTTAAATATCTCTTACATTTTTTTTATATTTCTAAACCCATCAATATTTAGAATCGACAATTCATCCTCCAGAAACTGGTTATTCCCTTGATTCTTATCGAAATAACTCAAAGAACACCTGTACATATCGTTTGACGATCGACCTGAAAAAATAGGGGTTGTTGATCAGTGGAAAAGATGAAATCATTTGTTTTTTTTTTATTTTGCGCCATATTTTAATGTGGACTGATTTCTTTTTCCAATGGGGAAGAATATTGCGGTTGCGTGTATATGAAAGAAAGACATCTCCTTTTATGAAAGTTTGTTGAGAACTGAAATGAACGAGTTTGAAATAAATCTCTTCCCTGTTTTCATTTCATTCAAGGTTCTAACCTGACTCGAAATTTCAAGGCTCTTGAAATTTTCGTTTTTTATGAGGAACGTTTTTGGGTTTTTTCCTGATACGAAGTTTCCAAATTTGAAGAAAAGTGCATTTGTTTTTGGACTTTTCCAAAAGTAACGTTGTTTTAGCAAGTTTTTTCTCTCCTCAAAATCTCAAACAATCAAAAACTCGTAAAGTTCGTGAATATCCATTTTTCAGGTGACATGTCGCCGATACATGGGCCAACAAGAAACTGTTTCGCAAGAACTCATTAGAAAAATCTACGTGGTGAGGTATTCTGAGCACACGAGCCATCACTTGCCTTTGCCGAATGAACACTTGATTCTCCTTACCTACGGTTTTCGACGTCCCACGGTCACTGTTCTGCTGGTGGGTTCATTTTTCGAATAGGTGATGATTCAAAAGACCATTTACCTGCTCCAAATAACAGAAAAAACGCTAAAAGTAGGATACTGTAGCCTGCGATCGGTAGACTGTGTTTGCAGACGAAACATTTTATTCGACGTCAGTTACCGAAATTTTGAAAGTTAAAAAAGTTGTTTCTTTAAGTTTTTATCTAACTTTCAAGTTTTTCAAAAGCCTTTTTGTCTTAAGAAATAGCTTTTTTGAAGTCTCAATTCTAGTTTTTCAGCAAAGTGAGAAATTGGTTTTGCCGATTCCCACTGGTGGCGTACGACTTATTGAACAAGAACCTCCGGCCATGTTAGTTTTCGAATTTTTAAGATTTAATTATGAGTGGATTTTCAGAGGAGTAGGCTATGAGGATCAAGAGGAAGAAAATTGTGAGTTTTTTCGATACGAAGCTTTCAGAAAACATTCAAAAAGGAATCAGAATGACTTTTTTTCGGAAATTTATCCTTGTGTTTCAGCAAAAGAGATCAAAGACTTGAAAAAGAGGATTTCCGTGATGAAGTTGGAAAACTACGATCGGATAGAGTATTTGGTTGAAAGAGCCCAGGAAGTGATAAAGAAGTTGAAAGAGGTGATTTTACTCATTTATCTGGTTTTACTTCATCCCTTATCCAGGAAAATACGCCTAAATCGTTACAAAAAGTGGGCGAACTCGAGCAGGGAATCCTCATCGGCCAATCCCTGCGATCAGCCATTTCCACTTTTGATTAACTTTTAGATTTTTGTACATATTGCCCATAAATCTTCTCACTTATTTGGATTATTTTTTTGTTTCAAAACGTTTAAACGTTTGGAGTACTTAATTGTCTTTTATGATTTATTTTTGAAGAAAATTTTTTGCAGCTTTCAATCTCAACCCAACTTATTTCTTTCATTTTTTTCTTCAAATAGAGTATTCAATATCAAAAATGACGACACCCAGCCGTAGACGTTTGATGCGAGACTTCAAGAAACTCCAGGTTTGATTTTTCGAAGTTTAAATATATTTCCTCCGGCCATTTTTGATCGTCCAAATAGTTTAGTTTTCAAGGAACTTTTGCCTTGATCATAAAATCAAATTTTTTTATCCGTGTTTTTTTCTTCTGTGCATATAAAGTAATTTATTCCTATTAGAAGAAATGTAGTGGCTGCTAGTAAGCTTTGTGAAAACGCCATCAATTTACAAGTATTTTTCAGTATTTCTTTCTTGTAGTAATTTTCTGTAGTTGTATGTAAAAAGTGAAATTTATACCAAGAGACAGTTTCTCAATTTAATTTTTGTTTCTTTTCAGGAGGATCCACCAGCGGGCGTTTCGGGTGCGCCCACGCAAGATAACATTCTAACTTGGGAGGCCATAATTTTTGGACCCCAGGAGACGCCTTTCGAAGATGGAACTTTCAAGGTAATATCTAATTCGATTTTGTACTCTCTTATTCGTAATAAAAAAGACTTTTATATTAATCTCTACAGAAAATTAGGGATGTTTTTTTTTTCGAAAATTGATTTTTTAAAGCTATCTCTGGAGTTCACGGAAGAGTATCCAAACAAGCCGCCAACGGTCAAGTTTATCTCGAGAATGTTCCATCCAAACGTCTACGCCGATGGATCCATTTGCTTGGATATTTTACAGGTTTTCAAACATTTTTAGTTCGTTCTGGACATGAAGCGTTTCTTGTTTCTTCAATGTGATGGCTTTTATTTTCTATTTGCACTATTTATATATTTGTGTTCATTTTCCGAATACTTTCTTGACTATTCTTTTGATGTTCAAAAATTTGCTTGTAAAAAAACTTCCAAAAAAACTGTGGTTCAAAAATAAAAAAATCATTAATTTTTTTCAATGAGCCCTTTTTTTCGATTTTTTTCCATATCACTGTGAAACTTTAGACTTTTTTTCTTTTTGTTTTTTTCCTGTTTTTTTCCGAGTTTTTTTTGCTTGTTTCTACTTGTTTTTTTATCATAATCTCACTGAATAGTTTGTTCTAGGGTGTTTTAATTTACGAAAAAAATATTCGTAAACGTTTTTTTCTCGGAAAGGAAAAATTGAAAAATTCGCTATTGGAAATTTTTTTCTAATCTCTATAATGCTTTCGAATAACACCACATTTTTTTGTGATTCATATACACGTATACTGACCAGTTTTGGTGGTTTTTTTTTGATGGAACTTGCTTTAATTTCAATAGGAAAAAAGAAACTTGAATCTCCTAAATAATATTTGGTATTCCGGAAAGGAAAAGTTCGTTTCAGAATCGGTGGTCGCCAACGTACGACGTGGCGGCTATTCTGACGTCGATCCAGTCGCTTCTCGACGAGCCGAACCCCAATTCTCCCGCGAATTCGCTCGCCGCACAGTTGTACCAAGAAAATCGTCGCGAGTACGAGAAACGCGTCTATCAGATCGTCGAACAGGTAGAAATCGCTAATTAAATGAAGCTGCATCGTTTGAAGTCGCACGAGCTCTAGATCAGCACTGGAAAAGCATTTACGCTGCGTCACCTTTATCATTTTCTTCTATGCTTCTTCAAACACCCCAAAAAGCTTATGAAAATCGAGTTTACAAAACATTTTACCAGAAGCCAACTTTTATTTGACCAAAATCAACGCTCAAAATATGAGTGAACAAATTAACAATCAGGAAAAAAAGCTATGATTATTTTTTGCGATTTTGTATTAGAAATTTTCGGATTGTTGACAATCGGAAATCATATCAATATTATTTTTTCCGCAGTTCATTTAGTACTTTTAAGCTAGGAGTGAAATTCTTGATAATTTTTTCAAAGGTTTTGACAGTATAAAAAATAAAGCTCGTGGTTGTTACGCTTCTTTTCTCGCTTCAGCTTTTAATTACCTATACGGGGAAGGGAAAGTTCAATATAAAATAAAACTTTATAGCAGTTGTTTTCAATAGAAAAAATGCGTGATTGATAGAAGCGAAATAATTTCAACGTGAGTCAAAGAAAGTTTTCTTTAGTTTGGAAGTTGATGAGTTGCAAAAATTATTTGACATGGCGGTTCCTAATATTCTCTACAAGGGTTGACTGTGCAGGCGAATCATTGAGCCGAATGACGTGTTATCTGTTTGCAGAGCTGGATGAACTTTGGTGAGAACGAGGGCGACATGGAGCCGAAGGAAGGAGAAGAGCAAGGCGCCGGAGACGAGCCCGCGGCTCCGAGCGGCTCCAACTGAAATTTTTTCTTCCCTCTCCCGAAGTAACGCTAGAATTGTATCATAAGTGGTCCCATTCAGTCCGGTGTTCTGTTTTTTTTTTTTGGAAGTCAGATCAAACTTTACGTTCGAATATGGTCTCTATTTATCTATATCTTTGTTATTTTTTAATTTTTTTTTCTGTAACTTTTCGGCAGCTCGATTCTCCCAAAAATAAATCCTTTGTACATATATGCAAGTACCCACAGAGATCGCGATTCTGGGAATCGCTCGATTCGAGAATTTTACTGTAAATTTCAATTTTATCAATACGGTAGATTGCAACTTCTTTGATAGTGCCGGTCTCTTCCTTCATTTTCTTTTTCTTTTCATTTTTTGGTTTTTGTTTCAATTTTATCCCCATCTCACGCATATTTTCCTTTCTATGTGTGTGACGTATTGATCAAAAAGTAATTTTGTCTGCCCATTAATTTTTTTTTCTAGTTTTCTTTTCTATTGTATACCTGTTGCGCGTACTGTCGAGAATAAAGTTTGTAACGAGGTTTGGTTGTTTTGTCATTGTGAAGAAGAGTTTCGTTATTAACAGTTTGTGGATCAGAAAAAAAAAGTTTTCAAGAAATAGCATTATTTTTGGATCACTGTAGGAAATATCGCCCACGAGCAACTTGTATGCAGACCAAGCACTACAAAAGACGAGCAAAAAGATTTACTTTTTTTCAAAAAAATAAATTTTTCTTTCATATATCGAAAACTTTGAATACAGTTAAACATATTTTTTTCCAAGCTATTCTTTTTCTCTTTTTTTATTATTTTTTTAAAATTTAAATAGACGTATCCCATGAGTTATTTATGTTTTTTTATACACATTATAAACGCGCAAGTACTGAATTCCAACTTTTTGTTTTATATTGAAGCGTTAGTTTGATCGATCGATAGTTGGAGAACTCAGAATTTCACGGCTCGAGTTTTTTCTCCAAACACACCTCTTCGAATCGAAGAAAATTTAAATGGAAAAAAATGTGTCTCTGTGGAGCGCAAGTGCCGATCAATTTGTCGTTTCCCATCGCTAAATTTGTTTCTCCTCGATTCAAGGCATCCGTAATCGATTTCTGTTTTCGCGCACACTTTTCTCAGTGATTATGATTGTCTGATGTAATGTTTTATATTCAGCGCGGCAGAAGGATGGCGGTGAGCGCGGAGATTTGAGTGTGGTGCCTCGAGAGGCGAGGAGAGCACAGGGGCGTGTGTTTGTGTCCGCGTGTGAGCGTGTTTTTTTCGTCCCGGCGTTCAGTTTTGGCCACCGCCGCAGCCGCCACTTCTTCTTCGTTTCGCCAGTCCTCCGACGGCAAAAAGACGGAATGGCGTCGACGTCGACGGCTCTTGTGCCACCGACGCCTCCAGAGGCTGTCAGGAACTTCCGAGCTCGCTTCATCGCCAAGTGCATGCCGGAGAACGTAGGGACCACAGAGACCGACGGCAGCGAGTTGTACAAGGTAATCCTGGCCTTCTGTAGAGACTGCACCCCCTTTGAAGGAAGTCAGTAATAACCGTATCGATTTTTCTTGAGCTGGGGATTGGGTACATCTTTGATGATTATTTTACAATGTACAGCCTTTATTTTGGAAAAGGTGGGAATAAAAATCAGGAAATTACAAAAAAAGCTTATTGGATTTTTATTGAAAGGACTCTGAGAAATGACGCCGTCAAAAATATCTTATTACAGATTTTGCGATCGATTGCCGTAATAGAAGCGCAAATGTAAAGTTATTTTCTACTTTGCCGTAGAACTTACTTTACTTTCCTTCCTTTAGAAATGTTTATGAAAGGGATTCAATCTGGAATAGTTTAGAAATATTCAATCATTAAGCGTTATTGATTTTTAGAAGTTTCATGATTTTAGACGATTAACAGCGGCAAGGAGATTGACAGAACTCAGCTCATCAACTATTCATGGCAATACTCGATCCCACAGAACTTGCGCCTCCTCGTTTGGAAGCTTCTTCTCGGTTTTCCATATATATCATTCTCTCAGAAAGCTGAATTCAGGAATTTTGAGCGAAAATCTGGATATCCGCGAGATATTGGAACGGGATAGAAAACTGGAGGTTCTCAACTGAGTGAAGAACTTTGGAAAAAGTTTATTTTTAAAGGCGGAAACTTATTTTGACGGACTGCGCTCGTGGCGTCGGAACGAAGGAGCCAGGCTTGAATCCGAAGCGACGCCCACAACTTCCGACATTTCTTCGTGAGGATCTTTTTCCACCAAATATAGAATCTTCACGAAATTTTCGAAAGATTTTTCTTCCATGTCATGCGAAATTTTCTTCCTGAGAATTAAAGAGAACGCTTGCTTTCAAAACTATTGAATAATCAAACAAGGTAGTATTAGGTTTTAGTTTATGTTCTTTCTGGGTTTTTTTGACGTCTATTTTGTTCCTGGTGAGAACTTCACACAAAAAATGAAAACTTTGTATGTTGCTTTTTACGAAAAAAAAAATTGCTCAACACACGTGGGGACAAGATATTCGAAAAGGACACTGATCCAGGAATTTTTGTCTTTTTTTGATACTAATTCGCAGTAGAACATGATAGGCACTACAGTAACCCAGAAGAAATGAGATATAATCAGAACAGAGAGGAAATTTGACGCGATAACGTTCCAACCGGTAACCTCCTACCGCCGAAATCAAATTGATGTGCGAAATGATTACTTTGAAAAAAAAAGAAACTGGTTTCAGGATGATTCTCCTGTCGCAGAACCGTCTGTGCGACGATCGAACTCGTCACCAGAGTCGCTGTATGCGTGTTGAGGCGGTTCGTTGCGTCGAGAAGAGTACACTTTGAGAAAAGAAAGCTTCCATTCCGATTCTGAGCAGTGAAATGGAGGAAAAAATAACCTCCAAAACATTTAAAAAAAGGGGATTTTTAGTTTTCTTCTGTAGAATCCTTTCGAGAGTTTTGAAAGCTTAATTTTCATGTTAAATTATTTTAAACGCATTCTCTCACACTGCGTAAGTATTACAAGGTTTTGGAAGTACTTAAGCCTAATTTATCCTATTATTTGATTGGTAGGAAACATTTTCAGCTCGTCGCCAAGGTAGAGACAATCTGTCGCGATTGCTGGTACTCAACGTTCGCCATTTCCAAACGTCTCGTCGCCCTGATCGAGAGCAATTTCCCGCCGAAAATGCTTCTGTTCGCCGTTCAAGAAGTTTCTTTCGAGCATATTCCGTTGTTTCATTGTGTTATGTTCGAAGATTGGGGAAAGTCTCAACTCGTTGAATCGAAACAAGGAAAAGGCCGACCGACTGCCCGATTTCACTACGTCGACCTATGCAGCGGTGAGATGGCGGCTTTTGAATGATTTTTTGGATTCTCGCAATTTTGAATGGAAAATTCATTAAGAATTTCTCAAAAACTGCAATAGTTTGAAATCGTTAACGCTATCGATTTTTCTGTATCAAAAAAGTTACAGGACATCGAAATGTTCTTGCTTTCTGGTGGCTGCGCTTTGCTGAAGAGTGACCGCGCCGCCCATTTGTTCGTTTTTTTTTTTCAATCTTCGATAGAGCTGATATTTTTGTTCCATTCTTTGATTTTTGAAATGGATATTCAGGCTTTTGGACAAAATCTGTACTGGTCGGAACGTCGCTCTTTTGATTGTCACGTTTGTCTCGGATTATATGGCTCTTCAAGTGAAGTTCGACGTTGAGGTTTGTCTTCTCTTTCGAGTTGAAAAATTATTTTTCATAAATTAGAAATGAGGGGTTTGAACAAGGGCAGGGATTGAAAATATCAAAAAAAAAAAACAAAATTCTGATAAGCAAAATTCGGTAAACTGTCTTAACCTTGTGAGATTTGAAAACAGCAAACAGATTATCGTAAGAAAATGTAAATTGGGCCTATGGCTTATGAATATCTGATTAAAGAAACGACGTAGTAATACCGGAGGCTTTAGCCGAATTTTTCTAACCGAGTAAGCAAGAGAAAAAGCTTTTTTAAATAAGGAAGCTGTTCAGGCGGAGAAGCGCCGGATGACGGAGGAGAACGAGTGCAAACTGGTGCGGCACGTCATCGAGAAGGTCGTTCAGACCAACAACGGCAAGTACCGCGGAGTCCGCTGCGATTCCAAGTTCACCTCGGCCCTCCCCTGAGACCCATTCATTCAGCATATCATATTTAAAAAAAAAGGAAAAAGCTTTAATCCACAATAATATCTGTTATTTTTTCATTTTACTCATTTTCTATTCTTACTCGCTAGATCTTCACTTTATAGTTAATCCAAAAAAAAAACAACGGTTCCTTCCAAACTGGTTCCTCCGTGATCCCATTTCTAGTATCTTGTTACTTCTTCTTCCTTCCATGTTACCAAAGTCGTTAAGTGGCCATTTAAGTGTTCCCCCTGCTCGCTTTATTATCGTTTACACGTTTTTAATAAGACGAGTAATAATAAAAAGGCAGATGGATTTTTTTCGAGTATGTTTTCATTTCGATACATTTTATTGGTTGGATATGCTCACGCGGCATTACTCGAAGCTCAAAGGTCGGCGTTTGTGCTCTATATGACTGAGATGTCATCTACAACGCATTTTTCTTTTTAGACAAATTATTACTTACTTAGTTAGAAGAAGCTATCAATTATTCAAAAAAAAGGAGAAAATCTCAATAAACTTACTTTTCAGCCCTAATAGAATTTCGGGGGGAAATTCTTAAGACATTATTTACCACCAAAGTTTTATTGAGAATCATTACTTTCATACTTCCTACTTTTGAGTTTCCCGTCATTCGCTACCGAAAATTCAAAAATGAGGTATTGAAGTGCACGTTTCTCTATTGGTTGCGATGCATTGAGAACGATGATCGGAACGCTCCTTTGTGGGAGACGCGTGCGATTTCGATAGATGACGTAATAGTTGGCTGGGAAAATGCCGGCAGCGGGCATCTGTCGAACTCCTTTCAGGACATGCTCTCTTAAGGAGCCACTAAAAGAATTATCGGAGGGGGACTGTTGGACTGGACGAAGCAGGGAAACACGCTGTCGTTGCCTCAGAAGGTCTTCTTCGAGAAGAACGGCTTCCTCGTCGTCAACGAATGCGTCAGACAGCAGGACATTCAGCGATATCGCGACCACTTTCAGGTAATTCAAGGAAGGCTCAATGATCTCCCTATGTTTTTTGGCCATTTGCGAAAAGAAGGTGTCGGTCGCGAGAAGCATGACCGTCATGAAGGATGTTTCCATCAAAAAGTCAGAGTTTGAACACAGTTCGTTTATTGTTTTTTGTTTTCACAATGCTATAAAAGTCCAGGCGAGAAAGCGATCACGAAAATTCAAGACTTTGCCGATGATCCCGTCCTTTTCGAATATTGCAAAAATGATAGTGTGCGTTTTCTTTGAACTCGTAGGGCTCAACATTATCCGTTCAGATAGTCAATGTTGTGAAGGATTTGATCGGCGGACCCGACTCCAATCTGATGGCCATGCATACGATGCTCATAAATAAGCCGCCGGACAGCGGTGAGTCGCTTCGGACGCGTTGCGGATGCGCAGCGATTATGACGTCATTATGATAGTTTAGTACAAAGATTGGCATATTTACTGCTCTTCTAAAGTATTCCAGAAGTTTTTTGAGTCATTTCAAGAAAAGTACTTACTCTTATAATTTATTTAATTCACACTGGTTCTCAATAACGTCTTTCGTTGAAGGATCTTTCAAACGAGTGATCTATAGTCTGTTCAGATTTTGAATGTCAACCAGCTAACTCCGCCTCTGCTGAGACGGTACCTTTTCGCGTCGATGTTTTATCGCGCGGGACAATTTTTGATCTTTTTTGATCTAAAAGATAGAAAAAGAAGTCAAAAATGCAGCCTTATTAAAGGGCCATCGTCATCTGTAGATAAAACATTGACGCGAAAGATATTGTAGCCTTGGGGGTGGAGTTAGCTGCTTGACATTTAAAATCTGAACAGACTATATGACTGACTTGTTTGAAAACTTGAAGTGATGGTTTCGACGAAAAACAGTGTGCAAAAAAAAAGAGATTTAGACGTCTCTGTAGTACTTTTTGTTAGCCGCGATGTCAGAAATGCCGAAAAAAAAAAATTTTTACTATTGAAAAGGAGAAAAAATTAACTTCAGGAAAACTGACTTCAAGGCACCCGCATCACCAAGATTTGATCTACTTCCCCTTCAGACCTGCCGACTTTATTTGTTGCGCTTGGACCGCCATGGAAAAAGTCTTTTCTTCCTTCTTCGTCGTATATTTTCTGAATTGGCTCGCAGATTACGAAAGAAAACGGCTGCCTGGAAGTGGTACCCGGCTCGCACAAGCTAGAGCTTCTCCCTCATGGTTATCCGGATTGGGAGGTCTAATTTGTCCTTATTCCAATTTCGAGCTCGAAAAGAAGTCTTAATAGTAAATGACCCAAAATTTTCTCACAAAAATAACCTCAAACTTTTCCTTCATTCAGGGCGGCGTCAACAAAGCCTACTACGGTATCCAGAATTACGATCCGAGCATGGAGCGTGTTTTTGTGGAGATGAACCCAGGAGATACAGTTTTCTTCCATCCAGTGCTGGTTCACGGATCCGGAGCCAATCAAACCAAAGGTGCTTTTGAAGAGATTCATATTATTCTATGACTTGATGGTTAGAAAAAAAGATTTTTGCATATTAGGGCTCCGGATTTAGAGCTTTTTTTTATCTCGAATCTTGTTCAACATTTCCTAAATTAGTTCATTAAGAACGGAATTCCCACTTCACATATGAAATGAGTCCATCAATTTATTGAAGGCTATCGGAAGGCGATATCGTGCCACTACGCCAACGACGACAAGTGTCACTACATCGAAGTGAAAGGCACCCAACAAGAGGTCAGAAAAGAGATTGATTTCTTTTTTTTACCTAGCGCGAAATTTCATCTTTCAGCAAGTCGGTGATGAAATCGTTGAAATGGTACGTAAAAACGCGCAAAAGTTTGGCTTGAAAGACGGCGAACATGTCGATTTCGCGGTGGGGCATTCTTTCTCAAAACGTCGAGGCTATATTTTTTTTTTGCAGAAAACTTGGCGTCTCCGTGGTCGTCCAATTACCGGAAAGAGACGGAATTTGTGACATAGAACATTCTGTTCACGTGGAAAATAAAAGTTACAAAATTTCATTAAACTTGCAAGAACATGAAAATTCACAGAGATAACTACAAAATGGATAAATAGTTACAAAGAGGCCCGTAAGGCGTGGAAGTCGAAAGGTATCAATTCGCAATAACACGTAGAGGTAACCCTGAAACTTTTTGGATCCAACTGGGTTCATCGTGGAGAATAGGTGGTAGGATTTAATTTTTGAAAGTTTTCTTTTCGCTTTATCAAACGTTCTTAGCACAGGTCTTGGCTGTTCTTTGGCAATGAAATTATCATTTTTTCTCATTCGCTCATATATCAAATAGTTGGTGCATGAAATACTTGGGATCTCTAAGAGGAAGTCAGTTCTTACACCAGTCGCATACCTCAATAGGCCATGTGCTGCTGTATGAGGTCGGTGTAGGCCTGCCGCTGGAGGTCGTTCATCCCGTTCTCAACCATCTCCGGCGTCACGTCGCTCAAGGGCACCTTCCGATCGCCGACGTCGACCAACTCCTCTTCTTCCTCGTCCTCGTCTTCCTCCTCTTCGTCCTCCTTGAGCTTCTTGGCTTCAGGCTCGCCGTTGCTGGCCGCAGACGTCGGCTCGGCTTCGACGCCCTCGATCTCAGCGAGCATGTGCAGAGATAAGCCGCCTTTCTCGGCTTCCTTGACCACTCTGAAAGATGACAACCAAAGTTGGTGTTGATCAAGCGTCAATTCCGACTTTTCTCCGAACTCGGCTTCGCCCAGACCATTGGTGCCTCCGATCGCGTCGTCCTGTAGCCACAGAGGCACTTCTTTCGCTTCCTCCACTTGTTTTCTATAAAAAAAGTTTGAACTTTCAGAGAATATGAATCAGCTTTTCAATTTGAGTTTAAGATATATTTTTTTTAACTTTCCATTTCAAAACGAACTTGTTAATGTCGGCATTGAGATCAACCGTGATCTGGTCGCCATGGGCGTAGTTGATGGTGGCCGCAAAAGAATGGGCGCTTCCTCCGAGCTGAGCTCTTGGCGCCGCCGATGTGAAGTCCATCTGCTGTTGTTGTTGATCTAAAGTCATTTTGACTTCTTTGTCCGACAAGAAAAAGGCTACTTTTAACGTCCTCCTCCAAAAACTTGTTTATATCCGGTTCCAGAAGATGTGGTGCCAACTGAACGCCGTTTAGCTCCTGTATCCTTGCGAACAACGGCGTCATTTGCTCGTTGAACCGCGCTACGGCCGTTCTGAAGTTGGCTTTTCAAAAAGAAAGCCTGTCAGTGATCATAATGAGTGAAATTAAAATTTCTCCGAAAAACAATCTTGAAACGCTAAAATTGAAAGTTAACATGAAATTATTGAAATGAATTTTCAAGTGGTCACTTGAGGGATACGAACCGCGTCAATTGTGATGGCGCGACGCTCTCGTCGGCTGTGACTTCATTATGACACCGCCAACACCTGAGCTGTCCTGTCATGGGGTCGAGAATTCGAGGAATGTCGAGGAGCTTGAAATGGTGAGGTTAAGAATCAGAATAAACACCGGAAAAGACGATCTGCGAAGTAAGATTTTCAAAAGTTGAATCCGGAAGACATTTTTCCACAAGATGTTTTCAAAAAGGAAAGCTCACAATACGTCAAGAAGATTTATTTTAGAACTGTATAAAAAATACCTCGTATCGACTACTGCAATGGTTGCATTTATAATGTGCCTGATTCATGTCGTCTTTCTCGCGAGATTCCAGCTTTTGTCTGAATTCATGATGGTATTTTCGAATCTTCCATTCGTTATCACCTCATGTGGTCAATCTTATACCGCAAGACGTTCAAAACGGCGCGGTAATTGATGAAGTAAAAGATAATGGAAACCTGGGAATTTTTAATTCGAAAAACTTTATTTTTTGATGAAAAACGAACATTTCTACCGTTCTCATTCTTCTGCGATAACAACCGCTCTTTCACCAATTTTTCGCCCTTCAAATTCGCCAGCAACTAAAAAAGGAATATTTCATTCAAAAAAGTGACGAAAAAACCTGTCTTAGTTGTTTCTGGTCGAAATTCAAGCGACTCCGCAGATTCTCTTCCCGAATACATTCGGCCCGCATAATGTAGTACACCACAAGAAAGTGTTCCTTCAAAGAAATACTATGGTAAAAGATTTCTTTCTTTTTTTCTCCTAATATAGTAAAACTTTTCACAGAATTCTTTTTCACGGACAATTTTCATCGACTAGCAGTTTTCCTGGATATGCAACAGGACAAAACCTTCAAGTTTTAACTATGAGAACTGCATTGCCTTCTTCTCTCCTCTTTAAAAAATCCCTATCGACAAATTAAACAAACTTAATTATCTGTGAAAATCATGAACCGGACCTTTTTGATATTCCACAGTTGACCAATCCCATCAAGTAATAACTTGAAACTCTTTAAAAAACTCAAAATTATTTGAAATGTCAAACCACTGACATTCGTGAAGAAATTTTTGACGACAAGCAGTAGAATGTGATTCAATGTTTCCGGGATCTGAAAAATTAAGTTATCATATAAATCAAATTTTTTTAAGAAAACCTCATCAACGATCGTCGTATCCGGCTGTGCAGGGGCTGCCGGAGCCGTTGTGCTCATTTCTAAACAGAAATAAAATAAAAATGATTTCGGTTCCACACGACATCGCTATGGAGCGAAGACTTGAAACGAAGTTCAAAATAATAAAAAAGCTTCAAAAAGCTTACGGAACACAGAGAATACGATTTAAAAAACTTGAAATCTTCATCAAACCCTACAGAATTTAAGAAAATAAAAATAAAAAGTTCAACAACGCCAATATATAACAAATTCTACGATACTCTAAGAGCTATGTACCCGCAAAAAGTAAAAATTCAATGAAACAAGAAGTTTGACATAATCTTATGAATAATATGGTATTCATTGGGATTTTTCCCGAATCCCTTCAACGTCGTCTTCAATGTGAGCCATCGAAGGAGGGTCGTAGAAATCGCATATTGCTCCGACCGACGGATTTCGACCCTGCAAAACAGATTCGGGATCTGAACAAGCAGATATGGAATTTATCATGGATTTCAAGGGGAAAAAGACAAAAACCCAGAACTTTCCAGTTTTAGAAACTCTAAAGGTTCTCCGTACCTGAAACCGTCGGTAAAGCTCCTTGGTGACGTCGCCGCTGCCCTTCAAAAGAACCGCCGTTTTCAGCCGTTCTCCCGTTTTGACCTCGTCATTTTCCGCGTCGAAAGTCTCGTGAATGTCCAGAGCCAACATCTGGAAGAAGTTATCTTGAAACAATGTTTTTCAGTTGTCAGAAAATGCGAGAATTCCGCTGAAATAGAAATCAGAGAAAAGATATTTGTTCTGAAGGAAAGGATGTTTTCGGCGGGTGTTTCTTCCAGAAAGACCTACCTCAGACCACAGTTTGCGGTAGTACATTCCAAGGTGCGGTTGCATGGCAAATATCGGGATGAATGAGCAGGGATGATAATCGTTCTTGTTCCTCTTGAATGGGAAGTACTCCGTGTACAGATCCTTGTAGATGTCCAGCCAGAACTTTTGTCTGAAACATGTGATTTACTTTCGGGCCAGCACTTGAATGATCAGCAAAATTGGAATTTTTGCTACAAGTTCGCAAAAAAAAGACCTTTGGAAGCTATTTTTATTGAACATAGTTCTCTAAATTCTTACTTCCTATCCTCCATTTCGTAGACGGTCAGGTCGAAGTCGGACCAGAAAAGGGTGCGATAAGTGTCCCAAAGAGTCGCTCTCGACAGAGCCAAGGCCGTGCTGTTCGCCTTCTCTTCGGACAAGGTTTCGCCGGTTCTCTGGAAGGTGCTCTATCACTTTGAGACGAAGATAGAGGATGAACAATGTGAGGACTGCTCAAGGCCGACAGGAGGTTGGGTTTGTAGACGAAGAACTGCAGGAACATGGGGAACATGTCGGCGGCGTCCCAGTCGCTCGCGTAGAACGGCGACCACGGAATCGCGATGTCGCGGTACGGCGACTGCGACAGCAGAAGCTGAACGCTGCGACCAAACTGAAAAGACGTTTTTCATTAAACACGGAAGCTTTTTATTAGTTTTTGAGAAGCAATCTGTTTTCTAACACATGATTTGACATTTTAACCCTTGGTCAAACCCTTTTTTTTGATGTATTGGAGAAGAAAGTCGCAACCTGCGTGATTTCCATTTTCTAAGACAGAAAAATACATTTTCTTGCAAAGTATTTAGTGAAGAGATGCGTAATTAAAAAAAATACAATTTTTGTAGCTTTATACTCTCTAGATATTCAACCCAGCAAATATATATCAAGGCATTCCTCGCCTAATTTTTCGAAATTTCTGAAAAATGATCTTTTCTGAGAATAACGTGTACACGACAGAAGTTTAAAAAAATTGAAAACCTTTCCGGATTCTTATTTCAGAGTTATCAATTAAGTCGACCTTATTCATGGAGCAAATCATTTCATTTTAATTAGGCTTTCTCTATCAGATCTTTTTTCATAACTTCTCCTTTTTATAAACATCCTTCTCTGAGATCTGTTCTCACATTGAACAGGAGCTGTAGCAATTGTTGGTAGTGCAAAACAGATGGAGAGTCCTGAGTCGGCGCGATCGCGGAGCCGATAAAGTACACAAGTTTGTCGAGGCCTCGTTCTTTGTTTTCAGCTGAAAACGAATTGCATTTCAACGAAAACCCTTGAAATTACGTCTTCCCAGCATCACGTTCCACCCGCCACGCTTGTTCTCCCGATCATACGGGTCAATATATAGCCTTAATTGAATTCTAGTCTACCAATAAAACAACCCGACTTTACCTTCCCAAATGTTTTCCAGTAGTTTTATCAGCGACTGCAAAAATTTTGGCGTCCTGATGGGCTCGTTCCAATCCAGTATCCGTGATATCCTGGAAAAAAAAAATGAAAATTGAATCGATGATTTTATTCGAAACCTTGAACTCTAGGCTGAAAATATGGCTGACGAGATTGACGATGTTATTGAAGGTTGGCCAGAATGGGAAATGGTTCATCAGGTCGAGGGCATTGACACTGAACAGAACATACACTCTGGGAGACAGAAGTGAAATCTAGACAAACAAAGTTCGTTCAGATAATTTGGTCTTTTTCCTTTTAGGCTCTTTCTAATCACCCTAGTTCTCCGCTACTTTTAAAAGATTTCAGACGATTTTCAAGGAGGAAACTGGAAGAAACCGCACTCGTAGTGCTGTTCAGCCTCCTTGCGACAGACGTAGAACATGTCGTGAGCCTGGAGCTCGCCGAGCAGCAACTCGCTCCGCTGAGCCCACGCCGACCAGGACTCCATCCGGTCGATCACCACTGGCCGCACTCGTCGCACGAATCTCAAATTCAATGATTTTGTATCTTCTGGTAATTGTAGTACTCAGCTGTTAGGAGTAACTACTAATGGTTCGTGGGTATTTTCACATTATTTCACAGCAATAGCTTATAAAAATTTCGTAGAAAAAAGGAGAAAAAAAAACAAAATGATTTTCTGGCACTTCATCAAAGTTTTAAAACATTTCTGTTCTTCTCTTTGTGCAGAATTATCTTTTTCATAAAAGATGCCTTATAAAAAAGAAAACGTTATACCGGGTTCAATATTATTTCGTGAAACTCAAATGGCCTTCAGACATAGCAAAATATAGCAGAGTTTTGGAGATTCAGAGATAATTTTGCATTTCGCGGTATTTACTCTGAAAACGTCATTCAACATGAACATAAAGAAATGATCAAAAAAAAATCAACGAATTTCAAGATTGTAAGCTTATATGAATGAAATGAAATTTTCAACGTGGGAGATTTCGAGAAAGAAATTGGAAAAAAAAACATGGTGCAATTCCCCGAATGAAATAGACGAATGGAAAGTTCCGAAGAACTTCCCAGTAATAAAGATGACCTCTAAAACTTTCCTAATTTCAAGCCAAAACATACGCTGTTATGAAGCTTCTCACAGTTTCGGGCGACGCAGCCATTTTATTCGCCAACCGATGTTCAGCGACGGAAGAATAACCCAATGTTTTGGCCAATCCTTCGCTACAACATTGTCTTTTGAATCTAACGTAATGAACGAAGATAACCAACTTATTATGTCTCAACTCTTCAACGTTGATCGAATTATTGTAAAAGTCGTGGTCAAATCCGGCCTGAATACAACTGAAGTTAGAAGAAACATTGATGGAAACTTCAATCGAAACTAGAAATTCCAAAAGTCCTTTCGAACACGGAAAACTCTTTAGGAAAAAAAACCTTGCTGGTCCATTTTTCCCAGGCGTTTGCTCGAAGAGAGCGATCAGAGCAGTACTGCATGAAAGGGAAAATCGTGTGCGGCGTCATTCGGCCTCGCCACGGACCAGATTCCCATTTGGCGCTGAAATTTTTTCGTTCAAAACCAAAGACTTTTTCGACTTCAAAAAAAGAAAAAAACTGGTGAGTCAGATTAATCAGACATTCCAAACAATAAGTAAATTTATTTGAAAAAGTTTGAGAAATTACGCTGTAAAAAAAGAATTTTTGATTCAATACAATAATTTTTAAGTGTTAACATAAAGACTTTGAAAAAAATTGGTTTGCTGCAAATGAAAAAAATTATTTTTCGTGAGGAATTATTTACTTAAAAGTTGTTTCAACTGTACAAAAAAAACACTGCATCAAAAAAAGCTCTTTGCAAAGTTTCCCATTAAAATTCCAACCATTTTCAGCCCCATATATAAAAATTCCGAAAAATAGATATTAAAGTGTTAATTACTGTGATATCTTCGAAAAATCACCTCTCAATGGCCAACTTTTGCAAAACGTGCGGTGGAGCGTCGGACAGAACTTTCTTTTCATTGATCACGTACGTATTCTGATCGTTTGTGCTCATCACACCGGTACTGGAATATTGATAGAATCGATAAAAATCAACAAGAATCAATGCATTCACATGTATTTGCTGCGATACTCGTCTATGAATCTGCTCCAGGAACCCAAAAGTTTCCTCGTTTTTTCGTCATGTCGATCCAATCCACTGGCTTTGATCTAAAAACGCTTACTCAGAATAATGAATGAGAAGTAATTTGATTGTACCAAAAGGTTCCATTATAATCTGATTTATGTGCAAAAAAGGTTTCAATCGAAATCGATGAAAAACAAAAAAAAATGGTTTCTTCTTTCAAAATCAAGGAAAAACTGGAAAACTTTTTTTTGATGAATTTCAGAGTTTAAACATTTTACAAAACGGGGCATAAATTTCCGACCGCTTCAAACAGTGATTTCACATCTAGTAATATCTTTCCTGCTCTAGATCAAATCTGATTATAAACTATAAAAAAAAGAAAAGATTCTGATTAATAGGAAAAAAGTGACCTCAAGAAGGTACCACTCCAGAAGCCGCAATTGCCACTCGTTCATGCCTTCTTTCGATTCGTAGAGTTGCTTCAAAAGAGATAAAAACAGTTTTTCAAACAAAAAAAAACCTTGATTGCTGTCTGAAAATCTTGGCTCGTCAACTTCTCCATCTGGTCCCTGGCGCACATGATTTTGATCTGAATGAAAGAGGAAATATAATAAAAATCAAGGATTTTCGTTCACATTTTACTGGAGCTGTATTTACTAACCGCGCTCTATTGAATATAATTCAGAAGGTTTTGTAAAGGGTCTAATTGATTGAAGGCGAAATTCGTGACGATTTTTATAAAGTCTAAGCCTGTTGCAGTTTTAAAGTATTTATTTTTGGAAATCGCTTTTCTAAGGTCTCAAAAACAGACACAAAACGGTCAACTTTCTTGATTCTTACTTTGAAAAAATTTCAATATTTTCAGTTGGCCAGTTCTGCATATCTGATTAGGATAAACTTGGATTTTTATGTGACTTTCTAAATAATGATAATAAAATTAGGAATCCTCTTGTTCAGCTCACATGATGAAGGTCTGCATCGAAAAGCTTCCTGTTGCAGTCGGGCCAATCGGTGAGCATCTTGAGGACCAAAGTCTGGAACGCGTAGTTCACCTCGTATTCCTCGGTCAGAAGCGGTTCCACTACATTTTCGAACGTTTGCTGGTCCGGATTCACTAGAAATGAAGTAATAATTCAATTAAGAATAAAAAAGGAAAGTTAGGAAATTCGGGAATTTATGCTCATGATTTCAGTTAGAAGCGGGTTATTCACTGTCCATAAAATATGAGTGATTTGTTTCCAGCTGAATTTGTATTTTTGTAACTCAGCACGTTCGCTGTTACCTTCGTCAAAAAAGATAATGATACATAAAAAAACCTTTGGCAAGATGCTCCAAATGCTCCATCACAGTAGCTCCGTAGTCCATCAACATTCTCACAGTACCTTCATACATTTCCTCAAAAATATTTTGATTTCTGGAAGCCTTTTTGCAAAAAAAAAGAACCTTTGGTGTAGCAGATGCCAGTTTTGGCCAATCTTCGTTCTTCGCGATATTGTAGATGAATGAATTATTTTCGACAGTTTCGTCAGGGATGACGGGAAATCTAAAATATCCTCCTTTTTTGATGAGTTAGCTTTTTCCTCAACTCACATCACATAATATCCAACTATCCGCGCAGGCGTTTCATTTCCCATTTTGAATATGATATTGCGCTGTTGGGTTTTGGAGAGGTTCTTAGGGAGTTTCTGAATTTTCAGTATTAAGATTTTCGAAAGAAGATTGCAATAAGAACCGTTAGACACCCAGTCGAGGCAGTGCGTCCTCTTAATAGGCGAGCTAACCCTTTTCCATGTTTTGAGAAAGTTCCGGAGAACATTCTGAAATTCAGTTGCGTTATTAATAATGATACTTATTTTTTTAAAGCACTATAAAAAAAGCAAAAAAAAACTTTGTGTTGCACTCAATTAAAACTGATAAATGTCTTGTTAAAAAAATAGATTTCAGATTGACTGAACGCGTTATATCAGCACATTTTCTCGATTTAAATGCGTTTTTGCACAGAGACCGTTTTAGCCCGCGTCACAAATATGAAACAAAAAAAAAGCCGTTTGAAAAAAAATGCCGTAAATTTTTGCGACATGCACTCGACCACGGACTTTTGCCTTACAGTGGGGCGAAAATTCTTACCGTAATTACTTAAAATTCAAACTTGATCTCTCATTCACTTCAAAAACGCTCTGAAATTCCTACCTAACCCGATCCCTAGAGAGTATGCGAAGCACTTCATTTGTATTCATCATTGGCCAGGGAAATTTAGCGGCTTGGAAGTCAAACCATTCTCTCTCTTCTTCACCTCTTTTATGTTGAGAAAAACTTTATCACTCTTGTCCATGAAAAATTTAAAAATAAAATAAAATATATTGCATTTCTCACCGTAAACTTTCCTCACATGAGCAAACAATATGAGAGAATTTAATCGAAAAACGACACTGCGAAAAAAAGAGAGAAATAGTTTTTGTATGCCCAGCTTTTCCGGAATCGAGCGAATAAATCGATTTCATCTGTGGGACTATCGCTTTTGCATTCTCATAACAACACTCGCTTTTGGTTTTGAAACTGCTTTTTTGCCTGCTGAAGAAGTGAGTTCAGAATTAGAGGTTTTGGGGTTTAAATGAAAACTTCGTGATATCTCAAAAAAAAACTTAACGAAGTTGAAATCAAAATTTCGACTGACTTTCCAGCATATGAGTCCACACGTAGAAATGCATGAAGGGCCCGAAATGACAAATCGCTTGTTTCAGAAACGAATTTTCAGTTATCTAAGCTCCTTTTTCAATGGACACCGATGCGCAGTCTTCGTCAGATGAATCATTAATTCAGGAACAGGTAAGTCATTAACATTTTCAATTATTTGCGAAAAACTCTCGAATTCAGATAAGAAAACTATATCGAATTTGTGACCCGCAGAGCAACAGGATTATTCAAAAGGTTTTTGGTGTTAAACTGTGCGTAGCAAATAAAAATTATATAAATTTCAGGAGGATCTCAACAAAATCGCGGACCTTGTGCCGCGTCAGGTGCATGAACTAATAGCACAGAAAATTGGGGACTCCAGCGTCACTGAAGAAGAGTTTACTGAAATCTTAAGTAAGCAAAATAGAACAAAAAAGCATGAGTATGGTAAAAATGTTCTTGGACAAAAACAAGAAATATCATTATTATGAAAAAAAATCGAAACCATCGAAGGCTTTTTCGCTGAATAAAACATAAAAAAAATTATGTCGACAGAGATATAAAACTCAGAAATTAACTCAAAAAAACATCGTTATATGAATTTAGAAAAAAACCTTTAATCAAATCTATTCATAAAGTTTTTGTAAAGTCTACAAGTTCCTGATTTTTCAGTTAAGAACGACACAGTTTTTGCGGATACACTCCCATACGCGCAAAAAGTTTATATGGTCTTTTTAACATAACGTTATCTCAAAAAAAAATTTTTGTCCTTGTTTTTTTTTTTTTCAAATGCTTTTTTTATGTTCTAATTAAATAGAACTGACGGCAAAGTTGACCGGCCTAGAATTGTCTTAAACATGCGAGAACTGTTTTGTATTAGTAGATAAAAAGTTCAGTTTATTTAGAATAAATTTATTTCAAAATATTTACAATAAATTTATTGTAAATATTTTAACAGTCGAACGAAAATAACAGTTAATATTTATATAGAATTTTTTTGAGTATTTTTTTCCATCAGAATTACTTTTTATTGTTGGCTTTCCGCCCTTGGCTAATTATCTCTGCACGCGTAATTTAATATGAAGCACCTCATTTTACGCATCATAATTTTTTGGTTTTTTTTTTCCAGAGTCAATTGTCAGTCCAATCGATGTGGAATTTTCGCACAGTGTAAGTTCTTGTTTGAAGTTTCATTGAAAGTTTCGTTCTTAGGATAAAGTTGTCGATGATAAGCCTAATCTGTATGAGCAAGTCATGAAAGAGCCAAACTTGGCCGATGAATTAGCCGAGCTCGAGAAGTCGCCGGCAGACGATCCGCTAACGCAAATGTTGCGGTAAGAAGTGCAATTTTCGTTTAAATCAAAGAAAATTTCCAGCGATTGTTTGGAAGAAGATCACAACTTTCAAAAATTGGCTTACACGACGAACGGCGAACCTTTTCAAAGGTTTCGGACAAAAAAATTTTCTGTTCTTTAGCCAAAAAAAGTTTTCTTTTCATCAATTTTGTTTTTTTTTTTAGTCAGTCATTCCTCCCAAACGACATCAACGGCTTACAAACCATCCGCGAAACTGCCGAAGTTCAAATAAACGTAACCATTTTTTCATTTGGTTAAATTGAACTTTTTTTTTCAAGAAACCTCTCTATCGACCAATCCAACCAGAGTTTGGTGCGAAAATCACATCACTGGCCGATGTTCGTGACACCTTTTTATTCATTCCATTACTTTTTCATTTTTCAGGAGCTTTGCGCCGCCGAAAAACGTGAGGAAGTGGAAGAGGTGACTAAATGGCGAGAAACCGGGAAAAAGGGCAAAATTACAGGAAATTCAACAGTTTTCGACGCCCGATCGTATTTTCAAAGTAGTTTTTGTTGGAGATTCAGCAGTGGGCAAAACTTGCTTTCTTCACAGGTAAAAAAGATCATTCAATCTCTTCTTTCTGAAAAAAGGAGACTTTTTTCAATAAGAAACCTTCAAAAAAAAACTGTTAGAATGAATAAAAAATGAACTTTTTTTACTCAAAATTGACCCAAATGTTAGTAGACGTCCGAAAAAAGGGATTTTCATCAGTTTTAGCTTTGGGGGGCACTCTTATCAGAACTATTAGCCCTCTTTTCAGATTCTGCCACAATCGTTTCAAACCGCTCTTCAATGCCACTATTGGCGTCGATTTCACCGTAAAAACAATGAGATTATCGACGAATCGGTCCATCGCCATGCAACTTTGGGACACGGCCGGTCAAGAAAGGTGGTTAAAAAATCGAAAATTGTTCTTTAACTTACGTTTAAAAAAACGTTTTCAGATTCCGCTCAATAACCAAGCAGTACTTTCGGAAAGCCGACGGCGTCATTCTGATGTTCGACGTGACGTCAGAGCAGAGTTTTCTGAACGTCCGCAATTGGATCGACTCTGTCAAGGCCGGCGTCGATGAACGGAGCGTCATGTGTCTGGTTGGCAACAAGGTTTAGTTCAGGCGAATTTCGATCTTGATGAAGAAAATTATAGGTTGATTTATTCGGCAGTGATACCGCAAGGAGTTCAGTTTATCGAGCTGGAGAGAAGTTGGCGAAGGTTAGGCCAAACGATATATTTTCAATAATTTGTTGACGAAGGCTGGTCTGAAATTGGAAAAAAACTGGCTCGTCAGGAATTTTTCATATCTGGCTTGAAATTTTTCGGCTTTTCTTTTAATCAAATCTGAACAACCTAAGCGCAATATCAACCAGAGACAACTCTGAGATGAAACTTTTTAAATTTTTTAAAATTCGAAAAAAAAAAGAATAAAAGCCATCAAAACTCGAATTTTGAGGAATTCGGGATGCCGTTCTGCGAAACGAGCGCCTACACTGGTTATGGCATTGAGAACTGCATGAAAGAAATGGCTGAGTGAGTTTTTTCCAGTTTTCATTTTCGTAGTTTTCCTGTTGCAGACGACTCCAAAAACGAGAGGACGATCATCTGGAAGAAGCTCTTCGATTGGAGATTGATCCGCCCGTCAAGAAACGCAGCTGGTGCTGTGTATGACGTCTTTTTCCTTTTATTTATTCTTCAATCAGTTTCCGCTCATCTCTAATAAATATTCAGTAATTGGTATAAGGAGGAAGTTCATTCATTCATTTGTTTCGAAGAATTTCCGATAGAGTCAAATTATTTGGTTAAGATTAAAATATCGTACAGAAAAAAAAATTAAAAATTTCGAAGTTTTTCAAATTCTTTAAAATGAATTTAAAGTTGCCTTTTCTCAAAGTTTCGCAGGTTTTGTTCCTTTATTTCGAAATTGTTAATAATTGAGCGTTTTTTTTCGGTTTCTCTTTTTGATTTGTCTAGGAATAAATCAATGAAAAATACTAAAAAGGTAAGAAAAAGTTTCAAATTAGCGCTGATTTTTTTTTGACGACTAGACACGAACTTATTCAGATATTTCTGTTAGTCGACCGAAAAAGTCCTTTGAGTTAAAAACTTCTGATTACATAATTCGTTTTTTTTATTTCACGAGGAGAGACCAAGGTTAAAAGTAGTTTGAAACTGTTCGCACATTCTCGAAAACTAGATTTTCATAGTAGGGGCTTCAAATTTATTTATGGTTATTTGAGAACATTTTTTGAGGAAGTCATGTGTGAAATGGACTCGGTTACCAGCATAGCATCAGCTATCTTTTTGGACGCTTCTGTCAAGCTCTTTCATCCGTAAATCGTTCGTTCGCGGCTGTTTTTCCCGTGGATCGCTGTCATAAACTTGAAGAAAAAACAAGAAAAAAGAGGACCACCGGAAACTGAGCGGTGCTCTTCAAAGACCTCGAGTGGCCGCTTCCGATCCAAATCAAAAATGGTGTGAGCGGGGTTGGCGGAAAAGGAAAAGAAAAGAGACAGGTCGGCGGCGAGCCCAATGGACCATTCTCTTTGAGCAAATGCAGCGGCTGTTGACCGCCGCCGTTTGACCGACCAACCAAGGAGAAGAAGCTTCTTCTTCTTCTTCTTTTTCTTCTCCATTTCGATTCCTCGCTCGAGTGGTTTGTTTCGGAAAAACTTTGCAACCGTTCGATGCAACAGTTTTCTCTTGCCTACCACTCGATATACGTCCGAAATTGGCGTGTCCTCGGCGCCATCTGGGTCCTGTGTGCTCTTTCGACAAGTTTGTTCTTTCATTCATTTTCTCAATATTCAAAATTGGATTCCAATCTGATAGAGCATGATTATCTGAAAATCAGAACGCGTGACCAGAACAGTTGTAAAGAACAGCCGTAAAACCGGGACCACTCCGAATTCCCGTTGTTTTGCCATAGAAAATCATTATTTTTTTTCTCATAAGAAGTTTTCGAGCAGAAGCTTTGAAAATTTCATTCTGAAGTTAAAAAAAAATCGAAACATGCATTTTTGGCATTACGTCATTTCTCGGTTCCAGAATAGATGAAATATCAAAGATCAGTCTGTATTGAATAAACGAAATTCCAGCTGTGCTCCAAACTCTCGTACTCATTCATCCGGCGTGGATCGGTAACGATGAAGGCGGCTATTTTGGGCTTTACGATTATTGTGGCACAAATGAATGCTCGTGGAGTCCGTTCAGGTGAAAAATTATCATTTTTGATTCGGAAAGGAGCAGAGTGGATTGAAGAAAAAGAGTTCGGCCACCTTGGAAATTAAAATCAGGAAAAAAAAAATGAATTCTCGAAAAAAAACATTAACATAGATATTTTGACATTTTCAGTCAGGTACGATCGTAAGGTTTCGAAAAGCCTCGATGGGTTTTCGAAAAATCTAGATTTAGAGTTTGATTCTCAAGTAGATACCTGACGAATGAGTGGTATGAAAAAAAAACCAGGAAAATTTCGAACGGCGACTTTTCCGATTTTTTCATATCGCTAGGGAACTTTCCGACTTTTTTTTCCTTATGTTTTTCGGTTTTTAAAACATCTATTCATCTCTGTTCCAAATTTATACTGTTTTCGTCTTTATTTGTGTTTTAATTATGAATCAACTTCCTATTTTATATACGAAAATTTAAAACGTAAAGTTTATCGAGAAAAAAAAATCGGAGACTTCGCAGTCGAAAAGTTACCTAGCGATATGAAAAATCGGGAGTCGCCGTTCAAAATTTCGCTGGTTTTTATTACATACCGGCGTTGGATTGTGCGGAAAAAACTTTTCTCCACTGCGGTGATCACTCCTACAATCAACGTTTCAGGGTCCGGCCGTTGAGTTTTTCCTTCGAATTATCCGCTTTCATGGTTCTTTCAGCAACGGTTCTCAGCGTTCTAGCTGTATTCTCAATTTTGGTATGATTTCTTTCAATCAATAAAACTTTTTTTCTCCTTTTTCAGCTTCTCGTACTACTTCGTGACCGTTACGTATTTTTATTATGCTCTTGGATGCATTTATTTTCATGTGAGAATCATTTTCCATAGATTAAAAGAAAAGAAAAAAAGAGATTTCAGTTATGGCTATGCTTGGCGGCTGTGTTGTTTATCCCAACGGTTGGGAAAATCCGCGAGTTCGGGAAATTTGCGAGTCGAAAAAGTGATTTTTTTTTTATTAATTCTCCTTCCCATTCATTTGCAAAAGAAATTTTGCCTGTTTCGTAGTTGTTGTGTCGAAGGAGGGACAGTTTCAATAAGCGCAAAACGTATCCTTCTGGCGAATATTTTTCAAAGGTGTTCAATTATTTTTTTCCTTTTTTTGAAATCTCGAAAATTTGTAAATCACAATTTAATTTTTAAATTTGGTTTTTTTAGCTGTATTTTTAATCTCTTAATTTATAAGCTTTTTTTGCGAAACAAAAAACTCATCAAAATTGTCCTGATTGGATAATTCAAGGTAAACTTTTTGACTTTAAGATTTCTAAACTAATTATTTGTCTAATGCATGCGACGGAAAATTTTTCGGCGTCCATTTTTTTTTAAATTTCGTACCATCAGAAAGAACTTTTCAGGTACAACTTGGGTCTTTGCCAGCTTCGTTGGCCGTACTTGTTGGCGTTCGTTCTCATTTTTGACCAGCTGACTCTTTCGATGCTAGGCTTCGTACTGGCGTGCAAGCAGCCGCCCAAAATCCCAGAGTTCCATTCGCTGACAGGTCGCTTTTCAATTGACATTTTGGCTCGAAACCGTCCGTTTTCGGGCGAGTGTTGAGGAGACACGTCCAAGTTTATGCGGTCTTTTGTTTGTGGTCACGCTCTTTTGCTCTGTGTTCTACTTCTGTCGCTTCCGCATTAAGGTCGTGTCCAATTCAAAAGCCTAGAGGCGGCAAAAACGCTTCTCGGCGGGTGACTAATTACTTCAGTTTGAAAAGACCGATTTTTCCTTGAATTATTTTTTTTTGTTAGGTAAGATTCAAATAAACATTCGACAAAAAAGATGAGTCTACACAAAAAAATGTGTATTCAATTACTTCAAAAACTACATAAATCTCGATAAATCTCTTCAAAAACATTTTTCAGGAACCACAGGAGGGCTCACGAACAGTTCCATTCATCCAGTTCCACGGCCAAGAAAGCTATCAATGCAAGAATCTTATTATTCACACAGCGGCTCCAGATTAGAGCTTTAAAAATGTATAAAAATTTTTTTTTAAAGGAGTACTGGATACAAAAGAATTCTTCATCACATAATAATAATAATGAGAATTACCACAGTTGAAAATAACTCCATCTTTATTTTTATGGGACAAATGATCAAATTTCAGCTTTCCAAATTAGTATTTTTTTTTGTTTTGAAACTATTTTTCATTCCTAACACTAGAGCATTGAACTTTTGGTTATTTATCGCTGAAAGAACTGCAATGTTGTTTGTCCGAGAGTATTTTCGATGCACCAAAAACCTTCAAGACAAACAATTTGGTCACAATGGAGCGCACTTTCATGGGAGTTGTTTCGAGAAATTTCTACAGAGTTAACTTGTTTTATTTTACAATTATTAGGCTGAATATTTGAAATAATCGGCAAATTCATGATAAATCAGTTAAAACGAAGTGATAAATTAACAATATTTCTCAATCTGAGGTAATCCGCGATCAGCTGGCGCGGAATTAGCTATATATTGGCATTAATCACGCCATATTAGAAGAAGAAAATCAAAAATTAGACTGTCCAGTGGACTTTATCAAATCTTCTGTCAAACTCGTATATGTTACATATTTCAAAACATCTGGAGTTGCTCAAGAACCTACTTTTGCCTGAAAAGCTCTGACGAAATATTGAATTGAACTTCGAAATTTTTTTTATAAACATTGGAAACTTTTTTGAAGAATTTGTATGACTTTCATGATGAGAGAGGCACTATAAAAAAGAAAGATCGATTAGACGACAGCCATTTTGGATTTGGTTAAAGCAAAAATAGAGAAAGCATAAAAATCGAGATGAATCAACGTTTCATTTCGGAAACTTAGCACATAAAATCGCTTCAAAGCTCTTTGTGTCAGAAAAGTATTACGAAACATTGAATACATCATTGAGTCGAATAGAATTGCAATAATATATGAGCAGAAAAGTCGTCATGACATTCTAGAAAATCAAAAGCAATCGCGAACCTTCGAGATGGATTCAAATTTTCGAAGTTGGCGCCGAAATTTTCAATTGTTTAAAGTTTATTTATATTTGCTAAATTTATACTCATTCTGTTCAGAAAATCAATTCACATACCATGAAATTAAAACTAAAATTGTAAACTAATTTTAAAACAGGTAAAAACTGTGTTAAAGACGTGTGAGCGCTCTTTGCGCCCCGGTTTCTCTCGAACATTCCAGCTGCGGAGGCCTATTTGGCCCCTCCTCTACGCGTTTCAAATATGAGCATACGTTTCCTAACTTTTTCATACTCATTCTACGTTCTGTATTACTTTTTCTTTCCTATAAATCGTCGATAACTGTATCGCTTTATTCGTGCACACTATTTTTTCCGCTTCTAATTCAGCTTTTTTTTAGATATGGCTAAAGCAAACGCAGTTGGTATCGATCTCGGTACTACGTACTCATGTGTTGGAGTTTTTATGCATGGAAAAGTCGAAATCATCGCCAATGATCAAGGTGATATTCTTTCTTATTTGAATACATTTTTCATGAGAAATTCAACATGTTTGAAAAACAGTCCATGAATCCTCTTCTGTTCGAGAAAATGTCGTTTTTGGTGTTTTTCTCATAAAATTGAGGAAAAATTAGTTGAGACAACCCTACTGGACTGTTTTTACGGTTCTGTTTCTAAAAACTCATCACAATCTTGCAGGTAACCGAACAACTCCGTCATACGTCGCGTTCACCGACACTGAGCGTTTGATCGGAGATGCCGCTAAAAACCAGGTCGCCATGAACCCTCACAACACCGTTTTTGGTAAGTTATTGTATTTCCTTCAATTTTAAACTTAATTATTGTTTCTTCAATACATTATTTACAGATGCTAAACGTCTGATTGGACGTCGTTTTGACGACCCCGCCGTTCAGGCTGATATGAAGCACTGGCCCTTCAAAGTCATCTCGGCCGAAGAAGGAAAACCCCGAGTTCAAGTCGACTACAAAGGCGAGGCCAAAGTCTTCACCCCTGAGGAAATCTCATCCATGGTCCTCATCAAGATGAAGGAAACTGCTGAGGCGTTTTTGGGAAGCACTGTTAAGGTGATCGCGTTTCGATTATACTCTCTCTCAGATAGAAATGTAAATAATTTAGATTTTATGAATTGACGTCTTTTGACATAGTTTTTTTACTTAAAAAATGTCACCAAAGCATTACGAAATTTGAATTGGAAAATTCGAAAAATAGCATATTCATATCAGTACATGAACTTTTATTGATCGCCGTATGAAATTCATGATGTTTTCCAATCTGCGTGTTAGTTCTTACACTTGAAACACGATCGATTGCACCATCAACAATTTTTCTTAAAATTCAAAGGAAATTTGTAGGATGCCGTCGTCACCGTCCCTGCCTACTTCAATGACTCGCAGCGCCAGGCTACTAAGGACGCCGGAGCCATTGCAGGCTTGAACGTCCTTCGTATCATTAACGAGCCCACCGCTGCCGCCATTGCTTACGGCTTGGACAAGAAAGGACACGGCGAACGCAACGTCCTCATCTTCGATCTTGGAGGCGGTACCTTCGATGTTTCCATCTTGACCATCGAGGATGGAATCTTCGAAGTCAAGTCCACTGCTGGTGACACTCATCTTGGTGGTGAAGACTTCGACAACCGCATGGTCAACCACTTTGTCGCCGAGTTCAAGCGCAAGCACAAGAAAGACCTGGCCTCGAACCCTCGTGCTCTTCGTCGTCTCCGCACCGCTTGCGAACGCGCCAAGAGAACGCTTTCTTCCTCTTCGCAGGCTTCGATTGAAATCGACTCCCTCTTCGAAGGAATCGACTTCTACACTAACATCACTCGCGCCCGCTTCGAGGAGCTTTGCGCTGACCTTTTCCGTTCCACCATGGACCCTGTTGAGAAGGCTCTCCGTGATGCCAAGATGGACAAGAGCCGCGTAAGAAGTTCAAATTATTGACTTGAATAAAGTTTAATCTTTAGGTTCACGACATCGTTCTTGTCGGAGGTTCCACCCGTATCCCGAAGGTCCAAAAACTGCTTTCGGATCTATTCTCCGGAAAGGAACTCAACAAGTCCATCAACCCCGATGAGGCTGTCGCCTACGGAGCTGCCGTTCAGGTATTAAAAATCTTTCTTCTTGCCATCCATGCTATAAAAAAATACTTGAAAATTGAACTTCAGGCTGCCATTCTCTCCGGAGACAAGTCTGAAGCTGTGCAAGACCTCCTTCTTCTCGACGTTGCTCCTTTGTCGCTCGGTATCGAGACGGCTGGAGGTGTCATGACGGCGCTCATCAAGCGTAACACCACCATTCCTACGAAGACTGCTCAGACCTTTACCACCTACTCGGACAACCAGCCTGGCGTGTTGATCCAGGTCTACGAAGGTGAACGCGCCATGACCAAGGACAACAACCTTCTCGGAAAGTTCGAACTTTCTGGAATTCCACCAGCTCCTCGAGGAGTTCCTCAAATTGAGGTTAAAAAATTCATATTACTTTGTTATAAGTTCTATTCTTCTAAAGGTCACCTTCGACATTGATGCCAACGGTATCTTGAACGTCTCTGCTCAAGACAAGTCGACCGGAAAGCAAAACAAGATCACCATCACCAACGACAAGGGACGTCTTTCAAAGGTATTTGATTTTTGACTTTTGATTCAAAGTTTTATCATTTTATAGGATGATATCGAGAGAATGGTCAACGAAGCAGAGAAGTACAAGGCTGATGATGAGAAACAAAAGGAGCGCATCGGTTCAAAGAATTCTTTGGAGAGCTACGCGTTCAACATGAAGCAGACGCTTGAAGACGAAAAGGTAGTTTTTGAAGTTTAATCGTGATATTACTCATTTTGATCTCTTACAGCTCAAGGACAAGATCTCCGCTGACGACCGAAAGAAGATCGAAGATAAATGCGAAGAAGTTATCAGGTGGCTGGACAGCAATCAGACGGCCGAAAAGGACGAATTCGAGCATCAGCAAAAGGAGCTCGAATCCGTCTGCAATCCCATCATCACCAAGCTGTACCAAGAAGCCGGAGGCGCTCCCGGTGGTGCTCCTGGTGGCGCCGCACCTGGAGCCGGTGGTGCTGGTGGTCCAACCATCGAAGAAGTCGACTAATTTCTCTCACTCCTGATCTCCTCAACATTTTAACCGCTAATTATATTTTGAGTCTTTATCCCGGTAGGGATTTTTTTGAATGAATTGTTATTTAATTGAACCCGTCGAAAAATTTATTTTCGATAATAAAAATCTAAAAATATTCCAGTGTTCCGTTTGATTTGCTTGCATTGAAGGTTTTCAAAGAGTAAAAATGAATGGTTGTAGAATTTTTATTATACGCCATAAAGTCTGTTCAGAATTTAAATGGCAAGCAGTTAAGTCAGCCCCTGCTGGTACAGTGCCTTTTCGTGTCGAAGTTTTATCGCGCGGGACGAATTTTGATCTTTTTTGTTTTAAATGATAGAAAAAAAAGTCAAAAAAAATTTGGTGCCACGAATACCTCTGCGGATCCTTTTCGAATCCTCTCGAATCTTTTTAGTTGCTTTCCAGCATCCTTTTTGTTAGAGGATGTGAAAAAGATGCAAAAAAAGAATTGAAATGATGTGAAAAAGATCTGCTGGGGACCCTTTCAAGGTCTTTTTCGGAGAAAAGCTTTTCAGTTTTGCCCGAGCAATAAAAAAGTGGCATGCTGGAAAAGTCGGTCGGTCGGTTTGGAAAACGGCCACGCCGTAATTTTACTCCATGGAAAATCGAATTTCAGACTTTTTTCACTTTTTCTATATTTTTCCTTCCTTTTTAGGTGATGACTCGAATCTAAATTAGTCTGCAAAAAAAATGCTTGCTGACAATTCTCGAAGAAATTCATAAAAGCATATACAGAGAGAAACTGTTTTCACTCGATTTTCACTAGACTATGTTAACAACATGTTCAATTTCAATGATTTTATATGCTCACTAAGCCTGCAGAGAAACAATGTGACACGTATATTTTGATAATCTTCTTGGTTGTGTTTGAAAAAGCTCAACTGAATCTTGCATTTTTATGCGGTTTTAAAATTAGCTTCTGAATATAATCCAAAATAATGTCTGATTCTACAAAATTAGTTATCTTTCGCCACTCTGTGATGGTTATTTTGAACGTCGATATAACTGATTCACGTCTGGCTTCAGCCATCGAAAAAGGGTCCTGACGCGATAAGAAAAAAGACTGGTTCGTAGAGAACGCAGAAACACGCCCCCTTAGCGTCCCAAGCTAGTCGTGAATAGGCTATATTGTTTTGAACACGGAACCGACTTCATTTTATTTACTACAATTTTTTAGTTTGTCATTTTTGCAACAAAATAGGCGTAAAGGAAAATATTTTTCAAAAACAAAGAACAGAACAACAAATTTAAAGGATAGCAAAATCGGAAAACAACGGATCTTTTGACAGCGAGATCGACTTACGCCAATTATATAAAACACGTAAAGAAAAAAATTAAATTACGAATTTTTTTGTAGTAGAAAAGTTGATATTTCAACCACGGAAACCGCCGCCAGGGCGTTGAACTCCGCGAGGGCCGGGGCCGCCTCTGCCTGTGGTTCTGAAATAAGAAAATCAATCGAGACACTGGTACACGCATGTTTTAGAATGGATTACCGAATTTTTAACCAGAAAAATTAGAGAAGAATAAGAATTAACCTTCTAAATGCTGTTCCTCGTCCTCTTCCACGAGGTTCGATCCCACCAAGACCCATTCCAACAGCACCCTAAAAAAATAAATTACCATGAATAAAAATTTCAATTTATCAACCTTCTGCGCTCTGCCAATGTTTTTGAACATGGGAGCGTTTTTGAGCATGTCTGGAAGAATCATGAAACGGATCTGAAATATAATTTTCAACTTTTTTTTTCAAATTTTCAAAAAAGTTCGTCGTTTCAAACCTTGTTTCCTCTAACAAAAACGTTGTCCAACTGATGGGACCTGCCGTCGCGGAAAGTGACAATGGCATCGGCAACCTGGCAGTTCATGTTGTCCTCGGCTTCGATCAACTTCCCACGGTAGACTTCTCCTGAAACAGTCGAAGTTAGATAAGGATTAGATTTATATCAAACCTGTAACCGTTTCAAGAGTAATAATGTGACCCTCGGCCTCGTGAAGGATCTTGATGGGTACACCGACTGAAGTCATTCTGTAAAAAATTCAAAATGCTTCAAAGAAAACGAATTTACACGGCACGTATGTTTGAGACAGTACTACGGCGGCCGGTCAATATTGTGCGTTTTTTAGCCAGGAATTTTTTTTAAACTTTCTTCCTTTTTTGCAATTGGTTAAGGGCCTATTTATCGAGGTTACAAGATAAGTTACGTCACAAAAAAGTACAAAAGATTTCATTTTATTATTGAAAAATCTATTCAAACTACCGTAATACGACCGGCAACCTTAAACAGACGTGACGGAAAACCTCATAAATGGAAAAGAAGTTACGCATGAAATCAATATAAAAAACAGCAGTAGAAAATATCGAAATGGATTCAGAAAATGATAGAGTACTTCCATAACTATTTTCGATATATAGCAATCGAATGACATTTTTCACCATCACGACGAGTGGGATAAATGATAATGCCGTTTTCAAAGTTATTTACACGAAGTTCAAACTTATTTACAAACTCTCCAGAAGTTATCTTACACTCTCTGACCACCTTTTTTGAATTTCGCATTATCACTTTGAACAGTGTAAAAGAAATAGTATGAAATTGATGAAAAAAAAACAGAAATTTTTGGGATATTTAGAAAATTCTAGAAGACCTATGAGTTTAAATTGATGCCTATCAAAATAGAAGCAGGCCTGTAGGAATTATATTCGAATCGTGAACTCATCCAAATGCAATTATATAATCTACGCAACAAAACTAAAAAGTTTAAAGAAAGAAGACATTTTTGAAATTTTCGAAAACGACCAGAAACGGCGGGCTAGCGCGCACGCAACGCGTTGCGTTAGAGCACAAATGCCGAGTTTTCCCTTTTCCATCTTTTTTGGCTGTTAATATTTTTTATAAGTTTATTTCCAATTTTGTCATTCTATTTGTTCAAGAAATTCATCAGGGTAATACAGAATACTCTTTGAAATTAAAAATTGTAGAAGTGATCCCTCGAGCTTTTTTTAGAGCTTTTTTTCTCTTTACTGGCAACAAAAAAAGAACCGTGCACGTTTTTCTTTCGCAAAGTATCAATTTATTTATTCATACACTTTTCTCTTATTTCCGTAAGCCAAATATGAAGTTTGATTCATTAATTCTTTAACCTTCAGGAAATGAGAAAAATAAGAATAAAATTTTGATGAAAAAATGCCGGAGTTGCCTTTGCAATCGCTCTCAGCGAAGCTTTATGTCGGGCTGGCGATCTCACTATTTCTGGCGACATTTGGAGTGTTTGGCGTGTTGATCCTGACGTTTAGTTTAGTCTTCTTCGCCCTTGGGTTAGTTTCAATGAAACTTGTATTTGATAAATTCATATAATACGTTTAGTTTTTGTTATATAACTTATCATCGAGCCAAGGAGAAAGCAAATGAACTTCACGGCGACTTCAAAGATTTACTGTCTTCTGAGAAATTCTCACGAGGAATTCCTCATTTGCTCATTAACAAAGATCGGAGGAAAGAGTTGGGTCAATTCTCAGAGGTCCATTCAATGTCAAGCTCTCCAGCAATGGACAAAGTCTTGGAAGACGTGAGCTTGGAGTTTCGACTGAAGTTAATGACAATATCTCAGATTCTGGGGTTCGTGATGCGGGACTACGTCGAGTCATGGTACCATAACCTCACGGAAGATCGGGTCTTCGAACAAAGTTTGAAAAGAACGACAAGGAGATCATTAGCCTCGTTAACTCATTGGTTTATGGTCAAACTCAAATGACGAACCAAAGCGAATTTAGCATGAAACAAGTGGACTGGGTGAGATTTTTCACTCGCGACGTCGTTGACGACTTCGCTTCTCATTTGAGATTGTTCAGAAAAGCAAGTGAGAGAAGTGTATTTTTCCAAAAAAATGGTGTGTTTTGCAATTTTTTCGAATAAATTTGAAAGTGCTCCAGCAAATGTGAAAGGAGACTGTCCTGAAGACCTACTCAGTCATTTTTTTGATTTCGAACTTGAAATGGAGAAAACGTTGTGTAGGGATTTGCTGTCGACCACGCCGCATTACGAGAACGGTTAGTGTTATTTCAGTTAATTTCTTGTCAGGCTATAAAAAGGGAAAAGTTTTGGCTAAGTGTGACATACTTTTTTTTCAGCCTACCTCCACGATCTAGTTGATATTGTGCTGTACCTCATCATGCCGCCAGAAGATTTTCGATGTCGACCGCTGAGATTTCTTCTTCGCGAAGTTATAGGTAGGATTTTTTTTCTCTTGAAAACTCCAATTATGTTTTTGAACTTGAAGTGAAGAAAGTGATTGTGCCAACTCTCGACTATCTTTCTGATCCAAACGAAATATTTCAACTTTTAACTTGGCTGGTTGGTTTTGTTTTTGTTTTTTTTTTCTATCACTATAAAAATATCTTCGCGAAAAGTTATGAAAAAAGATTATTCGTCACTTTTCTTGTTCAAAGAACGTGGAAAATTTAAAATGGTTGCGAAAATCTTTGGTGGGATTTTTAAAGGTGCAGAGGTCTTGCATCACCTGAAATATCATTGAAAACGAGACATCAACTTCAAAAAATTCGGCTGTGATCCTGCAAAAGCGAAGCTGTATCTTCTAATTCATAACACAAAGCTCCAGTCCAATCCGAATTATTTTTTAGCTGAGTGAAGTCGAGCCAAGACCGGAAGATTTCATCGCTTGCATTGAAAACAGTGAGAGTATCGAAGAATTAGACGCCTTGTATGCTGCGATTGCTGAAGAGAAATTGGTCATGAGGGGCAAAGATTCCGGTGGAGAACAAGGTTTCTTCAATTTTACTTTAATAAAAATATATAACTGATTTATAATAGAAATTTCAAGATTTTCGAGGCTCCGAACCTTTTGTTTCTTTTTCATTAGAACAAAGCGTGAAACTACCATGAGATAAATTCTGTCATTTGATTTCCATGATAACTATAATCCTGTTGCAGATGGTTTCGTTAAACAACAGTTGGCAAGTCTGCAATTTGTAGAAAATGCAATCAAAAGGAAAGTTGCTCTTCTGAGCAGTGGGAACAAGGAGAAAGGACTCAGTTTGGTTGGTTCATTTTCGCGTATTTTTCCATCCAATCTTCAAAATTTTCTTCTTCTCAAAAGCTATTTTACAAGTCAAGATGCAGTTTTTATTCAATGTTCTCTATTTTCCTCAGGATTCCAACGGCTCGATGGATAACGAACTTGTTCAACTTCCGATTCACGTTGTTCTGACGAATACCATCGCCGTTTCTTATTTCATCGATTTTTTGAAGTCTGTCGGAGGCCAAAACTACATCGATTGCTACTTGGCCATCGAGGCAAGATAATATTTTTCAAAACTCCGAGAATATTAAAATGGTTACTGTGCGAACTTAGAAAAGCCCAATTTTTCCTTAGCATTGATATATTATTTTTCAACTTATTCATAGGATTCTTTTATAATATTTCGAATTTCGGCATACGTCTGCGGTGACAGTTAGAATCATTTTCTATCATCTAGGGCTTCAAAGTGTCTGTGGAACATCAAATGAGGTCGTTGGCAAGCGGAGAGTTGTTGGATCGCGACGCCTACGAAACCATCAAGGAAGCCGCTCAGTTCATGCATCAACAGTACCTCTCACAGGAGGTATCGTGCTTCAGTATCAACTCCGCGGAATGGTTTCAATTTTCAAGAATCATCGAGCACAATTCTGAAATTTTTGGTACCTGAAACATGAAGTTAGGACACCTATGAAAGTTCTCGCTTGATATTTCTCTAATGCTATAAAAACTCTGTGGATCTTTTATTTGAGAAACTTATAAAAAAAAATAGCGGAATCCGATTTTAAATGTACTTTCGAGAAGACATTTTTTTTCTCCCTTCTGTCCAATCTTTGAACTCTTTTCATGAATATCATTTTTTCAATTACCGGCGGAAAAAGGAGGGTTTCAGGCCATCACACGCGTTCCTCTGGAAGATTCGCTCATTTCAAAGTTTCTATCTAAACTGAAGAATGACGAGCCGTCGGATACGTGGTTCGAAGCGATTCAGGAAAAAGTAGAACTGGAAAAAATCTCAGAGTGAGACTTGAATTTTTTAAGATTGTTGACGTTCTCAACACTGATGACCATTTCTACCCTTCATTCAAACTTTCCACTTTGTACGTAAAAATGCTCGAAGAACTCGGAATCGTGGATGATGTGAGCTTTTAAAGGAAAGTTTTCACGAAACTTGAGTTTTCTCAGGAAAGATGCGATACGCCGGTTTCGGAGAACGGATCTGTCGCTTCGGGGTCTTCCTACAACGAGAACTCGAACTCTTCAGTCAAATCTGTGGGTTTTTGGGAAAAAGATTGAAAAATAAATTTAATTTATCTTTTGAATAACGACGCGAGTCACAAAAAAAAATTGTTGAATTTTCTTAAGGCGGTTCTTTTTTGAAAAATTATTTTTGCTATAGCCCTGAAGGTATCTTTAAAAAAACTTAATAAAAAAAGGAAGATTAAAATTGTTTTTTTCTTGGATTGTTAATAGGAGCTTTTTTGTGTGGATTTTCTGGTTTTCGAAACTCCAAGAACTTTAATTAATAAACTAAATAACTTCAAAAATACTTTAGAACCCGAAATCAGAAGAAATCTTAAATGATGGAGAGCCGGTGATTAACGTCGTTGTGGAAACGCTCGGGATCGGTCAGCAGGTGAATAAATTCTGGAAATATGTATGAATCTGGTTGAAAGTTAAGAAGGAAACCCTCTTTTAAGAGGTTTTCCAGTCAAACATTTCAATTGAAATAATCTATCCTAGGGGAAACAATCGTTCGCATTGTACAATGTGAGGGTCAGTCGATCGCAAAACGGGAAGAAAGTCAGTGGATGGAACGTCTTGCGGAGGTACAGCGACTTCCACACGTTGCATTCCGTCGTTATGCAGAAGGTGGGCTAGGAAATTTCTTTTTGGAAATTAATTTCTCAGATTTTTGTGGGCTATAGAGCTATAGTTCATTGGAAATAAAAATAATGGTTAACCGGTTGAACATTGGAAAGAGGCGTGGTCGGATAAACCAGAAATGATTTGGCGCAGCTTACTTGAAGTCAAAGAAGTTGGGAATGTTGTTGTGAATGTTGAATTTTTCTTGAACCTATTCGGTTTTTTTCCGTGATTCACTGATAGCAAATCGAGCTCATCTTGATCTATTTATACCTTTCAATCAATAACAAGGTTCTCTAGAGAATCCCATGATTGCTGATGATTTCAGTTCCCCAAATTGGCAAGTTTGTCCTTCCCCGGTAAGAAGACGTTCAACAACCTCGACACGCACTTTTTGGAAAAGAGGACCAAGGTTTTCTTTTTTCTTACCTTCCTATCATATTCTACGTTCTGGCAAATTGTTACACCAAAATTCAAATGTATTGCGTATCCAGCTTTCAATTATTTTCATCATTTTCGCCATTCCAGGCTCTGAATCAATACATGGAGTCAATACTACAGCCGTCACTTTTGCGTACGAATCCAGAGCTAGAAAAATATGCCTTCGACTTTCTTTCCCAGAAAGAATATTCGTTCCGAGAGCCCCTTTCCAAAAAGGTAATTACTAGGCATTCGAGCTCAATAAGAGGTTATTTTAAGATTGATGAGAAAATGTTACGATCGTTATCGAGTTTTGAAAGAAAAAATGAGGGAAAAATTAATTTTACAAACGAAACCAATATTTGATTCCTAATATTAAAAAAAATGTATGTCACTTCCATAAAGACTAACCAAGAGTATGTTAGGAATTAAGTAAACGTAAAGTATGAGCAAAATTTCGAGCAAACTCTTTTTTTTATAGAGATTTTGAGTTCTTTCTCCTGATTTTCTGTCTTTTGACACTTTAAGGTTTTTCACTCAAAAAAGTTTTATACAGTCTCTACCTAGCAATAAAAAATTTTTTTTTGTATGGTTCTCAAATGTGTGTTTAGGCTTCGCGTTTTTTTCTTACTTTCCATTTTTTTTTTTGAAGGTGATGTCGGCAATGTTTGACCCAATTAAAAGCGGAATGAAGGCCGTGGGAAACACGGTGATGGCGGTCCCAGCTGAGGTTAGCTCATTTTTTTTTCTCTTTTTTTTGTGATAATTAGTAAATTAAGCAGCTTTCGAACTTTATATTTTTTGTCGCTGCGGGGTTACTGGAAATATTCGATTTTTTGCAGGTTTATGGCGGAGTGACAAAAGTTGGGGCTGGGATCAACAACGCGGCCAAGACGATTATTGTAAGGATTTGAATAGAATATTGTCTATAATTGAAAAAAAATTTTTTTACTCGAGAATCTTTCGATTTCACAAAGTAATTCAGTTTTTCAAAAAAATAGAAAAAAATTCACTATTTTTGATTTGATTTTTGTGAATTTAGTAACGATACATGTAGAAGATTGATTACGTTTTTACCAACTTCGGCCTGAACTTGAATTGAATCTGTAAAATAAATGATTTATGGGTGATTCTCAAAGTTTTCATTATCTGCACTTTTTTTTCAGAATCCTTTGCAAAACGGCCCGAGACTACCGTCAATTGAAACGGATCGTGTAGCCGCTGCTTTGTCCGACACGGTTCGGTTTTACATCAATTATGAAAAAAGGATTAATTTAAAGTTCTTATAAAGTGAATTCATATTCCGCATTCTCGCTCTCTTGAGCCACTAATAGGTGAAAACATGATTCGATTATGTTTTAAGGAAGCAGAAAACATTCCCCTCCGCGTTTTGGTTCTTTTTGTCGACGAAGTTTTTGGGGTCCGGGCCAGAAACGCTTGGTTTCGACGGCAAATGGTGCGTTGAAGTGGCGGAATTTCCGAGAATGCACTCAATTCTAGGTGATGATGCTGCAACAGTTTGTGACGCCCTTCGGAACTTCCATAAATAAAAGGATTATCGATGTTGTCAACTGGCTGACGTCAGAGCAACAAGTCACCAGTTATCTCAGTGCTTTCAGGTATCTTCCAAAGATTTATACTGATATTCATCGTTTTCTAGAGATTCAATGTGGCCGGGGGGAGTTTTAGCTCCAGAATATGCACCGAAACCTGCTTCTTTTCATCATAGGTTTTTTTTATAATGTTGAATAATTAGGATATTTGAATTCCAGATGTCGCGTCTTGGCGAAAACTCTCATGCTTTCTTCGATGCCGGACGAATTGCGCATTGTTTTGGGCGCCGAGACGAGTTACCAGGTCAATTTGAGGAAAACAAAAACTAATTTTGCGAGAGTTTGAATTTCATCGAAACTTGGAAAATAATGAAAAGTAGCTCAGTTTATAAAAAGGTTCTGAGACTAGTTAAAATTTGACTTCATTTGTTGTTTTAGGCATAAAAAAGGTGATAAGAAAATTGTTCTCGACTGGTTTTTCCTTCTCGAGAAAAGGGACAATGATTGACGTTTTCAGGGAATCAACACGATCTCCGAAGCTTTCCAGAACAAATCGCTCAACCGACGCCTTCTCTACGTCCTCTTAGAGCGGCTTTTGACCAACGTTTTCCCTCAAAATCGCTTTGAAAAGATTTTCGCCCAACTTCATTCCAAATCTCCACGGACCAAAAAGTTTTGATAATTGTGATTTTGTTCTTTCTACCGGTCTCGAAAGTTCTTTGTGCTGCTTTCTTTGCATTTGTGATACGCTTCTTCTGTGTTGTGTCCATATACTCCTTGGTGCTAGTCATTTTTAGATTTTCATCTGTTTTAGTTCACGAATTCAAGCTTGAGCTTTCATTTTTTGCATTTCAAAATACCTAAATATGATCTTATTTTTGATCGTTGAGAGCCCTTTTTCGTTAAGGTCTGCTATTTTTCAGGGATTTTAGATCATATTTAAAACATTTGAAAAAAAGCTACCATCGCCTTCAGAATAACCCACTGACTTGTTTCTGCAACGCCTTTATGTATTCTTTTTCATTGCCTTTCGCTAAACTTATTTCAACCTAACCTCTGTTAATATTGCTTTTTCTTCGATTCAGATTTCATCATAATTTCCTTCATGATATAATTTCTTTTTAAAATTGTACTGATTGTAAAATACAGAAATTGTAAATACTTCTCTTAATTGCCAGTTATTCGTATTGCCACAACATTCATTCTTTTCTTTGTCATATTTCAAATCTCTGACAGCTCCGATTCCAATTGCCCGGTGATATTTCTTCAATCTATCAGTTTAGTCCCTCACTTACTTGCCATATTCTTCTAGAAACAAATATTAAAAAACGCGTTCGTAGGATAATAATTCCAATTTATATCGCATTTTCGATAAAAGATGTTTATTATATTTCGTTTGTTCGGCTTGATGATGTTTTAGTCGTCTCGCTATACCTGTTTTGCAGCTTCGTATTATCACCTGATGTATAATGACGCTAGTCAATTCGCGAAAACTTTGAAAGCTTTAGTCTCACTTGGCTCGTCTCATTCAATAATTTCAAGATTGGCAAAAATCATTTTCCAGAATATAAATAATGGAAAAGCTATTGTCCGAAGAGCTTGGTCTTGAAGACGTCGAAAAATGCGGGAGGAGCGCCTACGAGACCGCCCAGGGAAAGGTTTTTGTCAAAAAAGGAGATAATTCGGATGAGGTTGTTTCTCGGTTGAGAGAAAACAAAAAAGAGGTCCTTCAAGGGTGAAAAGCTGGTGAAAGGAGAGCTCGAATCGCTTCGAGCCATCGATCGAACCGGCGCCATCGGATGTCCGAAGCCGTTGGGCCTTGTCAAAAGTGGAAGTTGGTGTTTTGGGATAGTGATTACTACAGGGGCTTTTTCTCAGCCGGATGTGCCCTGGTGACCTCATACGTCGATGCCAAGCGGTCGCACACGGCTTCTGCCGAATTCGGCCGGCAACTTGCCGAGTTGGTTTTGAGAAAAGAAAAAAGAGGAGTGCGGCTTCGACAGTTTGAACGAAGCGTTCTTTTGAACTAAGCAAAAATCTATCATAGGGACTTTTTTTTATATCTTCAGTAAAAGTGAAGTTAGTGATAATCGAAGTTCCTCTTGTACTACATGTGAAGGCGTAAATAAAAACTATTGGAAAATCGGAAAAGCTGGAAAATTGAAAACTTTCCGTCAAATGTGCGAATCCTCTAGGATGAAAGTGTTGAGTAAAAGTATGGATAGGATTGGATTCTTCAAAATAACTCGAGACAAGTCCCTGCAAAGTCTCACCGAGTTCTCAACCCATACTACTTTCATTGTAGAAAAATAAGTTCTCCTTCTACAATCTGGCTCAGATCCATGTAGCTCAGAATGCATCGCGACAACGCCGACCGTCTGGCCAAAGCCGAGCACGACGCCAAGATCGTCGGGAAAGGCGAAAACGTCTTGAATGGAGTGAAATCTTTCGGATTCGAGGTTCCGACTTGCTGCGGCCGGATTCCACAGGACAACGAGTGGACCGACGATTGGCCGGTCCGTTTTGGAATGAATTGAGGCTCTGTAGCAATCGATAAATCATCAGTTTCGGTTATATTCTTAAATTGAAATTTCAGACTCCCAAAAAAATGGTCAAAATTAGGAAGACATTTTCTGTTAAAAAAATGTATTAAAATTCTCGTTGTTGTGTTCAAAAGCACAGAAGATCTTTGTAGCTTAAAAAAACACTAAAAAATTTTTTTCCGCTTCTGAAATTGTGTTCAGTTTGTTTATGTTTTTTGGATCAATGTTTTTGAACGACTTTTCCAGACTTTTTTCATTCGCCAACGTCTGGATTCGCAATTAGGTCGGTTGATGAAGGTATAAATATAGTCATTGTTTCTAATTTGAAGAATTTTTTCAGAAAGGCGATCGAGAGCTCAACGAGCTGCATGATGAGTTGGTGGAGAAGACGGCAAAACTGTTGAAAAGCAGAGAAAATGTAGAATTTCTCGAAAGATATTCCAATAATTCTTTCATATAGGTCAAGCCGGCGGTGGTACATGGCGACCTTTGGAGTGGAAATTGGGCTCAAACCGATGCAGGACCAGGTGATTTCTCACTTTTCTCTTTTCGAGGAGAAATAACCTCGTGAAAACTTGAAAAGGCTATTTTTTATTTGATTTTCAGTTATTTACGACCCATCGTCAAGTTATTCGGATCCTGAGTTTGAGCAAGGCATCATGAATATGTTCGGTAAGTCCGAAAGTCTTCCTTCTGGGAATAATTCGAGGTTCCAGGCGGTTTTGGACGTGACTTTTGGACGGGATACCAAAAAGTGCTTCCATTCGATGCGGATCGCGATAAAAGAGTTCTTCTTTATGAACTCTATCATAATCTGAACCATTGGTTCGTTTTTTTTTCTTTGAGATTTGGGTAATCGTTTTTGAGAAATGATTAAATTTGAAACTTTTTATTTTTTTTTCTTCTCTTTTTAGGAACCACTTCGGCCCCTCCTACCGTTCTTCTTCGATTGACCTGATCCACGAGATTCTCAAATGTTGAGAGAAAAGAGAATCTACTCTTTTACCATTGTTTTTTTTTCTAATTGTCATGTGAAAAATCCCAAATAGTGTCGATAGCTGTAGATATCATGTAGAAAGTGTTTATTTCCTGTATGTTTTCTGTTTTCGTCGCTGTATTTTGTTATAAAAAATTTTTCAAACTGGTTTTTTTGTTACTGGAGCTTATCTTTCAATTTCGATCCAAATGAAAATGAAAGTTCGAGAGTCGAATATACGAAGGTGATCGCGATAAATCTCAGGCAAATATTTTTTTACGAAAATTCGCAAGAAAAAGAAAAAAGTGAAAAATTTTGTGGGGTTGAAACGCGCCGCACTGCGTTGCCTTAGAATCATCTCGCGTTTTTTTCCATTTTTTTAAAACTATTTTTTCGCCTGCATCTTCCCGTTTTGGAACACTGTGCAATTATTTTCATAAAAGAAAACCTCGCCAGGTCACATTTAACATTCATTTTTTCCGTTGACAAAAAATGCATTCACAATGGTAGAAATGTTATTTTCCCTTTTTCGTTGTTGTAATCGTTCTTTATTAATTATATTTACCCCGAGACAATCGATTGAATGAATCATTTCCGGCCGAAACGGATGTACTGGCTTTTGCGCTTCTGCATAGCTTCCTCTGAAGGAGCCGAGCGGCCGAATCGTACAAAGGCCGATTTGCGTTTCTCGGCCGTCTGAAAGCTCTTCGAATTTATCATTCCAGGTTTTTTTCTCACCATGACGTCATCTTCTTCAGAAGCCGACCGCTTTCCGAATCGGACGAACGCCGACTTTCTCTTCTGCACTTCAGAGACGGGAATCGCCAGGTTGGCTGAAGTTATTCGTTATTTGTTCAGAGAACTAGAATACGGTAACCCTAGGTAACTACTTGGGGAGAAATAAAATTTTGGTAAAGTACTAGAAAACATTTTAAAAGAAATTCCTAGCGTTTTCTTTGTTCTACCGTGTTCAAAGTGATTCACTGAAAATAGCTTTCAGACAGTGAGAGGCAACAAAATTTTGGAGGACTAGAGCTATTTCTGAATTTAGCGAGAACAACTTTGGCAAAGAGATCGAAAAGGTCCTTGTTGAAACAAGAAGGAAAAAATGAATCGGAAAACCAATTTAGTCAATCCTTCCCGACTTGAAAGGCGAAAGAGGCAAAGAAGTTCCGACGCGTGGCGTGCGCGTACGCGGTTCTTGGCACGAGTTCGATTCAAGCGCCACCGACTATTTAAAAATCTCGGTCAACGCTCTTTTTGTATCTGTTCTACTATTTTTTTAATGCGCAAATTAAAAAAACAATAAAGAATGAAAAAATAAATGAAAAAAAGTAGCTCTCCGAATAGTCGCTCGCGGTTGAACTGAAAGCTTTCCAAGAACCGCGTACGCGCACGCTACGCGTCCCGCCTCCTTCTCCGCCCTTCTCACCTTTCAAGTCGAGGCAAATTGACTATAAAAGTATCACATTGAATTTTGAATGAACATAGGCTCAAAACATATTTCGAAACTGTTAAAAAGACATAAAAGTTGGTTCAGTGACGTAATAATCAGTTTTATCCACAAAAACGATGTAGCCACGCGACCTGGGAAAACGTCTTTCATATTGAAAAAATCATAAATGAGCAAAAAAGTTGAAACGAAATCTTAGGATTGAGTCTTCCAATAGCGTTCAGCTTTTGATGACGCCAATAAGATGGTTATTTACTTCATGACGTCATGTGGGTGAAACTACATCTCTCTAGTGTTTTTGGTGTGAATAAGTATCAACGGAGTTAGCAAAGAAATTAATAATTTAAATGAGAGTTTTGATTCGTTTTGCATTTTCTCATGATCTTCGTCATTGGTTACACAGTTACAGTTACAGTCATTCCTTCCAGACTTGAAAGGCGATATGGGCAGATTGTCACTGGGGGAGCGGCGCTTTTTTTGCGGGAACCTCGAGGTCAAACGCAATCATGGAAAAAGTGTGGAGGAAATAGTTTTTCATTATTTTCATTTTTCTATTCTTTCAACTAATATTTCAAAACCAAAAAAAATTATATGAATTTGTAAAAAAAAACTGTTAAAAAAGGACAAAGAATTGTGGCTCAAATTTAATCTCAAGCTCGCCGCCAAAAGCCGCGTCGCGTACGCAACGCTCCAACCTTGCCAATCTACCCATTTCGTCTTTCAAGTCAGGGAGAGTGGACTATACATCACAGCAGCAAAAAAATGAATAAATTTGTAAAATATCACGAAAAAAGTCAATCGAGTAATCTTGGAGCACGAAAAGTCGATTTTTTCTTATATCGGTTTTTGGAGGTACATGAGCTGTATTAATGAAATTTTCAACGAAAAGCCCAGGTGCTTCTACTGTAGCTTACAAACGTAAGAAGAATTTGTGGAAACAATGTTCTAGAAAACGAGAAACGGACCTTGAGCAGCGGCTTCGCTGTCCTGTAGTAAAAACTGGAGCTCGATGAGAGAGCCCATGAGTTCCTCGCGGAGCCGACACATATGTAGCGTGGGAAACTTCTCGCAGAACTGCTCGGCGAGCAGTTCTTCGCTGGTCGCCTTGGCCGCCGACGCGGTCGCCGATAAACCCAAGGCCAACGTCGCCAGCACAGCCGCGCCCAACATTTCTGGTTGTCGAGATGATCCGAAATGAGATTATGGTAGGTCTGCCGGTGTCTTTTATGGCACCCAAGAATTATTTGATGCGATTCGGATGTCCGGCGGGAGAGGAAAGGGGCGGAGCAAGGCTTCTTGGTTTTCCTCCTTTTTTTTGATTGAATTAGCGTGTTAGAGCTTCGTCATAGGCTTTTAGAAAAGGTAGGCGTGTTGTATCCCAGTTTTTTGAACAAAAATGATCTCTAATCTTTCAATTTTTGAAATATTAGGAAAACTTGTTGGAGCGTTGAGTTGGCACTAACGAACTTTTTCATATGAACTTTTCTGTTTTAATATAGTTCAATTTTTTTTTTGAAGATTAGGAGCGTGAAATTTCAATCGAGGTTGATATTGCTGTGTTCAGAAGAATACATGACTTCGGTTGTTCAATCGGGAATTTTTTCAAGGGGACAATTATTCTTGATAACCCTAGGCCCTAGGGTCTATGGAATTTTTGAAAACATAAAAGAAAAATCTTTTTCATAGAAGAAGATAAAGTAACTCAAAAGCTTTTTGGAAACCAAAAAAAATCTTTTGTGAATAGCAGGTTGAAAAATAGTGATTTACTATGGGTCGTAGAAAAGTTTTACTAATCCTTGGCAAGGGTTCAGAAGTAACATTCTCACTCGAATGACTAATCCTGAACTTAAAGTTGATTTTAGAAAAAGTGAGCACTTTCAAATAGTTTGGTTGCAATATCACAGAATTTCTATAGGACATCAATAACAAGAGACGTGAACTAGGTGATAATTGGAAGAAGGGGTCATTTCTTGTGAGGAGTATGAAGACGTTGACGCAGACGGTGGCAGGAGATTTCAGCGAAGGGATTCCCAGAAGCGCCACCGACAGCGACACGAGGTCCAGGCTCGGCTCGGTTCAGTCCGGCATCGAGTCGTAAGTCTTGGAACTCACGGCTTCGAAGATTCTCAAGCACCACAAATAGTGCTGTTTCGATTCTTTTCCATTATCAAGTCGCGAAATTTTGATGAGAATCTGATTTTTACGGGTCATGCATACTTCTTAGCTTCTTTCACTACTATGAAAAGTTTGATTTTTTCATGAATTTTTTCGAACTCGCGTTTGAACTGTGCTGACAGCTAACAACTGTGAATAAGAAAAAGGAGCTACGGATCTGAGATTTTTGTTTTTTTTAGGGTTTTGAGGTTGATAAATTCTCATTAGTTGGCCAAGTTTTCATGAAGCGACGTGGCGGACTGTGTTCAATTATCCTCTCCCCAATTTACCCGAAAAATTTTCTCATTTGAGATATGATGTGAAACTGAAGAGGAGATTTGAGAGACTTTCGTTAAAGGGAAGAAACGTTTGAGAACTAACGCCCATAGAATTCAAAGATTTGTTGCGAATAGTTCTGAAAATGCAGCCTCGCAAATTTTTCTTCCGTGGTTTTCTATGAAACGTAGACATCTTAAAAATTAGCGAGATTTCAAAAGCTCTCCTTTGGAAAAAAGGTTTTTTTTTCTCAGAAAGGCCACAAGGCAAAAAAGGAGATTCCACCCCATATTTGAGTGCAAAAGAGGATTTGGTTGGCTGGAGCCAAATTGTATTCAAATTTTAAAGAAATGGGTAGTATTCCAGTTATTCGGTTGGCGTGGGAAAATCGAGTTCACAAAATTGTAGAATTGCAAGTGTTTTGAGAGAAGAAATTCCAAGGCTTATGAAAAGTCAGAAGAATGATAGATCCACCAAAAAATTGGGAAAAAATAATTTCAGTTTGATTTTTGGGAAAAAAAATTTTTCTACAAAATTTTTCTACAAGTTTGACTATCCACAAAAAACAATGACGCATATCGGAGTTAAGCCTATTTTTTTTTAGTTTTTTTTGGAAGTTCTTCAAATTTTCGATGATTAAAAAAACTAATCGGGAAGCCTCAAAGACTATTTTGCATGGTGTTCAACCGTAAACATGGAATCTTGAATACGATTTCGCGAAGCCTTTGGGATGAAGCCAAGGTCCAAGAACCGAGACCTCAAATTGCTGAACGATTGGGGGCCTAAAAAGTTTGTCTTGCCGTTTCCCTGTTATTTATTTGCCTTTTTTGCCACAAAGACGTCTTGAAACGCATTAATCTTTTTAGATTTTTCCCATTGAGTTTTTTGTTGAGAAAATGACTTCCTGTAAGTAAGGACTGAGCAATTGAGCTTTTGAGCTTTGGACGAATGAAGAAAAAGTTTAGATGTTAAGATGTGTTTGAAAAAAATCAAATGCATTTTTTGCAGGCAAGGTTGCTACTTTCCGAAATTCTTCCACACCGAGGAGGCACAAGTCGAAGGTATCGGCTATGGCTGCCGGTTGGACGCAGAGAGTGGGAATCAGTGCATGACGTCATTAAGTGACGAGATGATGACGTCATGTTTGCAGAGTGATCACTCTAGAGGTGCGATGGACGGCGCCAACCCGCGAATCCGAAAAAGAGTGGCTTCGGCGGTTTCCAAACGGAATTTTTCGGAAAAATCACATCAGCAGCACGAAGTCTCCTGGTAAAGTTTTCAGGAAAAAAACAGAGAATCAGGTTGTATTTCGAAAATTGCTTCGTTGATAAGTTTCGAGAAAAAACTACATCAAAAATTTCCAAATGGCTATTTTCTTTGAAATACCAATCTCTCCCAGTGAAGATTTCGTTCGAAGTTTTTCATTTGAAAATAAAGGAAAGACAAAAGAAAATTCACTTTAAATATTGTATGATTCCCAGGAAAACTATCAAATCGTTCGGATTATTCAACAGCGACGGAAAAAGACATGATTCAAGTGAAGCTCAGTTTTGTAGGAAAGGTATTGTGATTTCGGACAACTTTCTTCATGAGTATTCATTGATTAACACTACTTAACCTTACAGTATTTTTCTTCATAATTTCTTGGGGTTCTCTCAAAATATACTTTCCTCGCTCTGACTTTAAAAGAGGTCGTCGCACTTGGAATGGCTCAACGCGTCTCGGTCATCTTCCAGAATCATTTTCAATCACAAAATAAAGAAATATTTGTGAGACGCAATCAGTCTCAACTCGATGTGTAACTAGAATTGAAATAATTCCATCTCATCTTCCTTTACCTCGGACTAAAAATCCCTGTTCGACTTTAGCCTATCCATCACACCTTCATTGATGATTCGCTTTCCCTTCTTTGTCATACTTTTATAATGTGTTCATTTTTTTTTTTCAATCTTAGCGCCCAGATATAGTTGCTCAAAATGTTTTTAGATTTTTTTTTTGAAATATTGCAAAAGGGAAATTGTGACGATGAGTTGCCCTCTGAGACGACAATTTTTAAAACTCGATGAAGCTGCGCGTTAACTTATAACATTTCAAACTTTCTCATGCTCTCTTAAAATTGTTACTCAATAACTTTTTTCAGGGCAGGACGGAGCGGTCGAGTCGAGAGATTCGCATGGATAAAGAGACAAGGTTCAGAGAAATCGAGGAAATGACTCCTCGCGGAGCTTCCATTTTCGTGACCCCTGGTTTCAGTGTCGACTTGAACAAATTGGTCGGTTATGACTTTGTTTATAATCACGAATTCGCGCTCTACGAGTTCAAAATTCTTCTTAACTTTTCAAAGTTGCTGAGCTGAGAGCTAGAAAATGAACTGAAATACTTTTAATCCGAGTAAATAATTAATAAGGTCTTGAAAGGACGAAATCTCCGGATCTGCTATCAATTGGAGACTGTTCTTTTTAAAAACAGTTTTCGTTCTTATGTAACCATGTGATAATCAAAAAAACATTTGCACTACCTTTCGAAGTTTCTTTTTGAAAAGTTATTGCATATGGTACTTTTTAAATTCTCAGTTGCAGTTCAAGCGCAAACTAATATAACTAACCGGAAGTTTTTTTAAATTCATAATTAAACTTTTTTTATTTTTAAATTTAGGTAAACCTTCGTTCTCTGTTCAGTGGGGATTGGTTCGAACTTAGTATTGAGCCCAATTTTTGATTAAACTTTTTAAATCAGCCGTGAATCTGAAGAATTTCACACTAATTAAAAATTGAAAGCTGGCGTCTCGCAAAAAATCTCCCGCATTAGTTGAGTTCTGATGTACTAATAAATATGTTTCCTCAAATTTTTTTCCAAACCTCGTGGTTTGAAAATGATCGAATTAGCTAGTCGAACTTTCAAATTAAGTCTTTTTTTCTCATATTTTTTTCCGCTTCAAAAGCCGAAAATTGCAATTGAAAAAAAGTTGTTTCTCTTACAGACTTAGTAAATCTATTTTTTTAGTAAGAAAATAAAAAAACATGAAAAAAATGAAAATAAAAAAAAACACAAAAATAATTCACTCAGGAGAAAGTAGACAACCGCATGAGCTCAAAATGGAGAATCGGCGATGTCGCGTCGACGGAATCGCCTTTCGTCCACTTCGTCGTCGTCGAGAACGACTGACTCCCTCTTTTTTTCCTTTTTCTTCGAGATTCACAATAAAATTATAATTCTTTGAAAAAAAGTATTAGAAATATACGTCTTCCAATTATTTTTCTAAAGCTTTCGTGAAAAATTTTTTTCAAAAAGGAAAAAGCAATTTTTGGGGAAAATTATCAAAAAAATTTGGTACTTTTTTTGTGTTTGGAAAACTGGTTTTTTGGCCACCATGTGCACCTAAAAGTGCGTCGGAAAAAAAGTTTGAATTTTTCATATCTACCGTATCCAAAAAAATCGGGTTCTCTAAACTCGGTACTTCTCTTTTAAAACGCGGATCTTTCCGTCATAAATCTTTTTTCAAGGTTTTTGGTTCAGAGTCTGGGAAAGCAGTTTTTCAAAATTATTTTTTTGATGTTTTTTTGAAAAAAATAATAATTTTTTTATGAATATTGAGGTTTGTTTCTTGCTAAGGTGAAAAAAAGACGAAATTTTGGAGAATATAGCGGGTTCCGCCCAAAATGGTCACGTTGTGAAATACAGTAGAAAGAAGTTACTGGGAAAACAGCTTTTTTTTTCTTTTTTTTTGCTGTACATAACTGCAAAAAAGAGAGAAAAAAAACAAAGGTTTTGAAGCGAATTTGCTCAATTAGATCTTATTTGGCATACGGTCTTTTTTGGCGGAAAGAAAAACAAAGATAAATGTGGCAAGCTGGCGCGGAATAAGCGATCATCCTTTTGAGGCTCTAAATTGAGTAAAATTCATCACAATGGTCGTTTAAGGGACCACTTGACGACATTTTTCTCTGATAATTGGCTTAAAATCCGTGAACTGATATTTTTGACCTGCTACTTTTGAAAAATTTCCAATATTCAAAATAATCTGGTTCGGTTTTGAGTCACTTTCTGCGTATCTTCCAAGGAAGTATAGAAAACTATCCAAATCATTCTCAGAATCTCTTGTGAATCGTTAGAAGATTAAGGCCGGAAATATTTGCAAATTTTAACACATTTTTATTTGAGCCTAAGATATTTCCTTGATGGTTTATATCATGCCGGATGTCGAAGTTGGAATGGAATCAGTCTTTTTTTTTTGGGTGATGACGAAGAGGAAGTATAAATCATCAAACTATCCCAAATGGTTGCTGTTTTCCGGCAGTTGATGGTAGCGCTCAAGGCCGAGCTTTTTCTGGAAAAAAATGAGCTCAGTGTTGAAAAAAAGGAAAAAAAGCGTGGTCAAAGAAGTCGGATTTTTTCTTTTTGTGGAAAGTTTCAACAAGATTAAGCCTGTATTAAAATCATTTTTTTACATGAAATTATCTTTTTTTCTCGGAAATCTCTAAAAGTGACGATATTATTTTTTTACATTCATTGTCAATCCTTCCCGACTTGAAAGGCGAGATGGGTAGGTTGACAAGGGTGAAGCGTTGCGTGTGCGACGCGGCTTTTGGCGAGGAACTCGAAGTCAAACAAGATCCACCTTTTTTTCTTCTTTTTCGACAGTTTTTCAATAAATTGCAATTTTTTAAAAGTTTGAAAAGATTCAGTTGAACCAAAAAATTTAAAAAAACCAATAAAAAACTTTTTTCTACTTTTTCCATGATTAAAGTTGACCTCGAGTTCCGCGACTAAAGCCTTTTCTATTCCTTTTTACCTCGCCAAAGAAGTGCTCAATCAGAATGCGTGTAATCTTGAACAAGGCCGTCACGATGCACAAAGCAATGCTCCACTTCCAGGAATCCGGGGTCTCGACCTCGGCGCCTTTTTCTCCGCCTCCGAAGGACTCGGCGTGCTCGAGGAGCTGCCAGCGCTGCTCCAGACGCGTCTTGTCGATGTGGATCACTGAGAGAGCTCAGATTGAAACTTTGGAATTATTCAGACTCACCAGCGGCGACTAAGATAAGGAGCGCCACGCCGACGAAGACGTTGAAGCGGTCGCGGATCGCGCCGCGGAACATGTTCAGCTCGGCGAGTTCACACAAGGAGCCGAGGGCCAAGACAAGGGCGAAAAAGGCCGGAATCACCACGAGGTCTGAAGATGTTCATGGAGATGAGCGGAAAAAGAAAACTATAACGAGAGTCGCGCCAGTTTAAAAATCTCGACCAGGGAAGGCGGTGGCAGATTGAAGCTTCGTGTTCTGCGATGTTTTGACTAAAAATATCTTTTTTTTCCATTTCGTGAAGCAAGTTATACATGTGTTCCAATAGAGAAGTCCTGTTCGATAAATCGCCGAGAGCAGATTCATGGAGCTGGGGCGTTTTCTGAAAACATGGTCGAATCAATTTTCCGAAATTTGTTCCAGAATGTCATAGAAAAACAAGCTTCTTGCGCTGATACTGGGAAAGCTCTTTCACGGTACAGCTATGTTACATTCGTATAACTATTTCGCACCATTTCTCTGAATTTTTAAAGAAATTTTCGGTCATTAGTCCGAAGCTTTTTCTCATTTTTCTAGTGATTGAGTAGGAAAAAATCTGAACACATAAGACTTTCAGGAAAATAAAAAACCTCATGGAAAACACAGTGAGCTTCAGGATTGACGACTTTCAAGTGAGCGCACAAATAGGCCGGGACCAACATCAGAACCCCGAAAATGGCTAGGGCCAGAGTCATTTCAATCAGCAGAGTCAGACGATGGACCAACATCTGCGATTCTCCTTTTTTCCCATTGATATCAGGTAATTGAAGAGTTGGAGCGATTTCTCATTGTTTAAACCTTATTTAAGCCAATTCGCTCTAAAAAGGGGCCTTTGAAGAGCTTGTGCTGTTTTTTAAAAGCAGAGATGTTCTACTAGGGAACGCTTTTTATCCCCTGGTTGAACTTTTGATGAAACTTCGCTGAAGTGTACTTTGGAACCTCCTGATTGCAGAACAAGAAATATTTCTCGTAATCGATCTCGTTTTTTTTTTTTCGAAACTTCAGCTTTCGGTTCAAAATTTTGCAATTAACGCATAAAACTCAAGTTAAGATTATGGTCAAATAGATAGTCAGCTGTTTTTTTTTCTCAAAAAATCGCCAAAGCTGATATCAAGTGATTGATAAAAACAGTTCACAGTACGTTTTTTCTCATCATTCTTTAAATTTCTCTTTTTTTCTTCTTTTTTTCCCCACTATTTTATTTAAAATTTTTTTAAAGGTAGTGGCGTTTTTTTCGAAAAAAAGTTTTATGTGTAACTGTCTATTTTATTTCAACTTTGGTCGAAAATCAGAAATCAAACTTGCAAGTTTAAGAAGAAAGAGCGAATTAACTAGAAACAGTCTTCCTTACGGTTGATTTGGCAAGGTCGAGAATCTAGCCGTTTATTTGGAAAAACTGATACCTCGTGTCGACGTCAACAGTGTCCCGAGAAGAAATGATCTCATCCACGTAAAGACGAGCCTTTTTTGAACTTTGTTCCAGAATCTTTCGAAAAGAAAAACGTGTAATGGTTTATCGAAAAGAAAAACCGAGAATGACTGTGGAGAAAATATGAAATTATTTTGAACTGGAAATCGTGAAAAACGGACTATAACTGGAGCAGTTTATTTGAAAGAGAAAAAATTCTTTTGATTTAATGGTAATTCAAATTTTTTTTGGCTTTTTCGATTATTTTAAGAAATGGTTATGTGAAATGGTTAAGAAATGGTTATGGTTATGTGAAATAGATTGAGTTTTCTAAAAAAACTTGATTGAGTTTTTTTGAAAAAAAAAGTGGGGAATATTTTTTGGAACCTTATTCAACCTTTCAGCCTACAAGGTCGCAAATGATTGTAAAAAAGTTCATGTGTACATGCTTTGAGATTTACATCATCGTACCTACTTTCAAGAACATGGCATCCGATTTGACCGTTTCATTATTTCTTGTCACTTATGGAAGTCATCCTTTTTCTTTTTGAACGACGTTCATTCGCACCTGAAGGCGTCAGAAGGGAGGGATGATAAATGGGTTGCGAAGGGCGGGAAGAATCGCTTCTTTTCGTTGTACCTGTCGCGTCGAATTGAACTGGACGTACATTGACGACGAATCGTCCTCTCATTTTCCAGCACCAGAAAGCTCCATTCTTTTTTTTATTCTACCATTCCTTTGCTTCTGCAACAATCATGAACCAGGCCGAGACGGACGGTCTCGTCACCGTTCCTTCCGTTGGTCAGTCTTTTTCGTCTTTCAAAAGTACAGTGGTAACTACTTGCGTTTATAATTTTCGGAAGTTGTTAGATAACTATCTTGTTGTCAAAAACACGGCCGACAGTATAGCCCATATACTGTATAGGAAGAGGAAGAAATGTATATTTGAGCTTTGTTTTTTTTTTTGAGAAATTTTTGAAGAAGAGCATGTTTTGTGTTCAATTTGTTGGTCTGAAAACTTTTAAAAAACTGAAATTCTCACAAATAGTAAAAATAATAAAAACTAGCCACCTTTTGTTTGAAGTATTTTAATGCTTGATATATATTTCAACGATTCTTGAAAAGTGAACGTGCAGCCTAACTGTCCTGTTTAAAAAGAGAGCAGTCATGAGTTACTCGAATTCAAAAAACGGCCTTCTTATAGATGAAATAATCGTTTTTCTATGCCACTTTGCTCCTCAAAATGAAGTTTGGCGGTTTATGACTGTGTTTCAGTCGATGCGACGGAGCCTCCGAGAAGATCTCTGGACGATATCGTCCGGCTGAGATGGTACTGCGCCCTCGTCCTCCTCATGGCCGAACTCGTCGCTTTCACCTGCCTCGCCAGTGTCACTTTGATGGTTTTTGCAGGTTTTTCTGCTTCTTTATATTTTTAGTCCGTCAAGAAAATTGTGAACCTTTTCCGATAACATCGGAAACATTTCCTGTGCCGTTTCAGTGATGCGATAAGAGTTTGTCGTTAACGCGACGAAATGACTGAGCGGTTCGATGGGTATAATTTACGACCGGTTTTGGGAACCTGTGTCGGAAACTGAAAAAAATCTGTTAGGTTTAGTGTTATTTTTCCTGAAGTTTATGCACGAAATTGAAAATCTGCAATAGATTCATTTGAAACTTGTAGAAAGTTTTTTGGGTTCATAAGAATTTGGCGGCACAGTATATTTCATGAAAGACTGTCGAAACTTTGAGTATCTTAATTTCTAGCCTGTGTCTTGCAGGCTTGTGCGCGCCAGGTCGGAGCTTTTACTTTGTTCTGGTTTCAGGAGCCTCGCCAACAGTTTCGGGCTGTGGAAACGAGGTCTTCACTAAATCAACAATTTGTGAAGAATTAAGTGTTCGAAGAAACTTGACTGGCTGCGTCCCGAAACTCGATTATCAGTTCAAATCGCTGCAAGTCGAGGTTTTTTTGAGGCTTTCTCAATTCAATTTTCTCAAAATTGTTTTCAATTATTTCCGACAGTTCTTGTTGTAAATGGCTACAATCTCCAAATTTTGTGATGCCCCTATGTTTAGTTCTAAAAAGAAGTCTTCAATTTTCCCAGTTTATTATTTTAAGAATACTCCACTGCGAAGAAAATTGGTCGCTTGGAAAGATAAGGAAAATAATTTTTAGGCGAAAAACGCTTTTAATGGTTACTTTGCCGTTTTCAATGACTTCTTAGTCATTTTCATTCCAGTTCGATTACATCTGCGACGATGCAAAAAAGGTGAAGAACACGATTTCGGTTCAAATGTTCGGTGTTCTGCTGGGAGCCGCGTTTTTCGGCCAACTCAGTGATCTCTTTGGACGCAGAAAAGTCGCATATTCAAGTTTCGAAATAAATACTTTGATTTCAGGCCTTGTTTTTTTCCTCCGTAGGAAATGCGGTCTTCAATGTCGTGGCTTCACGGTCGCCAGATCTTCTTTATTTCACCATTTGGCGCACTTTGGCTGGCTTTTTCACTGGCGGTTTGATTGTGTTAGTTTTATTGGAAGGTTTTATTACTTTTTCGAACTTTCTTCTTCGAGTTCTGGAAGAAAACACAGGACAAATGAAGAATGGAAATGAAATAGAAATCTGGACGAAAAATAGAAGAATAGGCTATTCTTATATATATATATAGCTATTCTGAATAGCTCAAGGAAATCAAAAATAAAATAAAAACGAGGATCGAGATTCAAGAAAATAGCTACGAACTTGTGGAATGTCGGTATCAATTGATATTAGAAGATTTTTTTATTATATTGTTTTTAATTCTAACTTCCTAGTCAAAGCAACCTTTAACTTTCAATGTTTTTTTTTGTGTTTTTTCAAGTTACCTGTGAAAGGTGGGACTTTCTAGTTAGCCGATTTTGTTTCTATGAGAAAATAGGAATTTTAATTGAATAATGTCCTAGTCCACAGCGTTTTTTGCTCTTCTTTTCTTGATGAATTAGAATTTTTCAGTGTGCAGCTGGTGTTCATGGTAGAGAACGTGCCGCGACGCCATCGAATGTGGATCCAAAACGCGATCACCTGGTCGCCGAATCAGATCATCTACCCGATCGTCGCCTACTACGCCCACGACTGGCGGAATCTTTCCATCGCCGTCGGCGTCGCTTCCGTCCTGGCTGCCGCGGTTATACTGTAAGAGTCATTTTCGATCTACGTCTGAACTTCCGAGCCACAAAGCTTCGAAAGCTTTAAAGCAATAGTGAGCAAGAGGGCGCTCACCATTACAGAAAAAAAAAGTCACATTTTCTAATGAACTTTCGAAGCAGTTTTTCAATGATCTATAATAATGAAAAAATTCAGACTTCTCGAGGAATCGCCACGTTGGTCGATTCAAAAAGGTCGTTTAGGTTCGGACCTTTTAATATTTACATTTTATGAGTTGAATTTTTTCTAGAAGCAGCCCGACGATCTTTACAAAGGATCGCTAAGCTTGACGGCATCGCTAAGGACGTCTTCGACGCCGAAATCGACGAGATTTTGCTCAATGAGCAAGAGGTTTAGGAGTCCCTTAAGTACCCACTCTCGATAGCTTTGTTTAGAAGCTCGACGAAATGCAAGGGAAACGAAAGAACTACACATTCGTGCATCTTTTCTGCACATGGACCATGATGGGTCGGACCTTGACTTTCATCGTTGGAATGTGAGGAACAAAAAGTCTTGGAAACTACGGACATCTTCAGAATCTGCACGACGATGATCGTTTATGCGTTGACCTATAACATGGAGAAGCTGTCGGGATCCTTGTACTGGAATATGGCGTTGATTGGAGTGAGTCGAAGGGTTTTAAATCGACTTCCGAGGAAGTTATCAGTCTTATATAGCCTAAGCCGAGTGTTTCCACTTTCCAAATTCTTTTCAAACATGAAATTGGTGTTTCAAATCACAAAAAAAAAACTAAAACTGTATGCGACAAGATTTGAGGTCTCCCGTTGGATCGTGAACATTGCTGTGAGTCTTCTGGACTACCACGTAGAGTCTTTCGGTCGTCGTCTTTCGAATCACGTCGCCATGGTCTCCACAACGGCTCTTCTTTTTGCCATTACTGCCGCTGTTTATAACGGTTTTCATTCATTCATTTGACAATTAACGAGAAAAGTTATGTGGAGACAACATCGTAACAATAGTTAAAACTTTGCGAAACTATCTTTTTATGGCAGTTATATCTGAAGTTTTGAAAAACTTCATGATCAACTAACGAGGAATTGTTTGAGGTGAACACTGCAGTTCAGGTCCAAACTTCTGGGGTTACTAATCGTGGGAAAATGAACGGGAAAAGCTCAAAAGTTTATTCTCTTTAGGTTTTCGAATTGAAAGTTTTTTCTCGTGTTTCTTATGATGTAGTGATCATATCAACTGTTTTGAAAATCAAGAACTCGAAGAAATCAATTTTCGAGCTTTTCCCGTACATTTTACTATTAGAATCGGTGCGAGGTTCTGAGCTTAATGGATTTTCCGTGTCATAGGAGCTGAGTGCCGTTTAAGGAGAGCGTAAAATATTTACGCTATGAAAAAATGAGTTTCTGAAATTTTTGCACATAACTTTTTCGAGGAAAGTCCAATATAAATTGCAGGAATCGGCGGATATATAATCAGTGTGGGCGCAGTTTTGACGCTGGCCATGTGCTCACAGGTCGGAGAAACTTTTAACCTTAAGGGACCGCCTGATTCAGTTGTTCATCGTCAAGTACATGATGGTCAACGAGCTGTACCCAACGGCCGTCCGAAATCTCGCCGTTTCGGCTGTTTCCACAGCGAGTCGCGTCGGCAGCATGTTCGCTCCACAGCTTTTCTACTTGGTGGGTGATCCTGCTCGGACCTAGGTAACGCGGATCGGACGTGTCGCAATATTTTTAGGAACCACTTTAGTAGCGTCAGCACTCTTAAGTGATCTCTAGATTTGCTCAGAATTGCCCGGAGCGCGTCAGGTTTTCTTTGCCAAAGTCCAAGGAAGCTTCAAAAGGGCAAATTAGTAGAAATATCTACTGAAAAGCTTTTTTAGTCAGTTCAGCCGTTTTTTTGCGTGAGGATATTTTTAAACTTTGTTGCGAATTTTTTTCTGTTATCTCAGGGGGGAAGGAGACACAGACCATATTAACGTCGATCTCAAGAAATTAACTTTTAAAAAAAGTATTTAAAAAGATTTACATCATCGTACAAAAAAAAGTAGACAAATTTGTTCTTGTCTATATTTTGATGGAGTAACAAAAGAATAATACTTGGATTTTTTTCAGGCCGACGTTGCTCCGTGGGCTCCGTACGCCGTGTTGTCTGTCCTGGCGGCCGTCGATCTGGTCAGCTTCACGGTCTGTATTCCCGAGTCCAAGGGAAAGCATTTGGAGAACCATCTTCCTCCGAAACATGAGCGCATTTTTGGCAATAAAAGTTGATTATCTCCTTCGTTCTTCCATTGCGTTGAGTCTTGAAGCGACTTGAAGGAAGTAAGAATATTTTTTGTTTTGAAACGCACATGGGCTTTATTAGGTCATTGATAATGTATCAAAAAGTTAACATAGTTCTAGTGAACATCAGGAAAAAGAATTAAAAGAATTTTCATGGAAAGTACTTTTGCAAATTTTCACAAAAAGGAGAAAAAAATACTCTCAATAATGTTCATATACGATAATTTGTTCGGAAAGACTTGCTGCAATTTGGATCTGCTTACTTGATACCTCTAGATTCTATTTCAATTCATTAATTCTGTGCTAAATGTCTATTTTCCGTTTTATTCCCCTGACAGATTTTCAAGAAACGACGGAAAATCGTTTGGAAGTAAACAAACAGCCGGGAAGAAATGGCTGTAAATATCAGGCGGAAATCACGTGAGTGGTCACTTTTTGCAACGCGGTTGGTCCGAACCTTGCCCTTTCGTCGATAATTCTTTTCGGACTTTTTGGTTTGTGATATGTGTAAAAGGTCGATAAGGTGTTCCGCAAAAAAAAAGGAATTTTGAAAGAGTATCTTTTCATCCTGAACAGATCTGACAAATGCAAAGTATTTTTCAATACGTGGAATGGCTTCTGAACCACAATTTCAAGTTATTGCTGATATTCTCTCACGGTCAAATTACATTTTTTAAGGCACCTTCAAAGGGCTTTCGCGCCATATCGGACGCTGTATTACATTTTTATCTCATCGCTTATTCTTCATCTTACTAGGGAACACTAAAAAGTCATTGCAAAAATGAAAGAATGATATGAATTTATCAGAGATCTGGAAGAGGAAAGGGGATCAGAACCTATTCGACCGGTGCAATGATTTCGTGAGTTTTGTATATTTAGAGAATGAAAAAAATTGGTTTCCGCCTGAAAAATTTCACAGAAGAGATCCCTCACACTGTCCATTTTTTCCCATTTAAAAATAGCAAAAGATAAAAAAAAAATAAAGATGAAAGTTGTTTCGGAGCCTTTTGGAAGTTTTTAAAATTACCGAAAAATCGTTCAATTCAATGTGCCGCTCAATAAATTGTATTCATAAAGCTCTAGAAGTACTTTTTAACAACCATGTCTAACTATGTCCGAGTTACCGTTCTCTGGCTTGGCTAGCACCACTTCAAAGCAAGAAAGGAAAGATAAGTCGCACCCTCAAGTGTCCACTGGCACATCAAAGGAGGATAACGTGCCTTTGGCATGACGCCAGACCACTCGTTTTGGCCATCCAAGGTGTTTTGACGCCGGCGCCGACGTCTTCGTCTCCGTCTAGCGAGGTGGTGTCGTCGACAGGGTGGCGAGAGTCAGAGAGAGCGGCCAGACGACGAGAGTGAAGAGGCGTGTCCTTTTCGCCCACCTCAAAAAAGCTGTTCCAACTTATCACGGCTCATTCTTCTCTAATTCGAGGTCCTCGTTCAGTTCTTTGATTGGGATGAACTCGCTGATCAACGCGTTCGGATACTTTGGCCCCGGCAACGTCAAGGAAGCCGTCGCCACGGAGCCGCGCAACAAGAACGACGTCCTTTCTAGCAGAAAGAACACTATCGGGTTAGTTTTTGATGAAAAGTTTTTTTTTGATAGCTGTCGGGAAAAGTATTAGCTAATCGATTTTTTCAATGTATAATTTCATTAGCTGAAAATACACCCCTCGGGAAAAGCGAAGGGCACAAAACGAACAACCAGACCATATACGGTGTTGTTTCCTTGTGAAATGAGAGAGCTGTTTTCCAGTTGCATAAAACTCTCACAAGGTTCTTATCTCTCGAATCATTCCAGATCTACTTGTCAGCTTTTCTACTCGGATGATCCGTTCATGGTTTCGCGCGGATCGATGCAGTACTTGTACGACGAGCAGGGCAACAAGTTCATCGACTGCATCAGCAATGTTCAACACGGTGAGACTGCATTTGAGTGGTCTCTTGGAGGGGCTCTTCCAGTGACTAGAGTTGTTGGGAAGCTGCGCATTTATCGTGATCATTTCAGCAAAAAAAGATCTAAATATTTTCGATTGTCTCGGGATTTCTCTGACTCTTTCAACTTTTTAAAAAATGTTTTGTCATTTTAAAAATGGAAAATATCTTCGTTTTTTTTTATGAGTTCCGATAATTGCGTTCCAAAAGGCCTGAGGCTGAAAGAATGAACTTGGAATACATTTCCAGTACTTTCTTTTTTTCAAATACAACTTCGGTAGACGGGAAAATATCTTCTCGACTTACAGTCGGCCACTGCCACCCGGCAGTGGTGAAGGCGATCAGTCATCAGCTGGCGACATCGACCTGCAACGTCAGATTCGTCTCTCCTCTGCTGACTGACTGTGCCGAACAGCTTCTCGCCACTCTTCCCCATCTCGACACGGTTCTTTTCTGCAATTCCGGGTCAGTAACCATCTAATTAATCCGTTTCTGAAAGTCAATTCAGACTCTGAAATGGTATTAAAACAGTACTTTTTCATCAGACGTACTTAGAAAAATCAAAGTGATCCAGTTTGAACTTATTTTAGAACTCTAGTGATCACTATAGAAGTTTTCTATGCTAAATTTATTTCGAATGACAAATATTTGTTCATGATAAGGAGTCGAATGATCGAGTTCAACATGTTTGCAATGTGATTGATGAGATTTCGTATTATTTTGCAGGCCTTTTTTTCGGAATCATGAAACATGAATTGGAGTTCTAGACTTAAAATTCAAAGAGACTCACCGGGGTCACCACAGTTTTGAATTCTCAATAAGACTTTTTTGGTTTGACATTTTACTTAGCTCATCGTTCAGAAGTTCTCTTCAGGTTCTTCTTTTAGCCAAAATGAAATTGTTTCATTTGAACCTTCTGATAAACAGTTTCATTGACATCGTCAAGAGTCTCAAAAATGGAGAGAAAAATAATCAGAAGCGTGTGAACGTGATGCAATCAGATGATATTGTGGTTCGACCACTCTCGCTACCAATCGTATCCAAGACTCATTTATTATTTTCTTCTCTCTTATGGCGCACCATTTAATGATAACGACTTTTATCAAGAAACTTCTAATCAGCTCAAAAATTTGAGAGAGATTAGAAAACGCCTAAAAATTCTCAACTTTTCTGATTCTTGCGATTTGGAGAATCACATAACTAAGCCCAGAAGTCGTATTTATACATTTTGAGGGAGGATGTAGAGTCATACAAAAATTTCAATATTGCACAAGTAATAAGGGTTGAAGAAGATATGGCGTATGCCTAAAGCGAGACTAGTCCAAATTGAGAATCTTTGTCTCGAAATCAAATTTTGAGTATTCCAGATCGGAAGCTAATGACTTGGCTCTTCGACTTGCCCGCGACTACACCGGCCACACGGATGCCATCGTCATCGAACAGTGAGTCTTTGATTTCCACGAGGAAAAACGAAACTATCGGTTGCATTCAAACCAGGAACCGTTCCCGCCATAATAATTCTTTCAACCACTTGACCAAGCTTCTTTCAGTGCGTACCACGGCCATGTGACGACTACGATGGAGATGTCGCCGTACAAGTTCGACCACGGCTCTTCTTTGAAACAGCCAGAATGGGTGCACGTCGTAAGAATTCTTCTGATATTGTTTCGGTATTCATCTGATCTTATCCAGGCTCCTTGTCCAGACGTCTACCGTGGTAAATATCGCCTCACTGACGCCGAAATCAAAGACGAGGGGAAATTGTTGGAAGCCGGCGAGAAATATTCGAAGGATGTGGAGAACATTATCAAAAAGGTGAGCTCGAAAAGAAAAAAGGCTTCGAAAGAAAAAAAAATTGGTAGTTAGCCTTATATGAACTCTCCATCTTTTTTTTTGATCTGAAGTTTCTTTTCGGAATAAATTTAACAAATAAAAGTTAAAAATCTATTGTGAAAAGAGTCATAATTGAGTAGCCCTGGAAAAATAACTCTTTCGAGGAATTCCAATTCAGGCCGAGAATAATGGCAGAACCGTCGCCGCCTATTTCGCTGAAGCTTTGCAGTCGTGCGGAGGACAAGTCATTCCACCAGCCAAATATTTCCAGGACGTCGCCAAGTAAGTCTAATCCCGCTAATTATCTTCAATAATTATCTTTATTTAGGTATGTCCGTCAACATGGCGGCGTGATCGTCATCGACGAAGTTCAGACAGGATTCGGCCGAATTGGCAGCAAATATTGGGCTCATCAACTTCATGACGATGGTGAGGTTTGAACCGATGAGAATCCAGATTAAGCGGTTGTTGATTACAAAGAAAATATATAACCGAACATATTTGCTCTATCTCAACTTCCTACTACAGGTTTTGTTCCTGACATCGTGACGATGGGCAAACCGATGGGCAATGGATTCCCGGTTTCGGCGGTCGTGACGAAGAGAAAAATCGCTGATGCGCTCGGCGGCAAAGTCGGATACTTTAATACCGTAAGAAACGACCTACTGTGCTTTTACAAAGAAACTGTACAGTATGGTGGAAATCCGGTCGCTTGCGCGGCGGTCATGTCCGTCATGAAGGTGATCAAGGACGAGAACCTTCTGGATCACAGCGAAGCGATGGGTCAGAAACTCGGCGTCGCCTTGAAAAAGCTCCAAGAAACTCATCCGTCTATTGGTGACATCAGGTGAGACATCTTCGCTTTTTTATTCACAAACTCACGTCGTCATCGAAAAATTTTTGAAAAAAGAATCGATATTTTTTTCGGTTAATCTTGATACTCAGCACTTGCACAACTTTTTCTTTTTTTATAAATGACTAAGACATGAGGATAAATTCAAAAGTTTTTATTTTGACGATTGAATTTTTAAGTTTTTTGGACCTTGCTCTGAAAAAAAGACGTCAGCCAGAGGCGTATGTGTTTGATGGCCCTTTATTTTTTTTTTATTTCATTTTATCAAGTTGGGAAACAAACGACTTTCAGAGGCGTCGGTCTTTTCTGGGGAATCGACTTGGTGAAAGATCGAGAGACCCGCGAACCAGACCAGAAGCTCGCCTTGGCCGTCATTCTTGAGCTGAGGAGAAATTATGGCGTCCTTCTGAATGCCGACGGACCACATACCAATATCCTCAAGATAAAGCCGCCGTTGTGTTTCGACCAAAACAATATTGACGAAGTGAGTTTTTCTAGCATTCTAACAAATTCATATTCTCTTCTAGGTTGTCAATGCGTTGGACCAGGTCTTGACCATCATGCGACGGTGAAATGAATAAACTCTTTCTTTATCCAGAAAAAAACACTATAATTCGAGGTCCTCTATTGACTTGTTATATATTATAACGCCAATATTGCAATTGAAAATAAAATCATTTTCATTATTTTTTTTTTTTCATCTCATTTTTCTCACGTTTCCTTCGAAGTTGACAATTTCCTATTTCGTTGAAATGACCCACGTGGGGAGAAGAACCTCTATCTTATCTTTACGAGCAAAAGACACAAGGTACAAGAAAAAAAAAATGGTTTTTGGCCTGTGCGTACTTGCTTTTATTGGTTGGAAAACGATTCGAAAAACGATTTGCGAAACAAGAATAGAACACAAGAAGGATATAAAAATTGAGTTTCGAAGTTTCAAGGCAACTCAGAAGTAGTAAAACCCGCAAGGTGTAACTTGCGGGGTTTTTTTTTTCGATAAATCTCAGAGAAGGTGTCTTAAATTGTTCATGATGTCCTAAACTGTTTAGGCTAAACAACTTATTTTCGAAATGAGGACGAGCAGAACTTAAGATTTGTTTACAAGAAATGTCAGACTTTATCTCTTTCAGACGGTTATAAAATTAGAAGGAGAATTAATCGAACCGGACGATTTAACGAGTTTCTTTATCAATGGAAGTCAGGAGCTTCTGTTTTCAAAATAACTCGATGGTCACAGAAAATTTATCATATGATAAAACGGTCAGTTCAAAAAGCTCCACAAGAAAAAATATGTAAAAAAATCTTGGTCTCGAAATTTAACTACGACCTCAATATAATTGATTCATCTCCTTAACAGTTAAGGCTTAACTCATAAAACTTTTTTTATAAAATGACTTTTTGATTGTTGAAAAATTGAGAATTTAGAAACAGGAATATTTCAAGAAGTTCAGCGATCCTCTGTTGTTTTCGACAAGCTGTGGGTGTATTACGTATATACTTACACGTTAATTCAGAAGAATCCCGTATCAATATTCTGTGAAAAAAAAACTCGCCTACGAACATGCCAAGAAAGTATCACGCGATCCTTGAAAGTCTGCTCCTCGATGAATCATTGACAATAGTTAACAAATGGTGATTTTCGTTCAATTTACAATTTCCAAAACTCGAAAATATGTTATTTTGACGCACTTAAAAAACTAAAAAGTGTCTAAATTCATCTAAATTTTCCAAATATTTCAGCAGAATAGATATAATGGCCAGACAAAAAACTCGGGTTGTGGGAATCAAGGAATCGCTGAAATTATTGGTAAAAAAACTTTGTTTTGGAACTTGTTCACCCGCGTGATGGTCTTTCCAGAAATCTCTCATAAATTCAGCTTTTTTTTTCTGAGAACCCTTCGAAAACCGATGAATTCTAATGAACCAGAAAGGATGACAAAATATTATGAAGACATGTTGAAATTGCCTAACGGAATTCGTTTCATAATCAAGCCATAACTCTGAAAAACGAAAACTTGATGTTGTAGAGGACTAATGAACGCAGTTTTTAGTCTGCAGACTATTTCCTTGAAGATTCCTCATTTAAGGAGTCTTTCCTGATAAACAGAAGGTTTTTTCTTTCAGTTTTTTCAAGTCCCTCTGACTTGCAGAGATGCTTCACAACGACAGAATATTCGGAAAATGGCGGCGCCGCACCTGACGAGTGATGACGAGATCGCGTGTCTCGCATATCAGATGAGCGAGTTGGCGACTGACGTCTTCAGTCTCACAAACACTCGTCCGAGCTCACCTGTCCTTCGCCTCAACTTACGATGGTCGGTTTCCAATAGAAATTCTTTTGATCGATGAAAATATGGAATCTCTTTCAAATAGAGGGCTTCCACTGAATTATTTTAATTTTTTTTTTGTTTTAAAAAAAATCTGATGGCTTCCAAAAGATTCGACAAACTTTTTTTCTATCTAAACAAGGCTGACGTACGGACTTTTTGAAAATTATTTTTTTGAGCTTTTTTTCGTTCCGTTTTAAAAAAAGCTTGTTTTTTTGTTGAAATGGTGAAAAAAAGTAAAGAAAAAAAGTAATAATTTTGCATTTGAATAGCCTTTTTTTGGTTTTTTTAAAACTGATGTTGAAATACTACAGTTTTTCAGTATTTCAACATATCTTCAATTCAGCCTTTTTTGAAGCTTGAAAACTTTTTTGGGAGTTTCATCACTTTTTTTTTGACTTTTTGAAAGATTTATTTACTCTCAATTTTCAATTTGAAAAAAACAAAAAAAAATCATAATGTAGAAAGTAGATCTTGTGGATTTTGAGAGTCGCAAAGGATGGTGCAAAGTTTGTAAATTACGTTTAATGAATGAGAAACGAAGTATTTTAGATTGGCTGGACCCACATCTGTCTCTCAAATCTCATCATCCGCAAGTATGGACAGGAAATCCTCGAACAAATCTTGTCAGTTTTTTTTCAAAGTTTTTTTTTCCGGCCGTTCAAGCTACATTGAGCTGAGGAAAGGGCTGAAAGTCACAGAAACTTGATTTTTTCCAGGACCAAAGCCGGCTACCCAGAAGGCGTCACGTTCGACGTTCAGACGTACTACGACGACACGGAGACGATGCGGATCTTTCGGACGGCGGCAGGTGTTTTGGGACTGTCGGTGGACGACATGTGGGAGATGTACGGCGACTTTCTCGTCACCTATTCCTGCGAAACGGGCTGGCAGAAAATGCTCTTTTGTATGGCCAACAACTTGCAGGTACAGCAAACTTCTATACTGCAAAAATACAATTCTTTCGATTCGATTTTACTTTCAAGGCAGTCTTTTTTGAAGGAGTTCCTCGACAACCTCAACAGCATGCACTACTTCATCGACCAGATTGCGTTCAAGTCCGAAATGAAGGGACCGACTTTCCAATGCGAGGCTTTTGGGGAGAATGGCCTCAAATTGCACTACTTCTCGTTTCGCCAAGGATTGTTCCCCATTGTCAAAGGTGAATTGAAAATGAAATATTTTTTAGATAGAACGAAAGGTTTTGAGTTTTAAGTCGAAACATTCGAAGATTTTGTCGGTCGCTTCAAGATGAAATAAATTTCTTCGAAAAGATTTCTAGACTTTTATAAAATCCCAGTTTGAAGTGCCACGAATCTTAGAAATGGGAGAGAAAGTATTGTAAGATTACAAACGAACTTTTTTCTATAAGGTCACTTCAAAAAAAAAATTGGAAATTTCAGGACTGGTCAGAAAAGCGGCAAGAACTCTATTCGAAATGGACGTCAAGGTTTTTTTTTTTCTAATCTTCATATTAAATAGAAACTTTGAATAAATGCAGGTGGTGATGCTGGAGCGTAATCAGGAGCGTCGTAAAAGTGGAATGGTGGAACACGTCATTTTCTCGATTGAACCTGACGAAAATCATCGGAAAGGGAAGCGACTCGCCCACAAGTTCCGCAAGATCAAAACCATCGAAGATTTGGCCGCAGTTGAGGTGTCACTTTAGTGGCGTTGCTAAGAAGTTACTAAAGTGTTTTGAAGGTGCCTTCAATGCCATTATCCCTTAGAGACTTCAAACACATCTTCCCATACCACGTTTGCTTCAATAAACAAATGGTTATCGATCACTTGGGTCCGTTTTGAGATCTCAAAACGACAGAATGGAATAATTTTGTTGCTCTAGGTATCTATTTGCTCAGAGAATACGGGTTGGAGAACAGAAAGACGTTGAAAGTGAGCGATTTGCTGCAGATGGTGCAACCTTCCGACATTCAGGTGCTGACAGCATAGAATTTTGGATCTATAATGTTCAGATCATCGGAAAGGAGCCCTTGAAATTATCATTTTGAGTACTTCTTGAAAAAAGATTCTTTTCAGCTGACTTACAAGAACGTGCTGAGCTACCAGAACACGTTGTTCATCTTCCAACTGAAGCACCACAGCCGCCGGAACGAGGTCGAGCAGGGCAGCAGCGAGGCCTTCCAGCAGCCGCTCGTGCTCAAAGGCGAGATGATGCCGGTCAACGACGGCAACTCCATCATATTCATCTGTTCTCCTCACGTCACCACCGTCCGGGACATCCTCAAGTTCAAGTTGTTCATCTCCGACATGCCGATTCACGATGCGACCAGAGACTTGGTCATGTTGAACCAGAGCCGGATCTGTCAGATGGAACTGAAGTGGGTTTCTCGTTAACGGATACTTTGAATATTGCTGAAAATATTCGATATGGATCAGAGGTATGACTATTTTTCAGCAAAAAGCTGGAAGAGACAATGAAGAAAATGAAGGGAATGGCCGAACAACTAGAGTTGAAAAAGGCGCAGACTGACCAGTTGCTCTTCGAGTTCGTGCCGCCCGTCATTGCTCAAGCTTTGCGAGCAGCGAAGCCTGTACCAGCTCGTGAGTGAATGGAAACTTTAACTAAAGAAGTTCGCTGATGAAAGAAGTTATCTACACGGTGGAATTTTCTGTGTCTCTCAAGTTAGCGTAAAAGTTCTCTCTTCAGAAAATCTTTTAAATACTGTTTAGGTGTCGTTCTTTGAAACTATACAATCTTCTTAAATGTTGCTGTTTTTCTTCTTCTAATAGATCAACTTACAGAAGAGTTTTCGGAATGTTCTGTCATTTTCACGGACCTCCCAGACTTCTTCACGATCAGCGTTAATTGCACGCCAAACGAGGTTGCAAAAATGACAAATAGAGAAATGGAAAACATATTTTTGCAGATTATTGAAGTCATCGCCAACCTTTTTCATCGTTTTGATCGGTTGATCGATAAACACAAGGTAAAATATTGTAACTGAAAAAGAAATTTGCAACTTTCTGCAAAATAACTTTTGGTCTGAAAAATTAAATTTAAAAGCTATCGTTTCAGGGCTACAAAGTTTTGTCATTAATGGACAGTTATTTGATTGTTGGCGGCGTGCCAAATGCTAACCAGTATCACTGCGAGGATTCGTTGAACTTGTCCCTGGGTCTTCTATTCGAAGGGAGAAAAGTCATCGTGCCCAAATTGAACCAACCTGTCAGGGTATGTTGCCATTTCCTTCATTTTTAAGAGGATTAGAAAAAAGCCTTGTGATCAAGATTTCAAGAAAAAAAGAACAATGGGAAATTCAACTTCAAAAAGCTAAGGAGTGATATTCATACTATTCAGGTGAGAGTCGGAGTTCACTGTGGGCCAGTTGTAGCCGGTATCGTTAGTCAGCAAAAGCCGAGGTAATGAAAATAATTTTTGATTCTTATCCCTGTTTTTCAAAAAGACTGCATGCAGTATGCATATGCATAAATCTTCCTTATGGTTTGGTAGTTCAATCAAACAAATACATAGACACAATTTCTCAAAACCCACTCGAAACATGGGAAATGTGATCAAATTTTTATTTCTAATACAAATTTTGAATTGAGTGAAGAGAAAACTTTTCAAAAAGGAAAAATTGAAAATCGGAACAGATTTCCGGAAATTCCCGCATTAATGCTGTTTCGCTTTTGCGCGTGGATCCCAATGCTTAGTCTTCTTGCGTACAAAACAATTGACCTCACGAAAAAAACAGGAAATTTTTTTATTAAAAAAACTTTTTTTACAAATAAATCAATTTTTTTGTTTGGGTTCAAAGTGTATTTATATTATCACTCTAAAAAAATTCGCTTTGTTAACTTAATACGCTTTTATAATTTTGGTAGATTTGCTGTGTGAACAGAATTCCAAAAAAAAAGTAACAAACCGAAGCAGTGATTTTTAAAATATTTTGAAGTCATTTCAATTTTAATTTCATAAAAAATTATCAAACAGTCTTTAAAAGTTTTTTTAGTGATTCCGAAATACTTTTAACCGTTCTTCTGTTGCTATTTCTTTAAACGACAATTGTAAAAATTCAAATAGATTCTGCGTCCTGGGAACTACCGTCAACGTGGCCAAGTCGATTTGTGGGCACAGTGCGCCAGGCCAGGTGCTAGTAAGCAACGCAGTTCGAGCGTAAGTTTCATAATTTTTTGTTTTCAACTAATCTGCTTTTTAGGGTTGTCACGAAACATCTGCAGAGCATTTTTGTCTTCACATCTCATGGATACGTCGACATTGCCGGCGGCAAAGTTCTCACTCATTATTTGGAGAAAAATGAGAAGCTCAGCGTTTGGGAAATAGTTGATAGGGAGAAAGGTTAGTTCAAGGGTTTAAAATTGAAAATTAAGTTTTAATGGCAGCAAAGGCAATAAATAAAGTTCAGGTCCAACAGATTCTATCGACGGCTACAAGGAGCTGCATTCGGAGGATGGAGCTGTGGAATGGATGGAAGCCAGCAACGCGGCTCAATGCGCTAAATCGGTAAGAGTTTATTTTTCTCAAAAACGCTATCACCACTCATTCCATTCAACTATTTTGAAGAGAAGTTATGCCTTTTTTTTCAAGAGCTGTGAAGAATTTTGAAGCTTCAAGCCTAAAATTCATTTTTTTTTAGACAGAAAAAAAAGATAGTGTTAATGTTTCGGAAAAGCCTATGACGATTGATAAAAGTCTTTTGGCATTTCAGATAATCGACGCGATGCACCCGGTGCCAAGTCGGACGAAGAGAGCGCTGACCAGGCTGCAGTCGGTCAAGCGCAAGTTCCGGACGATTCAGAGCAACGACAGCGGCATTTCGGTTGGCGGCCCCAGCGTCGAGTCCACCGTCTGCACCATTTGCTGAAGCCTTTTCTCCCAATATCCGATCACTTTCCCCATGTTTCATGCGTGTTTTTGTTTTTCGCAAATATTTATTTTGTTTTAAAAAAAGCCATACATGATCCAGATTATAAACCAGGTAAAAGTATTGAAAACTTTAATATTCTACTGGGCGCATAAATTTCGTCGTATTTCGAAAAGATCTGCTCCTGTATGGTTAGGTCATGCGAAAAGAAGGATGAGAAAAGAGTTAGTCATTGTTTTGGTTTGACTCCGAAAAAAAAATTCTTTTCGCATGTCCAAATTTGGGTCTATTCAAGAAATTTGTATTTGGTTCTTTTATTTGTAAATTTTCTCAGATATTCATGTACCCCGCAACAGGGAGTTTAACATATTTCAGAAGACTTTTAAGTGTTTATTAATGAAAGATGATAGTAAAGTCTTTATACAAATAAATTGAAATAATGAATAAAATGATACGTTGTGACGTTGTCACCAAGCGACGTCACCCGGAATATATTGATCGACTAGGGATTGGTAATAAGGCTTGAGATTTTCGATATTCGGCGTCTCGTCGTTTTTCGAGTAGAGGTCGCAGTCGCTGCAATATGATAACTTTTCACGGTTTTGAGGTACGCCTTCTTTTTTTCGATTTTGAACTTTTTTTTGATTTTTTTTTTTTGAACGAATCGCAGGTTTAAAGGGATAATTTCACATAGAGAGCTGTAAAGTAGAAGAGTGAAGCAGCAATCGATAGCAAAATATTATTCAAAATTAAAACTTTAGGCGATATTTGAAAAAAAAAATGGGAATCGCTTGGACTTGTCACATTTTTTTACTCTTTAGTCAGTCACCTTTGAAAAAAAACCAGAAGCGGAACTTACTTCAACATCATGATTGCCGGCTTCATTTTCTCGTTTTCAAGACTCTCGAATTGTTTGTAGCCGCCGTGAGAATGATAGGGATAGAAGGAGTGGAATCGAATGGCGTACAGAGCCTCTTCGGGCAACGTCGACCCGTGATTTTTGAGTACCTGTGAATTTCCGAATTTTCCGGTTTGTAGGGAAAGTATTCAATTAGTTCAGAAGCTTTTCAGTCTATTTTATAAAAGGATATGCAATCTTTGGCGAAAGCCTGTGAGTTTTTCAAAGAACTTCAGGGATCAAACTATTGTATGAAATTTTTTTCATATTTTTTTTCGTTTGAATTTTTTTGAAATCATTTTTTTCCTTTTCGAATCAGGAAATAATATTTCATTTTTAATAAAACGAACCTGATACATGTACTCATCATGACTCCACGTCATAAGCAAGTTGTCGATTCCGCAGTTTTTTTCGTAGATTCCATTTTTGGGTGCTGGAAATATTGAATCAGTCAATTTGATAATTATTGGAACTATTTGAAAACAGGTATTTTGCGATTTTTTTTTTGAAACGGTTTATATTTAAAAATAACTGAGAAATTTCAACTTTGTAATTTTTGCTCATAGGTGTTTTTCAACGCCTATTCACCGTTTTCGTTGAAGATTTGTAAAAAAAAAGGAGTGAGTAGATCCAGCTCAGCTTTTGAGCTTTCCATCAAAACTTATTCTTCTAGTCACCACAGAAAACCATAGTTTCATCAATTTCAAGTCTGAATAGTACTTACTTGTACCGATTGTCCTCCAAATCGGGGTTCCCGTCGAAACTCTTCAGGCCGTAAACGATTGTCGGACATGGAGCACATCCAACTGGATACGTGTCTCCTGAATCGAAATATGGTTTTCTTCTCTTTATTCAATGAGTACCGGTGACAGCCCACTGCTCCTCGCCCCAGACGCTCATCACCTTGCCGAGGTCGTGGACCAGGCCGGCCAAGTGCATCCAAGGCTTGTCCGGATGCGCTTTCCGGATCCGCTCCGCCGTCTGATAGGCGTGGAAGAGGTTGGCCTCGTCGACCTGAATTCTTCCCACTTGTCTTTGCGAACAGTCAGACTTTGTTTTGTTAGAAAACTTATTGATGAACTGATAATCAAGAAATGTTTCTTTTCTTTGTCACCTTGTTTAGAACCTCTCAGTCTGTGAATAGACTTTGGAAGAAGTCCTTTTTTGATATACTCTAACTCGAAATTTTCGAACTGTCTGTGACGTTCTCTATTATTTAACGCAACTAGCGAACGAGTTTCTTTTTAAGATGATAAAAGAAATAACTCACGTCGGGATCGGACTCATCAAGAAAGCTCGAAAGAATGTCCAAACATTCCAGGATTGGCATCTTGGCGTGTGAGAATTTGAGCCATTTCTTGTGCTACAAAAAAGAAATAAAGTTTTATTTCTTGCGAAGACAGTTGGCTGTGTAACGTTCCGGTTTGAAAAAAGATGGGAGAGAGATATTTGAAGAGAAACGACCTTCATTTTGAGTTTGATACCGAAGGTGAAAGGTCAGGAATTCATGCTAGAGAACCAGAAAGACTTCTGTTTTAATGAATTCAATTTTCCTTTGAACTTTTTCGAATTTTGATTTTTTATTTCTATATAAATTCTGATAACTTTTTTTGAGGTTTTTGAAGAAGAAGAACTACTTTTTTTGACTTGTGAGAACAAGGTTTGAATACAGGAAGTCTTCATTCTTTTCTTCTGTTGTTCCTAAAAAAAGTTTTGCAAGAATATTATTTAAAAACACATTGAGGACGAAAAACTTCCCCAATCTCATTAAAAAAAAGTAGCAAGTCGTCAATATCAACATCAGCCAACGGTCAATAGTGTCTTATACATGTGGACTTTCTCAAACAATCTCACCATAGACTTGACGAAGTCGACGGTCTGCAGACGATGCTGGTTGTAGTAGTGATTGCGGACGCGCAACTGAACAGGGTCCTCGGCCGCCTCGTCGTACGTCCTGTACGTTTTGCCCTCGTTTTCGAATGACGGCTCGAGGTCAAGCTTCATTCTGTAATTATTACTGTAAGTGAAGTTCTGAAAGGCTACAGCTGAGGTTAAAGAGTAAGGTAGAACGTCGAGAACTGTTTCGATTGAAAATTGAAACTTTATGACGCTTCTGAATCTTGAAGCTTCAAATTTTTTTCCGTTTGAATAATTAATTTCATATTGATCCGAAAATTCAGATAAATTAAGATTATTCTGAAAGCTTTAAAGGGAACAAGAGAATTAAAGTTACTTTGATGGTAAAGGAATGGAAGAGACTTTCAAAGTTGATTTGTGGATGATTCTGTAGTTGCTGAGAAAAAAAAACAATCCAAAACTAGAAGATGCTCTAATCGGAAAATAGAAAGCTTCTCAGGAGCACATATCCGAGGCCTTCAATCATCCGAACTTGATCATTTCGAACCTAGATCAAAAATTGCCGCGTTCAAAGTTTGGACCATCATTCTTCAACTGTAACTTTTAACGATGTAGTGTTCATGATTTCCACCAATTTGTCAAGACAATAAAAGAAAGTTCGCAAGGTCTGGGATAATGCGAAAAATAAACTGTTTGGAGCCTTCTTTAACTTTCATAGAAAGGTCTACGACCAAGTCATCATGAGAATTGAGCTTTTTCATTTTTTTTAAATAGAAACATTGAAGTAAAAATCGAAAAGGGCAATAGTAGGCTCTGTAAAACGTTCTCATTTATATAGATGTAGAGGTCGGAAGACGTGGCGAGACAAAAGAAACCAGTTCTCTCAGATCCGCCTCTATCACTGACTATCATCTCGTCGTGGGGTCACATGGACGCGTGATGACTTCTGAATTCGGCGGACAACAATTTTTGTTGATTTTTTTTGTTAGTTAAAAAGGATGATTCTGCAAAAGTAGAGCGGGTTTAGGAACGACACATTTTGAAGGATTGGAAGTTTTTCCTTTAATTTCCACCAGAAACGAAAAATTTTCGTTAAAGTCAAACATTTTCATCGTTTCTAATAGGACTTTTTTTATAGTTGCTCTAGATTTGTATTTAAGTTTTCAGAGGTTCATTTCGAATCAAAAATAAATTTATGACAACATGGAACTTTTTAAAAAAATTCTCTTCATTTGGTGGTCAAAAAAAGATATTAAAAATCAGATGAAAGAAACCGTGATTTCGATGAACAGAAGTAATTCTCATAACAAAGGGAAGTGACTCGTACAAGACACTCAACCCTCCTGGCGGACTCAGGTCACAATCCGCAAAGGACCGAAATATTTGGAAAGAGTGCGCCCGACACTGAGAATGTCGCCAGTCGACAACCGGGCATCCAAGTATCCAAGTAAGAAGTAATTCATCTTCGAGCGACTCATTCCACTTTTTAAAATTGATTGGATATCATTGGGATGTGTGATCATTTCGGTCTCGTCCTTCAAAAGTTGTCCATAACTTTTCGAGACGTCTGAACGCCGCAGCACTTGACCCGAATTCGCTCCTCCCACCAAGAAAGAAAAAAAAAAGAAATCCCATGAACATATTACCTTTTCTGATCAGGATATTCGCTTTTCTCGAATTTGGCGATGATAATAAAAGCCTTAGTCAGCTTTGATAAGAACTTTACAGTTTTCTTGCGTGATTATCAGAAAATTTTACGTTTGACTTCTCTTTCCCCTGTCTTTTATTTTGTGACTTTCAGATAATTAATTTCCTGCGGAGAAACATCATTTGTAAGTTTTGAATGATGACTTATAAGTACATGTTCTACTAGGCAATCTTCACACTGATAAACAAAAACATTACAGTTTTTGTGTTCATCTTTCGCCCTTTTTGTGTACACGATTTCCGTTTTCGGTCTTGAATCACAAAATTCGTTGCTTCCAGGGAAGTTGTGAATAAAATCTGCTTTGTTTTTCAAAAACAATTCAAAATCGCAGTTGAAATTACTAAATAATTTATTCACTTTTGCTCGTAGGATTTTTCTAGATTGGTTTTTTCAAAATCTTTGAATTTTTCACTTGAGAGTCGAGTTGAGAGTTCAAACACTGGATACCTACTAATAATAGGTTGGCATTTTTTCTATGTGTCCAGTAAAATTTAAATCTGAGGAAACGTTGTTTTTCAGGCTCTTTTTTTGCGCTTTTGATCAGCTCAACAAACTGCAGTGACTATACTAGCCTAGGGCTGGAATAAAAACCGGACTTTCCCATCGAAATCCTAACTGAATGAAAATGCACCACATTTGGGATCTAATATCCATAATTTGGTGTTCCACCGAAACCGTTCCCGATTGTGTATGTGGCGCCATTTCGAATTTATGTAAACCAAAACGAAACGGTTGTTGGACTGAAACTGGGGAAAAGATACACACACTCACACACAAATGGACTCGGCAGAGGGACACAATCGCATTTGACGGCTTATTTCGATTATACATTTCGCTTTTTGCCTCTTTGCCTCGGTCGTTTCAGCCTTTTTGACTCACCTGTCCATAGTTCTGTTAAGTATCACCTTTTTCTTTCTTATTTTTTTGATGAGCGCACAAAAAGAATTTTTTCGCAGAGAAAAAAATTGCTTCTTTTGAAAGTTTAATTAAGACATTTTGTTAAAAACCTAAAACTCTTTTATTGAGGATTTCAGCCGAAATAAAACAGCTACGAGGTTGTAATTTTCGAATAAAGAATGTGCGCCTTATGGAAAAAAAGATTGAATAAGTTCCAATCAATTAGTTATTTACAATATATCATTTATATGTCTTTGCAATAAAAATAAATAATCAAACATTTTTATTGTTTTACGGAGGCGATTTCAGAAATCAAGTTCTTTTCTATTTTTTCATCAAGTCCAAAGCTTCCATAGTTTTTAATCACCTTGTTAACAGAACGAAAAATGCCATCGAAAATGTTGTAGACGTGGCAAAACGTCTATTGTACTGGCGTCGGTATTGATAAACGTAAAAAGATGATAAGACGGTTTTGGACTCGCCACCTCGCCATTTCTTTCTGCTCTTTTCCCTGTTTGAGGAAAGTTCTCTGTTAACCCTTGATTTGAATTTAATGGACGATTTTCTACAGAAGGAAGTGTTCTGGACCGTTCAATTGGGTACCTAGGATTATTGGAATTGATCGGTAGGGCTCATATCTGTCTTGATTGACAGCCAGCCTGAAAATAGTATTTTTGAAGTCTTTCAAAATATTTCGACTGTTGATTTCTCAGATCATGGAATTCAAATGAGCCAATAAACCAGCGCTTGTTTTTTCCAAATTTTTTATCCTTCGAAAAGGACCTTATGAGTTTGTAAGGCTGAATAATTTTCGAAAAACGAACTCAACTTCCCAAAAAATCGTTCTAGGTCAAAATTCTTTTGAGAGAGCTTTCAAGACAATTTTATCACCCGAATTGAGAAAATGTGAATTGAAAACTAATTGAATGCCTCATTGAAAGGGAAGGAACTTGGCACCTTCAAAGGAACACCGAAAAATGTCATGGAAATCGTTCGTCAAACAAACCTGATGACGTCACACACATCTAGGCTCCGCCCAGATTTTTTGCGTGATTCACGCGGATTATAGATCTCTCGAGGACAGCATTTTGTCTATTTGTCTTCTTATTATTATTTTCCTTGTTAATAATCGCTTTACAAACTTTTTCTGTCCTGCTGTTTGTTTTCTGAAATCGATCGTTGTTTACAAACAATTTTTTTTGAAGTTTCAAAGCACGTTCCTCGAGATTAATTTTTATTCAGATCTAGAAAAGAAATCGAAGGGCATCTTTGAATCCACCCTCATTGAATGAACCGCAAAAATGGGAAATTTCGAGAAGTGTTCCTTCTTTCCTTAGACAATAACCATATAGGATATATTCATACATACATTTTTGATTTTCTTCATTTTTTTCAAAGCCTCTTAATTAAATTTTTTGAACCATCTTCTCCTACAGTTCAACGTGAAAAGGCTCAAGACTGTAAGGACTGTAATCGTACCATTCACCTTTTTTTTTATTTTTGGAAATCTGTTACGGTTGAGCGGCCAATTTGGTTATCAAGTTTTCATTCTCGTATGAAAAGTTACGATCTAACCACTCCAGTTCCATAAAATCGCTTCTCAAAACTTCTGGAGACATTTTCTTGCTTTCTCTGAGTGAGTTCAATTATTTTCTCTAGCCAAAAAAACAACTCAAGGACACTTTCGGCGAGTTCAAGTCATATAATACGTGTGAATGTCGCGTTGTGTCGTCGGATCTTCATTCTCTTCCGGTTTTTGTCGCCCCAAGAAGAAGCTTGTTGGCTGCAAAACAAAAAAAAATCGGATATTTTGCATTCCTCGTCCTCTGTACCTCGTACTTCTGCTTTGATGGATTGAAGAAAGTGAGAAAGATTGAGAGAAGCTGGATCACTATCTGTGAGTAGGAGTTTCGACTGAAGTCAAGTTTCAAAGGCCATAACAATTTTTTCAAGAAATTTTCATTTTCGTTGAACGATACACACGAATCTGTCAATAAACTGTTACTGAGTTCAAAAAAGCGATCCAACTGCTCTTGATGTTTTTGAATCCATTCTGACTCAAAAAGCAAGGATAAAATTTAAAAATAATGGAGATATATTTCATTCAACCAGTTGAGAAAATAACGGGAACTGATATGATGACGGGAAGTCCACGGGAAAGACGGGAAGAACAGTTTTGCTGGTTCTTCTATCAGCCTCTTGTCGTCGGTTGGAGTGCGCCGGACCCAACGGCGCGCGTCTTGCTGCTGTTGGTCGAAACGCTCGTTTTTTTTTTCATCTTTCTTTTTTTTCCTTTCCGCCGCCTTCAGTTATATCTCTTTTTCTCCTTCTTCCGCGTGTTTCCGCGTCGTTGAGCCGTGTTTCTAGGTGAATATAATAGTGCCGAATTTTTTTGTAAGTATCTTAAAAAAATTGATCGAATTTTTTTGCGCGAGTAATTAATATTCGAAATTAAAACTTCGATGACAATTTGAAACTTTTTTTGTAATGCAAGAATCTCTATTCCTTGTGAAAACGATAAAAAAAATTTGATAAAGGGTTTTTTTAAAGTTTTTCTAATTGAGCCTTTGTTTGGATAGACAACTACGCCCCACAGAAAATTGGAATGCTTATTTGGCTATACCTATTTGAAGTCAAGTTTTTTTCTGAAACCCTATTAAATTTTTTTCAGATTCCATCTTTTTTTCAAAGTGGTAGAAGCTGAAACATGCTTCCAGATGTTGCTTTCTTTCATGTGGTTTTTAAAGTTTTTTTCTCTGTCTACATTTTATTTCCCAATTCTTTCAATATTTCAGTTTTTTCCCCATGGAGATACGCATGAAAACTTTCTCGTGCTTTTATGAGAAGGTCTGACATTAAATTGGATGAAAAAAGAGAAATTATGCATTATCTTCCGATATTTGTTATCTTAATTCTATTTTTAGGTTTTGCTTTGATGAAGTGGATTTTGTGAATGGGAAGTGGGAATAAAATTAAATAAGTTGCGCAAAATCGGAATTTTACGTTTTCAGTTTCATATTTGCCTTTTTTGAATGATTTTTGAATATTTTGCAAGGCTCCTTTTATTTTTCTAGTGAGACCTAAAATCTTAAATTTTCTCATTGAAAACAGGTGGGATTTTTTAAAAGAGAATGAACCGTTCCTAAAAGTTTAGATTGAGATTTCAATTGGATTGAGTGAAATTCCGGGTTTTTGATGTTATTTTTCTATTGGAAAATACGCTTCGAGGTCCTGAAATCTGATTCACGAAAATCCTCGTACAAAACTCCTCTCTATTGGACTTACCAACGTTTGATCTACGCTCAGTTCATTTATTTGAATGGTTATTTTCTGCCACACTTGACTCTGACCCCAGCATTGTCTTAAAAGATCGAGGAGGTCGTTTTTTTTTATGCCGTGTTCAATTTGATTTCGCGAAATACAAAATGATCTCTGACTCTCCAAAATTTAGTGATCTTTTCCTTTCTCTAACGAGTATTTTGCATTTCGCGGAATCAAATTGAACACGGAATTATAAAATTTTCTTTTTTTTCCTAAGTTTCTCTTGTTTTCATTCTCTGAGAACTTTCTGAAATGGTCCGCTGTTTTTTTGGGAAGTTAATGATTTTTTTCACGCCATTTTTGAATGGTTTTTTTCTCGTAATTTAAATAACTTATAATTTTTTTCCCTAATTTCAATGTTTTTCTTAGATGGGAAATTTTTAAAAATAAATATTTGTTGCAATTTACTTGAATTCAATTCATGGGACCTCATGGACTTCCAAACGCTTCAATATCTTAAATTTTCAAAACAGTTGATTGTAAAACTCATTTTCTTCCTCTCCTTCTGAAAGATGACCTTTCAAAACCTAACGAAGAAGAGAAAACAGCCAAAAAATTCAAAAATTTTGTGTTTTTTTTTCCTAACTATCGTTATTGTCTTTGTATTTCAAGGCTCAACTTATTGAGCTATTTGTTTGTAGAACTCGTCTCAATGTCCAGTCAAACTGGACCTTCCACGCTTTTTCTTTTTTTCGTCCTTGTGTCGTTAAGCCGTTAGTGTTGTTGATAAGACGAAGAAAAAATGTGTTACACGTCGAAGGGAGAAACAGGCAAACACACTGGGAAACGCACTGGCCGCTGTTTGCTTAATTTCCATGTGCTGTACGTCAGGAAGGAGGAACACGGACAAAAAAAACAACTATTGCTGTTTCAGAATTTTCGGTTCTGATTGGATTTTCGGTTGCGGAGTTTTTTTGAGTTTCTCGTTTTAGGGTTGGTGTAAAACTTTAAAAATTTTAAAGACGCTTACTGCAATTTTAAAGGAGCTAGGCAGTTTCGCAGTATTTCATCGCTTTAAAAAATGTTTATCATCCTTCGTTGAAAATTTTCATGATGATTTTTCTTCTAGAACATGAAACTTGGGCTAAAAATTTGCATCTCTAAAAGCCAAGCAGAACTTTTTGAATTTTCAAATTGTTAAAGCAGTTTTTTTTTGTATGATCGTTGATGTTTTTCGATTCGATTTTGTAGTTTCGTCGAGTTCCTGCTCATTTCCATCCGTTTTTCTTCTGGTGAGCGTTTTTTTTGTACAAATTGTCCATTTGATAAGAAGATTTGGGATAAGTTTGGTTTTCATAAAATACTCGGATTCAAATTGTTTCAAAACTTTTTTTAAAACTTTTTTATTGAGATTTTTGAATGCTCTAATAGGTATAATTAGTGCATCTGTGGGGATAAAATACACCTGCCAAAATATTTTTGATGTTTCAGTTGAGGCTAGAATTTTTTTGAACCTTTACTTTGATCTTTCTTACTTACTTTTTTTCCCTTATTATCATAGTTCATTCAGAAAAAAAGTTATACATATATTTACCCCCCTTAATAATATTCAGTGATGTCATTTTTCTCTGAGTAATCGGGACTAAAATTCGAAAAATGGGTTTGACCTCTTACTGCTTCTTTATATTATAATATTACTTCTGTAGAATTCCTAACCCATATGTTTCCCACAGGCAATGTTACAACAGACGGTTCCGTCACCCACCGCCAAACATTTTTGTATGATCAATTCAAGTGGCTATCGCCTCCATCTTTCTCCACCCATTCCTTTCTCCTTTTCGCGGCTTTTTTCTTATCTTTTTGATTTGCATTTTTCGTTCCCACATATCGTTAACCGTGGGATTTTGCCGACTCGGTTGGTTTCGAACGACTTTTTGCAGTTGGGTTATTTTATGGGCGGTAGTGCAACTTGGAGGTCGAATTTGTCGAAATGTATCCCCCATTTTTCGAACTTTCCTCTGAAACGAGCTCTAGTCTCATTTGAACCTTTCCAGAAACAGCATCTTGCATAATCCTAATTTCGAGAGAGAATCGGCATGACAAAAAAAGTTTTCACACCTCGGTTATCGTAATTCTTTTTTTTTTGCGTGAAAAGCTAGAAAAGAATAAACGCATAAAATAATGAACATAATTATTTTTACCTTTCATTTCATAATTCAATTATTTTCACTGCTTTTTTTCTACGTCTCACTTTAGTTTGAATTTTTCTGCATTTAACTTCTTTTCCTAAAATTATTTTATATGGAATCTTGTATCTAACTTTTTTTTTCTCGAACGACTCTATATTTTTTTTCGCCCTATTTATCAGCTATCTAGGCGTCTTTCACTATTTTATTTTGTTTTTGTTTCAGTTCTCAATCGCCGCTCTAAAACGTGTTATAGTACCAGATACACATGAATTGTACATTTGTAGGTATTTTGAAGCCGGAAAGACTGTAGAGGAGGATGCATCTGCCGGACGACGCGCCACCACCGCGGCTCTGTATCGTCGAGAAGAGGGAGGGCGAGACGGTGAGTTTTGGGGGTCAGAATGTTGTGAGAATTCGTGGAGATAGAAATATGAATTTGGAGAGAAAAAGATGTTTTTAGGAGTATGGCTACAATCTTCATGCGGAGAAGGAGCGCGGCCAATTTGTCGGCTTGGTCGATCCTTCCTCACCGGCTGAGCGGTCAGTCCTTCATTTCCACACAAAGCTAAAACCGATCAAACTTTGAAGTGACATCAGCACTGAACGTGATATTCAATTTGCAGTGGCGGTCTGAAACAAGGCGACCGAATTTTCGCTGTCAACGGCCACTCGATCGTCGGCGAAAACCACAAAAAGGTCGGTTCAAAAACCTGAGGCTATACTATATAAGGCTTGGAGGTTGAGCTACCCTTCTAAAACCTTCCTGCTTAAAAAAGTGAAAAAGTTGATGGTTTTGAGGTGGTGGAACGTATCAAGCAGAACCCTCAACGATGCGAGATGTTGGTGATTTCTGAAGACGGCGCGAAATGGTACTCCGAACACGGGATTCCCGTCACCCTGCAGCTGTCAAACATCATTCGCGTCGTCGATGTGAGCCCTTGGGTCAAACAACAAACAAAAAAAAAACGAATAAATACTGTAAAATTCGTTTGAAGTAATCCCAGGAGGCAGAAGTTGAAGATAAAAGTAATTAAAGCAAGTTCAATCGAATCAAGAAGAAATATAAGAGTGTTCAAAGAAACTTCTAAAAATGATAATTTTGGTATTACTTCGAAAAAGAAAAAAACTATTTGACGAAATTTTTTTTTCGTTTTTTTGTCATCTCAATCGAAACACTCCGAATTACTACCTTGTTACCTGATCAAAACTCCTAAAAAAACTAGAAAAGAAAGTTTATAAGTCGATTTGAAGAGCGAAAGAAGACCGACTGGAGCCAACGACAGTCCGCCGCCCAATGGATCTTGGTACGCGCCCAACTCCAAGAATGTCAGTTTGATTTATCACTATTTCACGTTTCACAAAATTATTCACCAAGCCTCATCTGAATCGAAATTGGAAGCCTCTATTGGACTCTTTTTTCATTTCCAAATAATGGACGGATTTTTTCTCGATGATTATGGAGCTTCACTATTCTCTTCAAAGTCCGATCAACAAGAATCTGTCTGAAATGGATTTATTAGACGGACTAATATCACGGATAGGATTTTTCGAGTTTCTGTGGGGTAGAGTTCAAAGAAAAGAACTTCACAAAGAAAATACGATTAAGTAAGGATGTTGAACCAATGGACTGAAAAAAGATCTCAAAGACTGGTCTTTATGGAAATTAAATTGTTTTTATAAGTTTGTGTGATAGAAACTAGAGAGATGAGAGGAAAAATCTAAGAGTTGATCGAAGATTTATTTTTATCTGAACAGAATCTGAATTCAAAGAAAAATCGAAGCTTTGGGTCATGACTTTCGAAGCATAACACTATGAATGGGGAGTTTTAAGAAGTAATAATGAACTGGAAATAAATGAACCAACCAATCCTACGCAGACAAGTTCTCAGCCATTATGCATTTATTTGCAATTTTAAATGGATCCTGAGATCAAGAATCTGAACAACTACCTCTTTAACTTGAATATTTCACAAAAAAGTAACATAACCATTCGAAATACGGACTAAAACGACGTTAATAAGGCTGTTCTCGGCCAGGCTCCACTGCATATCAAATTCAGGAAGCGTGAAATCGTACGGTCAAAATAGGCCGGAGTTTTTGCGTGACACTCACTCGACGGTCTGAATCAGACTCGTCATGGAGTTTGGGCAAACTTTTTGTCCATTTTCGGCGCACTTCTTCCCATTCCGTCACATTCATACGATATCAACGCAGATTGTCTTGTCTCGTGCATTCTTTATTCGATTCCCTGACACAACGCCCCTCCTTTTTAGGACCAAAAACGTCGTTTGGCTCATTCCCACACAGCCTCGCGACGCTTACTCACCATCCCAGCTCTATTGTATTTCTGTATCGACCTTTTTGACTTGCTCTTGCGGTCATTTTTGGTCAACAAGCTTCGATTTTTTGTGGAAATCTTCTTTTCCGACGTCGTGCTCATACTTCTAATCCTGAAAATCGACAAGAAAGATCTTGTAACGGAAAGTGAATTTAAGAAAGCTTGAAATACGACTACAAAAAGCTTCCTCGAAAGGATATCGAAGTGCTCTTCTTTGTTGGATTACGACCTTTACACTGTTGATCAACCTGAAACAAGACGGCTTGAATCTCAGATCTGATCTTGATTTTTAAATCGAAAAGATCCAAAGAAGAAGAAATTTTCAACGAAAGCAAGGAAAAAACTGCTCAGCCCTGCTTACTTCAGATTTTTCTGCTGTATTTATTTTCCGGAGAAATAAGAAGAGCTCTGAAAAAGCTGAAACGCTGCTCAATTCCTTCAACATTTATTGTCCCCATTTCCATATTCGAATCGCTTTCCTGTATTTTATGACCATTTATCGCTGCTACTATTCATAATTCCTTCTTTTGTTGACCAGAGAAAAATCTGATCGGCTCGATTTTTGTCAAACGGGACAGAAAAAGGTATTTTTGTGTTTGATTAAAGATGCTTCTTGTCGATATTTGCATTTCCATTCCTTGCCTGAGATTAGTCATTAGTTTCAAACAATGGCGAAACTTTTTCGATTTTGGTTCCATTTTGGAAATTTTCAAAGATTTTGGTCGTTCTCATTCTTCGTTTTTCGTTTCTGTTTTCAAGTTTTTGAATAACGATTCATGAAAAAGTTTGACTTTATCTAGGTAAAGGTAAAGCTAAAGTGAAAGCTTTTGCTGGTATTTCGAATTAAAATCGAGTAATAAACTTTAATGAAAATTTCAACTTTTTATATTAGTTAATTGAAGCCCCTCTATCAAAATGAACGACGCATCAAATCTCACCCTTTTGTTCGCTTTCGTAACCTCCCAAGCGTTTCAGAACTCACCAACCAAGCTACTCAACTAAAACGAACGAAAAGAGAGATGTTGCTAGGGTTGGTGGCATTTCTGGTGTTCCTGGCGATAATGCTGAAATTGGTACGGGACGATGAGAAAAAAAAGAAAAAAGTCGCGGCGACGATGGAGAAAGAGGAGCGTGTCGAAATGAGGAATGAGTCAGTGGGTTGGCAACTTGGCGGCGGCGAGAACGAGGAGGACGAGGAGGTTCAAGAAGAAGAAGAGGAAAGAGAGAACCGACCATTGATCGTGATCGCCACGGAAGTGACGACGACGACGTCGAAACCCATGGAGCATCTCGACGCCGAGCAACGCTCTGCCATATTTCATCTGGAGGAGTGTCTTCGGGACGATGAAGACGACCAGAAGACGTTGGAGGTGCTCAGAGTCCATCGGGAGCTCGATCATACTCCTATTCTCACTGTACAGGTTTTTTTTTTGCAAAATGTTTTGTTTGTGAAGAATCGTGTGACTTTTTTCTTTCAATGTTTCAAAACCTTCTCTGTCTTTTGGAAAGAAAGATAGCTTGAAGATTATTACGAATTTGTTTAGAGTCGGACTTCTGATAATTCTATACGATTTTCTAGTGTTTCAGACTATTTTCTTTTTTGATTTTCAAAGCTCTTCTTGTTTTTTTAGAGTTTTGATTTAGCAGCTACGATTTTTTTAGTACTGATTATTTGCTGGTTTGGCGTCGAAGTCTTTCATGCTGCTATCCATGACTCGAAATTCCTGTTTCGTGATGAAGATTTTTCTTTTTTTATAGTCAAAGATTAATTAGTTTCAGAAAAATGAATGCCGTAGTCATCAGATGTTGATTCCGATTTTGATGATTGTTAGAAGAAGTTTTTCTTCTTTCAAAGTTCGGGCGCTTTGATTCAAATGATTATATTTTAATCTAAGAATATTCAGTGTACTACCTCGAGAGCTAATTTCAATTTTTTTTTTGCAGTAATAATGGTTTTTTTTCATATATTTCAACATTCAATTGGTAATTGGATATTCTGTAATTGGATAAGGCATCTCGAGGACTTCCTCTCGTTTTTCCTTTGTTTGAACGGCGGTTTTTTCTTCCGATTGATAACATTGCTCCGCGGGCAATTTGAGATAGAATAGAGGAAAAGGCGTTTCCGTTCGTCCTCTTTTTTTTTGCCTCACAAAATTGCACCGTCGATCTTTTGTCCTTGAAACTGTTGTTTTCGTTTCGAGGTTGCGAAGTGCGGTACCTTCAGGAAACATTTCCTTGAAGCATATCGTCTTTTCGGACTTTTTAGAATAAGACTCGAAATGATCCCTCAAAAAATTATGGTGAAGCTTGGCAGTGTGCAATAATTCTTTTAAAGATTTTTCTTGTTCCTTTCTCTTAATTTTCAATATTTGTATTTTTCATTAACTCATTATTGAGAGCTGGATGCAATCGTTTCGACCTTCTTCCTAAACTTATGAGGAAGTTTATTAAAAGATTTTTTGCAAAAAAAAATAAGCTAAGAATTTGAAAAAAATGTGTTTTATACAATAAAGTACCTCGAACGACTTTTTCTTACAAATTTTTTCGACCTCAATCTCGATCTTATGTAAAGGATCACTAAAAGTGCCTGCTCTCATTTCGAAGCTCCTATTTTTTTGTCAGAATTTGATCTTTCCACAAAGTTGAAGAAGAAAATATCGCAATATATTTTTTTCAATAACTAAATCTCAAGGCGCACCTAATCGGGGCGGTAGATGTGAAGACGACGGCGGCGGCGGCGGTTTTGCGCGCGGAAAACGCAAATATGAATATACATAAAGGTGCACACAAACAGACACGCAAGCATCCATGGTTGGTATGAGCAAACGATTGGCCTCGACGATTATTCATCCCCTCGTCGGCTGTGACGATGATGATGGCCGCCGTCGTGGTGGTGGTCATCGTCGGCGTAATCTTTCTTGTTTGTTTGGTTTGGTTGGGCCTCGGCTGACCGTTTTGTGGTTTTTGGGCCAATTCAGACTTGTTATGGGGACCATCCCAACTGCTTAAATTTTCATTTTCGGATTTTTTGACAGAAGTTCTTTTATTTTATTTTTCTGTAGCCGGTTTTTTGAAAGCTTTCTCAAGCGAGTGATTCTATTCAAACTTTCTGGGTTTGAAAAAACTGGTCTGAAACCTTTTTTGATGTACTAGAACATTTTGAAGCTTCAACCTGTAGACTTTGACATTTTCAAAAACAATTCCTCCCGGAAAAATCTTGAAGCTCATTTTCGAGAGCTGAAAATATTAAACGCTCGGCAAGCATGAAATGTCTCATTTTTGACACGTTTCACACTGTCTCACTCATTTGTTCTCCCTTTTCACATCGGATCACGGTCGGAAACTTTTTTACAGTTTTTATTTGTTGCTAGCCGCATTAATACCTTTCTTCACGCGGAAACGCGCAAATTCGAAAGTTTATAAAGTAGGTCTGGCTGGGGTCAGGGCTAGTCGCGTGTCTTTTTTGGTCAGTTCTTGTTATTTTTTCTTTTCTTGATCTTTTTTCTCCGATGAGGACATCCATGTTGTCCCGAATCGTGTTTTGAGGTCGAAATTTGGGTGGAAATGAGCCTTTCTCGACGTGATTTTTAAGGACGAAAGTGTAAAAAACTAAATAAAGAAGTGAAAGCTCAGATTTTTCCATTTTCTTGAGGATAATTGAAGCTTTGAAATCGGGAATATCCTTGGATAGAAGCCAGGTTTGGCGTCAGTCAGGGACGGATGTTTGTACAGGAGTAGTTGTGGCTGTAGTGGGCGCCGTTCTTTTGTTTGTTGGCCTCCGCCTACCGGGCGGCTTCTTTTGGGCTCAGATTTTGCAGTTATTGTTGTAGTTGCCGTCTTTGCATGTCAAGTGCTTGGAGCGTGTTGTTCTCCGGATTTTTTGGGTCATAAAGCTTCTAAAAAGACGGTGATCTGGCATCATTGCTCGCTTTCTGTAACTGTTCTAAAAAAATTGAATTCCTATTCGCTCCTATTTGAAAAATTTTCATGAGAGAGAGAGCTGTTACTGGTAGGACGAATTGATATACCATTCCTTCATTTGTTTTTAAATGACTTTCGCTCTCAAAACAGCTTGATTGAGATTTTTTTTTCCTTAACGGACTTTCCTCAACTTCATCATTACTGTGGGAAAACCATTTAAAAATAAAAACGTCAAACCTGATTTATATTAACTTAGAAATGTAACTCGGTTTTTCGAAAAAAAGAAAAGATTTTTTTTTTCAGTGTCTCATTGCTGTATTAATTTTCTCTGATTTTTGAGCTTTCGAGCCGTTTCACAAAACATCTTCTAACTGATCAGCAACGGATCGTGAGCTTTTTGAAGAAAGTAAATACAACGTGTTGAGAAGAAAAATCTTGAAACCGAAAAAAAGAAGATTTCCCTCGGCGCGGCCGACCTCTTTGATCTACTTTCTCGTTAATTTAGGGCGTTTTCTATTGATTTCTTTTTTCTTATCTGATTTCGCAGGAACGTTTTGCAGAGCTAGGCAATTTCTGATAATTATTTCTGAAGACTGATAATTACAGCTTTGATGGAAAAATGACGTCTTTTGAAGTTAAGAATTTTTTGACGGAATTCGCCATTTTCTTTCGAGTTCCAATTTTTTTAAACCTATGAAATAATAGTGAGTTTGTTTATGAATATTTTGAGTAAGATTAATTTTGAGTCATTTTAGCGCTTTCGTGTGAACAAAGTGATAATCTGCTATTTTGGTCCTCAAAAACAACCTAAAATTTTGAAGTGTTATCAATCAAACTGATTTTCCACGTTCACATCAGAGTCAATCAGTTTCCGAGTCTTTTTTTTTCGATTTTTCGGTTCCATTTCTCCAGTTGTTTTGTGATCCCTTTGTGTGTCCCGGAGACGTTCGCCTAATTGGTTCAGGTTTCCCGAAAAAATTTTCGTCTTTTTTCATGGAAGTCGTGTGGTTTCAATTTTGTTGCAAGGAACGTATTCTTACAGTTTACTATAAAGTTTTCGCGGTTTTTCTGAAAAGTTCCTCTTGTGTCTGATAAGATTAGATTCTCTTGCATCGTTGTTTGCTGAAGGATCGCATTTATTGATGTTAAAAAAATCAAACTGATAATCTAAGATTTAGCTAAAATGAAGAAATTGTACAAATATAGTGGTGAAGGTCTTCATGAAATTTGGTTTTCCAGCTTTTGATCTACATCAGAGAAGTTTAATTTAGCTTTCAGCGTTTTGCAGCATTTCTTTTTCATGACTCTAAGATTCTTGAATGGAACTGACGAAGTTATTTTCAGGAGTCCTGTTCAATTATTTCCAAACTTTTTCTCAATTCATTCACGTTCCAATGACTCACAAGTAAACTTGTTCGATTGAGAATGCGTCATCTTTTTCACGTGAAATTTTGTTTGGGAAAAAGTTCATGTTCATTTTGTACATTTTCTCTCTCTCTAACCCCGTGAGTATTTTCGAGTTTTGAAGTAATTTTTAACAACAAAAAAAATGGATAATTTCCCTTGAGTTTAACCTTTTCGTCGATAAAGGTGCAGTTATCTTTCAGCTATAAAGATGAAGTTTATTGAAAATTTTTAAGACCTCTTTTTTGAAAAAAAAAAGCTGGGAAACAAATGAGAACTTTCAGTCGAACAGGTTGCATAGCAGCGGGTTTTCTTTCAATTACGTATTGGAAATTATAGTCATTTATCTTCTTTTTTTTTCGAAAAGTTGGAAAAAGATGCATTTGTGGAAACAAGGAAAGATAGAGAGAAATAAATGATATCGAAGAGGGAAACTTTCTGGATTAGAAACTTGTAATTTAGAGGTTATCGAAAATAATTGGAATACTTTTTAAAACAGTTAATTTTGCCTCAAACCGAAAGACACTAGAGCGCAATTGTAGAATTCATAAATCTAAGAGAAAAAAAATTGATATTTTTTTCACTTTTCAAAACTTTTCTTTTCAGAAATACAAGTTCTGTTTTCTTGCTCCTTTCGAACGATAACATGTACATAACTCACCATTTTTTTCTCACAAAAAGTTATAAAAAAATGACATCCTGCGGCCCCAAAAAAACACAACACAAATACAAACTCGGCGGATTTTTTTATTGTTAACGCCCTTTGCGCCTCGTCATTTTTTTCCCGTCATTCATTCATTTTCACGTCGAAAAAAACGTGTTTCGAACCGTTGAATGAAATCTCCAAACAAAAATTTCTTTCGAGACATGAGCGAATAAACTTCTTTCGAAAGGTTGTGTACAATTGCTAACCTGACCGCTGATTAATTTCTAAGCAAAAATATAATTGATACTTTATCCATGAGGTGATGAATGGTCTCCTGAGCCCACGAGTTATATTCTTTAAAAATCTCATTTATTTTTTTTCCTTCACCCTCTTTAGGCGAGTTAGCTTTTCTTATCTTTCCTTTATTAAAAAAAATATTTTTACTTTATTTTTTTAGTCAATTTACGACTTGCTTAATCCAATATTCGAAGAATCGAAAATTGTTTAAGAAACCATTTTTTTCATTTCAAGCTAGAGATAGCGAGTGGATTGATGCAAACTTGATTCACTACAGAATTTCCAAACAGTGGAGTAAATCGAAACTTTTTTCGAAGGATTCTTTTAAGAATTAGCTCTGATTATTTTTTTCTGTCTAATAAAAACTTTGAAAGTTTGAATTTTTTTTTTCTTGCAGACGAACGAGCCAGTATTCGTCCCGCCGCCGCCGCCCCTTGACTCAGACCACCACGATCACCACGACATGACGCGAAAACCGTTGCCTCGTCTGGCGCACTTGGTCCGTCTTTTTTTTTGAAAATGAATAAAACAACTACCTCTTTAAGGTGAAAAATGAGACGACCGACGAGTTCGGCTTCAACCTCCATGCCGAGAGACATCGCGGACACTTTATTGGTATATTTTTTTAAAGTTCTGATACTTTGATTTTAGCTATGCTCCTTTTTCAACTTCACTAGAGAAAATATTTATGAATTGTAGAATTTGAAAACTTCTTTTATTGCGAGTCCTCGACTTTTCCAAAAGATTGAGTGATTCTCTCCTTATGGCGTATTTTGCTAGGATCATATCGGGAATATCAAGCTTCGTGGAAGAATGCGAAAGTCTAATGTTCCCTTGAGGTTTTGTGGAGCCTCGGAAACTCTCAGAAGCCCTCTCATATATTTTTCAAACTTGGTCGAGTTTTTATCGTTTCAGGCACAGTCGACGCTGGCGGTATCGGCGAACGAGCCGGCCTGAGGATGGGACAACGAATCGTTGGCGTCAACGACGTGCTGATCTTCCCCGACACGCCGCACAAGGAGGTCGTCGCGCTCATCAAGAAGTCGCCGACGAGCACGACCCTTCTCGTCGCTTCTGAAGACGTTGACAAGTTGGTGACGTCATCGAAACGGGTTATACGCTGTGACGTCAGATGGCACACGTCGCACCATGTGCCGTACTCGTTCGAAGAGGCAGAACACTATCCAGAGCCGCCAAAGTCCCGAACTGCCACCGCCGTCAGTCAGCATCCACAGAAACTCAGTCCTCATGTACGTTTCTCGATAGGGACATCTGTAATCAGAAAATCAATGTTTCGAACTTCTTTCTTTCACGTTTTTAGCCGCATCTTCAAAGCAAGGCATGAAATTTGTATTTTTTTTTTTGTCTGTCTAAGCCTTGATGATACTTTTTTTTTGCAGTTATCGAATCTAGAATTTTATAAATTCGACTGCTAGTCATAATTTCAATATTTCATAGTTTCTCTGTCGTTGTAAGTTTTTCAAACTTCTTTGCCGGTGTTTTGAAGAAGCAAAGACTATAAGTAAAATCAAGAATTAAAAACTCCTTTTTAGTTAACCGATATTGGTGTCTTTTCAGAGCGTAACGTAACACTAGAAAGTTTAAAATATCCGGGAATGTCTATTCTGATTTTTAGATTACTTTGTAATTCTTTTTTTTTTTCATGAGATAAATCGTGGTAAGTAGTGCTTTAATTCACTGTTAGAATAATTTCAACCTCAGAAATTTGATCGACTAGTTCTAAAAATTTAAACCAACTATGAAAAACCTGTGAAATATTGGGAGAATCTTTATGGCTTTTCCAGAAGCCTAATCATCAAAAAATGTAAACTACGTAAAAGAAAAATTCCAACAATGCGTTTTTTTTTTCACTTTTTTGTTTCAGAGCATCCAAGTTGGCGACGAGATGGAGGTCGTCCTCCACCACCAGGTACATCGTGTCCCTTGTTCTTTTCTCAATGTGAGTCCTGCCGTCCGTCCAAACTTTTCGCGTTTTTCTTCTAAATTCGTTTTAGCATGGCATTTTACGGCACGGCATGGCTCCAGGAAAGTAAATGTCTTTTCCTGATTTTTTTTTTTCTTGAAACATGTCGGTTTTATGTGTTTCTTTATGCTTCCCAATGTTTCTGAATGGAATGACGAAATCTTGGAATGCATCTTGAGATGGAACGGTTCCGTTGGAAGAGGGTTGTAAAAACATTTGAGATATGTATTTAAGATTGAAAGGACGATTTGTTCAACTTCTTTTAGTTTCAACTGTAATCATTTCTTTTTTCTGTGCTTTAATTGGGAGTTTTTGGCTCAGATTTTGGAGTTGCGGGTCTGAAAATTGAAATCTTTTTCAAGCGTTAGGTCACATTATCTCATTTTTTTTCTTTTTAATTGCAAAATATCTCCCACGGTTCCGACAGTCATTTATGATGTCAAAAAGAAGCTTTGTGATGCAAATTTCTATTCTGCTTTTTCTTTTGTGTGTCTTTTGAGCTGAAAAACGAATCGACTGGTTTCGGAGCTATAGTCCGACAGGAACATTATCCAGTTTTTGTTTCTTGTGTGTTGTTTGGTTTTTTCGTTTTGAAGAATTTTCAGTGAGGATCTAACTATTTGAAAAACTTCTCAATAGTAATTGGTGTTTATTGAGTTTATGACTTTCGTTTAACTGGAGTTTAATAATTTTCAAAAAAGGGCGTTCTTGTTTTACCAGTCGATTCAAAGACAGTCTTTGTTCGAATACTTTTTCGTTGCTTGGAATGCATTTTCTTTGCTCAGCCGAAGCACCACGACAACGATAGCGAAGAGGAGTACTTCCACGACACGCAGCACGGACACGCGCCGCAGCCGCAGACGCAGCTCCATACCTACGATATTCCGCCGGCGGAAGGCACCGACGACTTGCTCAGCCAGGTGTTCGGCAACGTCCAGCTGCAGCCCGTCGCCGGCGGCAACGTCATCGTCGAGTCTCGGACCGTCGAGATGGGCCATCATCATCCGCCCTCGTCAACGGCGTCGAGTGTCGCCTCATCGCATCGCGAAAGCGCCATCGATGTGCCGCCCAGCCATCACGTATGCTTGGTTTCTTGCGTTTCCAAATATATTCTATTTGGTCATAGCTTTTTCTTTTGGTTTCTTAGATGCTGATGTGTTTTGGATAACAGAATTGAGATTCAAAGTTGCCTGAGAGTTTTTTTTTCGCTTCGGAATGATAATACTAATCAAAAATATTTTTGGGAAGCGTTTTTTTATAATTCATATTTTAAATCAATTTTTTTCTAATAACTTCTAATTTGCTGTTGGAATGAACTTTCTTAGATTTTTTTGATCACCTTCTATATAGGATATTATCTTGTATTTGGGGAAAAACAAAGAAGCCATTCGACATGAAATTCCATAAGTTGAGCAAATGAAAAGTTTTTGGGAAAAGTTTTTGGATTTGATTGATTACAGTACGTGCCCTCGTACGGTACACAAACGCGCGACCACGTGGTTCCTTTCGCTCAGCAGCCGTCGCCCCTGAGCAACGGCAGCAGCGTCGGATACGCCGGCAGCACCGGCTCCGGCGGCTACGACGACGACATCTACCATCTCTCGGCCAAGGAGGCCCGCGAACGTCTCCGCAACCGCAACAGGAAGCAGCGAGCGTTCGTTTTTTCTATGATTCTTCCCTTTTTATGTTTTGAAGTACGCTATCTAAAAAAGGCGAAGTTTTTGACTTCTTATCAAAATAGTCTGAAAAAAAGATTGCGATACCATGTAAGTATTGTTTTTTGAAAGTATGCAACAAGCAGGAAATGTATTAGATCTCTGCCGTAATATGACGACGTTTTTTTTTCCATTTCGTACAGCCCAAGTATGTTTTAATCCACCAATTTACATGATTCCAGGCTGGACATGAGTCTGAACGAGAAGTACGAGCTTGTGAGCAACATGTAAACCTCTCCATGACCATTTTCGATTCGCAAAGTTTGTTTATCCGAAAAACTAGTCGACTTTCTTTCTTGTCCCTTTGTCTTCTAATTTCTATCATGACGTCACCGTGTACTTCCTGTGATAACGAGAAAACTCCCCGTTTGTAAAAGTTGTTTCTTTTCTTGTAACCTTTTTTGCTTCGAAAAGAGCTCCTCGTAGTACTAATTTCTTTCCTTCTTTTCCTCCTTGCTCAAAACGATTCGCCAACACACTTCAACTACTGACACTGATTACATCTTTCACTTACTCTTATTAATTTTATTATCAACATTGTTAAAGCGAATGAGAGTAATAGAAGAAAATGTCTATTTCCACACCCTTTTTGTGCCAGGAAATTGCCCCAATAAATCTTCTATAGTGACCACTTTCATATAGTCCTGTCTCTTTGTTTTTTTTTCACTATTTATCTTCCAGACACCCAATTTTCTTGTGCAATAACTTTACTGCGCCGCCGCCCAGAACTTTGTTTTTGAGAGTTGATAAATATTTTTGGAAAAGTGCTTTGATCGGAGAACTTGAGCGCTGAAGTTTGGTAAACGGTAGATTCGAGAACTAATTGAATGGATTTTTTTAAAGTTGAAATTGGCATAAAATAGTCGGAACTCAGTTTTAAAAAAACGGATTAATTCATCTCTTCTTACGTTTTTTTTGTCACAAAAGCGGCTTTCAATCATCAGAAGGCGTCGCATGTCTTCATCCGCCCCCTCGATCATAAAAAAGCGGACAAACATGGTGTGGGAGGCAGAAGGAACCGGTCGGACATCTCCTCCAGCTTCCTCCAGCTTCCTCGAATCTCCGCCAGCCAAACACCCAAATGGACCGTGCGTCGGTGGCAACGTTCGCCAGCGTCGCGTTGAGCATCGGAGCGATCGCCGCCTGTGCCGTCGTCGCGTCTCGGCTCTGCGACGACATCAATGGCTTCTTCGATGAGACCTTCGCCGAGTTCAAGCAGGCCCAGGTCAGAAGGCTTTTTCAATGGTCTCTCATCTTAATTAATTACAATCGATGGAGTTTTTATACTAAAAAAATGTAATTTCTCCGCTTTTAAGGATTTTTGAATTCTAGGTGAAGCTATTGGGAAATGAGATCGACCACCTCGAGCGGAAACTTAATCGGATAGAAAGTTAGAAATAATGGTGTGAAAAATTTAAAAATAGGCGTTTTGAGGGTTTGAAATTATTTTGATGATCCTGTGTGAAATTCTAATCCTAAATAGGGCGCAGGCTTGGCCTGCGCCTAAACCTCGTTATGTTCACAGAATACCTGAACCTCGAAAAATGCCATAATGATCCAAAATCTCCAGATGTCAACTGACGACGCCTGGAACGAGGTGATGCACGTGAAGAAGAACGAAGATCAAAGCGAATTCATGAAATTCGCTCGACGAGAGAAAAGAGAAGACCTGCCGAGCCACTGCAACTGCCTCGCGCAGCACAATTGTCCGCCAGGCCCCCCTGGAACACCTGGAAAAGATGGAGAAGACGGAAGTGAGTCTGTTCAGAGGGAGAGCCTGATTAGATATCGACTTTTCCAGGACCTGGAGCTCCAGGACCCCGTGGGGCGAATGGAATGAGTGGCGTCGAACTGGCGAGGGACATGCGTGAGGACTCAGGCTGCATCAAGTGTCCTGCTGGTGGTTCGTTCTTTTTTATCTTTTCGAAGTTTGATATGATGAAAAGATTTTAAAACAAGGTAATTGCCGGAGAGAAAACTGCTGTTCTAGAGAAATATTATCTGAGCTTCACTGCCTCTTTGAAGATTGAATGGAGGATGCCAGTAATGAAACGGGATATCTTCTTGTTGTATTGCAGCCCCAGGCCGACCAGGACCTCAAGGACTTGCCGGACTGCCAGGACCACGCGGAAACGACGGAAAGCCTGGAAATCCTGGAAGAATCGGAGCCAGAGGACCTGTTGGAGAACCCGGAAATCCTGGTCTTCCAGGTACGAGTCTATCTAATTTTACTCTTCTAGCCTAAACGTTCAGGTACTGCTGGAGCGCCAGGACGTATGGGACATCCAGGTCGCAACGGCGTGAAGAACTTGCCTGGACCACCAGGCCCACCAGGATTGCCGGGTCCGCGAGGCCCAGCCGGACCGACAGGAGAGCCTGGAGTCGCCGAAGAAGGACCAGACGGACTTCCAGGTCCAGGAGGACCTCCAGGAATGCCAGGAATGCCCGGGGCGATGGGAAAGCCTGGTCCTCCGGGTCAGCCCGGAATTCCTGGACATGACGGCGCTTATTGTCCTTGTCCGCCACGAGAACAGCTTATGGTAGAGATGGCCAACGAGTCAACTTTTGTCGAATCGGCGCATCTCGAGCAGGAGGAACCGCAAGAAGACTACAAAGGTCCTGGAGGTTCGTTATGACTATTTTTTGACGTCTCCACAACTTGCCACTCCTGAAAAAGTTTGACGTGACTGTTTCAGACAAGAAGACGAAAAAGAGCGAGCAAAGTGTTCCAGTTGTGGCAGAGCAACACGAAGAAACCTACGAGATGCGATTCCCTCCGAATTTGTTCGCCGTTCAATGACCAAGAAATCAATAAATCATGGTCATTCGATAAATACTTTTATTATTTTAAAGGCACGTTGAATCAGGCAGGAGCAAGCAAACAAACAGAAAAAATTCTTTCCAGAGAGACTTGGTCTAACGGAGTTTACCGTAAAATGTTTCAAAGGGTTCAAATAAATCAAAAACGAAAAGTTATCTTCTCAAGTTTGGGGTCTTGCCGAATACATGCATGTCTCACATCGTTCATGGAAAAACTCGATTTTTCATTTTAATTCGTGTTGGTGACGTCACTCCAAACGAGACAGGGTCATTTTGACGTCATCGTCTCCGCGACTTTCGCACCGCGACATTTGCAAAACATCGCGCACCACGCTAGTCAGTGGGCGTTCGTGACAGTCCTCGAACGTCGTCGAGCCAAACTCGCGCGGCTGACATTCGAGTCGAACTGCCGGCCCAGGGAGTTGCAACGCAGAATAGAGATGAAGGCTTTCCTCAAAAAAAATTCTCACAAAATTTGAAAATATCTCTCTTTTCAATGATCCCAAAGTTCAAAACTCTTTTCAACCTCCCACCGAGGCCGCTGTTTACCTGTACTCAGGAGCCCTCCAAAAATAGATGAAGAAGTTCAGCGACGCATTGATAATCACCAACCACCCGAGCTGCTGGTTTATAGCAGTTACGGCCGACTGCGGCAGCTTCATGAACTGGAAAAAAGTCAATAAAAGGTGAATATTTGATAATCAATACCTGAGTGACAACCAACGCCGCAATGGTCAAAAACCAGGTCGACGAATAGACAGAAATGACAATAGTCAATGATGTGAGCACTTTGTTGACCTTCTCCACCGTGGATTCATGGACTTTGCGGGCTGAAACTCGTAGAAATTGGAGAATATTTGCGGATAATTCCCACACTTCAGGATTTTGCACCGAATGTGCGCTCCACTGTATACCAAGACGACGGCTACTGCGACAAGAACGCTGGCGCCTAGCCAAAGACCGCGAGACAACGGATTGTAGGCACTCGGGGGAAGGCACACCGGTACGATGACGTCATCTGAGAAGAAACGGTGACGTCATTTGAAGGATGCAAAGTAGCCAAACCATTTGAATCGATGAATCCGACTGCTGTTAGGACTATTGAAAAAGTTGTACAAAAGACGAGGAAGGCAACGTAAACGGCTTGTGGAATACGCGCGTATCTGTGAAAGACGGACATTTGAACTTGCTTTTTTCGAAAGCTGATTTAAAAATTCGTTCTAGTTTCTTTTTCCGGTCTTTTTTTGGTCGAAAACTGGAATCGAACCTTAGAGGGATGCAGACAGCAATGAGACGGTCAAAGCCAATGACGAGACCCAGGGCGGCCTGCATATTCAATGCAAAAAGGCCGTGAACAGACCACAAAAAACACTGAGAACTGGTCAACATGTACATTTTGGCGAACATCATTATTCGCAGTTGAACCTGAAATTAAAAAAAGACTAAATTTTTCTCAAGTTTGATTTTCTAGCTAATTTATTATTTTTTTTCAACCTTTGCTTTCTTAATGCCTTTTTCCATCAATTTTCTCAGCTTCCTTCTCGAAACAAGTTCAAAGCTCAACAATTATCAAATGAATTTCGCGAACGAACCCAATCTTGCTTCAAAACAATCGAAACTTTGAATAGAACTTATTGTGTCTATTAACTGCCATTTATAATCAAATTCCCTTGCGCTGTTCGCTATTTCGGGCGTGGCCAAAAAAGAAAAATCAAAGTTTCAATTGAGAATGATTTTTGATTAAGAAACTTTCAAAGACATGAAACTCCGAACCGTGATTAGTTTCTTTGGTTTTTTTTTTTCGAAGATTGAAAAGATTTTGGAACTTTGACCGCATTTCCGTCTATTCAGAACAATGGATCATTGAAGTAGCACTTGGAGGCATTCAACTACCACTTTACCTCATATAGTTTATTCACTGCCGTTATTTAGCAGAAAAAAAAAATCAAAGAATATATGATCAAGTGATGGATAGGCAGAGAAATAACAATACACGGGAAAGAGTCAACCCCAACGAGTTGACAGGTACCCGGAAATATGACAAATTCATAGGAGACGAGAGGTGATATTTTCATGAAAAGCTTCAAAAGGAAGAGTTTCTGGGGTAACGTTAAAATCTAAATAAGAAGTTAGTTTATTCCAAAGAGGAATAGTTCTAGTAAAGAAGTCATTAGAAAACTGACCACTTTCTGTAACATATAATGAATAGTTTTGATTGTGATGAAACCGCCCGCTTCGAAAATTTATATTTAGGATCAAAGCCCTCTGAGAAATATTTTTAATCATAATCGGATTTTTACTGATTACATACTATCAAAATGAGCATCGGTCTTTGAAACGTCGAAATAACGATTTCGGCTTCGCTTTCTTTTCCCTTATTTTGGTCACAGTTAAACAAAAAAGTTAAGGCTTGCTATATGAATAAACCATTTAATAACATTTGGGAAAAGTTCCGCTTTCCTGGGTTAATTTTTGTTGTGATTCATAATGAGAATACTTTGGCTACAAAACAAAAATGCTGAGAACCTCTCTTTGTTATCGAAAAACCAAGATCATAGGCTGTTATTCTTGGGAAAAATAATTATTTTGTCAAAAAACGAAAGAAGAAAGTGAAAAAAACATTGCAAAAAATCCGTGAAAGTTCCCTTTATTTTCTCTTGCAAAATTCATATTGGAACTAGCTTGAAAATTTCTTGATCTACTTCTTCTCAGAAGCCTTCATAAAATTTTGCATTTTAGCCCCAAAACTAACCAGATACAAGCAAACGACGAAGTCAGACGCGGCCAGAAGGCCGATGAAGAAGTTGCAACGATTGTGCAGAGCCTTCGTGGTTACTGTGGCCAGGACAATCATGAAGTTTCCAAAAACGCCGACAAGCGACAGAAACATCGTCGAGGCTATCATCGGCACCGGTACGAGGTCCAGAGTAACTGGACGATCCTCGAAGGGAGCAGACGACGGGACTGGCGTCGACATTTCTGAGACATTGACAGTCTAATTCATTTGGAGACTTTGAAAAAAGAGTTGAGAGCGAGAGGACTAATTTCAATAACAAATAGTCTTTGAAAGTTCGAAAATTTCCTTATTATTGAGAATTAGATATGAGTTCGGACAACTAAGGGAAAAAGATGGGCTGAACTATTTGAACTGATGCTAAAAAAAAAAGAAACACGTCAAGAAAACTTTCTAGTCGTATAGCCCAGAGACCTTCCTACTGAAAGCTCCAATTGGTTTGAAATAAATAACCAAGACAGCTGAAAAAAATGAATTTTTTTATAAATGTTTGTCTAATGTCTCACTGTTATTTGAAGATATAAAAAGATATTTTTTTCCTGTTTTTTTGAAAACCAAAAAAACATAGAAGCAACTTTAACACCTATGATTCTTCCAAAGAAGACAAGTTTCAAAATAAAGAAGCTTGTTTACAAATGGAAATTTTGTAGAAAGATGTCTGTTGATCTTCAAAACTCACGTTCAGAAGAAAAAAATCGGAAAAACGTTGAAATTTTTGAATAGGTGCCAAAAGATAATTTAATTTTTTTATAGTGAAATAAGTTTACTTAAATTCGGAAACGAATAAATTAACCTTAAAATAAGAATAATATTTGGAAAAAAATTTGAGTTCAAACCATTCATAAACTGTCGTCTTCAAAAAAAAAAATTAATTGGATGAATGAGAAAATGAAAGAGAGCTACAAAAGAGTTTTGAATGTCCAAAAAACACTTCTGATATTAAAAAATCTTTCAGGAAACTTAGAAAACGTAAAGGTGTCAAAAAAAAGCCGAACAGCTGCTTTCGAACATATAGAAACAAAAAACTTCTTGTTGAGATTTTCTGAGCAAAGTCCCAGCAAAGACAGGTGGAAACTCCTGGTTGCCGTACCCAGGCGCCGCCCAAAAATCTGTCCATTCTCACTCCCACGAAAAAAAAGAGGTTCAGAATCCTTCTCACGAAAAGCACTTCATTCAATGGAACGATTCGATTCAAAACACACAAAAATTAAAGAGAAAATAGAGGGAAAATGGCGTCGAAGGCAGATTATCGATTACACATAGCTCTTCTGACAAGACCAAGATATCCGATTATGTAGAAAATGATAGTGAGATAGAACATGGCGAGCCAGTTGAAGTAGAGGTTGTCGACGTCGAAGTTGAGGTTCTGGAATTGAGATAGACCAAGGGTGGGCGGAAGTTTAGGAAAAAGAAACACTAGATGAACAAAAAAAGAGAAAAAAACTCATAAGAAAAAAAATACTTTCAAGATGATTTTTTTCCATCTTTTTGCTAACATAAACTTTTGGTTAACTTTGTTCAATTCGAATTTTTAAATCTACATTTAAAAACAAAATTAATTTTTTTCAGACATCGCAGTTTTTCCAAAAAGCCCCTTTCACTTCTACATGTCCTATAAAAAAAGGTAAAAAAATAAGAAAAAGGAAGAAAGAGTTCGGAGATTATCGCAACTTGAGGAAATGGATCAAACAACTGGGAAAAGAGAGCGTTAGATCAAAAATAAGTTAATACTAAACATGTTGATAAAGATCCCGTTGAAATTCGTTTATCATGTACCTAAATTCTCAAACAACTCGATGCAGTTATCTTTGAAAATTCTCCGTAACTTCATTTATCCGATTGAAAATAATCAGTCCATTTTTGAACCCAAACACCAATAAAAAAGAAAGGTTCTTTGTGATTTCTGTACACTAGACGTTCTCCATAGCTAAAATTAATCATTGCAAAAGCCCATTCAAGCTTATCAGGCTCCCATTCTCAGCTACAAACCTCAGCTTCACACGAAAAAAGCGAAACCTCGTGATAAAAAAATCAAGTTGCAGAAACTTTTCCAGAATCCAAAAAACCGACTAAACGTGACTGTGAGAGTGAAAAAGGGTGAAATAAAACAATTTCTTAGAAAAAATGATGAGACTGGGAACAAGGAGTGCAAAATCAGTAGGGAAAGCGAGCTACTAAACTAGTTAGAAAAGAAAAAAAAAGGAAATAAACTCGTTTGACCGGATTCTCAGAAAAAAAATATTCCCAGCTAAATTATTACATAAGCTATCGCAATGAGAATTCAAATGACCGGCAAAAACGAAAAAAGAAAACTAGCCGACGTCAGAAGTCGAACTTACGCGCTCCTGCTCAATCAAAAAATCTAGAAAAGGCCAAAAAGACCAAAAATAAGCCTATAGACGATTCAAAACGTTCAGATGACCGGAAAAGCTCTTTAGCAACTTCTAAAACTTATTTGAAAGTCCTCGGAAAAGATTTTAAAAAAACCAAGCCGATTTTCTAAAAATTTGGAATAATGTAATCAAAACTCCCCCGAATTCAATTAAAGGTCACCTTGCAGTTGAATTCGAAAAACCTTGTGCGATAAACTATATCAAATAATTCAAGACTTTTTTCATTATTTCATAGTTTAGGAATCGGCATAAACCCCATGAAGATCAAACTAGACGTACCAATTGTTTTATGTAGGACAAAGAACAAAAACCGATTTCTGTTCAGCTTGAAAGTTGTTTTTTCCCTTATTTTTCTAAATAACAATCCCAAAACAGGATAAAGAGACAGAGCCTTGTGCTCAGATTACTAATTAGTACAAATTAATGCGTAATCGGGTTCATTAGACACCCGTCTAACCCATTGAGTCATCTCAAAACTTGGCAGGAAAACAAGTCGGCAGGTCGAAAACCGCACCTGCTGGCTCCAACTCTAGCGGTTTATATATTTGACCAACCTTGATAACATGGTCTCCAGACGGTTCACAGTGTTGCAGAAGGACGTTTTCACTGTTTTTGCAGCTCAAGTCGTCGTAGTCCTCATGAGCCCACACGTTCACCACCAACGCTTCATATCCAAAACGGAACCTGGATATTTGCTCGTCTTATGAAAGTGAAATGCCAATGAGACCATGAAAGGTATTGGACCCATTTGATCCAAGCCGGCATCAATTCAGTGTTGGTGAAGATACCGCCAGTCATCGAGAAAATGGTGAGAACCGGTCCGGAAATGGTCACCGCTACCGAGTACGATGGAGCAATCTTAACCAGAATTTGACAAAACTTTTTGTGATTCTAGTATTACGGATAAAACAAAAGCTATTCGAGAAGATTATCAAAACTTTGCTGAAGGGCCTTCAGAACTCGATTATTTTATGAACTTTGAAGCGTCATTCGAAAAAGATCTATGGCGAGACATTTTTTTCTTATTTTGGAAGCAGGAAGTTTAAAGTAAACTCTAGTCAATTTTCATCAAAAGCGTGGGAGAAAAAAATATTTTTGTCAAAAGAAAACGGATTATTCAATAAAAATTTTTTTAGGCAGACGTTTTGAACTCTCTGAATTTTTCCAGATATCTTCTTTTTCATTTTAACATCTTCCTCAATTATCCGCACGAATCGAAACTCTTACCGAACAGACGGCAATCGCCAAGGAGACAACATTGCACTCAATAAAGATGCAAGTTATCAAAACCCTGAGGAAAACAATCGAGTCGAGAGGTAAACCAACGATGAAATACGACAGAGTCACCATTATCATCCCATCAATCGAGAAAATTGGCAAGAATGAGAGAATCTGGAGAGAAGTCAAGATCCTCGAATAACTAGGAAAACAAGCACCTTCGCCAGGTAATACGCCGAAATCGGATATATCCGATCGTCGTACTCGCGAACGACAATCGGATAGTCAGAGGGCATGAAAGCCTGGATTCCGAACATAGTCGAGTAGGTCAGTTCTGAGCACCAGTAGAACAGCGCGCCTTTCAGGACTATCACTCCGTCCTTCAATCAATTCAGAATCCAGAAACTGTGTTTCAAGGCCTTTTAGTGACTTCGATAAACTTGTTCCTCTTCAAAAAATCTACCTGATCGTTCCTAATGTTTCTGAAAAGCAGCCCACAGAAAACTCCCATAAAAATCTTTTGGAAAAATTTCGCCTTGAGTATCGCCGGATTTCGAATGTTGTCCAGAGTGTAACTGGAAAAAGTTGGAAAGCATAGAAAACCATAAAATCTCTTTTTTCGATTTTTGATAGAAAATCAAGCAAAAGTTTGAAAAAAAAAACTAATCTGTCTGAAACTCAGTAAAGTCTCATGCCATCATTCCTTTAGTCTGCGAAATCTCATCTCTTACTCTGTCAAAATCAAGAGGGTATGAAAACTAAGGAACAAACTACATAGACGCGAGCTCAAACATATTATTGACAACTTCAAAAAAAAAACCAATGACGTCATTCATCGTATTTCCAAGCACCAAGATGTCATGGAAAGAACTGGCTTTAGGTGACTTCACAATTATAGTAAAAATTTCCAGGTGCTAAAACATAGCTCACTCTTACCGATACAGTAACCCAAAAAGGATCGAGAAAAACGAGGCCCCGACGTGAGCGTGAAGACGTCGTTTCTCACACGCTGCATCCATCATCGTCGTCATCCGTTTGTTGTACTTCGAGGAGGCGAACTGCAAGTGGAAGGGGTTCGAAGCGGTCGCGTCGCGGCTCACCCTATCGCAGATGATGTTCGCCCGGTGTTTGCTCTCTTCAACGCGTAACGGGTTGATGGCGAGGGTCTGTGAGGAAAAAATATAAGTTTTAGAAAAAAAAAACTCACAACAGTGTAATACAATACTTATTTTCTGTTTTAGTCTCAGATGTGATCGACTAGGAGATGAAAAAGAGCTTCTCAAGACTTCATTTATATCGCACATTCCAACTTTTCCCATGATTCTCAGTTATTATGATTTCCAGATCCTTATCCGTTCATTTATTCCGAACAGGCTACTCACGTCGATATAGTAATCCGCTGGATTTGTATGATTTGGTACATAAAATCCGCTATTGGCGAAATGATAAACAGCTTCGTCCGTGGCTCCATGGAAAGCCACGCGGCCTTGCGAAAGAAAAACGACCTGAAAAAAAAATCAGTTTGGATCCAGGAAAAAGGAGAACTGACTACCCTATCAAAAAGTTCGAAAACTTCAGAAGACGGCTGGTGAATAGTACAAATAATCGTTTTCCTTTGCTCAGCCGCCATCGACTCCAAAGTCTGAGAAATGAAAAAACTAATAATCTTGTTTAAAACATTTATAAAAAAAGTCTTTTCAGAATAATTTTTTTAAAGCATTTGAGCGTGATCTTTCAAAGCCAACCCAAAAAAATGATTAGATAGTTTTTAAAAAAATTAGATAGTTTTTCAAACTAAAAAAATTGGAAACCTTGACAACTTGCAAGGCCATGTGAGAATCGAGTCCCGTCGTCGGTTCGTCGCAAAAAATGATCGGCGGATTGATCAACATCTCCGTGGCAAAGGCGAGACGCTTCATCTCACCTCCTGAACGTTTTCAGATGTCGAAAACAAAAAAATATTAATTCAGTTGAAATTATGAGGTATTCAAAATATGTTATAGGAAATCTTTGAATCACTGAACGCAAACCAAAAAGGGAAACTGTCCAGCTTCAACCCGGAAGATTAAAAAAAAAAGCTAACTGATTTCATAGTATATTTTCACGTCTCAATCTTTTTTCCTGTTTCGAAATTATGAGCTTTTGGAATTGGCCATTAGGCTCTGGAAATATTCCCACTTTCCCTTCATCATTCGATAATTCATTCTCTTTCTTTGCAACATTTCTTCATTTTTCCTTTTCCAAGCCTCAAAAAGCTTGAAGAATCCATGCCATTTAACGCTTGGCGGCCACGGAAGCCAACGACTCAAAACGGCAAAAAAGTTGGCAAACAAAGCGTACGCGACAAGATGGAAAATGATGGGAAAAAATGGACGAGATGGCCGAAAAGTACAGGAGAAGAAGGAGACAAACCAGAAATCCCTTTTCGGATGCCCGGCACGCCGATGCGTGACGTCTGCGCGTTGAGGAGAAGCATCTCGCGCAACACCTTCAACACCTTTTTTGCCTTTTCATAATTTTTATGGCTTCGCATCTCGGCGATTTGAATTATTCATGGGAAAATCGTTGCAAAAAGTCGCCGATATCGGATTAGACTTCTCAAGCTTGAAAAAAACACAGAGAACATAAAAAGGTAACAATTCTGGAGAGAAAATAAAAACTTATTCTTCGTCCCGTAAATTCAAAACTCGGACCTGTTCAACGCGTTCCTTCCTATCCTCAGCCTTGAAAGTACCTGGTAATCTCAACCTTGCTTGAATCTCCAAATGTTCTCGCACCTGAAACCAGAAAAAATGAAAGAAAAATAGGACTCAAAACCGTTAAGGTGCCGACAAACAAGTCCTCTTGTTGTATGTAAGCCGACACTCCAGTGATCCCTTTTCCGATGTTCTGCCCATTCACCAGTACCTCACCTTCGATTTTCAGGCCCTTCAAGCTTCTTTTTACAACATTTTCTGGAAAAGAGAGACTTTAAGATTCCTCTGAAGCAGTGTATTCAGGAGCGTCGTTTTGCCCGCCCCACTGGCTCCCATGAGAGCCACAACTTCTGCTGGCAACGCCAAACCGCTGATTCCTTTTAGAAGCTGTCGGCCAGCCTTGGTTTCTACCTTGAGAAATAATAGTTACTATTTTTTTCTGAAAATCGCAGGAACCCGAATGTTTCGCCATTGTAGAGAGAGACGTGTCGAAGATGGCGGCGTAGCACAATTTCTTCGGGTACTGGAGGATCTGCAAAGACCGAAATTGAAAGAAAGATTAAGAAATAAATTAGGAGACTTATTTTGAACAAGAAATTTGTTTAACGAAAGAGAGAAAAAAAAAAGTTGATTTGTAATTTTCGGAAAAATTACAAGTGATGCGGTAAGTTTATTTTGAATATAAATTTCTTCGGCTGATCAGAAATCTTAGTGGTTCACAACGAGCTATACAACTGAATTGCCTGAACTTTAGCCATGGCGAATCGAAAGAAACAAGCTCGGTCAATTTTTTTTTACTCTATAAGAGATAATTTTAAAAAGTCTTTTCGACCTTCAAAAGCGCTAAAAACTGGAGCCAATTTTCGGTGCTCGGTAAATCTGATTTCTGATTTTTTCGACGCTAAAAGTTAAAAAGCCGTGCATCTCAAAACTGAACTTTGAAAGCTCATGAGAGAGCTTTTGAAAAACTTTGACAAAAATGATAATATTCGTTAGACTCTAAGAGAATGAAAAATTGTCACAGTTTCTCCATATCCACCAAGAAGTGAACAAGAGTATAAAGCGAAATTTTCTGCGTTTTTCTCAATCTTAACGTTTCCAATTGGTTCAAAATTCTCATTTCCTCTCATCGAGCTCCTTCCTCCTTCCTTTCGACGTCGGTTGCAGCGAGAATACCGGTGGTGTCCATTAAAAGACGTCCGCAATCGTCATCGGAAGGAGAGAACGATTCGCTCACGCAATCAACCGCCAAAAACTCCTCGTTGAACACAGCAAAAGTGGATTCAGCCAAGTTGTGAACGTTTTCCAACCCGAAAGCGCCATTTCCTCCTCCGATGTTTCTTCGATCTTCCTTATCAACACTCGACTTGATACGTGATCGCAATTCAGACGAAAACCGCGGTAAACGAGAATAGTCGTCGTGGCGGGATATCGCAACATATTTTTTCTTCCTTGATTTCTTGAATTGCGTAATTGGAATCAACCGGCTTGAACAAAAATTTGCTTCAAATAATGGCAATGTCTATGTTGTTAAGCTTATTGAGGGGAAGAAAACTATGAGACGTTTCAAGAGGGTTTCATTACAAAAAAGGACGAAAAAGTAGATATGAAAGACGGAAAAATGATTGACGCAAAATAAAAGTTACGAAAAAAAGAGCTGACTGTACAACAAAAAAATTGAATAAACAAATGAACAAATTAAATCGAAAATTCCTATAAAAAGTCCATGGAACCCTAAAAAAAAATCTCATACTTCTAGTAAGAATAGTTATCTTTATTGTTTTTATACTCAAACGTTGTTACAATTCTTATTTTTGAATATTAAAAAAATTTTTAAATTTATTATTGAACTTTTTGGATTCAAAACTATCAGAGAAACTCAGTGTCAAAAAAACAGCGTTTTTTTACATAGTAACTGATTAGAAGTTTCTAAAGAGATGATATGAAAAAAGCGCCATCACAAAAAAAAATCTTCGACTTTTCATGAAATGCCAAATAAGCAAAATTATAGCACGATGGATACCCTTTTCGGAGGAAGGGTAGATGGTTTTGAATCGGAATAAACTCTCTAGGCTAAGGACATACGAAAACAAAATAAAAGCTCGACTTCGGTTGATTTGAACCAAAACAAAGAAACGATTTCATATACTAAAAACTTATTTTGAACGTCTAAAACATGATTTGAAATCAGATTATCAACAATATCAGGGTCATGATGTCTATTGTCAGATTCTTAACGACTTCGACGTGTTTTAGAGAGGAAAAGACATCTCAGAAACGTCGAACTGAATCTACAGACTCAGTTGGGGAGAGACTCTCTCCGAAGCAAAGGGACTCGAAAAAAGGAAACTCGCCTAGCGGCTTCACGGGAGCCGACGTTGCCGCCACCTTTTCCCAACAAGATAGCGTCTGAAAACACGGAGGAGATAAGGACCCTGGCGCCGGACACGAAAACCGTCGGAAGAAGCCGTCATGGACTCCTCGACGCGAGAAATGAACACCTCTATCCCACACACGCTCACGCATCATCGTTATTTTTTCTGTTTCATGTCGCTTTGACATTCCTTGTTAGGCGCGAAACTTGTTAAGAGTCGAGAGGATCGGCTAAGCTTGCGCAATCCGTGTAGGTGTTGTGGGTGTTTTTCTCGCCGTAGTCTTTTGCCGTCGGCTGGAAAATGGGGCTCGGCCTTAAAAGGATGCCCAGAACCTAGCCCCGGCGTAGCCACACCTTTTCCTGTACCCATATTCGTCGACGTCGTCGTTGTGGCGCGCGGCAGAAGCTCCACCCAAATCCAAATCGTCGTCCTTGCCAATTCTTCCTTCTTCTTCTTCTTCATCCTTGGCCCCCCTCGACAATGTTCCTTGTGAGTGTTTACTCGCTACCTTTTTTTTCGTCTCGTTCATTTTGTGAAATATTGAGGTTATTGCACTCTCTTTGTTGAATGCGATCCGTTTCAAAGTTCAATCTGTTTGGAAATACAGTTCAGTTGTCAGGTGTATTTGTCTACAATAGATAAACTTTTTCACGTACTTTTTTATAGAATCTTTTCAAAAATTCAACTGGTCGAATAAATATCTTTTTTTCATGAGCCAATCTTTTTATCTTAAATGATAATATCATCTACTCAAAAAGATGCTCGAAGTTATCTTCCCGAAATAAATATTCCTTCTTCGAAAACGTTTTTTTAACTAAACAAACTTTTTTTCTAAAAAAAATCAGTCGTATTTGCAAAAATTAAACTTTTTTTCAAAATTGTTGAAACACACATAAATAAAGGATGTCTTGAAGAACACTAAAAACGGCTTTTTATACTCTTTTTACCCATTTTTCACTTAACGCCTCTGCAAATATTTTTGAACAGACTCCAAAAAGGGAATTTGATGAAGTCTTGAGTTCGAAGAAAAGTCTGTCGAACGGTTTTTGAAAACATAACTGGAAAATTTTCATAAAATTCGAAAAATCCAAATAAAAAAACTTTTTAAAACTCTTCTGAAGAGGCTGGCAACATAAAAAATCAAATCCATTATGATTTTCTTTCAAAAAGTCTAAGGGAAAGACTTAAAAATAGACCCATCTCTTGAAGTAATGAAAATTGAAAAGCTTTTCAGGTCTTACTACTGACAGTATCACCGGTACTCGGATGTCTACCAGGCCTTGGAGGCGGAGGTGGAGGCTGCTGTCCGCCAGCTCAACCAGCCTGTGGAAACCCATGCGCAGGGTATTTTTTGGACATCAATAAATACTGTATAACAATGCTTTATAAAAAACGAGAGAAAGAGTCTTTTTTCACATAAAGCAGGTGTCAGGTTGAAAAAAGTTAGAAACTCGGCAAAATCTTCTCTCCCTCTTTCAAAACTTTCCACCTAGTTCCTAGCATTGAAAAAAAATTTTTTTCATGAACTGTCTTTAAATCATTCGATTATAAATATCTTTGGCCCATTTTCGGAAAATTTTGTCGAAGTTAATTAACGAATAATTTTTTTTTCGAAGCAGTTTCGGCAGATAAGTAGCTAGGAACTACTTAATCTTAATTCCGTTGAGCGAAAATATGAGAACTAAGAATGCGAAATCAATTACAGAGAAATAGTTTTATACGATTTCCAAAATCGTTAGGGTCAAGATAGCCTCTGTTACAGACGTTTCTTCAAATTTTAGTTTCATTCTCAACAATAATTCCTATTTTATACAAGTGATAAACAAATTTACTTACAGAGCTCTCCCTGCTGCTGGTCCGCTAGCTGCTCCAGCTTACGTTCAAGCTCCACCAGCGCCGTACTCGGCACCATTCCCCGTCCAAGCGCCCCCGGCGTTCCCACCGCCACTTCCACAAGCTCAGCCTTCATTCGGCGGCTTCCCATCTCAAAGTGGATATGCACAGAACTTCGCTCCAGTGCAAGTTCAGCCACAATTCGGAGGAGCTCCTGTTAGTGGCGCTCCATTCGGCGGAGCTCCAATCGGTGGTGGTAGCCTCGGCGGTGGTAGCCTCGGAGGTGGTAGCCTCGGCGGTGGTAGTCTCGGCGGGCTCGGCCTTGGCGGCGGGGGCGGCGGCTACGGAGTTCCGCCAATGAATTTCGGCACGATGGGAGCAGGAGGATCGTACTCTACGGGCGGTGAAATTGGTAACATTGGTGCCAACTTGAATCCATCATACGCGAATCAACCACTGCATCCAACTGTTAAGCCTCTCCCACTCTGGGGACAACCCGTTGGAATTCAAGTTAGTTAGAGTCATTTTTCGAATTTCGCTCTTTTTTTCAGTTGAACCAACCTGCCTCGGTTAGCAGTTCTCACATCTCTCAGCCAGCCAAAGGTTCACAAGCAACCGCTTCGCAAGGTTCATACGGAGACGAACAACCGGTCGCTCCAGCGGTAAAGCTAGTTCATAATAAGTGACTGAAAGTTTCTTCTTTCTCAGAGCAATACTTTCGAACAATCCAGTCCTGACTTCAGCAGCAAGTCCTCAGAGCACACCATCGAGACCAAAGTCGAACAAACTGATAGAGAGTCGTTGGCTCCGGCTTCTTCACGCCCAACTGTTGACACGACCTCTTCCGAACAAGAAGTCATCCAACAGATCCTGGCCAACGAGCCTGACTTGACCGCAGTGGAGAAGAAAACTGGCGCTAGACCGGCGCCAGCTTCTGTTGCTTCTCCTAGACGTCCAGAAGTAGCTCCAACGGCTTCTTCATCCTCCTCCTCGTCTTCTTCTTCATCTTCCGGTTCGTCGGCGCTAGAAGACGTGGCAACTGATCATGAAGCAGAGGAGAACAACGGAGCCGACTACGACCGTCCAGAAGGTGTCTCCGCTGTAGGCAACGGTGCTTCTGCCGGCTCGTCCGAATCTGCAGAAGGAGAAACGGTAAGTGTGGATAAATGTGATTGGGAAGAATCGAGGATTTCTGAAATGTATTTTCGGAAAAGAAAAATTGAAAAATTCGCGAAATTTCAGAGATATATCACAAGTAAAAAACCTGCTCAGAAATATCAAAATCATCTTGTAGAGGTTTTTTATTACGGGTTAACTTGAAATTTCACAGAAGTTCCTAGTATTAGAGAAAAACATTTTTGTGTACAAAATCCTCTACGAAAAAAAGAAAAAAACGGATCAAATAAAGTTTTTTTCGTTTCTTCTTCCTTTTTTTGTAGTGTTTTTTTGGGATTTCAATTGATTGAAATGAGGAAGATTTACAATTAGAACAAGTTTTTATTCAGTAAGAAAAGGGTGTCTGGATCACAAAAACAGAAAATTTTTTAAATAATTAAATCTTCCTTCACGGATCATTGAGGTCAACTTTTAGGCTTGTAATCCCGATCGATTTCTAAATGTACAGATATCATTCAGGAACGCCATCAAACGACTAATGAGGAGCAAAGTGGCGGACTGGACTTCAAACAGACTTCCGTCGGAGCCGCCGCCTCTTCAGGAGCCGCAGCCAACACTGAAGAGAACCAAGGCGACGACTACGACGACCAACCACCATTGAATGAGGTTGCACTCAATGAGTCTAGATATTATATCTGAATTGGCTCAGGACCGAATTGAAGTTCCACACGCTTTTGTGGCAACTCAAGAAACTACTGCTGCGCCCGCTCCAACTAATCCTTTGAAATTACGCCCTGCTCCAGCTCCAGCTCCAGCTCCAGCTCCAGCTCCAGCTCCAGCTCTAGCTCCAGCTCCAGCTCCCGCTCCCGCTCCAGCACTTTCTCCGTCTCATGTCCACTCTTCCGTTCCTGCTCCTGCTTCGACTCAAACGCATGTTGCTCCAGCCCCAGCTCCGGCTCCTGCACCAGTTCCTTCGGCTCCTATCGCTACTATTGAGCCACAACCAGGATCTGTTAAAATTCCACACACACATGGAACAAGTGGTGGTGGCATTAGCCATGGCTCCAGCTCTTCTGGACCTTCTGAGGCTTCTGGAGCTTTTGGAACTCCTGGATCAACTTCTGGCGCAACAGGAGCTTCTGGCCTGTCAGGAGCCTCTGGATCTGCTGGTTCGACGGGACTTTCTGAAACTTTCGGAACTCCTGGATCAGCTTCTGGAGCATTTGGAAATGCTGGACCAACTGCAGCTTCAGGCTCCTCGGGACCTTCTGGAACTTTTGGATCACCAGGATCTTCTGGTCCTTCTGAAAATTTTGAAGAGGCTACTCCACCTGGCCCCGCAGTCGCATCACAATCCGTTGTTCCTGCGGCTTCTGAAACATCGGAACCGGCTCCAAACGCACCAAAAGAGGTCCAATACGGAATCGCCAAAGTCCAGGTTAGTTTATTTCGTAATTTTTCAAAGAAAAAAAAAACTAGCGGAAGCTATATCATAAATACTTTATTGGAACTTAAACATGAAAAAAACAATTAGAAACAATCCCTTGTTCATTTGTTCCCACTAGCCTTTCAAAACGGTAAAAAAACAAGATAATTTAAAATTTTGAGAATAAAAAAAGATCCAGAACTGAAATTAGCTTTTCGAATTTTTTTGTGAGAAGAGTTTTTATCCAAATCAAAGTACACAAAAAAAGAAAAAAAATATAATAATCAATAGAAAAAAAGTATTCCATCTTTTTCGATTTTTGTAAAAACTCATACATATATATGTAATATATATTGAAATAATTTCTCAAAAAAATAAGTTTCTGAAAGAATATTCAGCCTTCTTTTTTTCTTTTTTTCGAAAGCTTACTAGGGAACTGTTTTTTTACACGCTTCAAGAACTTGAAATAGCGCTTTTTTGTCCTAAAAACGTTTTCTAGTTAGATACCACAATTTCTGAAATATATATCATTCCTCATGACACAGAAATAACTTTTATAAAAGAAACGATTTTCGATAAACTTCCTCTTGAAACAAAACCGACTCACACATTCGTCAAAAGTAAACTTTAGAAGCGAAAAATTAAAGATATATAATTCAAAATTTTCTCAATCGAAAAAAAAACATTAAAAAGATGAAACTGATCTGAAACTTTCTTAGCCAACTGACGAAAGCGAACAACGCGGCGTCGATTACGCAGGCGCTGACTACGACCAGCCGGCTGCCAACAAGGTAATTTTCAAAACTAATCGCAAAATATTGCAATGAAAACGTTAAATATTCTTTAAGAAACCTACGCCAGAAGGTTACGGAATCAAAAAGGTATTTTTAAGTTTTTTCAGTTTTGGCATGCATGATCGCTAATTTTGGGTTCTCTTCTTTTTTTTTGAGCTTCTGCGCTTATTTTATTTTTCGACAAGGAGAAAAAAATTTGTTTGAAATTGGGGTAGAGCTGAATAATGTTGATGGAAAACTCTGAAATGGTTTCGGATTTAATTATTTGATTTAAATAAAGGTCATGACGGGATGGAGCTAACTTTGGAACATCGTTTCTAACCTGGGCGGATTTTCGGAAGTTTTGTTGAGCCGAATAGTTTTTTGAGCCAAAGAAGGGATGAAACTTTTCTGGAGTTGATCAACTTTTTGAGTTGCTTTGCGTACAAGAAGCATACAGTGAACGAATAATTTCATTCGCGACGTTTTTTTTTGCTTTATAAAGCTTTACCGTTTTATTAAAACCCAGCTGGGCCAGTTCGATAAAAAAAAGTTTTTTAAGGTGCAAGCAGCAGGAACAGTGCACGTCTCTGCTCCACTCGACTTCGACGAATCCCAGACGAACATTGATGCTGCCAATCCCTACAGCCGTTGGCGGCTTTTCGCTTAAAGCTCTCTCTTTCGGAACTTTTAATAATTGACAACTCTAATTGATAACTAACATAACTTATTGATTATATTTCTTTTGAGGATTAGAAGACATACAATCCGAGGTCACCCTGGCGGGAAACTTTTTTTAAAAAAACAGAATAATTTGTCCAAAAAAATATATCAAAGGCCTACAATCCTCAAATTAACATTATTTGCAAATTTGTTTTTTTCTCATCAAGTTTGCTCAATTTCTTTTTTTACTGTGTCTTTGAAAATGAAAAAAATTAATAAATATTATGAAGCTTCTTTTTTTAAAAATGAAATGTTTACGTTTTCTAGTCGATTTTTCTTCTCAGCGACGATGTGTGGATGGATCTGATCGTATCGCTCTGAGGCGTAAAAATTTGGCGTCGACGGCAGGCCGCCCAAAGCAAAAAAAACTTGTTGCTTCAAGCTTGCCAAAACGGCCCTTGAGTGACCTTGGATCGTGGAATTCAAATGATTTTTGTCGTTGCTCAATTGTTATGCGCGTTGATTGATGGCCGTTCGCTTTATCGATTTAGAAAATTATGATTTTGATTCTGAATGCAAGCTTTTGCGAGGACGTTGGACTTGAAATGAAATTGCTGATATTTTGCTTAAGAGGAAGTTCTAAAAGATCGTTCTGATCATTAGAAAAAAAAATTCAAGAGACGGGTTTTTTGAAAACCAGAAAAAGTGCTATCCGGCAGCATACTTCTAAAGTTTCACTCTCAAATCTAGAGGACATAGGGATAGTATCGAAGTACACACAAAGAGTACTGAAATATATAGCAGAAAGTTAGCCTCTGTATGCTATTTATTGATTGACCGCGTGCAAATCCCGACTGGAATTGAAAGTGCACTCTGTTAGCTATTGTTGTGGATGGGCCGATTGACCAGTTTATCATTATGTGAAAGTTTGAGGACATTATGGAATTTGGTATATACATACACAAGTCTCATCTAATAAATTTATTTTCAAATGTTTAATATGATTTCTCGTAGTTGGCAGCTCAGAACGTCGAAAATACAAAAAGTGCAACCTCGGTTGGAGGTACCTCAGAGAGTGGCCTCAGCGAGAGTCGAACATTTCCCTAGACTTACAGTACTTTGAACTTCTGCATGCACAGCGACGCCCGGAGAAATGATAAAAAAAATTTTTTTATATACCGCTTTGATTTTTTCGTTTGTTTTTTTTTCTAGTGTTCAATATCCCAATTATTAATAGTGATGAGGTGGCGCGTTTGCATTTGTTTTTTTCTCAAGAACGGAAAAGGAAACGCTTCGAAAAAAATGTTCATCGCCAGTGAGATTCCGCGGAACGGATTTGTCGCGAGACAGGTAGGTTAAGATTTTTTTAATAAAAAAAATTTGAGCTCACTGAGAGTGATTTTTTTCGAGAAATTCATGCACTTTTTTTAAAAACGTATAAATCTGAACTCGTTAACTTACATTTTTCCCAATTCGTTACGAATTGATAAATTGTGTATTTAATAGGTTCAAAAATAAAAAAGAGAGAATTGTAAAAAAAAAAAGTTGATCCACTCACCTTGGAATTCAAACAATAAACTGATCCGGACATACGAGTTTCAATTATTCATCTGCTGTGAAACTGATAAATTAAACAGAAGAAATCGACCTTCCAGGCAACTCGATTTTCATGCAAATCAGAAGCAGTGGGGATCTTCCTCGTTCTCATTGTTGGCCTATTTGGAGAATTTGCACTTTCTAAGCTTCCACTAGAGATTGTAGCTGCTTTGAATTTTAAACTTCAATTGCATTTTTTTAGAAGTTTTCATTAAGGTGTTGTTAGTTTTGAGGTCAAAATTTGAAAGACGAATGTCTGAAAGAATTTTTCCAAATCATTTTTCGAAATTGCAAACTCTATTCTTGCAAGAATTTTAAACTTACTTTTTCGCAAATATAGCCGTTAGTGACCAAGGACCTGAATATTCAGAAGCCCCCAGACGACGTCTTCAGACGTTCTGTCGGCGCCAATCAGACCGTAGAATTTTGTTACACTCACTCATCACCAGAGAAAGGTTCGGTTCGGTTTTTTGGCAAGGGCACGGCTGATCTCCCCTATCTCCTAGCTTCATCAGGCCTCCAAGCAACGGTATCTGCCTGCTTAGGCTTTGCCCCGCCTCTTCGCCCACACCTCGACAATATCGACGTCATCCGAGGTACTTAAAGCCTCCGAGAGCCGGTCCACCCAACACACCTCGGCATTTTCTACCTTCAGATGGCGAAAGTGAGTCCGTTTCTTTTTCCTTCTTTTTTTTTCACGTTGGAGGCGATTTCTCTCAAATGAAAGTCGCCCTTAGGCTAGGTGTGATACAATTCTTAGACCAATAGAACCGATTTCCCCACAGCAATAGTTAAAGAATCATAATTTTAAATGTTTACTTTTTTTTCTCTTGAAAATTCATTTTTCGAGTTTTAACCTGAATCATTCAATAGCTTTTCATTATTGTCATCGGAAAATAATCTAACACAAGGGTTTGGTTTTATTACAAAAAGCTGATAGGTATTCACAAGATTTTTAGTGAACTCGGAAAGCAGTTTGATACTGCTGTCTAGGTATTATTTAAAAATCAAAGTAAAGTCCTGCAAAATTTTTTAATCAAATCTAAATTTTGTGAGGGATTTCTGAAAAAAACCCCTCAGCATCTCTTGAACTTTTTCGGCTGACTAGTGTAATGGATTCTTTCAAGTTTTGATGGTTCTTCGAAGTTTGTTTTTTTTTAAGGGGGGTCCCCCTGCCTTTCTCAATAACTCTTCGAATACCTCATCGGCTCTACTGTACTTTTGCAGGTTCTCCTGCTGACCCTGTTCGCGACCAACGCCTTGGCCTGCCTCCCAGGCTTCGGCGGCGGCGGCGGCGGCTGCTGTCCTCCCGCTCAGCCGTCCTGCGGCAACCCCTGCGGCGGTGGCGCCGGGTAATTCAATATTGCCTAAATATGTCACTAATTGTTTACAGAAGAGAGAAAAAGACTTAGGGGGAGAAGGAGGGGAATAGAGTTGATTTCGAAAGACGAGGGATGCAACCGTATTGTTTTCAATAATAAATTAGCTTATAAGTCAGCCTCCAGTCAGTTAACCGATTTTCATCGCTTTCAAAAAAAAATCTATCCGATATTTATGTCCTTTTGAAATTAATGAAGCCTTTTTACCACGAAGTTTCGAAATTTATCTCCCTCGCCTTGGAGACGTACTTGTTAATCAACATGGAATATTTACAATTATTTTTTGGTTTGATATGAGAAACCTATTAATTGAAGAAAAAAACAACAGTGATCCGAAAAAAATTTCTCATTCTGAGATTGATTTTTTTCGAGTTCGAAAATGTTCAATAATCCATTTATTGAATTTATTTATTTAAATAAGTTGGAACTAATTCACAACTCTTGCTTGAAATTCAACATAAGGAAGAAAAAAAACTCCCCCGTTTCTTTCCATTTTCTCGATTCCCAATAATTATGTTCAATAAATCCGAAAAGAAAGCTCAAATTATCCTTTTTTTCCCTCTCCCAAGTCGGAGACCAGTTTGCAGAATTGTATAGGGTAATGTAGATATTTTGCTTTTTGCAGTAAATTTTAGAAAATCAAGTTATTTTTTGGATTTTTTTGATATTATGCATAACTTTAAACTTCCTTGAATTTGAACGGCAGTGTTATTGATGTTATGAAAAAGTGTGCCGGAACCAGAAACCCATTTTTTTTGTCGTGATAAGATGATTGCGCAATGTCTGGTCAGATGAAGAAACAGGTATCAGTAATTGAATGACGAAATTTTCGCACTTAAAACCTGTTTTACGCTTGAGTGATCGAAAAGATCAGAGATGGCTTTTAAAAGGAAAATCGAATGAAAGAAGTTTAAAAAAGGCTTTTCATTTTCTCAAGGTAGAACCTGAAAATTGGAGTCAACTGAATTTGGTTATTTTTCAGAAAACGGCTTTGGCATCTTCAACTTAGCTCAAAAAGTTTTTGACAAGTTCAAAAAATTTTTGGAAAATTCGTAGAGAGAAGAAAGTCAAGTTAGCTTCTTCTATTTTGGTTCGTTACTTGAAATTTCAAAAAGTCCGATGAATCAATCTGATTTTTCTTCCTTATCTCGGTCGGCCTAGGAAAAGCTTAATGGCTCACGGTTCTATTGTTCTGAAATGCCTATCCACTTCAAAGCGCAATAAAAACTTTTAGCCTCAAAAACTCGTTCCAAGTGAAACTGAAAACTGTCGACAAAAAACGCGTTTCTTCATTTGGCCGCAAAAATTGATAAAGATCAGTATTGCGCGGTTTTACGCAAGGTGTTGTCTTGAAGAACCTGTTCACTCCTAGCCACCAGTATGACGCAACCACAAAATGGCCGAAAAAAGAGGAAAAAACTTGCAGCTACGCCGCGCCGGCAGCCGCCTACCCAAGGGCACCTGTTGGTTACGCTGCTCCTCCTCCACCACCGCCGCCAGCCTTCCCACAAGGTGGATACGCCGCTCCAGCTGCTCAAGGAGGCTTTGCCGACGCCGGTCTTGGAGGCGGTCTTTCTCAAGGTGGATACGCTAGCGCTGGTCAAGCCGGTGGATATGCGGGAGCTGGTCCAGTAGGAGGAAGCTTTGCTGGAGCTGGTCCAGTTGGAGGAAGTTACGCCGGAGCTGGACAAGCTGTCAACGAAGGAAGCTACGCTGGAGCCAACCAAGCTGTAAATGGAGGAGGAAGCTACGCTGGAGCTGGACCAGTCGAAGGAAGTTACGCTGGAGCTGGACAAGCCGTCAACGGAGGCAGCTATGCCGGAGCCAACCAAGCCATTAACGAAGGAAGTTACGCCGGAGCAAACCAAGCTGTCAGCGGAGGAAATTACGCTGGAGCTTCTGCTCAAGGACAAGGCTATGCTGGAGCTCCAGTCCAAGTGAACCCAGTCCAAGGATACTCGAACAATGGTCAGCCTGGTTATGCTGGCGCTGGAGCTCCAGTTCAGGTGAACCCGGTTCAAGGTTACTCGAACAATGCTCAGCCCGGCTACGCTGGCGCTGGAGGCAGCTACTCCCAGGGATCGCAGTCCGTTGTCACTGGACAACAGTCCTACAACAATCAAGGAGGGAACATCGCTGCGCCGTCTGGTGCCACCTACAGCCAAGGAGAAATCTCGACTGGATCCGTCCACGAAGAGGTGAAGACAGAGACGGATGCTGGAACGTCGGCTGGAAACTCTGCCGGTGGATACGGAGCTGAAGCGACAAACGAAGAGAACAATGCTGCCGCCGGCGGTCAAGAATCTTCTTACGGAGAGGAGAAGGGAGCCGAGACTGAGAACAAGGCTGAAGATCACTTCGAGGAGTCTGAAACTGAAAACGTCACCGAGGCTGGAGCAACGCACGAGAAGAACGAGGAGTCTGAGACCGAGTCAGAAGCCGGAAACGAGACTGAGACTGAAGCCGCCCCAGCTCCGGCTTCTGAGACTAAATACGAAGAGACTAAGGAAGAGGAAGCCACCACCGCTGCTGCGCCAACTGAGGTCGAGTACGCCATCACTCAGGCTCCAGCTCCAGCCCCGGCTCCAGCTCCAGCTCCAGCCCCGGCTCCAGCCCCGGCTCCAGCTCCAGCTCCAGCTCCTGTTGAGACGGTCCAGGAGGTCACTGAGGAAAGCGAAGAAGACAACACTGCTCCAGCGCCTGCTCCAGTTCCGGCTCCAGCCTACAAGGTTAGAAATTTGTTGGCGACTTCGAAAATAAACGAGACAAATTTAGGAAACCAAGCCAGGATACGAACAGACTGCTCCTGCAGCTGCCACCAAGGAGGAGACGTACGATGACAACGAGCCCGCCGGCGAAAACTACGAACAGGTTAAACCTTCAAAACCTTGACAAAGAAAAGACGTGTCGGAAGCAATCTCGTGCTCGGTTATTTCTTTTTGATGAAACAAAATATAAAAAGATAATGATTCGCAAGAGAAACATGAGCTTTTGTAGCCATATATTCTTGTAAAAATGTTTTTTAAAGGGCACAAAACTTGACTTTTAGTTTCGTAGACCAGATAATCAAAAGGTTGTCCGGCCTCATTCTTGTCTTCTGCAGGTCGAAGCCACGACGAAAGCCGCGGACGGATACCGACGAGTCTAAGCTGCTGTCATACTCAACCTCGTTTTGAAAACTCATCATTATTCTTGTCTGTACATATTGTTGCTTTCTCTTAAAAATATATTATTTTTATTAGACATATCGAAGAAATGAAACTTTTTTTCAGGGAACTGAGTTGACTACAAAAAAACATAATGATCAAAAGAGAAATTCGAGCTATATTCGATTTTTAAAAAAAATCTTAATGAAAATACGGAAAAAAACATGAAATTTCTTTTTCTTGTTTTTCTTCACAAGACATTGTTCTTTAAAAACTCGTTGCATGGAATAAAAAAATTCGTGTTTGATCTCTTATAGTTTTTTTATTCTGTGGTTTAAAAATTTCACCCACCTAATTGTTTGATTTCCTATTTCAGAATAAATAGTTTTTCTATGATCCCAGAGTTATAGCTCCAGAAAAAGGAAAAACGCCTGGGACTAGAAAAAGAACCAAATGTTATGAGGAATCTACTTACGGATGCCACATCGAAAGAACAGTCAGTTTTTTTATTAGACATCTTTTGAAATTTTTGAACAATTGCACATTAAATATAAAAATTACAGGAATGTTTTCGAAACGTCCAAAAATCCGAACCGATTTTTTTTATAAATAATTTGAAACAACTTAATAAATGACTGTGGAATATTAGATTCAATTTTCAGAATCCATCTTTGAAAATTTAAATTTTTCCTCGAAGCAATGTATTTTTCACTTTTGCTTCCTTGAGTCGAAAGTCAACACCCACGCAAAGTCTGGACGTCCATTTTTATAGTAGTCACACAAATGAAATCACACTATTTTTACTCCGACTGTTCAAGAATCAAGTTGCAAGCTAGAGTTTCCTGAGATCCGTGCAGAAAAGGTTGGAGGAAGAAGACAACTTTCTTTTCGCCTTTTTGCTTCGCATCGGATTTGAGGGAAAAAGAAAGAGAGCTCAGTTCTTTTCGCCTTTTTTTTGCTATCCGGAAGAACCTCACTTGAAGAATTTATAGTCGATCACGAGCCTTCAATAATTTAGAAGCTCGCCTTTTCTTTCTCGGTTATTTCTCTTCATATATATTTTTCCTCTTCTCACGACTTTCGTTTTGAGTTTGTCACTCTATTCAAACATTGCGCTTTCTTCATTTTGTTTCGAGTTTTTGTTCAGTAAAAAGGTCGCATCCATTTTTTCTTGTTCATCTTTCATTTTTTTGCTCAATTCTTTTTACTGATGTGGAACCTAGACTCGCCTTGAATTCTTCTCAAAAACCTTTTCTCGTGGCCTCAAGCTTTATTCCCCCTAGCCTCATAAAGTTTATGGCTTTTTTTTTGTGTTTCGGCTTGATTTGGATTTTTTCCTATTTGAATTTCCATCCAAAAAACATATTCTAGTTCTTTTTTTTCAAAGAAACAGTTGATAATAAACTTCAAAAATGCTTCAAAAAACAAAATATCACGCTGAGTTTTTTTTTCCCTAATTTTTTCATACTTTTTCGAAACAAAAAAAGGTTCTAAGCAGAGATTATCATATCCTATCAGAAAAAAAAGCTAGGTTTTGTAGTATCCACATATCCAGACTACCGTAAACAGATGACTACATTCTGCATTTTCGTGACGAGAATCCCTTGAAAAGTCCAGGGCTTCCAAGAGCCTGCCAAGACGGAATGAAAAAAGAAGAAAACGAGAAAAAGCTGAGAGAAAAGGCAGGAGCGGAGAAGATTACTCGAAAGTCGGAGGATGGATTTATAATGGGCGAATGGAGTCCTCCAGGATCCTTTTCTGTTGCCATGGCGGCGGATCTTTTGTCCTTGTTTTTATCGTTCAACTTTTGTAGTAATGTCTAATCTCTTTCTTCGAAAAAACATTCGCCGTTTACGAGTAAAGAGAATTGCCAGGAGCCAGCTTTCTGATCGAGAATTTTGCTTATTTTCTTTGTTTTCGTCAGATTTTTGATTCTTCCAACACTTTTAATCAGTTGGAAGTTGTTCTAATCTTCTTCTCTCTTTTTTTTTCAAATCTTGACCGGGCTCTTTTTTCGATGAAAGTCATTCACTTTTTTCAAACCACGTTTTTTCGAATATTTGTTCAAAACAGCCAATTAGGTCAGAAAAAATTATTTTCGATTCGTTTTCGTCGCTTCTCTATTATTCAGCGACAAGACCAACTACCAAAAAATTCGTAAAGTCAAAAGAGTCAACAAACAAAAATTCAAAAAAGGTTCTTTCCTGTGGGTGTTTGTGAAAACCCATTTTTTTTTCCTCATTTATTTGGATTCACATATTCAAGTCCAAATGTTCTAGTTTTTTCATTTTGATTTTTTTCAGCTTTGTTCAGCGCACTTAAAACCTGCAGAGTATAAATCAGAGAGATGAAATCCGCAAATTGAAGGTTGGTTTATTTTACGATTTGCTGAAAAAGTGGTTTATTTTTTCTTATTTCAGCAAGTCTTTTCTGGCGTTCGTCATGGAGATGGAGAGCAAAGATCAAAATGAGCAAGAGCAGTGAGTTTTTTTATTTAATTTTTTTTTAAATGAGCGATTTTGTTTTTTATTTGTTTGGTTTCCTCTATTCAAATCCTCACTCCAAGAAATTACATTCTGCCTTTGGACAAGTTTTTTGACGAGAAGTTTAAAATGTTTATTTTCACGTTTTGTTCCATGTTTACTGCCGTTTAAGGCTAATACTATTTTAATTCTTCTTTAAGTGTTTTTTTTCATCTAAAAAACAAAGTTCACAGATATCGAGATAAGGCTCTTTATAGTTTCAGGTCGTACGATATTTCTCTTTCTGTAAAAACTACAGCAAAGCTTCCGAAAATATCATCGCTTTGAACAAATTATTACAATCGGCGCAAAAAATAAAGGAAAGATCAATAAACAGCAAAAAGAGAAGCTTATCGCGCGCGCTGGCCGGCATTATTCAAACATACCAACGAAGCCTACGAACCGAAAAAGTTTCCATTTGCGGGCAATCGGAGCCGCTGCGACAGGAGGAACCGCGGCTCGGGATCCGGCCCGAGCACTGGATTCTGGCCCCGATCGCCGTCACTCTCCAGAACATGCACTTCAGTCAGGCTCCAGCCTTGCATCTCGAGAAGAAGGAATCCAAGACCGCCTTCTTCTTACAGGTCCTTCTCGTTTTTTTTTATTGTCCAGCGTTTCATTGGAATTCATGAAGAGCTACACTCGGTATGGTGCGTCCGAGCTGGCCATAAATTTCAAAGTTTATTAAGGCTTTTGCCAAAGAAGTTAAATAAGATGAATAGAGTTAGAAAAACAAGCATCACTTTGTAGAACTTTTTTCCTAATTTGAAACGTCTATCTCGCATTTGACAAAGTTTTTTTCATTTTGAGCGAATCAAAAAAAAAAACAACAAAACAAGGAAATAATCAGTACGAAGTAATTTACTATAACTCACTGAATATATATTGTTTTATCGAAGTTCCTAACTAAACGTTGAACAAACATAAGGCACAGAGTAATTAGCCAAATTTTGAAGCGTGCCTGGAGTTTCAGCCATAGTTTCAAGAAAAAAAAAACTAGAAAAAAATCGAGGTTTTTCAAAATAATATTTCCAGACACTGGTTCCTTTTATTTTTGCGGGAATCGGATTAATTATGGCCGGATTGATGTTGGAAAGCGCCGAAAACTACCGATTCATAGTCGAACTTCCTGACGCCGTCATGATCATTCCAACGTTGCTCGGATTGAAGGGGAATCTGGAGATGACCCTCTCTTCGAGATTGTCAACTTTGGTGGGTTTCATTCCTAGATCGGATCTCGTCATAAGAGCCTCATTTCAACACTTGATTATCAAGTCTATAAGTAATTTGAACTTTTTTTTTATCCTAGTGGAAAATAAACAAAAAGTTCGAGTTTTTCCACGATTAGTTGGGAAATTCAAAGTCAAGTTCAAAGTCTTATTTTAAAAACGCTTCTCAGGCCAACCTGCACTTGATGGACACTCAAAAAGCGAAAGTCAACGTTGCTTTTACAAATATGGCGTTGGTTCAAACTCAAGCTATCGTTGTTTCTTCGGTGGCCGTTCTCCCAGTTTTGCTCCTTGGCCAAAACCCGGTCCGTTTTTTCAAATGATTTTTCTAAATCGTTTGAGTATTTTTCTAAACTAAAAGTTTGAAATGAAACGTGAAAAAGCAGATGACTTGGGGCGACGTCCTCTGTCTGACTCTGTCCACGGTGGCCACAGCTTCGATTTCCTCTCTCATTTTGTCGTTGTTGATGGTTATCGTTGTCATCGTAGCCAGATATTATAAAGTCAGTTACGAAAAACGAATTTGAAGAATAAGTTCTTCCCATTTCAGCTGAACCCAGACAACATTTCCACTCCGTTGGCGGCATCTCTTGGCGATTTCTCGACTTTATTGATCTTGGTTGGTTTTTTTTAGTCTTTAAACTTATCCCAGAGCTCTTGACCCTGTTGAAGAAAAGAAAAATCTAGCAAGAAATATTCTTCCTTTAAGGCATTTGATAATCTGATCAAGATCAGGGGCTTGGATTTCTAGAACGCTCTCGCGTTATTTGACAAAGGAATATAGGAAAAAAAGAAAAGTTTCAGCTGGCGACTGGATCTCTCTTGATCGATACGAGACACTATCATCCAACTTATCTTCTGGTCATTCTCTTCCTTTATTACGTGTTCGCAGTGATCGCCGCAGTTATTGCGACGAGAGATCAATTCACTTTGGAGGTTATTTTTCCATTATTCTCCATTTGACGAATGCTTCCTAAGAGTAGCTTTCACAAACTTAGGACTTGCAGAGTGGCCCCTATAGGAGCGACCATACGAAAAAGAGTGGGATGGATTTTGAAAATTTCAAGAAAAGACCTTCTTTTAAATTCCTGCTCTACGCGATTGAAGCTAGAAATTTACTGTTGAGAAAAAGCTTCCAATTTATAAACCTAAAAATGATTCGAATGAATTTTTTGATGTCTTTCAATGACCAAAACATGAATTCTAGAAAGCTCTAGAACCCAAGCCTTTTACTTTATTTTCAATTTTTCAGGTTTTGAAACATGGTTGGTGGCCAGTTTTCACGGCAATGGGAATCACGACGGGCAGCGGATTTTTGCTTCAACGAGCTTTGAAGCATTTTCCTCCATTGGCCGCTTTTCAGCCGTTGTTAAATGGTTTGAAACAACTTTTACACCAGAAAAAGATATGAAAAAAGTGGAAAAAAAAAATGTATTTATGCCTTGAAATCACTTAATATTCTGAAAAGGCTTCTTCAGGATTAGGAGGAAATCTGGTAGCGGTTCAAGCGAGTCGGATAAGTACCCAACTTCATATAAACCGCAAAAACAAGGAGAAAGAGGTCGAGCCCCTCAACACGTATTTCAGTCCGATCAGAGCATTTTTCTACAAAAGTAAATTTTTTCATCACTTTTTTAAGCGAAAACATCAATTTTAACGGCCAAATGTGGAACTTCAGCAGAGGAAGCGGTCTCGGCGCGAATTTTGCTGGCCATTCTGATCCCATGTGATTTCGTATTTGTCCACTTCATTTTCCTGTTTGGATGTGGTTTCCAGAACACTATAGTGTTCACTTTGTCTTTCATCCTCGTCTGTTTGATTCAGGTGGGAGACAAATCAACTGAAGAAAGTTAATGAGTGGTTTTTCACTTCACAAAAAGGTTCTCTATGGAAGAACACACTCAAAAATGAGTAAAATCTTTTTCCTTTTCACTAAAGCAGATTTTTTCCGTTAAACATCAATAAGATTCCGATTTCGTACCCAAAAAGTTTTTTTTTCACATTCTGAGGAGTCAAGAAGAAGCCTATGAGCGCGGAATTCGCCTCTCAATAAATTTTGCCCCACCTTTCTAGTTTATTCAGCACCTAGTCGTTAATGGGTGTCATATCCGAAACTCGTATAAGAAATATATTCCTTGTTGAATGAATTCAGGTCAGACCTAAAGTTTGGACTTTTGGAAAACTGAATATCTTTGCTTGCTACTTTTCAGATAGCCAGGGGGCTGTATTAATTATTTAAGTTAATAAGTAGAGACCTTTCCGAACTCGAGTGCCATTTATTTTTATTTAACCCAAAATTTATTTCACATTTTTTTAAAGATATTTTTTTACTTAATGAGGGTCTATTTTCTCGACAGAGCATCTTTACTGCGGAGTTCTCAGCATGTACTTGAGCATTTTTTCGCATCCGCATTTGAAATTCAATTCATCTTTTGTAAAAATTTCATTTTTGTGGAGTTAAATTTTAAAAAAATCATTGAAAAAAACTCTGTAAGTTAATTTCTAAAAACTATTCTTTATATCCGGCTTGATTCGGAAAAAAGCGAAATTCCAAAGGTTGCAGGTAGTACTACTGCTTTACGTGTGTCAAATCCTGGTGCGAGCCATGTGGGTCCTGAGAGTCGATCCCGACAATTCGGCCATTCCGATTCTGACGGCTCTGGGCGACCTCGTCGGCACCCTTCTTCTCATCGGCTGCTTCACCTTCAACGCCCTCGTTTTCCAACTGCCCGTCTCTTCGGAGTTCTTCACCGGTCATAGACGGATCCACTGAGCAATCTAATGTATATTGTACAAATTTATTTACATATTTACTAAAATCTGGACGGGCAAGTTCTCAACAAAATAAAGGTTTCGCTGAAGCTCAGTCGCCGTCGCAATCATAGTCGCAGTGCACGAAAGCTCTCTCGACAAACTCCAGACGCGCCAATTTTTTCTCCAGCGGGTGCGAGATGTCATGTGTGATCTGAAACAGGATATTACTCCAATATTTCACTCAGGTCCTGGAATCATACTTATTTCGGTTTCTGGTCCGAATCGCCGTGAGATTGAAAAATTCGAGAGTAGTTTCAAAAAAAACTTTTTTTGTTTTCGAAATTTTTTTTCTTTTCACTCTGCTTGCTTCTGTAGAAAACAGATTTAAGTTTAGAATTTTCAGTAAATTTCTTTCTGTATTCAGTTTTTTTCATTTTTCATTTTCCTATTTGAATCTTCAAACCAGATAAGTTTTCTAAGAGGCTCCTACTGAAAATCTGAAAATTTAGCCAAAGTTTAGCCTTATTCAAGTTGTTTGAAGGCAGAAAAGTCTTGATACCATAAGTTTAGTTTAAAATTACAGCGCTTTTGCGTACCAAAAAATTATTACCAACCTTAATCAGGGCTAAAATACCAAGAAACTCACTTTCAAAGGCAAGTTCTCGTCCAAAACAATGTGAAGCTCAACTAAGGCGTCGACGCCGGTGTGGTACACCATAATGTGGTCGACACATCTGAAATTTCTAGGCTAAAATTATTCACAGTTTTGTGAATGACTTGATCCGATCGTCGTGTTCTATCACAATTTTCAGAATCCGACTCAAAAGCTCCCGCTCAGCACGGATTCCGACCAGGCTTGGGATGTACTCGCCGGCGTGGCGGAACCAAGAAAGGGCTATCAGACCACTGAAAGGCTTCGAAATCCTGAAGTTGGAAGGAAGGAGAGTTACCAGACAATGATGGCTCCAATCGGGTCGGCGTAGATCCAGAAGTTGTCGGCGATGACGGCCGAGGTCAGACCCACCAGAGAAGTGAAAATGTCGTTCCGCATGTCCATTGCAAGGACCTACACGTGTTTATTTCCATTGTTCGAAGGAAGAAAAGTCTTGATACCACGGACGAAGGCGATCCTCGTCTGAAACAAACCGTCATCAGAATCGCCTTCACTCCAGAGCCGCCCAAAACTATGGCCAGCGTCGGAAGGTTCACGACGGGGTTGATCTGCAGTTTTTCGAAGATTTTCGTACGAAATTCTTCATTCTCGTCACAATCTGCTCTTGTTAATACTTTCCAAAAACCAACATCTCCGCTGACGATAACTGAGATCGACTTCGCTATGATCACCATGTTGGCGATGCCCATGAGGATCGACGTCAAGATCACTCCAAGTAATTCCAATCTTTAAATTATCTGAGTGAAAAAATGATTTTTATAGATCGGAAAAACCTTGCTCTTCCTCTGGGGTAATTGAAACTGTTCGTGTTTTCGATGAGCCACAAACAAACGCCGAGGATCGCGCCGCTAGTCACGTCCATCAACGAGTCCACGAAGGTACTTCAATGAAACAATTTTTAAAAACAAAATGGGTTTCAACTAATGATTAATGAGAATCATCAAAAATATGAGCAAGTCTAGGGTATTCGCCCAAAAAGTTGAAATCAGAAAAAACGGTTAGAACTTTTTAATAGGCTTTATGCAAAAAAAAAAGGTGAAAATGATGTTTTTCATCACTTTTAACGACACACACAGAAGATCTAAAAAATTAAGAACTTCGATTTTTTTTATTCTGAACCTGACAATCGACAAGCTGTGAGAAAGATAGGCCGCTGTCAAGTTTGCGCAAACTAATGCCAAGTTGAGAATAATCGCCGCTCGAGCCAAATAACGGTCCATCGCAGGTTTGGGCTTCTGAAAAGCTTCGAATTTCTTTTTCAGTAATAAAATAACCTGAGTCTTTTTGCGGCCTTGCATCAGGTCCATATCATCTTCGTATAGTCCAGTCAGTCGGTCAAGGTCTTCATAGTACTGAAACTTCGAAGAAAGAGTCAAAAAGTTCATTAAACTGACCTCCTTGATGGCCTTTCTTTTTCTCCTTCTCTGAAGCCAGGAGCCCTTGCCGCCTTGTCCATAATAGCCGTAATTGTTCGAATTCAAGTCCGTATTTAACAGTGGCGCCTTTTCGTTCATTTTTCAAGTTATTAACAAAACTGGATTCGACGGCTCCGTAGACAGAACACTAATCGATTCGCCTCGTCACGCTGATAAGACTGGCCTGATAGGATTGTTTGTTTGTAGCCTTTAATCAGCAAAACGTCTTCCAAACATTTTTTAGTATTCCGTTTTAATAAAAACTGTTCTTGTTTGAGACTTCCGGAAAAGTAGTATAAGAAAATCGTGAATGAACTTCAAAAAAATCTTTCAACTTTCATATAGATCATGAAAGTTTCAAGAAAAATGAGATATTTTGCGTGAGCATCTGTGCTCTTTGTTAGAAGTAAGGAGCAGTTCGAAGTTCAGCTTCTGTATTTTTGCACTCTCAATCGTCATATATATCACGCCGTGTTAGTTTTTTTCTTCTTTTTTCAAATTGCGATTTAAAATTCGTGATAAATTTTATTTCAAGCCGAATAGATGTGAAATCGGAAAAAATAATTTGAGGGAAGAAGTCGCCGGGAAATGATTAACAGTTATAGAAAAGCTAAAAATGCAAGGTTGGTTGCAAATATAACAATATCAGATCGAAAACGAGCATTCTGTAAGAAAAAAAAATAGTTTTCATTCCTGCTAGAAATAAAGCTGACCTGGAAGCTTTTGAAGTTTTCGTTTTTAAGAGAAATGGATCCTTTTGAAGAAGCTAGGTTATCAGACGACGGAAAAGGGCCAGGAGAAAAAGAGAAAAACTAAAAAACAATATAGATAAAATGGAATATTTTACTTCAATAAGCCGAGAGAAATTCGGAAGGTCATTGACGAGGCTCGATAACGGTAGAGCCTGAATTAAGGTACAATTTTGCGTAGTTCAGATGATTTAAAGTAAGACCGTTATTAGAAGTTTTCCATACTTTTTCAATTTCCAAAGAAAGTTTAAAACAAATTCCTAAACTAACCAAAAAGAAGAAAAAAATGATGATTGCTAGCAGGGGGAAATTCTTCATCTCGAAATGAAAATCGTTTCGATTCGCTCTCACGCTGACTTTTTCTTTTTTTAAGAAAAAAATTCATTCTGCCATGACTTCTGATGTGGATAAAATTCAAGATAATTTATTTCAGAAATTTTTCTCAAAATTTCAACTTTTTGCACTAGAATCCCCGTCGCATCGGTAGTCGCAATGAACGAAGGCTTTTTCCACGAAATCCAGTCGACAGAGTTTTTTCTCCAAAGGATGAGTCACGTCGTGAGATATCTGAAGAGAGAAGAGATTGTTTTAGACTGAAGTAGTAAAATGAACAGGACAAAAAAACAGGATTGATAATTTGAAGCTTTTTCTCTGGCTGGCATTACGGCTGGCCCTTCTCAAACTCTATTTTGAATGTTAATATTTGAAGTCATACAGGTCATACAGGAAAAAGTCCAACGAGAACAACAAAATCACATTTAGAAGGCGAAATTTTAGAGAGGTGTATAAAATACAATCAAAAACCTAAAACTTTCCTTCTAATTTTCATTTAAAAGTCTATTTTTTAACTTCAAAACCTTCAGTGGCATATCATCGTCCAAGACCACGTCCAATTCAACCAAGGCGTCGACGCCGGTGTGATACACCATAATATGGTCGACGCACCTGGAAATGTTGCAGTTTTGGTAAGTCTATTTCAAGGTGAAGATCAAATTCCACTTCAGCTTCGAGATCATTTTTCAATCTTCTTCCAGAAAAATCTCAAAGTTTTTTTTCGATTTTAACTAGCTCACCTGATCCGATCGTCGTGTTCTATCGCGATTTTCAGAATTCTGCTCAAAGTTTCTCTTTCCACGCGGATTCCGACGAGTTTTGGGATGTACTTGGTTGCGTATCGAAACCACGAAATAGCTATCAGTCCGCTAGAATTGCTGTTATACCACAAAAGCCGTTCAAGGCAGAGATACCAAACGATTACTGCTCCCAGTGGATCAGCATAGATCCAAAAGTTGTTGGCAATGACGGCGGCGGTCAGACCAACCAAAGAGTTCACCATGTCGTTGCGCGCATCCATCGCAAGGACCTGCGGTGGCGAAAAAAGGGTGATGATCATGAGAAATGAGAAATAACTTCCTAACAAAGTGCTCAACAGGATTCTTTAAACTCCGTAACTTCTGATTGAAATAACGTCAATAGTTTTATTTCCCAGATTTTGGTCTATTTTTTTCTTATGTTCTGTGGTATAATTGTTTTCATTTATAGAATTGAGAAAGCTTTCAACCCGAAATAGCTCGAAAATGAAAAAAAAGATTATCCCTTTTAATAAATATCGAAAATTCCAGTTTCAGTATTAACATAATAATCGCTGGTGTAGAAGGCTTACAGTTATTCACATTACCTTCTACCTGGAACCTGATGGTTTTTTGTCCTTACCTTAGTCGCTTCAGAGCCCTTGCGATAACACAAAACCATCAAAATGCCGTTCAGAGCCAATCCTCCAAGAATGATGAAAAGCGACAAGTTTTCCAGAGAAGGATCTATCTGAACTTCAACTGTAACTCTGAAATCCCTATGCATTCGGGAAACCTACCGTACCCGTGACAATATCTGAAATAGAGCGCATCAGGATCGCCATATTGGCCACGCCCAACACAATCGACGACAAGATAACCCCGATCGTCGTTAATCTTAATTTCTTCCTTCTCCGACCAAAAACGGCTTGCGCCAACCGGGCACGACCCCTCGGATAGCTGAAGGTGTCGATGTTTTCGATGAGCCACATGCAGACGCCGAGAATCGCTTCGCTACAGACGTCCATCAAAGAATCGACGAAGACACTGGAATTCCTTCTGGTGCGATGCGTGTCGCGTCGCGTTCACCTGGTTATCGCCAAGCTGTTGGACAGGTAACTCGCGGAGAGCTTCGAGGCAACCAGGATCAGTTTCAGGAGCAGAGAAACTCGGTCTAGTAAGTTTTCATAGGGATCGTCTTTTTTCTGAAGAAACGGTTGAATATATTACAAAACAGAGAATTTTAGCCGGTACAGTCTTTTATTTTTTGATTTTTGTAAATTTTCTGACGCACAAACGTGGTTTAAAAACTCTGAAAAACCCAAACTGGAATCTTTTAAAAAATTGATAAATACAAAAGCTAGTATAAAATGACGCATCAAATAGTAACCTGCGGTTCTTTTTTCTTTCCACAAATTGCATAGGAATCTTGTTCATAGAGCTTCAAAAGACTGTCGAGATGCCTGTAGTACTGAAAAATCATGTATTGATTATCAATCCAAACCGCGAAACCTTCTTTTTTGCTCGTTTCCTTTTCCAACGCGTCCACCAACATCCGTTCGTACTTTTGAGTTTTTTGGCAGTAGGAAGTAAAGGTTGCTTTTCAGACATGTAGAGTAAAAATGTGTGGACTCGTTTTCGGCTTATCATTTTCCATCAGTGGAACAATAAATCGATTAGATGCTGATAACTTTGTTTCTTCCAAACTCTTTATTAACATAAAAACTTCAAAAAAAAGTACGCGTAGGACGTTTAAATTTGTAACATTTGAATCTTGCAGCATTATGCGTGGTCGAGATCAGTTGTTAAAGAAGTTTCTTTCAAATCAAACGGTTCCTCCACCTCTGTCCAGAAGTTTTGTATCCGACTTGCCGAGTTTTGCCTGGAAATTATCATTTTAGTTGAAAAAATTAGAATTTAATGACCAGAGTCTTGCAATTAGCCAACAAGCTTTTTACCGGCTGAGCCAGCCTCATTCATTCTTTGAAATCACTATTTTAGATCTGAATTCACCTTGTGAAACGCTTCCCGAAGTTTGCCGAATCCATAATGTGTGCTCTCATCAAAACTGTAATTTTTCTGCAGCGGCGGTCTTTTCTTGGTATTGCCGTTCTGAGTACAATCTGGAGAATAGTTTAGAGTTTCATGAGAGGAAAGTTTCATTTTCATTACCTTTATAAAGACTTTCAAGAGGAGGATATTCGCCATACAGTGGGTCTCGTTCAGGAAGAACGCCAAAATAGTTCTCCATTTTTCGGACTTTTTTTCTGAAAAAGTATCGACTTTTAAGAACTCTTTCAGGGGTCTATGTTGCCAGCATTTTTCAAATCGTGTGAAAAGACTAAAACTTACAAAAAGGTCTTGAAAAGCTTCTATTTCGTCATTGAATTTTTGAATTTGGAAAACTAACTTTTGTTTCAAATAAAGCACGCCGAAAATGATGGCCAAGAAAATGAAGACGACGTTGACGCCTGTCGTTGCACCTCCCACCATTTTGATCATTCTGACTGAAAAAAAACGTTTTTGTCGAATTTTTCTTTTTTTTTGTTAGATTGATGGAAATGAATTAGATTTACAAACATGTTAGAGCAAATATTGTAAAGAGGGAGAAGAGGTGGAAGTCTCACTGTAATTAGCATTCGCCATACCCTCGAATGCGGTCATCAAGACGCTGTCGCATCTTTCGCCATTGTAATCACCATGACATCTGAAAACCGAAAAATTTAAAGCTTGAAAGACTGATTTTACTTCTATAGCCCATTCCAGGCCAGCTTGTCACGTTTTTTTTCTACCAAAATTCCGTGTAAAATCTTCACTCGAAGTGGTAGCTCTCATTCTGAGGCTTCCACCTAGAGCACGGTCTCCGGGCTCCAGCACAACATCCGCTACATTCTGAGCTCGTCAAGGCGCAACTGGATGGACTACGCGCAGAAGGACGAGGCGAAAGACCGTAAGACCATGCTTTTAACTCTTTCGACTACACGTTTGGACTTCTAGCTCGCCAAAGGCGGTTGTTCGTTATAGCTTTCAAAGTTCTTGTTCACCGCCTAGTCGATACATCTATGACTAAACCAACAAAATAAATGATTTGATTGATTGAAAAGAACGGTAAAATGGATCGAATTTGACCCCACTAGGCTTCAAGCCCATTCTTTTTTTCTGCTGTTCTTTTAAAATGTGACCATCTCGCGCGGAACGCACTATTGTATATTTATCAAAAACGTATAGAGTTAAGGTTCTAAGAGCTGTTTCAAAAAACTGAATACTTCTTTTTCAACTTACATACAAAATTTTTCAAGATCTAGAGTCTTTTATCGGCAACACTGGAAGTCAAACCTTTGCGATAAAGGTTCACGAAAGAAGATGTTATCTAGAACTAAACTTTTTTTTTCTTAAGTGACTCTATCATGAAAATTCTCACAGTGGGTTCCAAAAGGGTTCCATTTATTAAAGGATAGATATTGATAGGAAACTAGAAATATCATTAAAATGGTTCAAGCGGTGAAACAATACCTTCACTCAGAAATTATCCAAATAGGTTTCTAATTTTTGCCAAGGTTAATAGAAATATATTAATTTATACTTCATTCGCCACGACTTAAAATTTTCGGACTCGCGTGTGTTTCTTTTTTCTCGTGAGCGAAGCAAAATGCGATAAAATGACTTATAGAAAAGAGTCCGATTGAAAAATTCAAAGAAAAAGATAAAAATAAAGAATCAGACTCTGAATTATTGTCTTATGAGAATGATTTTCCGCCGGCTTAACAAACTTTTTAACCATAGAAGTCTTCCACATTATCAAAAATAACAAGCAACGAACTCGCAAAGCTTCCGTCCGTTGTCTAAAAAGCAGGTCCCGTGCTCGCCGCAGTAGGTGTCGCTGACGTCACACCGCTTCAAATGGTTCATCACGCTCTAAATAATTCAATTCAGAAGGTACATTAAAAACAAGTTATAGATATTCCGCAAAGAGTTTTGAAAGTAGAAAAACGAACGACTCGCGGTTTATGGAGTCGGATCTGAGGCGTGTGCCAAGTAGTACTTTCTTTGAGTTTCGCGCGGCATTCGTAGGCTCCAGAATGTTCGTCGGCATATGAATCGACTTCGTAGGTGATACTGTAAATGATATGAAAAAGTTAGAAAAGTAGGTATTTTAATAATTTAAAAATTTAATTTAACTCATGTTGAAATCGTGAAAAAAACATAAATAATGTTTTTCTCTTGGTTAACTTCAACATTAAAATAAACTTCTCACTTTACATATAGTAGCGAAAATGATGTTTTTTTGGATTTTGATGAATATTCAAAAAAAAAAACTTTATGGAGGTTTTTTTTTGGAATCGGTTTCAATGATTATTTCAAATCGTTAATAAGATCATTTTACTTAATCACTAAGAATAACTGCCGAGATAAACGCGAGACGCTGGCGGTTCATTGACGAGCTCGCAAACATCTCGCGTTTTTTCTCGCGCCGGTCTCGCATTTTTCTAGTCGCGAGCTCGCACTTTTCTAGGCGCGAGCTCGCATTTCTCTCGCAAACTGAAAATTTCCGAAATGCAAGATAAATGCCAGGTCGCGCCGAGAAAAATGCGAGTTCGCGCCTAGAAAAAGGCGAGATGTTTGCGAGTTCGTCAATGTACCGCCACCGACCTCGCGTTTATCTCGTCAGTTATTCTTAGTGATCGGCTAAATTTTCAGATTTTATTGATCGTTTTTGGCAAAGTAAAGGATGAAAAACCAAAAAATACTCACCCATTTTCGCTACTGTATATGTTGAAAAATTCTGTTGCAACTTTATTCAATTAGTTCTTTTCTTACTAAAAAAAAATTCCGTGAAATATAAAAAAGGACCTGGAGCCGGTGCGGGTCACAGTTTTTTCTACGGACTCCCGTAGCAACGTGAGCGATTCGACCTCGAAGTCTTTACTCGCAGAACATTTCAATGAAAAAGATGCTCCTTTGTTGATCTCAGTCACGGCCTTCGTCGGCGGTCGAGGCCCATCAGCTACAAAAACAATGAATTCATCGTCGTTAGAAAAAAATTTTGAAAAACCAATACTCTAACTTCTCTCATAATCATCTCAATTAACGAAACAAAAATTAAAAAAATCTATTTGATTATGAAAGTCACTGAAAACAAAATTGAACTTCTGTGTTAAAAAAATACAACAAGGTGCGGAACGACGCAATTCTACACCCAAACGCGCAGAAATAATAAATAGAAAAATGGTGAAACTAGTTCTTTTTTTCCTTTGAAGTTTAACTATAATACTTCTTATTATTCAATTTTTACTAATCTGTAAGACTTTGAAGCTCTTCTCTGGAATACCAGCAAAAGCTCTGAAAAAGATTTCCGAATTTTTTTTAATGTGAGAAAAAATAATCTAAAAAGCGAAAGTTACCGAGTCTTTAATTTGTAAGAGTTTCAAACCTTTATTAATAGTTATTTCGTAAGTTGGCCGAAGCTCGGCGGTCGTCATGCTCAAAAAGAAACTCTCGCCTTTGCGGTAGCCTTTTTTGGTTACCTGCAATTCGAAATTTTCAAATTAACCTTGTTTCCGATTAACAGCTGATAACACAATGATAAGGTAAAATCTATTTTGGTGCTATCTATTCTATTGAATAAACGAAAAAAAGAGAAGAGGAAGCCTTCTGAAAGTGAGTCACATAAATGATAATCGGATTACGTGTTTTGATATTTGGGCAAGAGAAAAAAGTAGTAGAACCCGGAAACGGGTGAGTTTGAAATGCAGGTGAAACATTTGAAATCTGATTCGGAACTTCAACATCTCAAGTTACATTGAAAAGCTCTCCATTTATCCGACATACCGAAAAAAAAGGCAAATGAGTGAAACAGGAGTCTCATTCAGAAATAGAGAGAAGGATGGTTCTGGAAGGAAATTGGACTTGAGATCAAGATTCTTGGGGTTTGATGAAAGCTCTGTTTTTAAGATGGAAAAATAATGGAAAAAAGGGATCCTCAGAACTGAGGTATGTTTGAAAAAAGACTACCCTCGAAGGAAAAGCTGACAACAAAATAACAAAAACAACAGTACACGACTCCCTTATCATCAATTTATAGCCTCGGCACGAAAAAGTGACGAATTTTATCCATTTCGTAACTGATCAAAAACGGTGACTTTCTTTTTTCATTGAAAAAAAACTTGAGAAGTTGCGCGGCCCAAAGTTTGAGGTTAGGTTTTTCTCGTCAAATATTTGCCGAGGGGCGACCACGCTTTTTTTTTTGAGCCGCGTGAGTTCAAGAGTTTCCTTGCATCATCATCATGATATGATATGGGTCCAAAACAAAGAAACTTTCGAGGTGTGCGAAACTTTCGAAGCATCTACAAAATATGGAGAAGTTCAAAACCGTACTTATCGATCAATAAGTTGATAAAGAAGATTGAATAAACTTTTTTTTGGCTAGAAAAAACGTTCAAACTTTCCTTTGTCAGCTTTTCGGAAAAATTATGGTTTGAAAATTTTATTTTTTTTGTGATCATTTTTAATATGAGGGTATGATGAAGAACCTCAAGTAAATTTTTCAAGTCCGATTATAAATTTCTAAGGAAAAAAGCAACTTTTTGAGTCGATTGAAAACCGGTTGAAAAGTCAGGTTAACGAAAAAATGTCCTCCAATTCATGCGCAAAATCGAATGAGGTTGGGGATGCAGATAGAATCGAACGAAGGGCATTTCTCAAAGGAAAACATGATTTTCGAAAAAAGAGTCCTAAAACTTTAATGCTTCGTTAGTGTAAGTCAACCTTATATGAGTGATTTTATGTTGTTTTTTTTTTCAAATTTTTCATTGTGCAAATCCTTATACCGATGAAAAGCTGCTTAAAGCGATGATAAAAATTAATAGAAAGAGTGATAAAGGGAACATAGATGAGAAACCAAGGAATTTGTGTTCGTTTTTTTTCTCGCATCTCTCTTAATGTGGGGCGGAACTCGACGTGAACGATGAAGGACGCGCCGACGTCACCCAACTGCGCAGGAAGAAAAAAACGGAACAAAAGCCGTTATTTGCAGCGTTGAACAAATCACAAAAATCAAATCAATCTAACAACCATTTTTAATTACTGTATATTGAAAACCATGCAAGGGAACTGAAAGCATTTAAAATGGCGCGCAATTATTACAAATTTACTTTATTTCAATCTCAGCTTCATTTAAACGTTTTTTTTATAATTTTTTTTTCTATTGTCGATTAAAACTTATCAAATTGATTTTTTTTTTTGATGCGCCGTTGACAACATAGATTCTTCTTGTTAGCATTCAGAAGAGAAATATTTTTTTAAATTAAAAATTGCACAGATTATCCTCTTTTTGTTTTCTTTCACGTTCCCATGAATTCCGGTTAAGCCTAGCAGTGATAAACTCGGATTGATTTAACCACTAATTTGATGATCAATGAATCTTGTTCTAGTTTAAAACGCGTTTTTCGTATTCATTTGTGTTAAGGGCGTTGTCTTGCCACGGTTTTAATCCTTCTTCCGTAGTAAATGTAAAAATTCCTGTGTTTAGAAATTAACTTTCGTTTTTTAATGAGCTTGTTCTTTATCTATTTATGAGAAAAAATTCAACAGATCGGAAAAAGTGAGATGTTTGAGCCCCTCGTTGAGAGTAACAGTGAAAAGAAAAAAAATAACAGAACAAACAATCTTTGAGGCTTCAGATTCCCTAGACGGACTGCGATCAAGGACACATGACTCACCGTCAATTTATGACCCACGACGGAGGTACTTCAAAAAGAAAAAAGCGAACCCATGGAATTCTTGAATCTACGTGAAATGTAGAAGCTTCAAGTGGGACCAGCTGCAAAGCTTTAAACTGCGCGGTGAGTCACATTCCTGACCATTTTCAGTTGTTTGCAAAGCGGGTGGGGTGCACCAGTCAGAATAATGGAGTGACAGGTCAGCTGGAATGTTGATAAGAACAAAAAAGTGGGGGTCGAAAAAATAACAAAAAAAAATGTTTTTTGAGTTGGCTTCAAAGCTTCTTTTCAAACTGTTGCAAGGTTAGGGTCAAAAAGGGTAATTTGCTCAAATATCTTTTAACTTTCTTCAGATTCAGGATAAACTCGTTGATGTAGTTGAAAAACTTGCTAATTCTCAGCCTGTATAACTTCAATTTTTCGAGAATGAAAATTTTTTTTGCATAGCGTTCAAAAACTTGTATTTGAAGTATATAAAGACCTAAAGGTCGTTAAAATTCAAAAAAACTTGTATTTGAATTTTTAACGACCTTTAGGTCTTTATTTCATTGTTTATTTAAAGAGAAGAGAAAAAAAGGAAAAATATGAGAAAATGTTTAAAAAACAATTATTTTTATCAAAATTTTCTCACTTTTAAAACTGTTAAAGCTCGGAGCTTAGTCCAAAAAAAGAAGCCCAAATTTGCCAAATAAAGCAACAATGTCACCGTACACCTCTTGAATGCATGGGACGGAAATGCGATGAAGATCGCTCCGATTGAATTTCACGAACTTCTGAAGAAGCCTCGTCGATTTCCAACTTTCTCCTTCTTTCTAGTAGTTTCTGACATTTAGAATTAGTTGCGTGAATTTTATCTTTTTTTCCTATTTTTTCCAAAGTAATTTTTTTTTCGACTCACTAGTCAGTCTTGAAACTGAATTCATATATTTGTCTTTGACGAAAATTTTTTATATATATTTCATTGAAAAAGTTCCCAAATTTTATTCTTTTTTTTAAAGTTTTTTTTGGCGTGTGAGATTAATCGATCATGTAGGATGAGTTTTACAGTTCCAAAGTTCTATTTTTTTTTCCTTTGTTCTTTAAGGCTTCTTATCCCGTTAAATTTTTCTTTTCGAGGTTATAGTCGTATTTTAACGAGCTTTGCTCATCGAAATTCGAATCACGTCACTCCGAGAAAAAGCTGAAAAGCTCAGAAATAATTCACAAGTCTGGAAAAATCAATACATGAACTTTTCAGCTACTTTCAAAGTTTTTATGGTCGAAATCGTGATTTTTTAACTCAGCTTTTTTTTTCTTATATAATGATCGTTGCATATAAAAGCTGCTGATTCTTTAGTTTTCCTGAGTTACCACTTCATCTGAATTTGGCAGTTTTTCGAAAATTCGCAAAGTTTTTGAATTCTTTTCGAAAAAAAGAGAAAGAACCTTCGCTGTTCCGGCCGACTTACGCCCAAAAAATCTCGCTCGACGTGGTTTTTCTTTTTTGCAGAAAAGAAAGCCCTCGAAGAAACGGCCGGAAATTTCATGAATGCGTTCGCCATGCGGCCGCCGGCTCAAGTCGTTCCCAGGTTCGCTACTTTCATTTATTATGTTTTTTCCTGTGTAAAAAAATTTTTAGTAGGGAAAAATAGGATGGCTACGTTTGAAGCGGTAACGTTTTTGAAGGAAGAAAAAACTGGAGCAGAAACTATTGAAATGAGATTGACGGACAATGAAAAAAAAAATCAAAAATAAGAAGGGATTGAATAATTGAGTGTCAAGTGATTCAAATTAGTTGAGAGAATAAAGGTTAAATAATATTTGGAAAAAAATGATAATCATGAAGCAAAGCCTGAAAAAAATGGAAGAAATTCTTCTCGAGTCAATTTTTTTAATAAGAAGAATAATTTTTCCAAAGAAAAAATAGGAAAATAAAACATTTCAGAAAAAAAATTAGTTGAAAGTTTTGCTGTAAAAAAAAGAAGAAGAATTCCGAGCTGAAGCAAGCAAAAAACAATTTTTAACTCGGAACCGTCATTGTGAAAGCGTTTTAAATTTTTGAATGATTTTAAATCTTTCTAGAAGAGTTTTTGGCTTTTGAGCAAGCTTAGCTATGCTTGCCGTGAAACGTCACAAGATTCTATGATATTTTCCTCGCCTCACTGTTTCCCAATAAGCGTTTTTCATGTGAAAGCTACGTCGACTTATTCCTGTATGATTGTAAAAAAAAAAAATCGAAACTATTGTTTCATCGGCACAACAACACCACCGAATAAAGATGCAGAATTCGCTGTTCGTGACAGTCCTCAAAGATTTTTAAAATTTCTGAAAACGATAGTCTTTTTCGAACGGCTTCGTTTTTTTGATACTGAAGTTGAGTTGTATATAAAATAATCTGTAATCAGTACCTAGATTGTTGAACTTTTTAATGATAAAATTGTAGACTAGAGCTTCAGAATGAGGAACAATCGTAGTAGTTTGTACGGTGTCATTTTTTTTAATCTTGTGAATAGGATTTCGCGGCTTAATGCGAGAAATCAGTATCAGCAACTGAGCTAGACATACCTTTGAGAAGGAGAAAATGTCTTCTGCCCTTTGTTACAAATGTCGGAGAATTCTAAGAAAATATTCGTGGAGCCAAGCCTCGGCTATCGCAATTCAAAAGGTCGAAAGTCCTTGACAAGGTTCTTAGAATTGTCTAATGCTTTGCTTGGCAGCAAGCTGCCTTTTCAAAGCGACATAATTAATTGGACACGAGCCGTCAAGCGCAGCGGCCAGACTCATTCAAAGGTTGCTCCCGCAGCGCGAGTACCTTGTGACAAATGGCTTCCTTTCCCGAGCAGACCTTCCAACCGACTGCCACCCACGCAATCGACTCCAATTTCCGTCAGAAGCTTTACCTATACCTATCTTGGGCCACCCTCAGCTCTTTACACTTGATTTTAGCCGCATTTGAGCCTTTATCAGATGTTCCAGCTCAATCATCTGTACTTTTACTGTTTCGACTGAATATCTACTTTTAAAATCTATGTCATCTTACTATTTTTATCAACCTAACCTATTTTTTAGAATCAAATCAAATACTTTATTTGATACTAAGCATTTCGTATATTTTCCTAATAGCTGCCAAAAAAGCCGCTAGAAGGCTCTTTTGCGGTTAGAAGACCTTGAATATAATCTCAACATCGGATTTTAATTTTATCTGTAGCCGTTAGTTCCCAAAAGTTTATTCGTTTAACTTTTATCCATGAAAGGAAATCCGTAATGATTAAGGAAAAAAGGTGTTAAAGTTGTAAATGTGTTATTGGTGAAGTCCGATTCAGTTGAACTCAGAATTCGAACTAACCCATTTTTGTTATTTTGAGCATTTCATCTATCTCCAAATCAGAGATTAATACGCTTTTATCACTCTGTTGATTAGTTGCAGCTCTACAAATCCGAGCTTTTCCCGCCAACTCGTCGTCATAGAGAAAAACAAAAAGAGAGACGCAGACGGGAAAAAAGTAGTCGCACCTTTGTGGTCATTCATCTCTTTCTGCCGAGCTTTACTTTGCTTTCTGAGTTCTTGTTTTTGCTATTTTCTCGCGATACAACCCTTGATTGGGCTCTCATCATATTTTTTTATGAGTCGTAGGCAAGAGAAGAGGTTTTTTAAACTGAAAGACGCAAGTAGAAAACTTACGGTTTCTTCTCTATTTTTTAAAACTTTTTCTCGCTTTTGAGTCTTTATTATTTATTTTTATGTAATTTTTTATGTATAATTCCTCGTCGCTATAGAGATTTGGTGAGGAAAGGTTTGTGATGTATGTCTGTAAGAACTTTTTTCGATATTTCTGTCTGTTTTTCTTGAGGCTTCGACACAAAAAAAAATTAAAGATTTAAAAAGAGTATTGAATCAAAAAAATGCAAAGAGAGTGAAATCTTACAAGTTCTACAGTGTTTTCGAAGTTTTTTCTGTATTTTTTCCCGATTTTTCATTTTAAATTTTTTAAACTGTTAGCGTATTTGGAGCATTTTTCTTTCACATATATTTTGAGGTTGATTTTTTGCTTTACCTTCTGTTTTATGTTTTCAAATCACTGATATCACTTCAAGATCTGACCAGAGTGAGAGTTCTCTTTATTTGTTGACCTGGAGAGTTGAAGAGAATAGAGAAGCAGAGAAATAAGCCTCAGAATCACACCTTACATGGTAATTTGTGTGTGTCTCTGAACCGAAGAAGCCGTGCAAGAATTCAGACAGCCTCCCACTTTCTCACACTCTCCTCGTCTCGCATCTCTCCGTAATCCGCCTCCCACAGCTCCCCATTTTTGGCTCATTTCATTGCATTCCATTCTGTGTGCAGTTCTTCTACTCCTACTCCTACGTCGGTCGCTTGTCGTTGTCGTTTTCGGTGGCTAATGATCGATATCTCCTCGAGAAGGAGGAGGAGGAGCAGAAAAAGAAGTTGTTGAAGGCGAGGAGGAACGCCTTCGAACTTGACAAAAAAGGAAGTCGTCGACGCCTCGACTTGAGAAGGACAATCTTCAACGACTCGCCAATGTGATCAACCTTTTTCTTGTCCTCTGGCTATTGTTGCATGGGCACGAGCCAAGGCAAGCCGACCACGATGAGCAGGTCTGTTTCTGGTTTAGGCGTTTTGAGTTTTGTAGAATCGAAAAGAGAGGGGGGCATTATTTTGAGTGAGACTGTACCTGTCGGAAAATCTTAATGGACCAATCGCTGACTAAAATAAATCCTCAGTTTCGTGAAGTTTTACATCATAGGAGCTGTTATAAAAAACCCTGGTTAAGAAGAAAAAAAAAGTCAACGACAGTCAATATCTCATGATATAAAAGTAAGTAGAGTACAAAAAAAAATTTTAACTAAATTTACAATTAAGTAAAGCTCTAGTGATTAGTGACAAAGCTTCTTCAGACTTCTGGAAACATCAAAATCATTTTGAAATTTCTAGAAAATCATATCTTACACAGCAAGTCGATGATTAAATTTGTTTTTTTCGTTTTTTTTTAATTTTTCAGGTTTACCTATACTGTTTCAATATGAGAGAAATGTCTCAAATTTGGTCTTTGAGTTTTTTTTGTGCTGATTTTTTCGTCAATTAATAATTTTTCGTGTTTTTTTATCAAAGTAATACGAAGATATACCTCACCGATTTATTTTATGTCTTCATTTTACCTTTTTGTTTGAATTACACCAAAATGGGCTGAAAAAATGTTGTAACGAAAAAATTCATTTGGGAATTCGCTAATTTTCAACTAATAAGGAGAGAAAACTTTACAAAAATTAGATGATGTTTCTTATATTGTTCTATTAAGACCATTCTGTTTCTAAAGATGATGAAAGAAGCTTTTGAAGAGATAAAAAAGGAGGGGGCTCTGAAAAAACGACTCTTCATGTAATATTCAAGAAGCTTTCTTTCCTCATTTCTTATGGAATCCATTCTTTCTAATTTTTTTAATATTCTTATAGCAAGGTGTTGCAAAAAAATTTTCAATCAACTTCTTCGAAAGTAAGAGCCGAAAAAATGTTTAATGTTTCTGTGTCGGCGGCGCCTTCTTTTTTCTGTCTCTAGGGACCATCGCCACGCGTCAACACCCGATCAAAAACGTTCAAAGCGTTCGTCGAGTTCATTTGTTTGTTGTTTTCTTTGTTTTCGGTTCCTTCTTCAACTTTTTTGGCTTTTTTTCATTAAAAAATATGAATTTAGAAAGGAGTTTTTTTTGAGTTTACTCGCTGGAGTAGTGGGGTACGTAATTGAAAAGAAAACTAGTTCAAATAAAATTGGTTGAATCCTTTTTACAATTCCTACATAATCAAAATCGATTCAAGTGGTTCACGCTTTTTCATTGAAAAAGGCTTCAATTCCTCTATTTTTTTTTTTGTCCGATATTCGGTTTTTTCTATCTTTTGAACTTTATTTCCGTTCGTTCACACAAAAACGACAGCTCCACGAATTTTTAGAAATTTATGCTGAAAAAGAGCTTCTTTGTCTCTAGGCCGGAAAGATCCATCCAATTTTTCAAGCAAACCGCTTTGGGCCGAAAAAAAGAAATTAACTCAAAATGCAAATCGGAGGCCCCCAGAGGCGTTCAGAAGCCGTCACGTTTTCGGCGTGTCACGTCAGCGTCGACTGAATTTTTGTCCGTTCGAATGATTCTGTCAGACTGCGAGTTCAGAACCGACGCCATAGAGCCGTTGCTTCTCTTTGTTTGCCGGCCACATACATAATGCACCCTACCTACGAGTTTCTCTTCGATTACCTGCCCCTCCGGCAACCGACGTATTCAATTTTCCACATTTCCCGCCTTTTTTCTTTGAGCTTACCAACTCAGTTCTGCAACCTTTTTGGTTGAAAAATAGACAAAAATTCATTTTTAGGATTTTTTTTTTCGGCTAATCTTTTCTCAAGTTTTTCATAGTAACTGTTCGTTAGCTCATTTCCGCCTTATTCTCTTTTGAAACCGCTTGGAATATATTCTGTTCCATACGCCCTCTATTTTATACACTGATCAGCGATGAACGGCTCGTATTTCATCAAAATATCGCTTCAAGTTGAATTTCGCAGTCACATGAAACTGGAACTTTCTATACGAAAAAAAAAACGGGATTCCTAGCTTTTGACTCCTTGAAGCGTTGCCTATCAACTCTTTTTCAAAAAAAGAAATACGCTAAGTGGACAAATGTGGAAGAGTTTTAACTTTTATGTCTGTGTCATTTCGTAGCGACTGTAGTTGTTCAAAAGCTCATAACGTTCCATCGATTAAATTTTCTCTCTAAATTAAAAATAATTTCGAAAATGTTTTGTTCTTTTGTTGGAAGTTTTGAGGTTTAGAAGTTATTAAAAAAGTTTTTTTGTACTGATCATGGTTTTTTGAATTCGTATTTTTTTGAAACTAAAACTTTTATTTTCTTTCATATCACTTTTTTGAACCCAAACAATCCGGGAAACGCTATCCAATATCCGTCGGCTCCAGATTATACACACACTCACACAACATTATGAATTCCTTCGCGCGGAGCTCCAGACCCGATCGATTCATTTCATTTTCCTGTTTTTCCTTCTTTTTTTTTATCTTACCGAAAGCTTCTATTTTGTGAATTTCTCCATTCTTATGTGTTTCGGATGATTGCACGAGATTAGCGCCAAGGCTTGCAAGGCTTAGAAGTGGAGATAGTTCGGTTTGAGCGCTAGAGCGCACTTTTCATTATTAAAATGACTGGACTTAACTCTGAAAATTCGGAGAGATTGATGATGAGAAAAATTAAATATAGAACTTCGATTATTCTTTTAATTTTTTCAAAAACCTTATGAAAATACACGAATAACTGAAATTAAACGTAAACTACGAAATTAAGAAAAACTTCTAATTGACCTTTTTTTCGAACTTAAAACTTTTTTCCGAGAAGATTTTTTCTTTATAAATTGTTTTGTCTGTGAAGCTAATTTTTGATCGAACTTTTTTATACATCATTTCTTTCAAATACCAAAAAAAACTGAATGAAGTGAAAAATTGATCCATAGCAAATGAAGCTCTTGTCAACAAATGCGCTAATTACGACTTTTGGAGTGGCCACTTGAGAAGACGGCGCCCTCCTTCATAACGTTTCGGAAGCGTCGGCCAATTCAGACTATTAGGCACCATCTATAATTTGTCAGATTCGTGAGGGATCTAGAATAAGATTCGGACGTTCCAACCGAGATAATAAATCACTCCAAACTTTTAAAGAAATAAAAATGATTTCAATGACGTCGCGAGCTTTTTTTGACTTATTTGTTTGAGGAATCACGTTAGATGACTGTTTGATGAAAGGAAAAGTTTATTCAGGCCGAACATTTCAAAAATTTTTGTTAGAATAAACACACAGCTCACTTAAAAGAAACTTCTACGCGAAAAAAAAACTGAACTATTAAAGATAGGAAACTTTTAGAAAGTATTTCAAAGACGAGTTGCAGATCTACTCATTTGAAATGTCTCTTGTCATGTACTGCGAATTTTTTAAGTGAAGGAATTTTTCGAAAATAATTTGATTTTCTGAAAAGAATGATGGGAACTGAAAAAAAGACAGTTTTTGATTTTTCGACTGTAACTGAACTATTCACAAATAGAAGCTAGATGAAGAAACGTGGAGAGAAGCGTAAATTAGTGAGAGATGTCTGTTGGATATTATTCAAGCCGAATTTTGTGAAACTTGTCAAGTGTGTACTTAAGAAGTGTTTCTCGTGCTCATAAGCGATGCTGGAAAAATGTCGGCGAGCACGCACGGCCATCTGAATGGCACGCTAATTGTGCTCCTCGGGTTCGGTCGAGCTCACGGCGTCTATGCAAATGGCCAAGAAGAGCTTGAAGGAAATCGGGGGAACTAACTTCTCAATCGTCCTTTTTTCCCAGTGCAAAAAAAGAACGGATTGGAAGCCAAATTGGGCAGTTTGCTTCTTGAATGAAAGCAGAGGAAGTCTCAAATGTCGCCTTCGGAGACTGCGAATAGAATCTGAAATGGGAGCCGGACGTTTCATTGATTCCCTGTTTCCGCATTCTCTTCACTTTCGTATCATTTTTTCATCGTTTTTTTATTTGATTCGAGCGAAAATCAACTTTTGTAGTCAGATTTGTCGATGTGAGTTGAGTCTCGCCAGCCATGTTGGCGCTGATCTTCCCATGGCGAAGGTAATCCCGGCAAAACGTTTCTTTGTTGAGTTTTATTGAGAAATAGGTCCAATATCATCCCTATGAGCTCTAATTTTTGTTCATTCTGTTTTGGAAATGTAGCGAAAATAGTTCTTTGAAATAGGATCTCAGCACTCTTTTCCTAGTCCGATCGTTTCAGACATTTCTAAATTTTTTTCCATTTTCATGAAATGGAAATGTTTATTAGGTCATTCATACCAGATATATTCATATTTCCAAAATTTCATATACAAAACTTAACCGAAATGTTTTTTTGCGAGAATTTCGAAGGCAGAAAAAGGATGATACTGAAAAGTCCTTACAGGTATAGTCTGTGTGCCACGACTTGAAATTTCACGGAACGGCATTCCGCTGTGCCGCTGCGCGCCTTTGCGAACCTTGGCCGCGCTTTTAATTTTTTTTTTTTTATTAAGGTACTCTACTTTCATTTGCTCCCACAGCAGTAACAATCAATTGAAAGCGTGACCTAGATTCGATAAACGCTTCGCGAAAGCACGCAGCGGAACAGCGGAATGTCGTTCCGTGAAATTTCAAGTCGTGACACACAGACTATAAGAAGTCCATCAAATAGAAGACAAGTTCATGAAAAAGTTTAAAGCAAAATGTCCATTTCGCAGGCCTGGATGAGATGGATAACCTAGAAACAGTGAGGAAAATTTGAGAATTTGGAAATCGTGTGAAAACTGATCGATTCATCTGAAATTGGATAAAATATTTATTAATCGATAGAGCTGAAAATTAACTTTGTAAGATATTTTGAAGCGTTTTAGTAGTTAGTCAAAAGAGTTTTTACAAGCAAACTTTTCCTGACTAAAGAAGTCTATGACTAGACTAACTTGAACTTTTCCAGAAACAAATCGGTGATTCGGTCGACCGGCGGGTCCTATCCGTATCCGCGGACCCACACCACAATGATGGTTGTTCCGTCGACGCGGCCTATCGCTCCAGAAGATCGGCCTCCAAAACACAATGTAATTTTTAAAAATCTTGATTGATATGGAAGCAGTACCGTTCGAAAATTCAGTTTATTGTTCATGAAGTTAATCAATTTTCTACTGTATTTAGTAGAGTGTTCAGATTTTGATGGCGTCAGCATTTCTCTAGGCACGCGTTCTGAAGCGAGCAGATGAATAAATCATAAGCTTTTATTTTGGTCTCTAAAAGCCCGCTATCCAGTCACAGAAAACTAAATCTATACTATAAGATTTCAAACTGTATTTATACTGAGATGAGGGATGGGAGCGTTTTAAATGAGTTCTCCGACATGTGATAACTTTTTATATTTGGCTTTGATTGATCTATAAAATTCAAGTTAGTTAGGGTTCAAAAGAAGAGAAGTGCTCAAGTCAGAAAATGAAATACTGAACGGCTCGCAGCAATAGAGTTATGAAAAAAAAAGTTTTAGCCCTTTTTTAATTTCAAGGAATCTCTTACTTTTCCGAGCTGTCGCTTGGTTTTCCCCTCTCTTTTCCTTTTCGGCCCCTTTGTTGAATTCAGACGTTCAGATTTAATTAACAAGCAGCAAAATGCCCTCAGGCCGTTCTCCTTCACGAGTATAGAGCAATCGGCGCGGCGAATGTCGTTCCGAATTTGGCGAAATTGGCTCGGCAAAGGTTTATTGCCGTCCTTCCGTGCCATACAATAAAAGCTCAGATCCAAAAAAAAGAACATAAATACGTTGTCGCCAAGGGCAACCCACCAATACACATAAATGTTTTGTAAAAATGAGAGATTTTTCTGGTTTTGTTGTAGTCGAATGTCTCGGAGAAAGACGTAGTACATTCACCGCCAGCTTCTCTTTTCCAAACTTGTCGAGATTCCCATCAAATTTCTCAACACAGAATTCAGAGAACTGTATCATTTAAACGAGAATGTGTCTCAAAAAACAGCTAAAAGTGTTTTCATTCCAAAATCGTTCCCTAAAGAGCTTTGCTTCATGCGTTGATTTGATTTTGCCCCAAAACGGAGCATTTTCTCACTCCCATCATTTGCACATTTTACATATCCAAACAATGGCCGTATCGTTCATTTCAATTTTTTTCTGTTTACTTCGAAAAATCCTTTTGTTTTTTAATACTTTTTACTTTTAAGTTTGAGATTAAGGAGAAAGTTAATTTAATTTTTTTAAGCAAGCCGAAATCACCTTATTTTTTTTCGTTATTCTCTCTTATTCTATAGAGTCGCCATAAAAAAGAGTTCTATTTTTTACTGCATTTTGAAACACTTTTTTTCAAGATCAAAGCCTTAAGAATCAGAATGGGTGTTTAAAAAGCGACAAGAAGCGGTATACCGATAGGTAACCTGAGAGGTGAGTGGACAGCCGACTGCACCTTGGGCAAATATATCGACATAAATCTAATCTTTTTCGCTCGGTGACCCTTTTCTTTGCTTTCTTGTCCAGCTGCCTATTTGTTTTTGGGTGGTGATTGTTGGCAGTGATATCAGTCCTTCCATTCTTCCTGTTCTTTTCAATTCATCAGATCTTTTTTTGAAATTCCTTGTGATTCAAAAAAAAAAGCTTACTTTTGGTGGCAAATTCTGAAATTAAAAAAAACATAACTAGAAGTTGACCTTTTTTGGATTTCGAATGTTGAAATAATTTTTGGTGCAAATAAGCCTTTTTTTCGAATCATTAGTATTATCACAATTTGAGCTGTTATGACTCATTCTGTGATTGGTTGTACATTTCCAGATCCTGATCCGGAGAAGGCCACCGTTGAACAGAGCGATTCCGCCGATCCCCGAGAGCAAAAGTAACGAGTCGATCATGAGCCACGCCTCTCGCGTTTCTGAAAAGGTTTTGAGGCTTTTTCCGAGATTTTATCTCGGTATTGAAATATTCGAAGCGTTCATGACATTTCAAAGACTTGTGGGGATTATATTCGTTTCAGAATTTGAGAGAAGGATTTGGAATCAAATATACGATTCTGTGTAGTTTTTTGGGGTGTGTTTTCTGAGACATTTTGATTTCGTTTTTTCCATTGGAAGTTAATAGCTTTCTATTTTTCATTTCGGATATTCAAAACCATCTCAAAAATTTTTATATTTTTACACTTTGAATACTGTTTCTCATTAAATATAGACTTTTTCAGCAGAACCACCGGAAACTGTCGGAGGAGCCGACGACAGGTGACCTCGTTATCGAGAATCGGAACGTCGTCGACATGCTGAACCGGCTTGACAACGCCGCCAACGTCAGTTATAATTTTCTCTTTTTATTTTCTCCGTCGTTCTGAGTTTCTTCATTGTCTGGCGTTATACTGACTAAACTATACAACAGTAAAACGGGATTAGCAGTGGCGCAGAGATTCTCCACGTACCGCGACGAGGTCTTTTCCCCATTGAAACATGCCCGGTCGAATTAGGCTTTTTGAAGAGAGTGACACGTTGCCCGAAATTCGTTCCTCTGTGATTCATTTTCATTTTTATTTTTTTCCTTTGAGGTTTTTCAAGCTTTTTCTGGACATCCATAAATTTTCTTTTTTTTTCTGCTTCTAAAATCTGTTTGTTTGACAGAACTTTCTTCTCATGGCACTTTGAATATTCCGGTGTTTAACAAAGTCTTTGAATCTAGAACAAGTAGTTTTTTTTTTAATAGAAAATTGATTTCTAATCATAAGCTTAGAGTGCAGAGTTCAAACTCAATTATGTCTAAATATGGAGAAGCTTTGAAAATTGAGAAGCCTTTCTTTCCTACAGTCTGAAAATAATATTTGATTCAACCTAATATAATATAATTTATTTACAGGCAGAACAAAATAACATGTACAGAAAAAAAAGAAAAAATTGGCAATAAGCCTGAAATAAATAAATAAAAGGCACTTGAGGCCCTCACGAGCCTCTGAGCCAGTAATGAAGGAATAAGAGGTGAGGATTGCACAAAGGTAAAAAAAGTAAATAGAAAAGAAAGCATTATAAGTTATGACACAGTGTAGCACAGGTGAATGGGGAATTTAATTGTTTGTGATGATATAAACGCATAAGATGGATTAGAGTAGGGCTGAAGCACGGATACCTGGTTGAAGCACGGGTACCTGGTTCAACGGAGTCTTGTTTTTTTTTAAATGTATTTTTTTGAAAAAAATCGGTTTCCATATGATATGAAAAAGGGCTTCTCAGTTTGTAAACTAATGCGTTTTGATAATAGATCTCGCATTTCTCAATTTCAATTTCTGTTGCTCAGTCTCTCTTGACAGACTCCTCCAACTTAATTTATTTTTAGTTAATAATAATATTTTATTCACTGCCAATCAGAATAATTAAATGAGATTTAAAAACAGAATAGATCAATGCAAAAAAAAAATCAAAGTCAGTACTACCTTATGAGGATAAATTTTTTTTTTGTCAACGCTACCTCAGATTGAAAATTATTGTAAACCTTGTTTCTCAAAACTTTTGTAAGTCAAACAACTTCCTTATCTATTTTAGGGTTTGACCTGCCCTTTTATGCTTGTCCTTGATTTACCGAAACAGCCATCTGTATCTTGACATGATTTGAAACACGCTGCTCAATCATTCATTCCTCGACTTCTTCCAATCGGACGCCGTGTCAATTGTGTGGTGATGCGACACGTGTAATGGCTCGAAGGCCGGGCCTTGTTCCGACTCTCAGGGGACCGTTTTCGCCTGGCTTTCTGGTCGTCTTCTGATTCTTCTACTTGCGAGCTGTCCCCCAGACTCTTTATAAATTGCCTCAGCTTCTGCTCGGGCAAAACTCTTTCCAAACATGTTGTCTAGTACATTTCAATTGAAATGTGATGTTGATTCGGTGAAAACGAAGTGAGAGTCCTTTTTGCACTTTTAGTTGAGCTTTGACTTCTCTCCGTGCTCGGAACGATAGTTATCCTGATTTTTGAGTTAACTTCCATTTTTCTGTTAGCTTTTTTCATTCTTAATGTTCTTAGCTCCGTTCTTTGTGTGTTTTAATTGTTGAAACAGGTTTCTGATTGGAAATTCTCGTTTACCAGTGCTTTAAAATATAATTGAAGTTTTTTTCATCTACATTCTCTGTTTTATTTAAAAACCAATGTTTTAATTATATGTTTTTGGTTAGATTCATCCCACTTCAGCTTGAAATAAAATTTTTAGGTTCTTATTTCCTTTTTCGACGTGGAGTTAGCTTCTGTTTAGAGACGTAGTCTAAATGTTCAACCAGAAAGCAATTGCTGTTAAAATTTTCAATTTCGATATCCCTGGTTAGATTATCGTCAGGCCGAAGATGGAACTCGTATAAAGGAAAAGTGAGATTTTCACACAATTTACTTACCAATTTCTTGCACTACTCAAAAGAAAAGTTCAACTCTTTTTTGTTGATCAATTTTTTCTCTTCATTAAGTATTCGCTGGCTCATTAAGTCACGACGATGTTCTCATCTCACGCCCCTTGGACAGCCACTTTTTGCCCTTTTTCTTCGTTTCTCGAAGAAAATCATTCCGTTTGTAGATTCCACGAACAAAAAAGACGATGTCGTCAGCGACGTCGACGTCGACGCCCAGAAGCCCTCTGATGAGCGTGGCGCACTCTGTGAAGAACAAATTGACGAGGATCACGCATCTTGGAAAATCGACAACTGAAGGCTCCAGAATCCCGTCGACGTCGTCAACCTCGAACATCAAGACCAGCCAGAGCTTTTCAGGGTGAGCTCGTGATCTTTTTTGAAATACAAAAAATGAGAATGAGCTTGGAAGTACTTTGAATTGCTTCGAGATACGTCTTGATAGTTTTTATTTCGTTATCCTGACTGATTAAAGCGTGATACATTCGGTATTTGAAACGTCACGGTCTTGCGTAGAAAAGTTCGGAGCGTAGCGGTAGCTTTGCGGTTGGAATCGGGTTCACAGCCGAAAAAGTTTTTTTTTTTTCGTTCGATGTATTGATCAACATCCTGGAGTATTTTTTTACTGAGTTAAGATTATTTCATATTTTTTACATTTTCTAAGACTTCAAAAAAGTAGTTTGAAAAAAGGGCGTGTGAAGTACAGTATTTCGAAAAGAGGTGCTCCATGGATAATTCACGAACGAGAAAGGAAGCGTTCAGAAATTTGCCAGTCCATTTTCCGCGCGGATTCTCGGTAATCCTTTCTGCTTTTTTCTTTTGCAAAATACCTTTTCTCTCTGTTTGCTCACAGCTCCCATACCAAACTTTGAAGTGAGTGGTGGGACATATTTGGGAATGGAGGAGACCGAGGGAGAACATGATGGATTGGTTTCGCATAACGTCGCGACGAGGCATCCTCTCGAATAAATTCGTCTTTTTGGACGGCTGCCGCAGGGGCTTTTGCCTGCCCACCGCGGTGAACAAACTCAAACCAAAACCAAGCCAAAACCAAACCGAGTCAAAAGCCAACGACTCAATGCGCAGGATTCGGCCGCCGAAAAGCGTTCCCAAAAGGATCGACCAGAACGCGAACCGCGTCATCAAGTCTTCCTCGATGGACGTCCCCAAGCAGGACCAGATACCTTCCACGTCCAAGGTTCGTTCCTAACTTCATGCTCTTTTTTTTCTTTATCCACAAGAAGTCAATTATTACTTTCCAGTCATCTGAAAAAAGATCTACAAGAAAAATGGTTACCCAGTTCTTTTTTCCAATTGTTGGCTTCAGTAAATTCGATGTATGCTACCAATTTAATTCAATACGATGTCGATTTTGAAAAGAGTGGTTTTGATGCTGTCTGGATAGAACTGACATCGAAAACGAACATCCTATTCTTTTAATCATTTTTTGATACTTCTGAAGTTATAAAAAATTACAAAGTCATAAAAAGTGCTAAAAAAGAAATTGTTTAAGTTATTGAAACCTTGGAAGAAATGATAATTTCAGATGAGAAAAAAAGTTCAAATTTTTCAGGTCTCGCTGCCGCAGAACCCCAAGCCTCTAGACGACAAGATTGAAGAGGTCTCTGAAGCAGGTCTAATCCAAGCCACCGAGCTGGCCAAACCTCGCGAAGAACACGTCTGCGTCAAACTCGAAGAAGACGTCCTCGTCGTGATGAAGGAGTTCGAGGAGAAGTATCCTGGGTAGGATGTCCTGCAAATGTTTCGACTTCTATGTTTTTTCAGCCAAAAACGTTCCGTCAGCCCCGATCCGCCATTGTTCATCGTTTCTGAAACGACGACAAAAGTTCCGACCGTGCCCGACATCATCGAGACGGTATAATTTGTACTCTAACTCTATTGGATTCCATACTTTTTTTGTCAAAAAAATTAGATATGAGTGTTTTTCTTCTCAATTTCTGGATTCATTCAAAGAAGTTTCTCTTTTATAACTATAAAAAAAACATCAACAAATATCACGTTTGGCTTCATTTCTTGAAAGCGTCGACACGTGTCTCACTTCCGCCTTTTTTTATCAAAACTTAAGTTTGGTAGTATTTTTATATTCTACGGGTTTCTGAAATTCGCTTCGAAAAAAACTTCGAGCATAAATCCTATATGGATATAATTCCTAGTGTTTTTTTTTCTGAGCTAAATAGAAACTAGCCGTGATTTCTTTACTGGAATAGAAGAAAAACTTTTTCATATTTTAGAGTACATTAATTCCAGAGAAAAGAAGAAGTGAAAATAATGGACCAGAATGCCAATCCAAAAACTCCTGGCGTCACTAGGAAGGTCTTCACGACCACGACGACGACCACGGAGACGTCAAGATCATGTCGTCCTTCCATGGGGGAATTCCTTCTGGAACGGACTCGCGAAATCGAAGGCGGAGAATTAAAACAACATTGTGACAAAGATGTCGCGCCGGCGTCACAGCTTGAGCGACAAGTGAACGCCGAGCCCAAAAAAGTGCAGCTGAACGAGGAAGCGAAACCAAAGGAGAAGTTCGTTCTCTGCGTCCGAACGCCGGAAGCTCTTCGGAGACACCATACTTTTGCCATTCAAGACAGGCCCAAAACCGAAACCAAAATCACCAAAAGTCATTCTGATGTCCACGTCAGCAAGCGGAAGTTGGTCAAGCAAAAGTCGGTTCCGGAGACTTTCACGTCTCCGGAAAGATATATTTTGACTATCAAGACGCCTGAAGCTCTCAGAAAACATAACGTAGTGACGATTGGAGAGAAGGTTGTGGTTGAAGAGCCGGTGGTGGAGAAGAAGAAGGTGACGATTGAGGAGAAGGCGTTGGAGCCAGTACCCAAGAAGATGGACAGGGAAAGATTCGTACTCGTGCTGAAGACTCCAGAAGCGCTGCGAAGACATCACACCTTCACTGTCGGAGACCGTCTTCCAAGTCCCGACTATCCTTACATTGAAGAAGGCGAACTGACGGAGCCGATCGCCACGATTGGCCCGCCGGCAGAGCGACGAAGGAAGGAGGAGAAGAAGGAAATGAAGCGAAGGGAATGGGAAGAAAGTCAGAAACCTGTGGAGAAGTACGTCATGACTACGACCACGCCGCTCGCCATGAGAAAATTCCAAACTTTTGTCGTGGAACCCAAGGAAAACAAGATTTCGACGTCGGTTAGTGCAGACGCGGTGGTTTCGGACCGTCGGGTTAAAAGGTGATTTTTGAATTAGTTTTTTTTCAGCGGTGCGTTTTTCTCGTAAGAAAAGTTTTAGAAATTTCTAAAAATCTATATAAAAAGCATGAGCAAAAAGTCATCAATGTTTTACGATCTGCATTTCAAGATTCTTTTCAATGGAAAATAAATAAAAGTTTAAACGATCGCTTCTCCATTGAGAGAAAGTGGGCGTAGTCTCATTGAAAATGCATGTGTAGACTATTTTTGGAGAATTCCAGCATTTTCACTTGTTTTTTTTCAAATCATTGTTCTGATAGTTCCCATGCCACATGTTATTTTTAAATTTTCGTCTATTCTATAGAACTTCTTACCATTAGAAGTACCTTTTCTAAAATTTTTTTAATGTCAAAGTAAAAGTTAAAAGTTAAGCTGGAAGTTTAGGTCCGAATCGACAGACTCGAAGAAGCACGCCTTCCTACGTCGGCTGCAGTTCGACCTGTTCCGCGGCAGAAGCAGGACTCGCGACGGCGACAAAACCCGGCGACAACAGTCGCTGGACGAGAGAAAGCCGCCGTCAGCCCAGAAATACGTCCTCTCCACCCCGACTCCCGTCATGATGCGCAAGTACCAGACCTTCGCCGTCACAGAGCCAAAGAAGACTGAAGACGTCGTTGCCGAAATCACGAGTGCCTACAAAACGGAAGAAAAGGAGACGACGTCTCCCGTGAAGGTCCAGGACTTCTACTCGATCACGGCGACGACGCCAGTCACCAAGAGAAAGACGCCAACGGAGCTGAAGACGCCGTCACCTGAGCCGAGGAATCTGTTCGTGATGGGTGGGCGAAAGTCGCCGAGAGAAGAGAAGAAGTCGGAGAAGAACAAGCAGTTGTTGGATCCGGAGTCGCCGAATCTGAGCAGATCGGATGTGGCTGAACGGTTGGAGAGGAAGTCGAGCTTCGTTTCGGTTAGTTGAGATCTAGTTTTTTTGAATTTTTGTTTTTCTGGGAGGAATGATTCATCAGATGCTTGAAACTTTTGAAACTTTTTGAACTTTTTCCAAAAATGTAACTTTGGAATTTTGTTCTCAACAGTTTTAGAGGCATCACATGAACCAGTTCACTTTGCTTTCCACTTTACTTTTTACTCAAAAAACCTAGGTTTTCCGATAATTTGTCCAAAAAAATTCCGGTGTACACTAAGAATAACTGACGAGATAAACGCGAGCTCGGTGGCGGTACATTGACGAACTCGCAAAAATGTCGCTTTTTTCTAGGCGCGATCCCGCATTTCTCTCGGCGCGACCTCGCATTTTTCTCGGCGCTATCTCGCATTTATCTTGCATTTCGGAAATTTTCAAATTGCGAGAGAAATGCGAGCTCGCGCCTAGAAAAGTGCGAGCTGGCGCCCAGAAAAATGCGAGACCGGCGCGAGAAAAAAAGCGAGATGTTTGCGAGCTCGTCAATGTACCGCCAGTGTCTCGCGTTTATCTCGGCAGTTATTCTTAGTGTACTAGGTTGAGATTCGGAAGTCTCAATCTTCAGATCTTCCTGTTCTTTTATGGGTGCCTCAGCTTCGCTCTTTGTAGACAATAAAAAAAAATTAAATCCTGAAGTTTTTTTTAAACAAAAATTAGGGAATTGTACAGTTATAAAAGAATACAAAAATCTGACAGGCACACTAAGAATAACTGACGAGATAAACGCGAGGTCGGTGGCGGTACATTGACGAACTCGCAAAGATGTCGCCTTTTTCTAGGCGCGAACTCGCATTTTTCTCGGCGCGACCTCGCATTTATCTTGCATTTCGGAAATTTTCAGATTGCGAGAGAAATGCGAGCTCGCGCCTAGAAAAGTGCGAGCTCGCGACTAGAAAAATGCGAGACCGGCGCGAGAAAAACGCGAGATGTTTGCGAGCTCGTCAATGTACCGCCACCGACCTCGCGTTTATCTCGGCAGTTATTCTTAGTGCATATAAGTTTAATATTATATAGAAATTTTCATTCAATGATCTTCACGGAAAAGCCTTTTTCTGGGAGAAAGAATGGATGGAATGGTAATGGATTTCAGGGCGATTTGACGTCGCCGGAAGAGGAGATTCCAATGGACACGAATATGACGCCTACAACCGAGGAAGTCGACGAGCCCATTATTTCGCGGCACATTACCCACGACGTGGTGTTGGCGTCGCCGATCGTTGAGGAGAACGAGAACGTCTCCGTCTCGATCCAGAGCTCTGTCCAACGAGTGGAAGTCGAGGCCAAACCTCGTTAGTACCTCCATTATACCCAATCGAACGAAACCGTTCAAACTTCAGCCCCAGTGTTCACGCCTCCGAGTCCACCCAAAGAAAGGTATTCGCCGTTGACTTCGCCTGAGACTTCCAGCCGCACTTTAAAGGTAAGTTTTTTGAGAAAAAAATTGAAAAAGTAATTCACATTAAAAGCATATAAGTCAAGATTTTCTACTTTTTTGTGCGAGGTTCATATTTCTCAAAAAACTTTCGAAGAACGTTGTCATTGAAATTTTCCTAAATTTTATAAGTTACGCGACCCAAGGGCAAAAATCCGTTCTTCAACAAGTTCCGAACGAGTTTTTTCATCAACTGAACCAAATGAACTCTTCCAGGCCCCAACACAACTGAACGTGAAGAAAATGGAGGCTCCTACGCCGACGATGATGAAGAAGAAAGCGGATGAAAAGAAGGTAAGGGTTGGGGTTCTCGAAATTAGATTAGGAAGGAAACCATCGGAGGAACGGCTTTTTTGCAGACGCCTGCCCCGACGCAAAAGAAGGAGAAAGAACGGACGCCCATCGCCTCAAAGTATGTTTCTTTCTGGTTGCGGACATTTGGACCGCAGTACAAATGACCTTTGCGAGATCCTTCGGACAAAAAAATATTTTTTTTTTTTAGCTATTTTTGACTTTTGACTTTTTCCGGCTTATGAAAATGATCGTAACAGCTAGACCCATGAGTTTTCTGGAGATGTTTCGAATCTTCTTTTTTTCATACCCAAAATAATTTTTCAACTATCCACTTTTTTTCTTTGAGATAATTAACGAAGCTCTCCACAGTAGAAGAAAGTTAGCTCACCGTTATCTTCTTCAAAGATTCGAAAAATTATAATATCAAACAAAAACAAGTTCAAAAAACATGTGCAAAAAGTGCCGTTTATCCCCAAGTTTTGACTTGAGAATTTGGACCGCGGCGCGAATTTCTGCTCGTTTTCCCCCTTCCTGCACGAGTAGTATTGTGTGTGAACGTGATGCTTAATGTTCAGCATTCTCAGGTCGTTGCGCTCCGCCGGCAAGATGTTCACCAACTCGTTCCTCCGCAAGGAGAAAAAAGCGGTGAGGCTTCTTTCTCGGAACGAATTTATTTGTAAAGTTAAAACAACTGAGCTGAGAAATTCCTTTCCGTTTTTGCTGCAAGGTCATGTCCAAAAATATTTTTTTTCGAAAAAGGTTTTGCGACCAATCATCGATGATTGTCAGAATATTCCATGGTCTTATTGAAAATGTTCAGACCGTGACTCCGAAGTCTAATGTCCCCACAAGGTCTCAGATGCAGTTGAACGTCCGGAATAGGTTTGCTTTTCTTTTGTTGAAAAAGTGTAACTCAAAAGTAACATTTTTTTATGAAAAAAACTACTTTTTCCGATCTAATTTTTTTAATCATTTCTTCAAAAAAATGATCATAACATTCATTGAAAATAATATTTTGAAAGTCGCAAAACGCTTCCTAGACGCATTTTTTTATTAAAACTTCATGAATTTCCAACCATTTGGAGAAAAAAATCTTAATTTTTTTGGAATTTCTCTAACGAAACATGTTTTCTCACTTGCGAAACTTGATAAAATTTTTGAATGCAATTTTATTGCACTCGTTGATGTGGTGTTTGAAGGAACATGAAAAAAAAGCGAAGTAAATCGAAGTAAATTTTAACCTCTTTTTTTTTAACTCCGCTCACTCGCAATGATTTTCGGAAGCTCCAGAAAACTGTCCAGTTTGCGGGAAATTTCAAAACTTGTCCTTGAAGGTCTCTTTTTGAACTCAGAATTGAGAACTTGCATCTTCTTCCCCCCGACTGGAGAACTTGAAAGGAATCCGCCACATGCATCGCTTTCTCATTTTCTGAAACCAAAAGCAAACGGATCATGTTACACAAGGATGGAATAAATTGAAGGCGAGCCCCGCTGGCCGAGTTCGAATCGACGGTTGTCGCCAATTCGCCGGCTGTCGAGAACCATCCCATCACCTTCGAGAAGTGGAACAAAAGTCCTAGAAATCCCAGGTTTCTTTTTTCTTTTTCCGGTTTATGGTTCAGCTTTCACAAATGGAAACAAAAGAAAAGTTTTGTTTCGATAATTTCGTGGATTCCAACCTCATGCTCCTTCAAATGCCTGAGCACGTTCTAATGTTTTTGCACGAATATTTACGATTTTCGTAGAAATTTGAAGCCATAAACTCTGATTTTTCATTCTGATAGTCTTGACCAAAAACCGGAACTTTGATCTTTCCTTCAAAAAGTTTCATAATCCATATTTATCGATTCTGACCTGTAATTATTGCGGCCTTTGATCAAAGTTAATGTTGCAAATTTTGAGGAGGAAAGTGTAAATGTTAAGTAATGTTTTTTTATAAGAGTTTAATTTCGTTTTCTTTTCAAATCTTGCTTTTTTTGAAAAAAAAAAAGATTGAACGCATTTAACTAAACTGTTCCAAATCGAAGCTAATGAAGTTAAAGTTCATATGAAAACTAGTTCCATTGAACTTTGGAACTTGGAGGTCGTCGGAACCTGTATTCTTTTTCAAGTTTTTAGTCTCTAACAGTGAAGTAGACTGTGTTTTGATGAGAAATTTTTGGGTTTTTTTGTATTTTTTTACAGAGGAAGTTTTGCAGGCAACGGTTTTCTGAGACGATTGCCGAAGAAAGCACCGACGCCAACGCTAATTGCTTCCATCGTGGTCAGCTTTTATTATATTTTGTGATATGACGTTATGTAAAGTTAAAAAACCTAGTATTGACATTTTCTAAAAATCTTTCAGCATAGAAAAAAGCCTAGAGAGTGGATTTTCCATAAACGTTTTCTGGGATTTTCGTAGCGTAGGGTTTTGTCTAATAACTAGTAAATTGCGAAATATTCAAGTTTTTAATACTATCTTAACATTTGATTTATTTTACTTCAACGAAACAGAAATAAAGATGCAAAAAATTTTTTTCGTGGTCTCTCACTGTTTCTTTCGAAAACTTTTGAGACTGCTTATGAACTTATAGATTAAACCTTGCTTATCATTATTCTAACGATAACTTTCGTATGGTAAAAGAACAAAGGAGAGTGAGTTGGGTAATTTTCGCGACGAGAAGCAAATTCCATTGTCTTTCCTCGGCCTTCAAATTCGATAAACTCATGCGTCGACACATTTTCTCCACGTTTCTTTTCTTGCTGTAAAACGTCATTTGCACACTAATTTCTTTCAGAGAGCGCCCATCCGCACGATCCAGGCCTCATCGACGACGAGATCCTGTACGAATCACGTTTTTTTCCCGTTTTTTTTCTTCTTTCGTTTATTTAGCTTGCAATGAGGCTGTGGGCAGCAAGGCGGATTTTTCAATCCTGTCTGGGTTCTCATTCTACTGGCTTCATTCTTTGTTTTCTTTTTTGTTTGAAATTTTTCCCGAAAATTATTCTCGGAATATTTTCAGAAAGATGCTTTCAAAACCTTGATAGTCCAAAAAAAAGTTGAGCTCAAAATTCGCGCCCCTTTTTGCAGTTTTAACAACCGTCTAACGTTTTATTACTTTTTAAATTTTGGGTTTTTCGGATAAAATTCAATTTTTCAGCTCCATTTGCCTTATACCAAACTAAAAGTTTTATCCAATTACAATGAGATTTTCCTGAGTGTTAGTGAGAACTGAAATGCTTATTGCTTGGTTTTTGGATTCAGTTATGCTCATCCTTGATGTAGTTGATGATTTCGGCAAAATTGTATCTCAAGTGGAAAAAATAGCCCCAAATAGATTCCTTTCAAAATCTAGCGTTCCGAACCTTAGAGTGAAAAAACTCCTCCCTTTTCATTAAATAATGACGGACATTCACAGTTTTCTTTCCGCCTAAAGATGAAGCAGATTAGAAAAATCTTTCGAGCGAAAAAGATTCTCAGATCAATCACGGAGCCAGAGAAAGTTCCATGTAAGGAAGATGTATTGGAGCGAGAAGTTTTATCTTGCCGTGGCATCTTTTCTTCGGCCTTTTGGCCGTGCCAGTAGCAGAAGGAGAAGAAGCACCACTTAATCCACTTCATCCCTCGCCACAACTGCTGTCCAACCCCAATTTTCATTTGCACCCGCACAGCCTCATTGTGTTCCACTCGATAAGTCAATTTACGGAGGGGAGAACGTTAGTCGAAAGGTCTTCTCGGTCTCGGAACCGATTGGACTTTCCAGATTCCTAGTCTTGGACATCTTTCATTGTTCGTTCCGTACAGCTTTTCAGTTCGAAACTCAGTTTTTCATTTTTTTATTTTATTTTTTGACTCGATGATCATTTTTCCGGTGAGAAGTTTAAAACATGTCCAGCTCGTTTTATGGATTTTTTTCCCCTGAAAAAAAAAAGTCAAGACCAACTTTTGAGTTGAAAACGAGTTTTTTCGAACAAACTATAACAGTAAAAACTAAAAAAAGATGAAAAACTTGATACTCCTACGCCTTCATTTATTTTGATAAGCCTCCGCTGTCCTTTTATCAATGGAATTTGTTCTCAGGGACCAGCCGATGCTCGTCGGCGACACCTTCTCGCACTCCTCGTCGATGGATTGCATCTCGACGACCCAAAGAATCGACGCCTCCATCGTCTCCATCGACAGAAGCGCGTCTGGCGTCGGCGTCGTCACGAATGGCCCCTCTGAACCGTTCGTTTCTTTTATTTTTGGTTTGAAATAGAAAAAAGCTTTGATCGTTCCGACACTTACCGAAATTTTCTTTCGTTATCAATTGATGATAAAATGTGTTGCCCAAGTGATAACTGATTATGTTGCTTTATTACTTCATTTTTTTGAAGAATTCGAAAAAAATTAATAACTTGAAAAGTTCGTAAAAAAACATAAAAAAATTTATTGAATTATAAAGGGAATTGAGATATGTACGACGGCCACTGAATTTTCTGGAAAGCTCACAAGAAGTCAAATGGAACTGAAAAACTTTGATTACACTGCAATTTTTTTTTCAAAGAAATTTGCACAGAAAGCAAACATGTGAAGTTCAATTGTTGGAAAAAAAATGTTTAGAATTCGTAACAAAAATGAACTGGAAAAAAAGAAAATACAGTTTGTACGTTATTGCAGTGAAGATTTTTGATGTAGGAAAAAAATGTTTGAAAAAAAAAAAAAATAAATAGATAAAAGTATCCATTTGATGATTGTGCGAAAAAGCGCGAGAATAGCCCTTGGAAATTTTTTGGTCTTTTCCCTGGCCGAACGAACATTTTTGTGTGTCAATACAACACGGTCGAATCCGCCGCCTGTCTTTGTAGGAAGGGCGTCGACTCTTCTCTTTTCTCGTATCTTTTTCCCTTTTCTCCTCACTTTGAATGGTCGACTGCCTACTTCCCACATGGGTTTTGGCTTTCATGAGGTGAATTTTTGACAAAAAATAGTCCTCAACTTGAATTTCCTTGATTTATGTATTTATGTACTTGGTGGCCCCACAGCTGTGATTGTATTTTATTTTTTGCTTTTTTATTAGAGTCCGCAGTCCTTTTTTTTAAAGTACAGATGAGTCTTAAATTGCGAAAATTCGTTGTACTTGGTAACATTTATTCGATAGCTCACGATCTGTAAGGTGTAACTTAATGGAAGTCGTAAATACACTTATTAACTTATATATTTTTCATTGTAATTTTTTTTTGAACTTTTTTTAGCTGAGGCTCGATAAAAAGCGGTCCGGAGTTAATTCAAATATTTAATCTTCTGGTTTTGTGGGCGACAAAACATTTGAAAAGCTTTAAAAAGAAGATTTAGGTTCGGGAAAAAGCTCAACTTCAGTTTAAATTAAGCTTCAAGAAACACACGTTGAAAATCTTTTTTTTATTTGTCGCAACCCGAATTCTTGGGTTTCTTCTGATCTTCACCACTAAAAATGTGGTTTGAAGCTGAATTTCACTTCATTCCATTCTCTCGAAAAGCTGAAGGTCAAAGTTTAGTTGACCTCCTGACAGGAATAAGTTTCTTTTCCGACCCGCAATGTTATACGCTGTGTGTGTAAAGTTTCTGTTCAGTTCAAAATTGACAAACTTTGGATGATTTTTCAAACGGAGAAGGAATGTCCTCTGCAAATATTACATGAAGACGGGGGTTTTGTAAGAATCTTTATGTGGTTTTTGATACTATAAGAGAATCGAGAAGCATCTTCAAATCTTGAAGAAATTATTCGCAGGAGTATTTTAAAGTTCATATCATTCAATTCAGAGAACTTGAAATGAATGTGATATTATATTATCAAAATTTGATTTTCAGAAGATCTCGCCAAGATGACAATCACAATGGGCGGTCATCACAGTGAGTTTTCCTTTTCAACTTTCGAAAATCTTGAATTTTTTTGAAAAAGTGGGAAAAGAAATTGATTGTCTACAATTTAAACGAGGACCGCCGCAATTTGTCATTTGTCCAGCGGCCTTGATTGATTGGATATTTCGCCTTGGATTTTCTCGTTTCTTTTCCCGACGTGGGCGATTTTTTTCTTGACCTTTGATTTATTTTGAAATGAGGGAATGTTAGAATTTTCAGGTCAGAATAAACGAATTTTTAATAAAAAGGGGAACGGTTAAATTAGTTTTGTTTGGAATTTTTTTGATAGGTTGATAAATTTCTTATGAAAAAAACCAAACCGTGGATAGAGTGAAAAAAATACTTTTTGCAGAAGTTGAAATGTCTTGAATTTTTGAGAGATCGAAAAACAACTTTGTTAGGCTATGTTTCTTAATAATGTTATTTGTTTACAATGCTTCAAAATGAATAGAGAAGATTTTCTAACAATCTGTGTCAATCTTTATTTTTTGTAGTAGTTTGAACTTTATAAAGTTTTTCACATCAACCATTAACTTTATAATAGTCTTTTTCAGTTTGTGAAGAAATTGTTTTAAACTGATCACTTTACGGTATTCCAATGACATAGAAAAACTAGTTTGGCTATAAATATTGGAAAATGGGTTTATGACTGGAAACGGAACGCCGATAGTTGTGGAAATGTTCGATAAGGAACCGATTACTATGATTCATCTCACTGTCAAGTCATAAGGAAATTCCTTTCTTGGTATTTTGATCACAAGTTTTTCGGCTAGGATTTCGGAGAAAAAGTATTGGATACTGTCTATTGATGAGAAAATTTGTATTTTCCAATTTTCATTTTTCAGTTCACTGACGGCTGCGGAAGCCCGCAATCAGAAAATCGATGCAAGTATCGATGAAGTCGAAGGAATTCGCGTCAAACTTCAGATGCTCCAGGCCATTGTAAATGTATGTTTTTTTTTCTGAAAGTTTCCATTCATTTTTTTCAATTTCGTCGATACCTTCGAATCAAGACTGCTTTTTTATTTTCGAAGTTTTCAAGGAGTCCTGAGTCTGAGAAATCAACGTTGCAGGACTCGGGTTTGAGCGAGTGGGAAACCGAGATGGAAACGTTGCGACGAGAAAATGCTCGTCTGAAACGGGAACTCGCCGAACGTGACGCCGTCATCGCTGCCCTTCGGTCGCCCAAACACGATTAGGAGCTCTTTTTTGAATCTCCTTGACGATCTCTCTTGATTTTTTCAGTTTTTTAGGGCACAGTGTAACTTTTGCCATTTTCAAACTTTTTGAGCCGGTGAAGAGAATTTTTGAAATTAAATTTTCTTAAACCCTTCTTCATATTCACATTCGAGTCGCCATACTTTAAAAATATGATCTCACTAACTTTTTTTTTTCAATTAAGTCGAACATGGGTAGCCATATTTCTTGCAATTCCATCTGTCTTTTTGTGTTTTTTCTCCTTCCAGCTGTATTTTTATACGATTTTCTTTCTAGCTATAAGCACTGTGTTTCAAACCGGTTGTATCATTTTTTCGAGTATCTGACAAAAAAGCAGCGGAAAACAAGCGATGAAGTTCGAGCGATCGTTTTTTTTCAGACAGTAAATTGGCTCGATTCTCCGAGCTCGTTTGACATATACTCCAATTGTCTCGATGCTGAGAAACTTAGCAAAGTTTTGTTTAAGGTTTTTTTGCATACGAATTTTTTTTTTGTGTTTCACTGTGATGTTGAATAAAATATTTGATGATAAAGGGCGGGTGCACAAAAAAGGTGTAATCAGTTTTGAAGCTTATCGCATTCACTCAGCTCGACATGTTGAGCGGTTTGGCCGTCGTTGTTGTGCTGGTGGCCGCCACATTTTGCCATGTCTCGCCGCCGATGCTTCTTGGAAGGCCCAGAGATGGGCTTTTGGTGGGTTTCGCGAAACTCATTATGGATTGGAAATTGAGCTGTGAAACTCTTCAAGAACAGACTTGGCCGACGTTTCTTTCTCTTTTTTTGTTTTGATACAATTTTAATTAAATAAAATCTCATAGAAATGCTCGCAAAAAGCAGACTTGTGCGAGGGCCGGCCGGTCAGCCTAACGGCCCCCCGTACAATTTCAAGCCCGGCCCGGCCTAAGAAGGGCCTCAAGGAAAAATGGCCGGCCCGGCCCAAAAAGCTCAAATTTTTTTCATTTTAAACTTTTCGCCTTTTTAACGAAAAAGTGGGTTTTTCTGCTTTTTGTTTTCCTCATGGAGTTATTAGAAACTATGATGCAACATGTAAAAACCAATTTTTTTCGGTGAAAATTTTTTTAGTAATGAAACAAATGAATTCTTTTCGAAGCCCGCGCAGGCTTTTTTTTTTCAAATAAAAGCCCAAAGCACGGGCCGCCCGGCCTGACTCACAAGCCTGGCAAAAAGAGAAAAAAATTTGGAAAAAAATATATATCAGCAAAAGCTTTGGCGAAAGGCGCTCCATCGCAAAAAGTACGTCACCTTGATCAGATTTTTTTAACCATTTCCAGGCTTGTGCGTCAGGCCGGGCGGCCCGGGCTTCGGGCCTTAATTTCAGGAAAAAAAGCCCGCGTGGGCTCGGGCCGGGGCGAGCTTCAAAAAAAAATTTTTTTAATTTCATTTGAAAAAAATTTTCACTTAAACGTGACTTCTACTTCTGAAATCATAGTTTTTGTTAAACTTTAAGTGAAAAAAATGAGCAAAAAAACATAATTTTTTTGTCGTAAAAAAACTTGATATATTCGACTAGAAAAAAATTGCGCGCTTCGGGCCGGCGGGCCATTTTTTTCTTGAGGCCCCTCTAAGGCCGGGCCGGGAGGGTGACGGGCCTGCCCTCGCACAAGCCTGACCATTTCAACTCAAGTTTGCAAAGTTTTTTAATTTTTCTCTCTTCTCGAGAAGAGATCTCTGCAACAGCATCTTTCTAGAAAAAAAGAAATTTCTATTAGCAACATGATTTGGCAAAACATTTTTTTATTCGCTGTTCTATACATGCTCTGCCTTTTTCTCGTATCTTCTAAGAACGAACCTTTTCTGATTGTTTTCCTTTTTTTGAAATTTTTTTTTATTTTCAATTTTTCGAATAAACTCGCAATATGAAGCGCTTTGGCGTTCTTTTGCTTAAGCATCCAGTTACTAAATCTAAAAAAAAATATTTTTCTATTTGAGAAACTTGTTCCCTTTTATATTCAAATTCTCCTCCCAATTTATGCGCTTTATAGAATATTTTATATCAACAAAAAAATATAGACAATAAAAGTTTTATGACTAATTATTCTCTCTTTTTTAGGGTGCCGATCCAGCCGACGGACCTCAGTCCGAGAGCAAATATCTCAACTATTCGTTCATCGTTCAGCAAGTAGACCATTTCAACGATAGCAACACAAAAACATGGAAACAAGTATTATTTTCTGAAAGTGCGAAAAGCATAAGAAATTTGTTAAGCGCTATCAATTCAACAGGAAGTTCTACAACAGCAAGACTGGCTACATCTTCTTGATGATCGGCGGCGAAGGTTAGTTCTTGTGGAAAGAGAAAACTTGGTTTTGAGCCGAATTTTACAAAATTTATTTCTGTTATCTACCTATGTTTTTCATGACATTTCGAGCTTTCCGCGCTGATTTGGAAAAAAAACTTAGAATGAAATTTTTTCTGTTTTCGTTCTGCCAGATCAATTATTTTTACGATGACAAAGTTCAACACTTTTTAGGCTCTATCAACGGAACCAACGGTGATAAGTGGGTTCGAAGCGAAAACGTAACGATGATGAAATGGGCGGCCGAGTTTGGTGCCGCCGCTTTTCAAGTCGAGCACAGGTTCTATGGAAGCAAGGATTACTCGCCCATTGGGTAAGAATATAACTTGGATAAAACAGAAAACAGTTTCTTTCAAGTTATTTAACTTCATGAGAAATAAAAATGACGTTTTACCTTTAGATCAATCTTGCCGGAATTACTGATTTTTCAAAGAAAATAAGTTTCAAAACTCAGATGGAATTTATACTTCACCTGTAAGTTTTACATCTTCAGAGACCAGACCACGGCCTCTCTGAAACTTCTGACGATCGACCAAGCTCTGGCCGACATCAAGGAGTTCATCAACCAAATGAACGCTTTGTATTTTCCCAATGATAAACCAATCTGGGTGACTTTTGGCGGATCTTACCCAGGTATTTATTAACCATTCCAACATATCATAATCTTGAGTCAACAATTTCAAGGTTCCCTGTCGGCGTGGTTCCGAGAAACTTATCCCGAAATGACCGCCGGAGCCGTTTCGACTTCTTCGGCCGTTCATGTTTTTGTTGATTATTACGGTAGGTTTGAGGGAAACGTTTCTACGTGAGACGGGAGAAAAAGATAATACGATTAGAAAGTTGATAAAAAAAAGTTTTTGTTTGATCAATGAGTTTCTCAAGAAGATTAGTGGTGATTAAAACAAGTTTCGGTCATGTGTTACTGAAATATTCAGATTACAAAGAATGGGGGTTTTCGAGGGTCTAAAATCCTTCGAAAGGCTTATTATAGGGTGAAATCTCTTTGGTCGTTCGCACTATACAACACTTATGATTTCATGTTCAACAATTTAACTTTGCGAAAACAATCTTTTAGGTTATGCAATCAACACCGAAAAGACGTACCGAACGGTGAGCGACAATTGCGCCAACGTCATCGGCAAGGCCTTCAAGGACCTCATTACCATTGCTTACAATGGATCAGACTCCCGAAAAGGCCTCAAAGCGAGATTCAAGTCTTTATTTTTCAAAGTTGCCTCAATAAAATTTCATTTTTTAGCCTTTGCGACGACTTTGACGAGTCGAACGTCGCCAAGTCCGTTCAGAACTTTTTCCAAAACGTCTACGGTTATTTCCAAGGCATCAACCAGTACACCGGAGATAACAGAGTGGGGAGTATTCTTGAGATGTCTTGTTAGAGACATTTTCAGAACAACGCGACGAGGTCTGGACTGGGAGTTCCAGCCGCCTGCCAAATTTTAAACAGCGGCCAGCCTGGCAGCGAAATCGACAGTGTCATAAAAGTTGTGAGTTGTTGAAAAAAATGATTGAAAAGTTAGTCAGAAGCCTTGAATCTTTAGGAAACCAGGGGTCGTAGGTAACTGGAATGAAAGGAATTGTTTTCGAGTTTTCAAGTGTTCGAACATTTTTTCTTTTTTCTTAAACTTTTCTATCCTCTTGCCTTTTTAGGTCAATTGGAAACCTTTTTTGCTGATTTCTATTATTTGAAATAGCTCAAAGACCCTCTTATCTGATTATCCAGTTTATCTTCTAATAAAACCACGAAATTTGTCTTTCCTCGGTATTTTTTCCCTGGATTCAGCTCACGGCTTACCTTTTAAATCGCAACATTTCCGAGTGGGGGTAAACAGTCGTTTAAAAACAAAATTCATTCAACCCGAGCTTTACCGACATCGCGAAATGCGCTTTAGCGAAATTAGAGTGATTTTCATTTGCTTCACTTTCACGAAGCTCTGAAGTTTCTACAGACTAAACTAGCTGAACATTTCAGGTACTATTTTGACTAAAATTCAAAGAATTAAATTTCAGTTGAATCTTTACGATTCCTGGTATGCTCCGAGCGACAACGGCTGCCGTCCCAACAGCTACAAAAACTTCGTCAACGCTTATAAGGACACTTCTATGCCCAACGATGACGTCAGTATGTGGATGTGGATTGATTTCATCGATTCTTTCGAATTTTTGCCAGTTTCGACAAGAAGTTGGCTCTGGCAGACATGCACGGAGCTCGGCTACTTCCAAACGACAGACGGAGGAAACGGAGGGATCTTCGGAAGTACAGTTCCTTTGGAGTGAGTTCAGTTGATGCACAGTGAATTTTTGATGGTTTTTCAGTTTCTTCTCAGACCAATGTATCGATTTGTTTGGCAATGATTTCACTTTGGACAACACCTTCAATCTGGTGGCGGCAGTTCGAGCCAAGTATGGTGGCGCCGACAATTACAAGGTGGCTAATTGAGGGATTTTTGTTGCTCTCAATTTTTCAGTTTCGTAATAGTAAACTTTTTTCGATATAGGGAACGAAAGCAGTGTTCCCCAACGGATCATTCGATCCTTGGCAAGGTCTCGGACTCCTTCTTCCAGTCGCCTCGAATGGCGTCGACGCCTTCATGATCAATGGTATCATTAATTTTTTTCATTTATTGATGGGAAAAACGACGTAATATTCGAGAATTCTTGAATTTTATTTTTTTAAAGCTTTGAAAAAAATAAGATTTTTTTCAAGGAAAAAAACTCGCCAGAAAGTTCTTTAAAAAAATTTAAGGTCTGAACCTTTTTTTCTATAATATAACTGTTTCTAGATGAGATGCGAAATTTTCTGTGTCAATTTTAATTTGAGTCACCCCCAATAAAAACTATGAAAAAGGAGAAAAAATGAGAAAAAAAGGTTTTGCATCATGTCGCTAAACTCGCGCAAAAAAGCCTACGCCTAACCGATTTAGAAAGAATGGCATGCGTTGATCACCTTATTCGTAATAGGATGGGAAACGCCATTTTTAACTTCTGAATCCGAAGGCCAATTCATGTTTTCTAAAGGCACGGCCCACTGCGCTGACATGTACCCGGCTCGAGATTCGGACCCGCAGTCGCTGAAAGACGCACGAATCAAGATCCACGACCATCTGAAGTCGTGGCTCCAGGATGCTCAGGCCGTCAGAACAGGTACCTAGAGAAATGTCGGCTAAATCATCTCTCTCCGATTTCCAGGCTCTTCCGGCTCGTTGACGATCTTCTCTGCCCTTCTTGTTCTACTTCTATCGTTGTTCAATTTCTAATGTGTACATGTTCATTATCGTTGTGTTTTGAGGAATGAAAAATTGGAAAATTGGTCATGAAATCGAAAATCTGTCGTATGTGGCTCTGTGAAAGTTTCATCCGTGTTTCACTTCGACTCAACTCGAGCTGAGGTGAAATCGTTTGGAAGAAAAATGGCTGGTGACGCCATCAAAGGGACAAACGATAAAGATGATAATTCAGGAAGCTCAGGTTTGTTCAATAAAAATAGTTTTGGAAACCCTAAGAACGCCTTTTTTTAACAATAAACTTATAATACAATATTTTTTTAATAAATGTTGTTTTTGAACTTCAATTCGAAGCGAGTTGACTTCGCCTTTTTGTATGCGTATTATTTTTTTAAATTCTGAATCAGACGCTTCCAAATGAGTTCAGCCTCGATTTTGTAATTTAAAAATCATTGAAATTAGGTAACGACGATTTTCCAGTCTTTTGTTTCAGAAAGCTTTTTTGAACGAAGTTGCCTTCAAAAATTGTGTAGCAGCATTCAAAGTACGATTCCAAAACTTTTTCTCTCAAACTAAAAACAGTTTCATAATCTTTGGCTCATTGAGTGTTTTGATGACTCACCAGAACGGTTTCACAACCTCAAGACTTTCGCGAAACTCGGAGAAAAAATGTTTGATGCCACTCCTACTCAGTTACGTATTGGCACGTGCAAATTATTTTTTAAATCACAGAAATTGATTAAAGCTAAGTTTTTTTGATTTTTGATCAGTTCGTTATAAGAAGAGGAGGACTATCAAATTAGGCTTTTTAACATGAACTTGAAATTTCAAATTATTTTGCTTTTATGTGAAGCCCAATTGGTAGCACGATTATATTTTTTTAAGAAAGAGTATAACGGAGAAAATAATTTCAGCCTGGTAGGTTTCACTGCAGAGTTTTGCTCAAAAGTGCTTCCAAAAAACTATTTTTCTCTTTCGCAGCCCTGACCGCGATTGACCGAAAAACATTGAGAGTCATCAACTTGAGAGCTAATGTGCCGAAAGTTCAAAAAAGCACACAATGAAGAGCGTTCGTCGAGATCCTCACGGTCTGTTTGTTGCGCGGAAGGCGGAGGTGTATCCAGCGCCGGTCTAAATCTCAAAGACGTGTGTGTGTGTGGGGACTGCACATCGACGGTGTAAAGCCGCGCTGTTTCCAGAGCCCCAAGCAGTGCACACAGCGGCAGTGGTGGTGATGGTGGCAGTGGTGGCGGTGGACGGCCTCCTGAACCAGTCGAAAGTCGAGAGAACCTCCCACATCCTCGAGATCTCTCGCTCTCAAGTCGTTCCGTTCCGTCACCTCCTCTTTCACTTTTGGCTTTTCGATCGTTTTTTTTCCCCTCAAATGTATCAATTCTGAATCGATTGACAGGTCCACCTTGTTAGGAAGGTCACAACAGATTACTGACTTCTATCTAATAAAAAAAGTTTTTATTTTTGCAAGTGCTTGTGACGGCGGGAGAAAAAGGTCCTTTTTCTTGAAAAGTCCGAAAAGTAAAAACTCTGGTAGTTTCAAACGACTCCAATGATTCATTGGCTTTTAAAGTTTTTGCTTTTCGAACTAAATTTTTTAAAAACTTCGCTTTGTCTCATTTAAACTTCATTTTTTTAAAAAAATATGTATTGATTTCGAGGTTTCTGTAGCTAAAAAGGACTAAAGTTGATCCTCAACAACGTTTGACAGAATTTGAAAGAGCATACGGAAAAATAAACGTCTCAAGCTTCAATTGCATGTCACTTCCAACTGCCTTTTTTTAACTTGTGAAGTTAAAAAAAGAAAACGAAAATTCGAAGCTCAGAATCTATTTTTTTGAAGAAGATCATGAGAATTAATTATTTTTGGCCTAATTTGAAGTAAAAATCTTACTATTCGCACTCTAGTGCCATTTTTGGCTACATGGAGAAAAATTCATCTAAAAAGCATGAAGTAATGGAAAAAAAGATAATGATTTTTCAATTACAGTTCTTAATTTTTTTTTTCAATATCCAAGTTTTTCGAAAATCTTTGATTCAAAATTATTTGAGAAACATCTATTTCATTGAACTTCCTTTATATGTCTTCTTTTTTCGATTTAAACAAAAGTAGGAAATTTTATTTGAGTTTAACTTCAGGTCGAGTTTTTTTCTGCAGAGAATCCAGATTGAACTGTCATTTCTTGAGTTTCGTGACTGCTACGAAATGCAAACAGTTATTTTTTTTTTCTCCTTTGAACGAATCAAAAATTAAAGAGTCAAAAAAAGTTGAGTCCGACGAAGCTCAAAATTTCTCTCAATATATAAAATTTTACTTATTTTTTTCTAAACTTCCACATTGACAACTACAGGAAATCAATGAAATCTGTTGCAGTGTTATCTTACTTTTAATAAAATAAGAAAGAAAAGAAACCAAAGGCTACCTTGTTTTATTTCCAAAATTTATTCAAAAGTTTTGTTAGATCTAAAAAACAAAATAATTATATTTATCGTAGTTAATAATCCTTTTAGTTACGTCCCATCGTTCAAAGTCCCTATCCAAAAGGTTATCCCTCGTTGAAAGTATACTTTCCTACGAACCACCTTCAAGAGTCAATATAAACAACTTTTTTTGAGCAATTTCTCTTGGCCCCAAAGTGCAGCCAAAGTTGCAATTGTCAAATTTCTCTAAACGGCGTCATTCAAAAACATTTCCCCCGTTCGTTACCCAAACATAGAGCTTATTACTTCTATTCGGATGTTTTGAAAATATTTTTTACAGATGACAGAAGAAGAAGATCCGTACGCACTGAGCAGCAGCGAATCCGAGGATGAAGGACCCAAAAAACCCATCAAAATCGAAGGCCGAAGTGGCGACATCAGTCAGCTGGTCTGTTTCAAAAACTTATCGTAGCACAAAATTTTTGGATTTTTTTTTCGAATCACTGTTCGAAGTAGAAAATCGATAAAAAAAGGTTTTTCTTAGAATAATTATTTTGCAAAAATCAATGATTCTCTGCTCACATTTTTAATTTATAGTGGACTATAAATCATAAATAAAAATAAGTTCTTCACTTTTTTTCAAACAATATTTTTTTCGATCACTGGATGCGGATGAATTCAGTTTTTAAAAAAATATTTATTGAAGAAAAATATGTTTTTTTAAAGCGAAAAAAATCTTTTTCGAAAAAAACAGACTTTTTGGAAAATGTCAGTTTTTTTAAAAGTTTTTTTGAATCGTCGATATATCTATCTGATAAAAACCTTTGAAAATTTTCATAGAGGTTACGAAATTACAAGTCTCCTGTTGTGAAATCATTTTTGTTAGTGAAGATTTTTAACGAAGAAAAAATTACGATAATTTGTTACAAAATACGAAAAAGAGGTATTTTTAGCGCGACGCCATCACAGACGCAACGGTTTGCCTTAAATCTTGCTTTTTGTTTATTTTCACACCACACTTTTATCTTTTCCTTCCCATCACCAACCATTTCCTCAACCTTTCATTCGTACTTCTTCTTCTTCTTCTTCCAGCTGCATCCCTTCCCACACTTTCATTTTTCCAATGCTGAAACGTTGGCCCAACCAAGAGCTAGCCGTTCAGAAGTCGGCGTTGTTCGAGAACAAGGAGAAGCTGAAAGACGAGGCTCGCGAGGAGGAGCTCGCCGCCTTGAAGCAGACCAAGGAGCTCAAAAAGATGAAGAAGGTTGGTTTTTTTGCGGAGAAAAACTCAAGAGTTTTTTAGGAAAATTTTCCTGTTGAGATATACGGTAAATAAATAAATACTGTTATAAATGTTAAAAGAACGTTGGAAAGTTTTGAAAAAGTTAAAAAGATCGACCAGAACAAATTCCTCGAGGATGTGGGCTTCGAAGGAAGATTTTCATATCATACTTATTTAGACATGATGAAGGAAATAAATTTTGTTCGAAATAAGAAAGATTTAATATTATGTTGAGTATTTCTCAGTTCTCATTTTTTTTTATGTTCTATTTTTCTAGGAGTTCGAAGAAGGCAAAGTCCACAACACGGAAAACGACGAGGACGACGCTCTGAAAATCGCCCGCCTCGAGGAACGCCAGCGTCTCACGGAAATCGGAAAAGTTGTTTCCGATCCAGAGAAATGTGTTCTCAAAACAAAAGCGTTCAGGAGAAATATTCGCAGTTCAAAACAAAATTCGAGAATTTGGACACGACGCTCGGCGAGAACCTGGAAGAAAGAATGAAACGGCTGGAGAAGGAGACGATCGGCCTCGGCAAGGAGTCGTTGGCCAGCGCGAAACAGAGGTTTCTTTTTCGCAGGAAATAGCCAGATTGGAATCCTAACTGTGCAGAAATGTTGGTTTATAGAATATATTCTGAAAAAAACATTTTTTTGATTTTTTTGGATTTTTCAAATACAAGAACCTTTTTTTGAAGTTGCTTGATCATTCGAGAAAGAAGCAAAAAGTATATTTCATTTTACGAGATCATTGATTAGCCCAGAGGCTAAAAAAATGAGAGTCGAGTCGAAAAAAATTCAGTGACCTCATTTTTTTAAAGGAATGACGTCATCCAATCATTTTTTTCTAACTTTCTTCAGGATTATTTTTAGTAGTCATTCAAAAAAATGATTTTAGTTACAACAAATGTTTCTTTTTGTAATTTATCATTCCTTCAGATTTGAAAAAAAGGCGAAAGCGAAAAATGTCGTCGAAAGAGAAAAAAACTGGAGATTGAACGAAGCGCCGATTTGAAGAAAATGAAGGCGGCTTTCAGTAGGGTGAGTCCGTTTATGAGAAAAAAAATTTTTTGGAAAAAAAATCATGGAAACCCAGCGAAAAACGAGGTTCTTTCCAGGATCCAACAGCCGACGAGGCGCCGAAGGATTGCGCGGTCTGCAGCAAGACCGTCTATCCGGTGGAGCGCGTTTTCGCCAACAAGCGGCTTTATCACATCAACTGTTTCAAGTGCATCAAATGCTCGAAGAAATTAACGTGAGGAGTCTTGAAATTGGATACTTTTCAAGGTCGCACGTAGAATGGCTCAGTGTAACCATGGCGGTTTTATTTCTGACTCCGATCAAGTTTGTACAGAAAGTTTGCAAGGAAAGAGGAAAAGAAGCTCACTTCAGGTATAGATCTGGAACTCGTTGAAATTTGGGTTGAATATTTTTTCATGTACTGAAAATCGATAGTCCTTCTAGTGATAAGTTTTTTAACTTTCATATTTTTTTTTCTAGAAAAAATCAGAAAATTAAGAAAATTTCTCTATTGTTTTTTCGAAGGAACTCTTTTATATTGAATAGTATCACCCAGTTTTACGGACGAGGTCGCAGCGAGAGAAACGCTATATCGCGGGGGAGCCGCGAGCTATATCGCTCGCCTCTCGGCGCAAGGTCGCTCACATCTCGCTGCTATGTCGCTCTTTCAAAAAAAATTTTTTTAGCTCGATTGGGCTTTTTCTTGATTTGCTTTCTATGCTTCATACTTTTTATTGGGTTGTACATGATAACATATCGGTCTTTATCAACCTTCTTTACTTTTTTTATTTAATATAAACAATATATTTAAATGAAAAACTTGAGAGCATTAAAGAAATTTTTCCAAATAATTGATGATACATTTTCGAATTCGAAGTAAACGGAAAAGTATGTACAAATCTGAAGAAGAAAAAAATTGATTTGAGGCGAAAGAGTGAAGCTTCAAGTAAGAATAAAAAAAGGACAATATGAGGAAAAAAACATGTGTATCGTTTATTTTTTTCATAGGAAAAATGTGACTAGAAAAAAAGAGTAGGTTCAATAAAAAAACAGAAAAAGTAAAACCGATTGTAAGCTCGTAGATGATTTTTTTAAAAAGTTCAAATTAGAAAAAATAAAGGAGGGAGGCTCGAAATGAAAAATGAAAGAAGTTTTTGAAAAAAAGAAAAATTAATTTAAACAATCAGATTGGCCCTAAGTTCCCTTAAAAAAATGTTACTGTAAGCTTTGACTCGATAGTTTTTCGGCATATCCTTCATTTGCTGCGTCAAGAACTTTTCTAAATGATAAAATCGGTTAAAAAAAGAGAAATACTGAAAAAAAGTCCAACCTTGAATAAGAGAATAACTCACAGGAGTGACTGTATCAAGACAGCAGTACGTGCTTTCTCGAAATCATGCCTCATTTCTTTTTTTCCTTACCCATCGACGCCAAAGTGCAAATCATATCTTCAAGTAAAAATGGATATACTGTTTCAAAAATAGTTTACCAAGAATCTTATTGATTGTATCCAAAAGCAAAACTTCAGTGCCATCTCCCACGGATCTTTTTTGACTTTTATTGATCGAAAAAAAAAAGTTAGATGCCATTTTGAAGTACTAATAACCTGAAATTCTTGGTTAAAACATGAAAAAAAAAATGCGAAAAAAGAAATTTCAAATTCAAGAAAGGTGTGCAGTTCCGTTAAAATATATACAAAAAAGCTTTTTTTTTATCACAACTTTCTTTAATGGGATTTCACCCTTTTGAAACTTTCTGGAAATATGATGACTGTTGATTGTAACACCGTGGTGAAAACTTAGAAACACAGCTGAAAACGTTTCAGAAAGATTGAGCTCTATACGAGGAAGTTGTGAGCGAAAAAAATATTTTTTTCCTTTTTCTGACGGTACTGTATGAGCGTTACATTAGTTGTAAAATTAACATTTTTAGAAATATTAAGTGAAAAAAATAGACATAGAAAAAAATCAGAGAGAATATAACACACGAAAAAATAAAAACAATTCAAGTAAAATTTTTGATGGCACGTAAATAGTGACCAATCAATAATCCGCGACCTCGCGCCGATATCGCGCCGGGAGTTTGCTAGAGCTGAGCGAGATGGCAGCGAGATATGTCGCTGCTATGTCGCGCCACTCTCGCTGCGATATAGTCCACGAAACTGGGTGGCGTTTTTCAGCAAAGTTATTTTTGATAGAACCGCTTTTAGAGGAGTTTTACGGAACATTTGGGAACAAAACTGAAAAATCTATTAATTGGCCAAAATGTCTCGATGCGCTTGCTTGAACCATTCCACATGCAACCATGACGTGTGAAGACCGTCTGAACGAGTTGATTGAGTTGTAAATAATGTGTTTTGAGGCCGACGAACTACAACTCGCACGAGGGCAAGCTGCTGTGTAAAGTGCACATGTTGGAAGTGTTCCACCCGGAGCTCGCCAAAACGATGGACCCCGGCAATACTGAAGGTACTCAAGGAACTAATTCTGCAAAAGTAGTGGAAATCGTGAGAAACGCTCAAAGTTATGTCGACATTCTTCTGAAATTACTTTGCCATTTCTCAGAAGGTTGTAAAATTAGAAAGGATCGGAGATGGAGAGTTATTATAGCCTTCCTACTGAAATTTCTAATCAACTTTCTCGAAAAATCTTAAAAGGAAAGTCATTTTATTTTGCGGTTGGGAATCTCCTGAGAATTGGCCAGAAAACTCTTTGATGTGCTGAAGTAAGATTCTGAAAGTCGGAACCTTCATTAATTTTTGAGAAAGAAAGGCTAGAAGTTGAAGAAAACCTAAAAGCAGTTGAGATGAGTTATTTTGGGCTTTGAGCCTTCATTTCTCAAAAACTATGAACTTTTGCAGATCAAGACTCTTATGGTATTTTTTTTTCTTTCATAAATGAGCGTTTGGGAGAAGAAAAAAACGATTTTCCTTGTTAGGTGAATTAGAAAACGATTTCGTCTAATGATTAAACTCGCAAAATTTCAGTTTGAGAGTTCTTAGTTGTGAAATAAATGTCGTATGTCTGAATTTGTCTATAAAACACGAATTCAAAATAATCGAATCTCAAAAAACATTCCCTGTCCATCCGATTTTTTTTTCCTTCAAATTTACGTAAATTCCCAAAATTCTATCTAACACGACTGCCTATTCAGTAAATTTTTTGAAAACCTGTTTACTCAGAATCCATGAGAAATAGTGAACTTGATAAACTACTCTAGCAAGGATCCAATCTGAATCAAGAAGTAAATTGTTATGGTCGACTGAAATAACTTGGCGCGACTAAAGGCCACTCGACGCCGCCGCGAGCCCCTCGAAGAAGTCTCCACTTGTCGATTAGCAAATGAGTGATTGAGAACTCTTTTTCGGCCGGTTCCTGTTCGATTTCTGACGGCTTTTGTTTTCAGAAGACGAACACGCGCCGGGCGGTGACGACGACGATGACGAGTTCGCCGTGAGCAGCAAACCGAAAACCCTGGCCGGCGTCGTCAAATGTTCGTTTTTTGGTTTTTTACCTCACTTCGAGGCCTGTATTGATTTTTTTGAGAACAAGAGGTGACCGGGGAACGAGAAAAAGTCTCATTATGGCAAAAGAAGATCAAAAAATATACACTATTCGTTACTCTTTTTCAATTTCTTGAATTATTTTGTTTAAAAAAATTAACTTGAGGTGGACATCAGACTGAAGAAAATTCGAAAAACTATATGTTTTATATTTTTTTATTGCCCAGCCTTACGTCATAGTGTAAACCAGTTTTATATCTTAGCTCTTCTGAATTCTTTTCGAATTGAAGTGAAGAAAATAGTTCACTATGTTTTTTGAATGTTAGTTCAAATCACACTCGGACACGCTTCGCACCCAACAATATAAATCAAAAAGGGAACGCCGAGGTCCGAATGAGACTTTTGGCGCAGATTTGCGCCATGTCGAGTGGTGTTAATAACAACCCCGACGGTCTCGAAGGAAACAGCATTGTTTATGCGCATCTTTGCCCTACTGCCCCTTTGGCCACTACGGACGGAGTAGAAGGGGAGGAGGTTGTCCAGCCAGCCGTGTGGGTGGCGTCTCTCCCTCTGAGACAATCGCAAACCAATCTATACGATCTGTTCTCACTCACACTCTGGTCGCCTCCTCCACTCATTATTACCTTGTGCCGATTCCTCCTGGATCGTGATGGTCGTTGCAGCCGGCGCCAGCGCCGTCCACGACGAGCTGGCCCAGTTGAAGTCGTTGAAGGAGAAGAAGGGCGACTTCGAGTCGTCGATCAAGGATGCCGAACTCGTCGAGAAACGCACCAAGGTTGGAATCGGTCAAAAGAGTTATCAGACTTGAAGCATGAAATCTATCTTGAAATGGGCTTGTGAAAAGGTCATCCATTGGGTACAGCTCTCTGAAGATTCTAAAAAAAAAAACAGACGCCCCCAAACTTTCATTGTTTTGAAACTGCTTCATTAGGCTTAAGCTTCAAAGAATTCGTTTTCGAAAAATCAATTATTCTTCATTTTTCGACGCAGAATCTCAGTAAGTCAGAGATTTTTGGTCAATTTTCAAAAAGTTTGAAACTTCGAGGAAAACAACCTCTTTCTTCACTTTTTTAAAGTCTCATAATTTGCGGAATTTTTTTTGTGAGTTTAAAAGTGAAAGAGGCTGAGTGAATAAACATATCAGATTTGGAAACCTTTTGCTTAACTTTTTGAAGCGGTAATATCGGAAAAAAAGGGATTTTTAAGACTGAAGCCCTAATTTGGTCGTAGAATTCTTTGGGATCTTATCAGTCTCATTTGATTTCGAAACATTTTACCCTTGCAGCTGTTGGCATACGGACTATTGATAGGTCTAAAGTGAAATAAATCGAAAGCCGCAAAATAGAAATAGTTTCCATTCATTTTTTCAAAAAAATGGGATTAAAAAAATCGTTTTTTTGTAGATTGATCAAGATCTCCTCCAAGCTGGAAAGGTCAAGGCGAACGCAGAGCGGTGAGCTTTTTATAAATTAGAAGTTTTTTTCAACATTTTTTTCGATATTAACGAAATTCTTATGAACTTCTATATCCTTTTCTAGAATTCTGAATTGAGGTTTATTATTTTTTTCAAAAAGTTTCAAATTCAGCATAACCGTCACTATCATTACCAACACTGAAGACGCGAAAAGAACATTCAATTTTCGAAAGAAAAATATTTACTTGTTTTCATTTCAAAATCTGAGATACATGATTACGGTTATAACCTACAATCCATATTTGACACAACTTGAAAAATCTGTATTTAGTAATTCATTTTTTCCGAGCAAGTAGGTTAATTTTTTTGATGAAAGATGTTCAGATTCGTCTCCGGAGCGGCTCTGGAGGACAAGAGCGACGACGACAGCGAGTCGGTCGACCGCGACCCGAACGTCATCCGCAGCAGCCGCAAGCCGCGCAAGGAGGACCTCCACTTTGAACAGGTTCTCCGCACGTCATCAAGTGGATCTTCATTGGATGCGTTCAGGTTGGAGGCATCAAAGACAAGTGGAAGAAGGGCGACGTCGAGACGGCGACTTCTCATGAAGCTGCTGAACGGAAAGAGATCGAGGCGTTGAAGGTCAGATTTCCGGAAATCAAGTCTGAGTGATTTTCGTTTTGATTTGATACTAGAGGTCAAATCTTGCTGTTCTTTTGCGACATTTCTTTGAACAATTAGTAGAATCCGTGCAGAGAATTGCTGATTAACACGACACCATTTACAGAATTTACCTCTGCGCTTCTTAATATATGAAATGTCTTTTGAGTTTGTATGAAACCGCCGACTTTAATTGATTTCCAATAGTTCAATCGAATTCCCCTCGAACTTGACCAAACTAACGAAACGAACGTTGAACTCAATTTTGAGATTTTGAGGCCCAATTTATAGTAACCAAATTCTTATTAACAGCTTCAATTCTGTCAAATACTTACACCAAAAAGCTCCATTTCTCAGAATTTAGAATATAAAGAATTTGAAATTTGAATCTATTAGACTGTCTTTTTTTTGCTTCAGATTATAAGAATTCTTAGACCTAAAAATAAATTTCCTTAGATTTTTTGAAGGATTCCCATCAATTTTCTCTCATCGAAAAATGGCTGAAATTGGACTCGACTCGAAAACAGCCGTGATTTGCTCCACCTCTGACCACAATTCTTTGTTTGACTTTTTCCTCTCCATGATCATCATTCCTTTTTTTTCTTTTCTTCTCGATCTTTAATCCTTTTTCTGCTCGAATTGGGGGTTTAATCAAAAAAAAGAAGAAGTTTGAAACGTAACATTGACTTTCTTTGGGAATACTTTGGTTTATTTAGGTGGCCTGTTTGTTTTTACCATGAAGGAAAGTTTTTTTAACTGAGTATTAAAATTCAAATTCTCAGAGACTTTATAAAAATAATTGAATCACTTCCGACTTTTTGCAGGGCGGACCATCTGTCAAGGATCGTTTCAAAGAGAGAAACGAAGGAGATGAGGTCGTCGAACGGCAATGGAACCGCAATGAACTCGACACATCTGGTACTTTTTTATTTTCCTCGTTTCGTTTTCTTTTTTCTCATCTGGTCACCTTCTCTTTGGTCACTTGTCGCGCTTTCCAAATTAGCTTCAATTTGGAACGTCGAATTTGAAAGAATTTCAACGATTTCTCGGCGAGAAAAAGTTGAAGGTTTCACATATATTCAAATGAAAAGATGAAATCCGAATTTTTAACAATTTTTGTAAAATAAGTGTTTCCACCCGTAGAGCGCGCTGAGCATCCAAAGATACTCTCTCCATCCTTTTTTATCATCTATCTTTTAATTAGGGCTTTTTAAAGCTCACCGTGCACTCTTGTAAGGAAAAAAGTAGCTGAAAAAAGGCTTTTTTGTACCTCCAAGAAGTATCAGAAACAAAACACGCATACACTACCCACACATGAAGGCACAATTTCGGGAACTGTTATTCTTTGCGGCGACGTCGTCTTTCGTTGCGATCTCCGCTCTCTTATCTTATTTTGGCCCTTCTTCTTGTTCTGTTCGGCAATGATCCCCGCCCACAAACGAACTGTCACTCAAATTGCCACGGCCGCCTGTACAGTTATGTGGGGAACGTGGGATGTCCAGAGTATCGAGAAGAAAATGTGGGACCAAAGGGCAATTTTAGAAACAGGGAACCCGAAATCCCTCGAATCACTGCTTTAATAGCCATCACGTTTTTTTTTCAAAATTAATGCGTCAGCGTCGCTTTCCACTGCCTTTGCACAATCAAAAACGTTTCAATTGCGTTTTCACCAGTTTTTATGATAAAAGTGAATATTCTTTCGTGCAAAATGAGCAGATGAGAGCGACGCGATCCGCGCCCTGTTGACCTGTGTCCGTCGGCAGTACATCGGGTTTGATGGTAATTTATTGAAGCTTTTTTAGTTTTGCGATTATGGAAGCTTATAATATATTAAAGTCCAGGGAGAAAAACGAAAAAAACACCTGGTTTCGAAATTCTGAATTAACTTTCGACAGTTCATTGAGAACTTTTTATGCGTTTATAAAAACTATGAAAAAGTTATTTAGTTTGTATAGAGACCAGGATAAAAAAATTTATCTTTCGTTATTTAGTTGAAACTTTGAAATAAGAAAAAAATTTTTTTAGAACTGGTAGGTTTGAAAAAAAGTATTGCCGTAAATGTTTGCTGATCCCAACAGACCGCAAAAAAACGAAGAGAGTTTTTATTTTTTTCATTAAAAAATTCAATAAAATTTCAGGAAGCTGTTTACATTTTTAAAATTATTCTCAAGAAGGATTTTCAGCGGCGGCCGAAGCCCGAAAATCGTTCCTGGAGGGCCACGCCTACGAAAGCGGCGCCAACGTCGAGAAGACAGCGAGAGACCTCGACGACCTCCAATTTTCGCGTTCGTTTCTCATTTGTGTTCAAAAGTCGAACGACTCATTCCGCAGACCTGAAAGGCTTCAAAGAAAAGTTCGAGAAGGGCGAGGAAGAGTCGACGAACGTGGCCAAGACGGCGGTGGAAGTGGGCGAGGTTCAGCTCGGCAATATCAAGGCTACTTTCGAGAAGGTTCCTTTCATTTTGAATATTGTAGGGCTTAATGGAGAAGATATATATCACCTTGATACGTGAGGGGAAAAAATGAAGCCGTTCACAGAGTCATATTTTAGGCACTAATCGTTAGTCTATTTGTTGCGGGGATTGAAAGCACGAAATATGTGTTCCGTGGAGCGTCGTTGTTGAACCAATATTTTTCCCTTTTCATCGTTAAAAAGTTACGGTTACTGATTTTTAGAATTCTTGAAAATCGACCCTAACATTCATGTAAAGTTGGAAAATGTTTTTGGAAAAACTATAGAGAGATTATTAAAGAAAGAATGAAGAAGAAATATATTCAATTAATCTTGGAGCATTAATTTTATAAAAATTTGAAGAAGTTATTTGAAGACGCAAAATTATTGAGAAAAATAAAAAGATTCTTTTTTTGATGAGACCGTAAGTAGGCATGTTGCTCAGATGCCTTTTTTCAATATTTTCTGACAAAAAAGAGAGTTGATAGATATAAATAGGATTTTCCACTTTTTTGAAAAACATTCAGAACCTCTCTATAATCAAGAGCCAAGTCGATTGAAAAAAAAGATTTATGGACTCCAGCTGTTGATTTTTTTTTTTCTGAATTTCGCAAGAGAGCTTGGCGAATGTGTCACCAATCGGCAGTAATGGTCGAGGGCTTGTGTAGGAGTTGTTTTTCATCCCGGCCGATGGCTCCACAGCTGACGCCGCTTTTCCTGACACCCAACTGACCCTTTGCCGTTCGGCCAACTTGAAAACAAAGACTAAACAGGGGACTTTTTGTTGATATCTGACTTTGATTAAAGTTTTTTTTGAGATTCGTGGGAAGTTTTGGCTGAGTTTTAGGTTTGAGGCCTGTAAATGAGTTTACAACGCCGAAATGTGTTTTTACAACTTTTTCAGGTTTTTTTGACTGCCGAAAATTTTTATCATATTCAGAGTCGAAAATAGGTTACAAAACTATCCACAAAGTAAAATATCATAATTATAAAGAACTACCGGTTCCAATTTTTAGAGCTCAAAAAAAGTTATAAATGTCTTTTAGAAGAAAAAAAAAACTAAAAGTACAACTTTTTAAAAGCATAATTCTAGGGTGAAGGAGAAGAGATGAGTGCGGAGGAAAGAGCGGCGTTGAAGAAGCGAGAAATCGAGGCCGAATTCCAGCGATACAAGCTCGCGAGAAGAGCTGCCGCGGAAAGAAACGCTGTTTGAATTTAAAATCGGATCATTGTCTGGATTCTGACGTTTGAAGGAAGAAGAAGACGTGAAGGTTGAAGCGGGCGGCAACGCCGACGTTGGCTCGATCAAGGATCGCTTCGACCGCGGCGACGCCTTCAAGGCCCAGACAGCTGATGGTTTTCCTCGTTCAAAGATCTGCTCACTCCATTCCGTTGCAGAGAAGCAGATCGACGTCGAACTCAAGATGGCGGGCAAAGCGCGCGAGAAGTTCCGACAGATTGACGCCTCTGGAGCTGCTCCAGTCGCTCCAGGACTGAAGAAGACCGAGCCGAGCAAGTGGGACAAGAAGGACGACAAACCGGTCGCCGAGGTCATCAACAAGCGAGTTCAACAAGGTTTCTCATTATCTTCTGTGTCACTCATTTCCAACTTTGTGTGTCTCCGAAGCTGAATTTTTTTTATAAATTAAAGAATTACTAATGAGTAGTTGTTGTTTGAAATTTCAATTCAAGACCTTTTTTAAAGGTGATAAAAGGAATTTAAATTTTTCCGTTGAAGTTTACTCCCAATTTTTTTACTATTCTGAAGAATTAGAATTGCTTTGAGTCTGTTAGATACAACTTTTTCAACTTATTCCCATTTCACTTTCCCAGATGACGTCGAGGAAGAAGGCGAAGACGCGTTCGACGTCAAGAACTTGATGAACAAGTTCAAGAGCATCGGGGAGACGACCGCTGTGAAGACGTCGAGGTTGAATAGAAGGAAGAAACTGAAAATATTCTGGAGGTTCAGCGAACATCGCGCCGAGCTCGAAGCTTTGAAGTCGGAAGCCAAGAACTTCAAGGCCAAGTTCGAAAATGCGGGCGAAGACGACGACGCGACGGTGGCTGAAGAGCGACGGCGTCAGCGCGAAGAGGAGTTCGAAGCCTTGAAAAGTGAGTTTCGATTCCATTTTTTACGTCTTCATAAGAACTTGATGGGAGCAATCAATCTTTTGGTTCGACAGAATTATGGTTCATGCGATGGACAGAAATGTGACTTGCATGAAATTTGTAGAAAGTCGCACATTTTACTAAAATTGAATATGTCTTAGTGTTGTTTCGGCGAGAAATCGGAATTATTTCAAAAAAATATTTTTTTAGAATAGCCACTCCTCTGAACTTGAGAGGCGCCCAATGAGAATTGGAGTAAGATCTGGTCTTAGGAAGAAGCTTAACAAAGCGTAGATTAGGGTAATTACAGATCGATTCTACTTTCAGGCTGTATGATTTGAAGTGGCTTCTCATGGAATCCATATCCGCTTATAAGCTTCAACTTCCTTGAAAATTCATTTTTCAGGAGAACGAGAAGAGGCCCAGCGGAAGCTCGAAGAAGAACGGCTCGCCGAGGCTGAAGCTTCTCAACGCGTCGAACAACGAGACGAAGACGTCGCCATCAAGGTGACGTCACCGATGAATCAAGAACTGATCGCGTTTTTCCCAGGCGGATCACGCATCCAAGATGACGGCCAAATGGGAGAAGATCCAGGCGAAGGAGGCCAAAAAAGCGGAAAAAGGCCGGATGCCCGAGAAGAAGTCTGGCGCGGTGAGTCGACCTCTTCTTCTTCTACTTACTGCGCTTCTTCTTCTTTCCCTTTCTGCCTTTTTTTTTCACAGCGTGCGGCTTTCGGGCGGGTCCCTTAGGTAATTAAGTTTTATTTCATCATATTTTGTTCTGCGACTCAGCTTCTACCTGAAATCGAGTCTGTGTCATAATAGGCAAATACTCAAAATGTTATAATAAATTTTCCTGGCTTGAAAATTCGTAGTCGCAACGGAAAGAGTTGTAGCGTCGCGGTTTGAACCTAGAACAACCTCTGCTTTGGAATTTTTAGTCTTTTTCAATATGCCTAAGTATGTAAGCCGCTTCGAGTCGGGTGCATTTTATAGCAATTTTTTGTATGAAGTCGTTCCACTTAGGGCCATGGTCTTTCAAGTTTTGGTCAGTTCAGAAAGACTAATTTTGATTAAGTTCCATGTAACTCTGTAAATTTGAGCCTATCGAATAGTGTTTGCTCATTGAATCCACTAGTTTCTTAAGTAGCCTTTTAAAAGAGTTAACTGTAACTTTAGTCTTGAAATTATCAGAACACTTATTCAATGGGATGTTTTATTCGATTTTGAACGAATAATTTTCAAGAATTTTTTGAGAGATCCTCGCTCGAAGCCGCTCAAAATCACTGCTTTTTACTAATTCAAACTTTACCTATTCTTACTGATTTTAGAGCTTCTGTCGGACCTCCTAAGGCGTGTCCAAAAGCAAGACAAAAAAACCTTATTTATTAATTTATTAATATTTTTCCACTGTCCCTGTTTCTTTTTCCAATTTCCCTGTCTCTACATCTTTTCTGCCTCTCATAATGTCTAACAAAAACCTTTTCTCTCCTTGAAGAGGAGAACCATCTTCAAGAAATGACGTCATTTTTCAGGGTAATTAAAAAAGAATGGCAGTGAACTCTCTCGTCCCTAACACAAACACACACACTGAAACTCGCTGAAATGAAAAAAAAAGTTGTTATCTGTATCTTTTTGCCCCCGATTGATTTATTGATTTTCTGAATCGATCTAATCGATATTCCTTGTCCAATCCGTCACCAGTGCTTTATTTATTGATTTCTTTTTTTCTTTTTTTACGTCGTCAGTTTCTATACTTGTCAAACGCGATTCTTGCGATAAAGCATCTTGTAAAAATGGAAAAATAAGCAAAGCAAAGTAGAAACAAGCTTTTGCTGTGATTCTTATCTAAAACTAACCCGAGTGACTGACGTGAGCTAACATTAGGAATATTTTCATGAGGAATACTTTTTTCGATATTAGAGTCGAGTTTCGCTTTTTATTTCGATTTCACTTTGACGATCGTATTATGAGCAATAAGAAGAAAATTTCTGAATTTTTTTTTCCGAAATATCCCTTTTTAGAACTGCCTTCATGATTTTGAGATGAGATTCGAACATGACTAAGAAATTAAAATCTTTTTTGATTTCTCGACCGCTTCTCTTCCTTTCTTTCTTTCTCCTAACTCCTAACCCCAATTGCAGTTATTTCTGACTAATCTGTTTGAAATGAATAACCAGCCCGCCGTGTGTTGCAGAAATTCAGTCTGCCGCCGCCGGAGAAGTGCTCGATCTGTGCGAAGAGCGTCTACCGCGCCGAGCAGTTCCAGTGCTTCGGCGACCTCTACCACATCAATTGCTTCCGATGCGTCGAATGCCGACAAGCCTTGAGGTTTCCATTTCTTTTTTTCTTCCTTTCAACCGTTTGAATTTGAACTTGTCATGAGAAACTTCTGGGAAGCCGGCACGAAGTCGACAGAAAAAATTATTGTTTTAATTGAGCTCATTCCATTACTTCTTTGAAGTAGAACACGGTTCAAAAAACATATTCTTTCCGAGGGTAAATATCACTTCCTTATGATGTCCCGGAGCTCGAGATGAAGCCCAGTGTTAAATAAAATCTTTGGCTAATATTATTTTTCACCTAGGGGTTAAGACTGATTAAAAGTTGGTAGAGATGCCATTTTACGCACTAAAAATGATGCTCTAGCTCTTAAAATTTTCTTTCTGAAAAGATGTGGCTAATAACTTTCTACTGTGAGACTTGGTTACTTAGTAGTCGCTCATAGTTCTTTTGGTATGATTGGCAGTGAAGTCGTTCAAGTTTTTTGGCATCTTTGGGGCGTCATAACATGTGAATGACTGAACGTAACTTCTTTTAAGCTTTTTCCTCCAAAATTTAATTAAAAGTTTTCTCAGTAAGAGATTATACGACTAGCTCCCAATTTTTTGAAATATTTTCCTTCCCAGCTATTTTTCAGCTAGTTTGGATACCTCTTGATCTCGTTTGTTCACCAAAAGTTGGGATAAAGTTGAATTTTCAATCGAATTTTGAAAGCCATCATACTTCTTGAGTGACTCCTGATCTCATTGCAGAGTTGAGCGAGTTCACCGCTCCAAAGAAGGTCAACTCTACTGCCGCGTTCACTTCAAACTGCTTGAAGAACGGCGTGGATCTCTCATCGAGGAGAACAACAACGTCGAGGAGAAAGTTTAGAGCCAAAAAAGACAGAAATTGTGCCATTCCATTCACTTTGCCTTATCAACACTAACAATCATATCACTTACATAACATAATATATTTTAAAATCATAATATATTGTCATGAAATCAACTTGAAATCAAAAACCAATAAAACGTTTTTCTCAACTTTTTTCCTGTTTTACGATAGTGATTTTGATAGAAATCAAAATTTAAAATCCAAATTCTCTTTCAAGCTACCAAGAAGAGAGCTTGTCGCGCCGTTTCTTTTCTTACTGAAAGAACTATTTTTTGCACTGATTCCAACAAGGTGTAAAAATTAGAATTTCATTGCTTAATTAACAAAAAGAGACGGGGTGAAAATTATTAGAAGTATTGTTTTAAAATCACTCTGAACATCAGAAAAAAACAGAAAGAAAAAAAACAAGAACAATTTCATCCAATAACTTTTCCTGAAAAAGTCAAGTAAAATGTTATAGTACACAACAACAAAAAGAAGTTTCAATAATCTATACACACCTAAGCCGTTCTATCACCTGCAGCATATATCCGGAGAGGAAATGAAATGGATTTAAAATCAAAAAGTAGTCAATCAAAATTATTTACAGAGCTAAAAGATACAGTAGTTTAAGCAATAAGTTGTCGGGAAACCCACTTGAAAATGTAACAAGCGAAAAAAAATTAATGGACAAACTCCTTTGAAGCAAAAACCCTTTTTGTTGATCACACGAACTGGGATTCCCTGTCCTGACCCTAAGATAACCGTTTGATGACAATGAATAGATTTTTTCAAACATCGGTTAATTTCAACGCAACTGACTGTGAGCTATGAGACAGAATTAATAGTCATAGTCGACGTCGTCTTCGGAGGGAAATTCGTCCCAATAGCGGAGGTAATCAGGGCCGTACATCCCTTCTACGGGCACATCATCATCGTCGTCTTCGTCGTCCAGGAAATCGTCGAACACAAATTGGAATTCTTCCTCGTCTTCCTCAAAGTCTTCCAGGGGCACGACGCCTTCAAACAGCCGTCCTTCGCACTCTCCGCCGCTCTGCATATCATTTTTTAGCAGAGAGCGAAAACAGCGCATTTTCGAGATAACATAAGAATATGAACTATGGGTTTTTAACGGTTTTTCAAATTATATACCATGTAATTCAAAGTAATTTTGCGAAATTCAAAAAGAGCCGTTAAAGATGAAAAAGATAGGTTAGTGTCTGCGGGTCAGAGATAATAACCGATTTCGGGAGGATCACTTTGAACAAAGAAAAAAATATTAGGAAACTATAAACTTCCAATAACAGAGAAAAAAAACGAACCACATTGAAATGTCCGTAAGGATTTTCTTTATCCAAAACTTTTCCACACAGCCAGCAAAAGTAGCAATCGCACTTTGTGCAGTGCATCTTGTGGCATCCTTCGATTTTCTAAAAATCAGCCGATTAGCGATATTATTGAATAGAAACCTCAATAGGAACACGACATTTAGGACACGGTTTCGAGTTCTCCTCGAACCAATTCGAATTTTGGAACATTTCGACGAGGTTCTGAAAAAGCAGAGTTGATTTTGCCTAACTGTGAGAAAGATACCTGTAACTGTTTCAGTCCGCCGTATCGTTTGCTCATGATGAGCCTTTGTTCATGCGAACTTTCCTCCCATTCTTTCATCACATTCTCCTTTTCGTCTGAAATAACAACCTTTTTCCTTTTTTTACAATGAAAACTTTTAAAGAAACAAATAAAAACGACTTTTTGAAATAAATAAAACTAGAAAAAAATTTTTTTTTTAATATTCAAAGTTTCGATCATTTTTTTGGCTGGAAAAGCGGAAATGTATACATAAAAATCTCAAATAAATCCACGGTATAGACAACTTTCCTGAACGCAAAAAATGGTACCTTTTCTGAATTTGCACGGCTCGATTGCGTGATAGGCGCGTTTGCAAGAAATGCAAAAACACATTCCGCAATTCGAACATTCGGCGAGTCGTTTCGCTCTGAATAAGTCTTTCTCATCATATCTCAACAGTTTGCCTTTTGACATAATGGATTTTTTTTCTTGCTCTTACTGATTTTTTTGATTATATATAATACTTATATTTTTTTCAAGATCTGGAGCTGAATGAAGCGATGTACTTATTGGAACAGAGAAAGGTATTTTTTAGAAAGTCTTAAAAATTAGAACATGGTCTATAACAATAACAAAATCTTCAAAAAAGTATTAACCGGTATGTTTAACTACGCTCCGTTGTGAGCTGAAAAAAGAGCAAAATTGATTCAGAAAATTTTTTTTCTTTTTTGAAATCTCTGGCAACAGAACAAAAGTTAGAAAGAATTCCAACCTGTTGGTGATTTTAGCTGGATTCTGGCAAGCGGGACGAGGGCAAATCGATAAATCGCCTTTGTGAACCGCCAGATCTACTTGAAGGCTTTTATAGCGTTCGAAATATTCCTGAAATAATTCCTTATTTCCAGAATCAGAAAAAAATAATCACGAAAATAGAAAATTCACATGGAATCTTTCAGCGATATGTCATGAAAAGGAGAGAAAAATACTTTTCAATATAATTTTGACACGATGAGAAGAATAGTTTGCGATAGAGCGATACTTTTGAGCTTACAGCGTTTCCCAAGAAATTCTGTGAAATCCAAATATTTTCTTCACAAATCGGAATTGGTACATGAAAAAATAGAGTGCTCGAATATTCCATGAGACCTATAAAAATCGCAAATTTCTTTTTCGAACCTCGGAAAGAATCGAGGCGAGAAATTCCTCCGTTGGTTCGTTTCGACATCCAATACAAGTAAGGCCATTCAACTGAAAAAATGCGTTCATCAACTCTATTTCTCTATTCTCCAAACCTCTTGGCTATCAATTTTGTGCTCGAAATGCATTTTGAAGCAATCTCGACAGAAAATATGCTGGCAACCAGGAAATCGAACAAACTCCTCTCCTTTCTTATAACTGGCACAGATCTGAAAGTAATTATTATTTCCAAGTTGTTGAATTGTGCACAAAAACTTCACACTCTGCGCCTTTCTTCTTGAAAATTCGCATGTCAGTGTCATTCGCCATTTCAACGATTTTTCGCCGGAAAATCTGGGGATTTTGATGTTCCTGAAATAAATTCTCTTTGGAACGGCCAGCGAGAAATCTTCGTCCGCGGAATACTCAGCATGGATACTCAGCACGAAATCGCACGGTGTAGACCCCAATTACGCACCAGAGTGCAAAAAAGCGGAATGCACCGTGCGCCACCCTTGCCGAGTAGTTGAAAGTTGTTTTCTTTTTAAATGATAGAACAACAAAAAAAAAATCAACCTCAAAAACGCCAAACGTCTCCTCAACATCGAAGCGGTGATTTTTCTCGAAAAAGTCGTCCATCTGCAAAATCCGAAGTTGAATATATGTTATATTTTAACAGGGGAATAACACTATCTTGAACGACCATTCGGAAGCCGAAAAGGAGAAAAGACCCATTTGGACTGATACAGTCTTGTTCAATCTGATCTTCGATGACTTTCTTCTGAAAAATCAGAGTTTCCTTTTCAAGAATTTATGTGTAAACTCAACTAATTTGACCGGCATCCAGGAGGCTTCAATTCTAATGAGAGGTCCTTCTTCTGAAGGGTAGCGGCTCGGCAAGACGAAATGAACATAAACTGGCGGATATTTTATGATTCTCTCTTCGAACTCCGGATTTTTCCCAACCAAATACACATCATCTACTTCTTGATCGAATACACACTGAAAAATACTACCACTCGAACAAAAATTTTAGAACCAACTGTGATTTTTCCGGAAATTATGCCGTCCTCGTCTTTGTACTCGAATTCGTCTTCCTCCACCATTCCGGTCATTAAATCTATTTCCTCTAACTGCCATTCGCGGTCACTTCTTCCGTTCATCAATCTGGATGAAACATCAATTAATTGATTTTATCAATAATAGTAAAGATGTATAAAAGAAATGCGAAATATTTGATAAATAGATAGAAAATGATCATGAGGATGTTCAACCTGGAAAAAAAAAATTGTGCGTCGCACAGCCTGCTTTTCAGTTCAAGAAATAAAAATTTGCAATTCTAATTAATGGAAAAGGTACTTTTTTTGTTACGTGTTCAAATGAGAAACTGTTTCAAAAAGCAAAAAGTGTTGACTGGCGCGCAAACGTTGCTCCCAAACATTGCATTTTTCGGTTTCACAGCAATTTCGCTGCGTTTCGAAACAATTTTTTTTTCATGAACACGCCGTTGGATATTGAGGGTTAATAAAAAGAAGAAACAAGAAAGACCTCTTTAAACTTGAAAGTCGTCATAACCTCAAAAAACTCATATAAAAACTCCTACATTGCAATCCACGCGTTTCGCAACACGTTAAAACCTCATGTTAGTGATAAACTTTTCGAAAAGGAAAGTGATGAAATTTTTTCTTTTTGGTGAGATTGTGCAACTTTTGACAGTCATTCGATCAAAACTGTGAGTAGATTAAAAAAAACTAGGACGATGAAAGAAACTAGTTTTCAAAGCGCTGAGAATAAATAGGAGGGAATTTCACAATATTTGTCAAAATTGAAAAAGACAAAGAACTAACAGACGAACTGTAGAAAGTAACTTTCTCGATTGAACTGACATTCTTTTTCAATTTTAAAACCAACAAATGTCAATTGAAAATATTTATTTGAATTTATGAGTTCAATTGATTTTCTGGCTCTTCTGAGTAGGCGCGTTTGATTTCTGTCATCTCTGGAAAAGTTTTCATTTTTTTTATCAAACTTTGTTTGGAAGGTGAAACTCCCACCTGAAGGACTAGAAACTTCTCTTTTCCTAGAGCAATCGTTCGAGAAGTTCCCGTATCGCTCACAATCTGTAACTAAGACCTAATTCATTTTTAGTTCAGAGTATCATTTTTGAACAGAGGAGTCCTCACCTTCAGTGGACCAAGATTGGGCATTCGAGCAAAAGTTTTCTTCTGGCCACAAATCGTCATTCATATATTCCATTTTTGGGGTGTTTAAACAGAGTGAATCGTCTGAAAAATGAGGAAATTTGGTAATCTGTCAAAGATTTTAATTGAAATTCCAAACAAAGAGCCATAATTAATGTTGGAACATTTTAAAAAGAATCTTTTTGAATTTTGAATTTTTTTCGATTTCACCGGACCTTTTGCATTAATGCATTCTTTGAATAAAATTATTTTTTCAACAATCCAGTTTCAAAAACAAACCAGGATATCCATTCTTAAGATAACCTTCATAGTAGAATTTTTTTAAATGAAAACAATTTCAAATTTTGACTTAATTTTACAAAAAAATTGCGCCTTTTGGGCCGGGTTTTCCGTTTTTTTAAAGGCCTCGCTATGGCCCAGCTAGGCCGGGCTAGGAAATGACCAGAGGCCGATAGGCTGACGGGCCGGCCCTCGCACAAGTCTGAGAGAAACTACCTTGGACGTTTTCCAACAAAGGACTGTCTACCGACTTGCCCTGGCGCATCCTTTCCATGTTGTCACTCCGGATCCGTTCGCTGTAAACTCTTTTTAATATTAAAAATAAACCTATGAACTCTACTAACTATTTGTTGCGTAGAACATCGAGGATATGCTTTCGAAGACGCATTTCGTCGGCATCCCGACTTTTTTCGGGGAAAGAAATGCCACGGAAACAAAGCATCGCCAGTCCTTCGAGCAGGGAATCGCCGACGTAGATGAACTGTTTGGTACTCGACGAGGTCGAGTAGGACCGGTACGACGGCTCGGTTACGTTGATCTTCAAGTCAAAATCAGTCAAGGATCGCTTTTTTTTTTTGCTTCTTTGCACTTTGGTAAAAAATGACCTCAGAGACTTATGAAAAATTTTTAGTCGCAAAGAGTTAAAACCCCAGTTTTTTTAGCTTAATCTAAATGGTGATTTCCGTTATTGAGGAGTCTACTGACTTTTATTCTAGATAAGTTAAAAAGACTATAAGAGTCTGAAGGTTTTCTGGATGATGAGATTAAATAAATCTTGATGAAAAATAATAATGCGAACCAATTCTTTCTCTCGACTTGAGGTTTCATACTTTTTTCCCATATATTTTAGGCTTTATCCCCAAGCTCAAATTAAAATTAAGCAGATAAATTCAGCGAGTCTGTCTCTTATTCAGAATCTTCACTTACTATGAGTTAAGATTACCGACTGGTAACTATAAAATCTTCTTGAAATATCAATTTTTGGTGCTAACAAGAAAGGAAATATGGGAATCTCTCCATAGTTTTTCGATGATCGCTCATAGAAAAATGATTTTTGAAAAGAAGCAGCAGTATTTGATTTAGAAAGCCAACCTTTCGCAGAATATCTAGAACAATGAGGGAAACGGCCTTTTCTGGCGTCTTGCCAAAAGTTCGGATGGCCATTGGCTCGGCGAACAAATCGACGAGATTGTAAGATCTTCCGCTGGGCATTTGAACCATGATTGGTCCACGAGACTGAACGGCTTCCGTCGAGAAATTGACAGTGGCAGTCTGGAAATTCAGGAGATTAAAAATCGAGAAAATGATGATGATGATGATTCTTCGCGATGGAATCATAATTTAGGATAAAGTTTGGACATTTTCCGATACTTTCTGCATACGGACTGATAAATCTTCAACGGCTTCCCAATCTTTCATTTTTCAAATATTTCTTTCTTTTCTTTTTCTTTCTTTTTTTTCCATTTCCTTTCAAAACCTGATTGGCGAACTCGTGGATGACAGTTCTAGTCTTTTTCCATCGGTGTTCGACGATCACAGGCATGATTGTGCTGTAAAAAAACTATTAAAGGATTTTAAAAGTGGTGATTTCCTCTTTTACTAATATTACTTTTTTTTTTGATAAAAATTCAACGGAAACGAATAAAATCCAGAGAATCCGGAAATACAATAGTTTTTTTTTCATTTATTTCAAATAGAGCTTTTGTGGATTGAGCTGAGAATGAAATGTTCTGGATCAGTTGAAATGAACCATTATGGCTGCACCGGCCAGGTAGAGGTAGTGGGTCTCTTTCGGCGACTTGTGATGGAGAGCCGCTTGGGCGGTCAAATCGTCAACGTCAATTCTGTCAGATCTCCTCAGAAGCGCAGAGATTTTGCTCTGAAAGTTAAAACCAATCTTGAGAGATTGGCTCTTTTTCCAAACTTTAGCTTGAGTATACGGGGTAGCGAGGCCAGTTTCTATGTTGTAGACGGTATTGATGGCCAAACCCAACAAATTGACTTCTCCATTTTGTTTCACTGCCTAAAAAAGAACATAGTTCATTTTTAATAGTTCTTCGGAAAAAAAGTAAGTTCGCTTTTTTTCGAAATTTGTGTATTTTATAGGATCATGAAACTTTGCAAGCAAGAAACTTTTTTTCAGTGTATAATCTTATTCGGAAACTATCCTTCACTTTTTTTATTAGGCGCAGACTTGTTCTGCGCCATTTGGGTTTAGGGATGAGTTGGAAAAATTTTTTATTTCGGTTTCATATATTTTTGGTTTTAAAAACATACCAACTTCCGTCGGAATTCCTCTTTTTTTCATTCCCTGTTTCGCTGACCAGAAGGTGATTCCGGCTGTATAAATTTGTCATTTTGAA